ATTCTCAATTACAAAACTATTTCTACAACAATATCTTCCGTCCTCCTTGAAGACGTAGGTAATCTTTGGGTACCTTTCTTATCTGCAACTCCAGAGGATGATTAAAGTTTCTATCGTGCTGAAATTCAAAACCACAACCCCAGTACCAGTACCAGCAATCCTACCTGACACCCTTTCCAAGATCTTTCACGCCCTTCATTCAGATCATTCTTCGATATCGATCTAACTTCATCTCTTTTCCATCCTCTGCAAACAAAAAGATTGCGAATTGAACGACGAAAGAGTCCTGTTCATCCCTCGGACAAACACTCAATCCAAGACCTCAATTATCGACCTCGAGAAACACCGGCACAATGAAAGCTACACCCTTAATCATCAACTGGCATGATCAGAATTCTCCCATATATAGTTGCGATTGGGAAAAGGCTGGGAAGGGAAGATTGGCGACTGCAGGAGGAGATGGAAATGTTAGGGTACGTTCAATCTATCCGGATGGGAAATGTGAAAGAAGTACTGATTGGAATACAGTTATGGAAGATAGAATCCGAAGGAGAAGACCGCAAGATTGACTATCTAGCTACTCTACAAAAGCATACACAAGCAGTCAATGTAGTAAGATGGGCTCCGAAAGGTATGAAGGCATAGTTTATACACATCAAGATGGAATGTAATGTGGCTAATCAATCTGGTAGGGGAATTACTAGCATCTGCTGGAGACGACGGCAATGTACTACTCTGGGTCCCTAGCGAAGCTTCAAATATCACACCTGCATTCGGAGGAGATGGATTCGAAGAAAAGGAAACCTGGCGAACCAAACATATGTGTAGATCGTCGGGTGCTGAGATATACGATTTGGCTTGGTCCCCCGATTCCGTGTACTTCATAATTGGGAGTATGGATAATGTTGCGAGGATATACAATGCTCAAACTGGTATGTCATCCATACTTTTGTCATTCCGTGAAAACTAATCAATTTCATCCAGGTCAGTTAATTAGACAAATCGCTGAACATCAACATTACGTTCAAGGTGTTGCCTGGGATCCATTGAATGAATATATCGCGACACAATCATCCGATCGATCCGTACACATCTATACCTTGAGAACGAAAGACGGACAATTTAGTCTCGACAATAGGGAAGAGCCAAAAAGGATTGGACATAATTTGAAGATGGATTTACCTGGAAGACGAATTTCCTCCAATAGTCCAGCACCACCCGAGCTTGGATTTCGTTCACAATTTCCACCAGAAACCCCAAATACAATAGGTTCACCAGGTCCATCTTGTCCAGGTACACCAACTTCGATGGCTTTACCAATGAATCCTCCTAGTGTTATTAGTCATAGTAGAAGATCTTCATTTGGTGCTTCTTCTCCAGCAATGTCCATGCGAAGATCGGCCTCTCCTGCTCCTTCAATGCCATTACCCGCTGTTATGCCCATGGAAGCATCACCAAAACCATATTCGATGATTGGACTTGGAGTCAAGAATGCTCATATCTACGCCAATGAAACCCTCAAGTCATTTTTCCGAAGACTCGCATTTACACCTGATGGTAGTCTTCTTTTTACACCAGCCGGTCAATATCAAACACAACACAAGGGGTCAGAAGAGGGTGCAAAGATGTTGTATGAAGTGATTAATACAGTCTACATCTATACACGAGGTGGAATCAACAAGCCTCCTGTTGCACATTTACCGGGACACAAGAAACCTTCTGTGGCTGTCAAATGCTCTCCAGTTTACTACACAACCAGAAAAGCTCCCCCACCAGTTACAAAATATATCACAATCGATACATCATCCGCTGATGACACAATGGCAGCATTACCAGAACCAGCAATGGTTCCTAAATCGCCATCGAATGCTTCAATGGAACCACCTCCACTTGTATCACAAAGTAGTGATTCCTCGAGACCTAGTTCTTCATCCAAACCAAAATCTTTGGAGGTTGAAACGAACGTAACATCCCAAGGCCCAACAATGGCATTTTCTTTGCCTTATCGTATGGTCTATGCTGTTGCCACAGAGGATTCAGTCCTATTGTATGACACACAACAACAAACCCCGCTTTGCATAGTGAGCAATTTACATTGTGCAACTTTTACAGATTTATCATGGTATGTTTATTCGAATCAATAGATTTGGTCCATGCTGATTATTTTAGGTCCACTGATGGAACTACATTATTGATGACATCCTCCGATGGTTTCTGTTCAACCTTAACTTTTGCCCCAGGTGAACTTGGACAAATTTATGATGAAGAAATACCCACTGCAAAGCGTTCATATATTAGTGGTTCAGCAGTTTCGTCAACTCAAAATACTCCCATGGCAACACCAACAGCTGGGATCGCACCTCCATCACCATTTCCAATTTCAAATAATCATCATCGGACATCTTCAAATCCTATGGTGGCGCCATCACCTCCACCAGCTCCTATCACAACTTTCAGACCTTCTTCACCTACTCGGTCAAATTCTACATCTTCAGTTGCAACACAATCATCTCATGTAACATCAGCTATGGGGACAATTATCAGTAACCCAACTCCATTATCAAGTAGTGTTCCAGGTATTGCTGCAGCGAATACCACTTCCGGAGTTCCTATGACAACACCACCACAAACTCCAAGAAGTACTACAGGTTCGGTTGTGGGTGTAAAACGTCCTGGAGATGTAAGTGAGAGTGAGAAGGAAGATACAGGAGCTGGACCTGAAAAGAAAAAGAGAAGAATTGCTCCTACTCAAGTTTTGTCGACAAATCCTGCTATTGGTAAATAGTGATGTGCATGTTATTTAGAGAAATGTTCTTTTTTCGATTGATTCGAGACTTGATTTGGTCTTGTGGGATTTGGTGTTTTACGGTGTTTAAAGGCTCAGGTGTGTGTGGTTTGGTGTGTGGTTTGGTGTTTTAATGACCTAGGAAGGAGTTACAATGGAAGGGAAGGAAAGGAAATATATGATGCCCTGGTACCTTGTACATGGGATGAATTAGGATGGAGTTTTTAGTGGGCATGAATGAATATAATGATATTTTATTTCTATTCCGACTTTTGTGTACTATTTTTGTCATTCTTTGGCTGGAATGTGTTTGAGGGTTCATTTGATTTGATTTTATGAGAAAGATGAGAGAGATCCATGTGAATGATTTGTAATGTTACGGGAATGTTCACGGTAGTGGAATGAAGATTTTTTTTGGATGAATTAAGAGGGGAAGGGGGAGAGGGAGAGGGAGAGGGAATTTAATATGGTGTTGCTTTTTGTAATGGTGATGGTGATGGTGATGGTGATGGTGATGGTGATGGTGATGGTGATGGTGATGGTGATGGTGATGGTGATGGTGATGGTGATGGTGATGGTGATGGTGATGGTGATGGTGATGGTGATGGTGATGGTGATGGTGATGGAAATGGAAATGGAAATGGAAATGGAAATGGAAATGGAAATGGAAATGGAAAATAGAGGAGAATTGGGGGAAGGAGGGGGGAAGGAGGGAAAAAATGAGATATTTTTTTATGTTTTTATTTTTATTATACCAAGTGGATTTTGAAGGTGGAGGTGGAGGTTATAGGGGATTTTTTTCGGTGCTTTTTCTAGGTGACCTTTTCTAGGTGATTTTTCTAGATGGAGGATTGCGTTTTTAAGGGGGATGAGGGGGATGAGGGGGTGAGGGGATGAGGGGGCTGCGGGGATGAGGGGGGATGAGGGGGATGAGGGGGATGCGGGGGATGAGGGGGATGAGGTATGAGGGGGATGAGGGGATGAGGGGATGCGGGGGCTGAGGGGGTGAGCTTGTGAATTGGATTATTTGTTGGATTGTTAGTAAATATATAGCGATAGGGGGGGCGAGTGAGCGCGTGAGCGTGTGAGAGCGTGAGCGGTGAGCGTGGAGCCGTGGCGAGTGCGAGAGTGCGGGTGAGGCGTAGGAGCGTGCGCGCAGTGGCCGAGCTGAGGGAGCGAGGGTGCGTGAGCGTGCTGGTGGCGACGTTCGGACTGATGAGAGGAGCGTGAGTGAGAGAGTGAGAGAGTGAGTGAGAGAGTGAGTGAGGTGAGTTGGGTAAGATAGATGATGGATGGAAGAGATAGAAGGGATAGAAGGGATGGAAAGGTTAGTTTGGATTATTTGTTATGAAGTTGGAAAGTTAGAAAGTTGGGAAGTTGATAAGTTTGGAAGTTGAGAAGTTGAATATTTACGAAATAGATTGATGGGTAGGTAGATAGTATAATGAGTTGATGAGTTGATGAGTTAATATTAATATCTTTCTTGTTCTTTCTTTCTTTCTTCTTTCTCCTTTCTTATCTTCTGCAGGAAGTAGTGAGATGCGATGAGTGAGTAAGGAAGGAAGTAAGTGAGTGAGTAAGTGGTGTATCTATCTATTCGTTCGCTTGGTCCATTCGGAGAATACTGTACGCATCGTGCTCCAAGCGAGAAAAAAGTAACTGGTAGATAAATAGTTAGGTAAATAGTTGGGGAGGAGGTAGAGAGGAAGGTACGGAGCGAGATACCGAATCCGGCCTGCCCTTTTGGGATTGTATCGATGTAGACTAATTTTAGGGATTTTAGGAGTTGCTTTCTTTTCTTCTTCTTGATTCCGTCTTTTCACTTCTTCTTCTTCCTTTATCATTCAATGTGAAAAACGATATTGCATTCTATCACGATTCAAATTTCACGATAGGGAAAGGTGTCGATTTTGTAAATTTTGTTTTCTTTGGCTTGTCACTTTTCACTTTTCACTTCTCACTTCTCACTTGAGTGCTGAGATTGAGGGATTAGTTACTTTACTTGCTGGTTTACTTGCTGGTTTGTTGCTTGCTGGAGACTTTGCTTTGGAACTTGTTGGGTTGGTGTTTGTTTACTTCTCGTTTATATCTACTTCTTGCCTGCCTACCTACCTGCCTGCCTGCCTATGTTTCCTGGCTTCTCGAGTCTCAGATAAAGGAACAAACGAACAACCAAGCACACAGATACCATCCCGCCATACCAACACCAACAACCATGCACCCCCTCTCCACCATCATCTCTCTCCTCCTCTTCTCTCTCTATCCCCATCCCCATCCCCTCACACTCGCATCTCCTACACCCCTTCCCCCCAGCTCTCCCTCTCTCACCTCCCTCCTCGACACCCTCATAAACATCACCATCACCGCCTCAACACTCAATTTCGCTCCTCCTGCTCTCCTCACAACAACCACACATTCTGCAGAATGCGCAGATGTGAATCAGGGAGCTCTGGTGTGCTGTCCGAGTATTCTGGATGGTGATCAGCCGCTTGTGGTGGCGGCAGCTAGGGCGTTTGGGTTTGTGTTGAATGGGAATAGTGTTAATGGGATTGGATGTGAGTTCATTTATTTTGGGGGGATTGTGTGTGTGTGCTAATTATGCGGATTGATAGGTAGGAATTTAGATGATGGTGCGGATTGTCCGGTGTGGGAATATAGACTTTGTTGTCAAGTTACTGATCTGGTATGTTTTTTTTGTCTGAGTCTTCCCCCACTGTTAACTCTGCTGCTGGATTGATGATTTGTTTTGTGGGTTATTTGAAATTAAAGAGTTGGTTGGGATATGAGATGAGATAAGAATACTGATGATTATATCTTGTAGATGGTTTTACCACTTGTTAGTTTGGCAATGTGGTGTCATGGAGCTGGGAAACTCTGATTTGGTAACACATCTTGGTGTGGGAATTGGGATCGATGAATGATACAATTGATGTGGATGAAGCGCAGTCAATGGATGAATTGTGATGGATTATGTTGGGATGAGATGAGACGGAAAGGGAGAGGAGAATTTTGATGAACAGTTGCTTGAGCAAATGATTTGCAGGTGGGCATATTGCTAAGGATTTTGCTACTTTTGCTCGGATACACAAGCACAAACATCTTATGGGGCTTATATTGTGGAAGACCACCAAAATCATTGCTGAAGGCTTGCTACGATCTGTTTATGATGGATTATCAAATAACGGAGACTTTCATTGTGTTAGTTCAACTAAGAACGCAGTTCTCTTGATGGTTTAACCTTAGCTCATTGGCTTCACCTCAACTCTTGCGTCTATTGCCTCCACCAGTGGGTGTACGGATTAACGGGACAAAATTGACTTAACAATATCTTTCGAAGCTTCAACTCGATATTTGTTGAAGAATTGTTACGTTGATTCAACACAGGCTGAACAATCAAAAGAAGAATCAGGGAATCAAAGATTGAATTGTTCAAAATTCTGAAAGTTGAGAAGTACCCCGTCAATCCATACACCTACAGATTACACATGCTATGCTCAGAAAAAAGAGAAATATCAACAACCAAATGGAAAAAGCAGAGCAGGAGACTGAAAGAGAGCTAAAAAGAATGGAGGATGTCCAGGCAGAAGAAATCAGAAAGTAAGCCATACAAAGGAAATTATATTGCTGAACCACAGCGGTTATGTGGCAGATAGATGCATGACATACAAGCAAGCAGTCTGCGCAATGGGATAGAAAGTATTCAGCAAAGTACCGGTCGAAGATCAAGGCGGAAGCAAGATCATTGTTGCAAAAACCACCATTAACACCAATGCTGAACCATCTCGCAAGGGTCGCCTTAGATCTAAAGGTATCGGTGGCCGATATATACACTATGAGATATTTCAGCATATTCCGAGAGAAACAAGCTTTGTCACACGAATATAGCGATAGTGGATGGTTAAGCAAGGGAATTGGATGAAACTCGCCCAACGAACGCAGATTGACTACGAGGATGCAAATGTTTTGTTTACGATCAGAAGATTATAAGAAGATTATAAAGACTGGGGACCACCACTAAAATCTGCAATCAAACTTCTCCGAATTGAAGATCGAAAGAACACTCTCTACACAGCACTCACTGGAGGTTTCGAAATAAGAGACTAGAAATTGAAACTGGAAGACTTGTCCAGCGAACACAGATTGACTATGAAAATGTAGATGCGTTATTATCAGATGAGTATAATGACTGGGCAGGTGTTGCCATTGAAATCTGCAATTAAACAGTTCCATGAAAAATACTTCTTTCAATTGAAAATTGGAAGAAAGAAATTGAAATGGTATCTACTGGAGGTTTCGAAATAAGAGACTAGAAATTGAATAGGTACCAAAGTTGATGATATTAGGAAGCGAGCAAGGAGAATACTATTGAAAAGGGCTTGAAAAGGACTTGAAAAGAAAGAAAAAGGCAGAAGATTGGAGACACTTGAGATTTTAAAGGAGGGAAAGAGGCGAGTTGGAAGAGAATTGCGAGCTTCTGAAGATTTATCAGAAAGAATGAATTGGGGAGGTAGTACTAGTGCTAGTACTGGTACTGGTACTTGCTACAATATCATGACTCGGCTCTAGAAATGGATGAGACATCTTGGGGACTAGATGGGATGGGATGAGATGAGATGGGATCATGGAAGTTTCTTAAGTGATCTTGATTCTCTTTTGATGTGAAGATTGTGAAGTAGGATATGGAGATTAGGTGGTAGAGGGGTATATAGAATGATATGTTTTTGTGGAATGGGTTATATCTAATGTTTCTCATGCGTTGGATTTCTTTTCTGAATCAGGGGTGTGTGCTTTGTGAATACGTAATTCGCTCATTGCTTTATTAAAACTCCTGTGGATTCTGTGTTGAATGCCTATAAATTTATTTATATTCCTCTTCTTTCGTATTATAATTATATATCTTTTTCTTTCTAAATATAGGAGCTCCTCATTTGATGAATAGAAAGAAGTTCGCTCTAAAAGTTCCGATTCTGTACCTATTCCCAGTATTTTCTTTTCTTTCTTTAATCTAGAAAAAGGGTATACGCTAATACCCATGAGTACACAAAAAACACCCGAGCTTACGTAGTAAGTACCAAGCACCCCCTAAGCCCCCTCAACCAGCCACTCAAAATCCTCTACAATCTTCTCACTCAGCTCCTCGGATATCTGCCGCGTCATCGCAAGATGCATGCCGTATTCGCGCTGGGCGAGGAGGATTTTGCCCTGTGTTCCTTGGTGCGTGGATGTGCTGAGGGTTTTGTAGAGGCCGAGGGCGGGGTAGGAGACGAGTCCGAAGACGCCTGGGAGGAGGGGGAGTGGGGGTTAGCGAGGTTTGATTTGGGGAGGTGAGAGGTTCTGGATGCGAGACTGGGGATATGGATAAAATGAAATGAAATTAATGGATTGTGTAAACTGAACTGGACTTACCACTAGCAGGTTTGGTGAGAAATCCCACCGTGCCTTTTCCAAGACCCTTCAGGAATCCCTTTCCGCCTTCCTGCATGGCGCCTTGGATGGGTTGTGTAAAGAATCCTGTGAAGCCGTCTGCGATTCCATAGCCGAAATTCTTTGTTATTTTTATACGTGGTTAGCTTGCTTTCCTCTTCATGAATCTGCATATTCCCCATCTCGTAACCCATCTCATATTCGGTCTCAAAAAGGGAAAAGAGGGAAAGAGGAAAAACAAACCTTAGCTCCCTTGATACTTCCACTCTTCCAATCCCTCACCTGTTCATACTCCCTCGGCTTATCCCCATACAGCGCAGGCAAAGCATGAAAGCCATCCGCAACTGCGAGGGGTAAATCGATCGCCGTTTTACTCATCGCGATGCCTACCTTTCCGAACCCTTTTCCGACCGCGATGGAGCTCGCTTGTAGAGCGCTGCGCGATGAGGCGGTGTCAGTGTCAGTGTCGATGCCTTTGCCGGTTTCGTTTTGCTTTTTACGGAGTGGTCGGGTTAGAGCGCGCGTGTATTCGGTGCGATAGTCAAGTCCGATGTTGGTTATGGCGCGAGTGATGTCGAGGGCACTGTCGAAGGCGGCGGAGGTTGTGGCAGTCCAGGGGTCCCAGCGGCGGTTGGTGATGGTTATGGGGTGGGGTTTGTGTCTTTTTCGTGGGACATTGAGTAAGTATGAAGATTGGATGGATGAATGAATGAATTGATAGATGAATACATATCTAGAGGAGGTGAACTTACAAGGAAAGATCAGAGGCGTTTATTTTTTTCTTCTCGACGAGAATGGCGGCTGCTTGGTGAGATAAGTTGAGATGTTTTTTACCCTTTTTCCAATACCATGTTGCGGGTTGTTGAGTTAAGAGCGCACAACTGAGGGTTTTGATGGGAAGATTACGATGGAAGGAATTGACGGCTTCTTTTACGCCATTTTCGTGTTGGATTCTTGAGGCGAGGGTTTGTGCTGCGGTTACCACATCGGGGGAGAGGAGAAATTTGATGGCATCGGAGAGAGTGGTGATGTTAAGAGATTTGTGTTCGATAGGTGCAGGACCGGCACCGGCTGCTGCTACCATGTTTCCCCAGAATGGTTGGCTGTTGAAAGTTAGTGGAGGAATTTTATGCAGGAGAATTCTCGACGCACTCGCCAAAAAAAGGTACGATTGCTGTAGGACGACCATTGAGTAATCCACATGCTGTTGTTCCTGCTCCACCATGGTGGATGACAGCCGCAACTTGTTTAAATAGCCATTCTATCAATATTAGTTAATTCTAAGATCATTATAATGATGTATCTCTTACCATGAGGACAATCATCAATAAATAACACATTCTCATTCTCAACCTCCTGTCCAAGTTTACTCCAACCTTTCGATACAATTGCTCTGACACCACAATTTTGAACTGCAGCCATGATCGTCGCGGTCATGGCTTTAGGATCTTCCATTACGATGCTTCCAAATCCTATATAAATGGGTTTCGAGCCTGCTTCCAGAAATCCTAAAATCCTCGCATCGGGATCATATGATGGGGGCGGACGAAAGAAAAATCCACAAACATCTAAAAGCTTTATCAATACTAGAGTTTGGAAGAAACCGAATCTACGAACCTATATGTGGGAGCCAATCTTTTGGTTTCGGTACAAGTGCTGGCGACCAACAGTATGTGAATGGAATATCGAGAGAAGCTGCTAAATGAGGACCAGCCATCACAGGGACCGGTTCAAGATCAAGGGACGTCTTTCTCCAGTGATTGATTACGTCTCCAAGTCTATAATCAAATGATTAGAGATTGAGAGATCAAGAATATAAATTGGAAACATACCCTTGCCAAGTCATCGTGTCAACCAATCCATAAGAAAGAAAATTGGCTGTTTTAGGGTCCGTTTCAGTAGATTGGATATTTGCAAGTGGATGAGGGAATGACCTCGTAGCCGTCCAAGGCATAGTAAACATAAGATGAACTGGAATACCCAATGCCTGAGCACAATGTGTGTGGGCAAAACTAGGTGGGTTGGCAATAATTGCTTCTGCGATAAATGGTTCTCCAGTCTTAGAATCGGGTTCGATACAGGATCGCCAACATCCTTCGAGCATAGCGGATATCATTTTTCTTTTCTTTGATATCTCTCCACTAGCTAAGGTACTTATTTTTGGAAAGATTCCGGGGTTTTTGACCATGTACTAGATAGGACGGTCATAAGTATGTATGTTGGGGATGCGAATAAAGTACACTTACTGCCATTAATTCCGTTGGATCGCCACCAATTGCATAGAATTCTATTCCGGCATCTCGTACGAATTTTTCAAATACATCGTGAGTAGCAATACGCACCCTATGACCTGCGACTTGAAGTTCATTGCCCAAGGCAATGAAAGGTTGAACATCGCCTGAAAAAGCTGATCAGTGATGAAGTACAATTGATGTTTCTCGATATTGAGAAATTAGGAATGTATATACCTCGACTTCCAACTACCTGAATGACTATATTAAGTCTTGGATACGATTTCACGGGCTCTGATTTTACTTGCGGTATATTCTCGGGTGTATAGATTGGAGGTAATGGTGAGGTATTACCCAAAAATGCCATACTAATCCGTCCATTGTCTGGTGGTGTCAGTAAAATTCCTTGATTAGACTGTCAATATAGTTCATCACCTTGGACTGAAGTAGAGACAGCAGACTCTTCATTGCCGAACGCGTACAATTCTTCGTAGGGAGGAGGAGCATCCCAATTGATACTTTCACTCCCCTTTGGCTGTTGTTCAGGAATGCCCATGATATCTGGGAATCAAGATAGAGAATGGCCAAATACTTGCACGTACAAGTATGATATGGTATTAAGAAAAAGGATGAAATGGAAGGGAAACGTTATGAGATGGGGAATGAATGTTTGTAAAGCCTTTCACTGATCTAGGCAAACTATACTTGACTAGACTGTGGCTATCGAAGGAGTACCTACCTAAGTATATAGAGGCAGTGCATCAATGCCGTATTGAGCGTATTTGGTCCCAGCAAAGGGATGCCAATGCATCTCTGACCTTTTCTTCATGTTCATGCTGTGTTATTAGTTATTAGTACGTGTGCTGTGTATTTAACGTTCTAGATTGGACCACTGGCGCATGTTAGGGTGAAACTCGTTTAAGCTTTTTCTACCTATACGCGTATTTCGTACTCGCAGTGAAATGTCGGACATCGGACTCGGACTCGGACTCGGACCAGGCGAGCAGGCCTAGTAGGTAGTCGAGGTAGTCCATGCGCATCCTCCACGTGATTGGAAGATCCAACAGAAATGTTTCAGAGTCATGTGCCAATCACAACTTCTTTCATTGCCTGAGCCCTCTGCTAATAATCTGAGACGAGCAAACATTCTCACATGATCCTGATACGGAAGGAAGAGAGAGATGCCGTATAATGGGATATCTCATTATATAGCCAAACCCAAGCTCTAGAACGTGTGTCAGACTCCTGCAGGACAGTTTCCGGAAGACATGGTCAACCACCATAGCTCTTACCAACTTCAGCCCTACAGGCATAGATATCTTCCGGGCTTTGTGAATCAAACACCCACAGATGACGGTCAGTATTTCAGATGCCGCAATCTGGGTCTGATGCATATGGATATTCAAGACCATTGAAGAAGGCGGCATCGGACATTAGCTGTCCAGTTGATTCTCGGTAAGATCTTACCTTGAGCATCAGAGAATGCTGATCTCAATTCCATTGAGGATATAAAATCAATACATTCACAAAGTATTTCACCAAGCAGCACCGTCTTACACTGTACCTTATATACAATTCTCCTCTTCCTACTATCAACCTCTCCTCGAATTCTGTTGCCCTTCATCTCGCATCTCGTATCTCGTATCTCGCATCACGCACGAAATGGTATCTTCCGGGAAATAAAAAGTGGATTCTTCATCTCTTCTTCGCATTTTTTCTTTCAATACGGTCCCTTTAGGAAAGCTCCTTAACTTTACTCGGAGCACGTTCCAAGTTTCAATCTCGTCCTATTATTCCGCGTATTTATCGTATTTCCATTATGCTGATTCGTCTATCGTACTTCAGCCCTCTCCATTTGCAAAGATTCTCTACCAATGATTTCACGTATTCAATGCTGGCTGGACTTTTGATCCTTAACTCAGCCTAGGCGTTCCCAGTGGAGCTCTATTTTGGGATTCAACGGCCATGTTCATGGATCTTCTCAAGGGTCTCTACCGGTATCAATTTAAGTAAGTATGATTGTGGTATGGAGATCATTGTTTGCATGCGCCTCAATGGACAGCGCGAATACGATTTACGATGGCCGCAATATGCAATAACCCTTCCAATTGCTGTAGCAATAGTCATTGGAAAGATCTAGTGCTATTTTTGAGCGTTTAACATTTGAGTACATATTATGATTATACTCCCACTACAAACACCAATCTTTATCTTCTTCAACACCATCTTTATCTGCAAATACATTCATTACTTCTTTTGCCTTTTCAATTGCAATCTTATGATCTTACGATTCTGAGCGAGTGTTTGTTCTGTCGTTTACCTTTTCATTTCTATTCGTGATACACTCATTAGTGCTTTACTTATTCAGTCTCATCGATCAATCAACTTCGTTGAATCTTCAAAATGGTGTACGTACTTTACGCCTATAAACCTGGCACAACCATTGCACTGGTTGCCGCTGCATCATTTGGAGCGAGTGCCATATATCATCTCATAACTATGTTCCGAAAGAAAACCTACTTTTACACAGCCATGGTAGTCGGAGGTTTCAGTAAGTACCCAATCAAACTTCTGCTACTTCTTAATAGACGGATTCTAACCAATGAACCTAGTGATGACTGCCGGTTATGTCTTTCGATATCTGTCGGCAAAAGATACTTCTTCCATAATGCTCTACTCTGGTCAATCTCTCCTCATTATCCTTCCACCTTCTCTCTACGCAGCAACCATTTACATGATATACGGCCGGATCGTCTTATTCGTCAATGCACCATCTGCATCCGTGATCTCTCCCAAAAACGTCACTAAAGTGTTCGTTGGTGGAGATGTCGTATCTTTTCTCATGCAATCTGGCGGGGGTGGTATGATGGCAACGGCCAGCATGAGTTCAACTGGCGAAAAGATGATCGTTGGCGGCCTTCTCGTACAACTTCTTTTCTTCAGTATCTTCCTCGTCATCGCCATTACTTTCGAACGTCGCATGCGCTCACATCCAAGATTTTTCGATATCCCAGCTAATGGAAAAAAACATTGGCATAAATTGCTCATGCTTTTATTCGCAGCCGCGGTCTTGATCATTGTCAGATGTGTATACAGAGTCATTGAGTTCTCACAAGGGTCGACAGGGACACTGATGAGTCACGAGTATTATATGTATATCATGGATACAGCACAGATGTTGATTGTGCAGTGTATGTTTCACTTTGTACATGCAGGAGATGTTTTTCAAGATGGGGTGGATCCAAAGAAAGTTGCGTTGATGGGTGATAACTATATTGGATTGAGCGAGGTATAGGGAAGGAAAAGATTATATGAAAATTTAGGATGGATAAAGGATTTCATTTGTTGTCGGGTCGAATTAGGGGTTGGAATATCTCTTCTTCGTGGGCAGGTATAACCCAAGGATGGGGGGGAGGGCGCTCTCGAGTTTCTTTTGTCGGATATAGTACTGAAAAAAACGATCAGCTTAGCTCATTTCTGATGGAGTTAATGGTGATTCAAGCATTGTACATGAGCAGTATAGGGATAACCTATGGAACATTGGAGGATAAGAACACAATAATTATTTTTATCAACGTTATACCATACCTACTTTCTGTTTAAGCGCAATATTTGTCCACGATTGAGAATACTACTCACTCGTGATCTCGATTTTGTCAATCACTGTGCAAGTGCAGAAAAGGCTGTCTATCACGTGTATGCCATCGCTTAGCTCCGTGTCGGGCTATTTATCCTTCCATTTTCCCATCTATTCTTCCGGCAAGTGTCGTGTCAAGATTCCCTAGCTTATCGATCTATAATATAATCACCTCCCGCTAAGATTTTGACATATACCCCCATCACGCTTTGTTCAGACAATCAACCAATTACTGGTCAACTAGGCAATTTCGTCTACGGTCAGCGTAGTAACATTGTATATTAAGACGGAATTATTGTCGTCTCAGCCGAATCTTTGTTCACATGGCAGGAAATAAATGAAATTATATTAGTGTGATTAATTTTTTACCCTAGATTATGTGCGTAGCATGGAGGTGTTTCGTCGTTTCTCGACTATAGGATGTTTTCATTGGTACGGTCAAGAAATCTAGAGTTGGCGATGCTCTTCACATCGCAGAAAGCTGTTTGATATCTACCTTTATATGACTGGAAACTTGCAGCGCCAAGAAATACCATGAGAATTTACGGGCAGCAATTTGGCATAGATGGTGGCGGCTAGGTTTATCCGGGGGTTTCGGGCAGTGATGAAGCCCATATACAGAACCACGTGGCTGAAAACCATCTTCTAATACATATATATCAAGTATCTGCCTTTCTCATTCTGCAGAAAGTTGTTTCCAGAATCAGTCTACACACGGCAAACTTTCAATAAATAGATTCAATCATGAAGTTACAACTTATCATACCCTTTTCATTTCTTCTATCGTATGTTTCTGCACATACGATATTCATGAAATTGCAATCAGGTGGCACGCTTTACAGTTCGTCTCTTATACTCTCTTTGGCAAATACCTCACTCACAGCAAATAGATACCAGCTATGCCATCCGAACCCCAACATACGACGGAGTAAGTCTTCATCCCACACCAGACAATCACTCCTAACATCTCCAGCCCATAAACGACGTAACAACTGAATACGTCGCCTGCAATGGTGGACCAAATCCTACCACTCCCTCCTCAAATATCATAAATGTCGTTGCCGGTAGCACTGTAAACGCCATCTGGCGCCACACTCTCGATAGTACTCCTGCAAACGACGCAACCTATGTTCTCGACCCATCTCATCTCGGTCCCGTCATGGCCTACATGAAAAAAGTAGACGACGCAACCACCGACGTTGGCTACGGACCCGGCTGGTTTAAAATCTCCGAGCAAGGACTCAACGTAGCCACACAAAAATGGGCAACAACAGATCTCATAAACAATGCAGGCGTACAGCCTATCACCATACCAAGCTGCATAGCCAACGGACAATATCTCCTACGAGCAGAATTGATCGCGCTCCACTCAGCAGGAGGCAGTCTCGGTGCACAATTATACATGGAATGCGCACAAATCAACGTATCGGGCGGCACCGGAACCGCAACTCCCAGCACCGTATCCTTTCCCGGCGCATACGGACAGAGCGATCCCGGAATCCTGATTAACATCTATCAAACGCTCACCACGTATGCGATTCCGGGCCCTACGCCATTTGTCTGTGGTGCTGCGCAGAGCACTGCGAAGAGTTCGTCGACTTCTGCTGCTGCTTCGACTGCGAAACCTACGTCGTCGTCGACGCTGAGTACGAGCACGATTTCCAAGACGAGTAGTGCTGCGGTGGCGACGGGGACCGGGACCGCGGCGGCTTATGCTCAGTGTGGGGGGCAGGGGTGGACGGGTGCGACGGCTTGTGCGAGTGGGAGTAAGTGTGTTGTTAGTAGTGTTTATTATAGTAAGTTTTCCTTTTCTTTTTGTTGTGGGGAGCGGAGAGATGGGTTAGGGATGAGATAATTAATGTTTTTTAGGTCAATGTTTGCCTTCGTGATGGAGAATGGGGAGAGATTTCGGTTGGATGTAGTTGTGATGGAGATATTGGTTTATTGTGGGATGGTAGGGAGGAGATAGATTTGGTACCTTGTGAGAAGAATAGAAATCGAACCAATCACCTGCACTATACTTGTCCTTTCGATTGAGACTCTACTCTCTTGTATCTGAAATATAATGATTACGACTTTGACCTATAACCCAATCACCCACCCACCTGAATCTTTCGACCCACTTCATACCCTCCATCACAAAACCCATCACCCATACCCCTTCATTCCATACAAACCCGCATCCCAGCTTGCAAATACCATCCCCACCCACCGGCAAAAATACCCCGCATTCCGGTACTTCTTCATCATGTGTAGCACCCCATACTCTTGGCACTCTTGGCATTCCTATGAAATGCCCTCTAATCTGGAGTATCGGGCTGAGAGTCCGTGTGGATATTTACTAGTTCGTCCATATTCAGTTTCTTTCAGTCGCGTGTTTGTACTGGTTTTATATTCATATATTGATTTGATTGTGTTATTGCTCGTATGATTTAGAGAATTGTTTGTGAGGGTGGATTTTGTTTCGTACTTGGTATTTATTAGGATGTTGTGGTAGATGCTTCTATTTTGTTCCTTTTCTTTTCTTTACTGGGCTGAGTGGTAGCGTTTGCCAACACTGTCCTATTGAGCATTCGATCAGAGTGGGCTATATGAATTGGCAGAGGAAAAGAAAAGATACGGGATAGAAAAATGAACTTGTAGAACGAGCATGGAAAAGTTGAGGAGAAAGAGCTCACAGAGAGTAACTGTCTCAACTTGGTCAATGCAGCAAGGGAATCTATCTATCCTAGATTGTTGTTTTTCTACTTATCAATTTTTGTTGCCACTAATCTTCTTCTTATTCTTCTCTTTTACTTTCTACATGCAACAACCTCTTCAACCCAGAGAAAAGATTGCTTTATATGTAAACGCACCACCAATATCATGCCGTCTACTCCCTATCCCGGTCGGCATTCCCCTCCTCCAACTTCCTCCCCTCCTCCAAACCCCATCCGCGGAGTAGAAGCGACCATTACGCATTCAACCGAATTAGAAAAGTGGGGTAAAGTCTCGACAGCAGAGATTAATAAATCTCATTGTTTTGAACCGAGAAGAACATCACCTATTTCAGACGAGATGCAATGTAAGATTTCAATGATTTCTCAAATGTCGTATGTGTAAAGCTCGAAGTATATAAAATGAGACGTATATTCTCTTCTTCCAAAAATAAGTGCTGGCCAACATGAGCGTCTAAAAATATTTATAGTATAGTATGTACAAGAAATAGGTTTTTCTCCTCCCTTCCTATATTTTTCTTTTTAATACTTTCTTTATGCTCCACTTGCTCCATTCAGTGAAACCGTCTAAACTATGTACACATTTAGACTTCACACTCATCATCTCCTTCATCGGCCGAAGTTGGAGCAGCAACAGCAGCACTGGAAACAGAGGTTTCAATACCAGCAACCGAGCTAGCAGCTATACTGGTTGATGCTACTACAGATGCAGAAGCGATAGTAGATCCCTCAACAACTGGCGCTGAAGGAGTAGCTACATGGTGAGACTTTGTGCTTGACTTTGCTGATGTAGATACAGCCGCAATGGAGGAGGTCCTGGTTGGTGCTTGTGCAGATGAAGCGGAGGTAGTAATAGCAACGACTGATGAGCTAGTTGATGGAACGATTGCCGCTGAAGTAGAAGCGATTTGGCTTGCACTTGAAGATGCTGAAGAAACAGCTGCTACTTTAACTGCTGCAGAGGTGGCCATACCGAGATCGATTTGGAGACCGAGAGTTGCGTTCATGATTGCGTTTCCGTAAAAGAATTCGGTACTTTCTTTTTGTCAGTATGATATCATTCATCCCTAATTCGGATCCAATAAAATGCTGTGAAAGAGGTATCTGAGACAGAATAAAAGGGGAAAACTCACCCAGCATTTCCAACGTTAACATAAGTACTCTCAGTAAAGAGACCTTGTCCCACAAGCGCAACCAACCACTCTCTCAAATCACCCTCAAAGGTTCCCTCAAACTGTGTTTTTGGCAAAATACTGCTAACCGTGATACCCGTATCTTCATTAACACCCTGGTACAAATCCCAGCTTGTACCAAATAAATTGTCAATGGTAGCTACGCTTCCATCAGCCCATCCAATAGGTAATTGACCACCTTGGTATTGGAGCCAGAGCATGAGTTCCTGGGAGGAGCTCGATGTAGAGTCACCTTTAACATCGTTGGTCATGAAATCGTAGCAGACATTTCCTTTAAAGGCGGTTGTGTTGGACCGTGTCCAGGTGTAGGTTGTAGGAATGGAAGCGATGCCTGTGAGAGGGGTTTCCAAATTTTGGGTCAGGCCGACGAAAGAATACCCTTTGGGAATATTGTTTCTAGATTTTCATGTCAACATGAAACACACAATTAGGAATATCGTTTCAACTACATACGTGCTCTCAACATAAGTGATATCCGTCTCACTGTTCCACTTCACCTCAGCAGTCCCATCACTCCCTGTAATCATACTATCATAATATGTACACTGACTTCCCACGATCTGATTTGCATTGTACAACATGTTATACACAATCCATGGCGAATTGTTCAAAATGAGATAATCATAATCGCCGCAAAGATCGGTTGATGCTTGAGTGGCTCGGGTACTGAAATGAGGGCGAGCCAGAACGCTGGCGGCAGATGTGAGAGCTACCAGAGCTGCGGTATTACGAATTTGTGCGATCATTTTATAATTTTATGGTGAATTTGATGGCCTAAATGGGTAGGGAAGAGATCGAAGAATAGAAATAAATGAGCGTGGATGGTAAGTGAGTGGATTTGAACTTTCAAAGTTCGATCAAAAGAATGTCAGGAAAAAGAACTTCCAGAGTGAGTACGCAAAACGAGTGAACGACAGATTAAAGAATTCAGAGATCTTTAAAGCGATCAAGAAAATGGTAAAGAAGCTCTTGTCCACTTACTCAAGGAGCCAAGTACCGTTCAAATCTCCTTGTACTATACTTCCTTGTAGTTATCCCTACTTCGAATCACCAGCAATCCCTCACGGCCAAGATCCATCCATGCAAGCCTTACCTACCCACCGGCGAGATCTTCAGAATGGCCTGCCCACACGAACAATTAAAGACCAGACCATTCGATAAGATCAAATTATATATCTAAAGCATCGCTTATCCCACCTTTGATCTTGTTCTCGAATGATGAAGTGCGGCTTTCTTATGGTTAAGAGATTGAACAATTCTATGTAAATCAGCATCGTATACCTATATGAAACACACTAGACGAATTTAAATAAATGAAGCATTATGATCACGTGAATACTCGAAATCTCCCGCCGACTCCACTTTGCTCCGCCTTGAATTATTCTATATTGATGTTTAATTGGCGATCAGAAGATCCCGCCCATTGTTCCACTCTCACTCTGCCGACTCGCGGCGGATGAAAAATCCGAACATCAACTCCGTAAAAATGAGGGAAATTCTAGAAATGAATGTATTTGAGAACCAATCATGAAATCATTAAAATTTATTTTGAATTCTATGTGAAACTATACTAACATACAAAAGAGACTGTAGAACGAATACGCCAGACTAAGCACGTGCGTGCTTCTAACAATCTTGACGGTCATTTCACAACTCTAATTCAATCACACCCCTAATTATATAATCTAATTCCTCTCTATACGCATCCTTCTTCTCCTCTATAAAAAACCATTTCTCATAACCAGCCACCCAAGAAGCAATCTGTGTTCTCATCTATTTTTCGTTCTGATACGAATCTACACTCTTTCATATCCTCTTCTAATTATCATCTAATCCAGGACAATTCTCGGATGTTATCTCGGTAAGACCGGTATATGGTTTTGGATCTGTCCAGATGGTATCGTATCTACATGAAATTAGTTATGATTCCCGTGACAAAAATAATGTCTCATCCCTCCCTCAACCAAATCATCTGACTCAGAAAAAAAAGCAAAAAGAGAAACTCACGCATGTTTCTTCCACTTGGGCGCATTCTCATCACCCAAAGCCTTAACAATGTCGGTCAGCGCACCGTGTTGCCAGCTAATCAATATGTTTCCTTCCCCTTCATATTGATTCACGACATTGGCTACACAATCTGCGTCATCTCTGTCGCATGAAATATCAACTGTGATATTTAGATCCGTGGCTAGGGGTTGCACTGTATCGAGTGGACGCGTGCGTTCTCCATCTGATGTACACGTGTTAGATTTCCGAGAATTTTGAGATGAGAGATCGGATTGCGAGGAAATAATTGTGAGAAAGAGAGTTATACAGATGTCATCTCCATCGATGTAAAATGCTACCGAGAGTATCTCAAAGAAAGCAATGGAAAGGGAAAACATACCACTTTTAGGCGTCATAGCCATTATATACTTGATGTCATAATTACTTTCATTACCAAAGACATTGCGAAGACATTGTGCTCTTTGGAGACCGAGGGCACTGAGGCCGTTGCCGCCATCTGAAGGCTTTTCTCCATGACGAATTAGGTAGACCGTCTGGGAAGAGACTGAGAGGGGAAGGGTGAGGAGGGTCAGAAAAGAGGTGACAAAAAGTTGAGGGCGATGCATTGTTGACTAAATTGGAGGCTGACTTTTTGGCGAAGGAATTGTTAGAATATCAGGTATGGGATGTAGAAAGGAGGAGAAATGGGCATTGGTAAATATATGTACCCTTTTTCTATTCTTCCCTGTACATCAGATGCACATCAAAGGCATATGACACTCTCTTAATAAGTTTAGTATATTGATGTACTTGTGAAACTTACATCTGAGGTGATGAACTAAACTTCGCGTGTCGCTGTCAAGTGATGATCGCCAAGCAATAAGGTTACACAAAGGTGAAACATACGTCAACAAAAACACGAAAACATCAGGAAGCTTGAGTCGAAGGATTGAATGATCAACATCTGAACAAAATGACGTTTTAATTTCTGCTAGATAAGAAGATTGATACTTGAATAAGCCAAAAGCAAATGGTACCTAGTATCACCTAGAAATCACAGGATATATCTGCCGTAAACAAGGTGGTACCATGTGAATGTAAAACTCCCATGATCCTCATCCATTCGCAGAATTATACATGCAACAATACACATTCTTACTCTCCGCAAATCCTCCATTGTTCCCTCTTCAAACCAGAAATAATGCGCCTTTCCACTTCCCCCAAAAACTCAATGTGAAAACCATCATCTGCGTTCCTCCATCGAATGCAGCACTAAGCAAATATTTCCACTTGACAAAATCACTGGGGCTATAGTTGCGCAGAAAATACTGTGCGAAAGACCCAAGAGCGGAATAGGAAGTGATGGACGAATTCACGCCGACAAAAAGCCAACCCAAATACTAGAGAATGACAGAAAGGTTTATGGAATTAAAAAATTCAATTCGAGTTCTCTCTTAGATGATACAGAAGGGAATTGATACTATATATGAATTCGAGAAGGAAACGATTGTTACCCATTGGTAGCGAGCCCCTATGGAAAACATGTCGCCAGCGATGGACCATGCTATGGCTGGGGTACTGTATTGATGGTCGTTTTGTCTAGACCAAATATTAGGTCCTTCAACAGAAATGAATATGTGGAATTGATTTGTGACAATAGTTTTTATGATGATCTAGTCGAAGATTGCACCGATGGCCGCGCCGGGCATTTGGGCTGTGAAGGTTCAAAATGTGAATGCTGATATCAAACAATAAAAGAATGAATTTTTTTCTAAGAAAATTATCGAAAATTGACAAGTATCCTGTCAAACCACACACCCACTAGTGATCCCAACCAAGGAAGTGCAGATTTAACACCATAATAAGTAGCCGGCCCCATATCAAAACTGAATACTAGAATATTGGTATACCGCCAACTATGTATTTCTTCGTAACCATTTACCAACACATAATGTGGATCCATGTCAGAATTTGCAATAACTTCTCTCTTGTTTTCCCAGAATAACCGGAAAGACGGTTGAAAGACTTTCTTAAGGTTGCTACACGAGAGGAAATACCTTCCTGCTTTGAAAGTATCATAGTTCCGAAAAAACGTATGTACTATTGTTGCACTCTATCCCATATTGGTTGTGATCAAGTATGCGATATATGTTCCAGCCAGAGACGGGATGCCGTCAAATCAGCTTGAATGGTCTCATTATTTGCTCCAGCATTAACGTCAGACTATACTGAGCATAAACCGTTGCGTTGGAACTATTGTAGAAGAGTTACTGTGCAAGGAAGGGAAAACATTGTCATTCCCACCCGTAACCATAATATAAAGTCGTGAACAGAACAACGCAAAGAAGATATCTGATCAAACCATCGGTAAAGATATATGAAGAAACCTATAGTGGTGACCGCAAGATAGCAATACATTGCAAATTGAGGCTGAGGAATAAGAATCCAAGAACTTCGTTTTCCTGTGAGTCACCAAATAGGTTTGTGAAGAAAAGACTTTTCTGCTTGAAAAGCTTGTGTTGCGCCACCAACATGAATAGTCAAATGATTGAAAAATAATCACAAATAATGGCCAATGACATTGAGGAAATGGAAGTGGACCAGGATGTCTATAGAAAATGATGAATGGATCACCCTCTGCTCCAAGATAGTACTAAAATTCCCCAAGAGATTTTCCAATATAGCCAACTAGCCAAGTCGTTGGGAATAATTTTTCACGAGCCTTGCCAAACACATGGTCTGACATAACAAATAACGATAACAGTCCAATCTATATCGTATCTGGGCAAGGGAACCATGCTGATGACATCTTCGGATTGATATAATCACATCAAGAGCAATGTTCCTGTCTTGTACGATGTAACCTATATCGCACCAGGGATGAAGCGCAGCCGCCAATCTACCTCGCTGATCTTTCCTCTGCATATTCTCTAGACTTCATACCGATGAGTATGGAAATCGATGACAAAGCCATGATATAAGTTGTAGAACGCAGAGCAGGATAGATGTTTGCGCATGCCAGACCGGAAATGTACTGTATCCACAGGTCTGCCCACTGGGTAACCATATTTGCTATTCCTCCGGGACAGAGGATATGAATGACTGGTAAAATCGTTAGAATACATGCTGCCCATGAAAAGACTGCATTACCCATACATAAACAGTGGAACAACCGACTGACTATCGGATGTGAAAGTATGGGGAATGTATAGATAATAGGAGAGTGACGATCGAATAGTGAGAGCTTGGAGATCAATGAATAGCAAATATTCTGGAGGCATATGAAAAAGCCAGCCTGCCGTTCCACATAGCTAGGATTGTAGAATCTTGATCAATGTAGACATATCGCATTATATTTACGTCAGGACCATGAGCCTATATTGGTAGAATAGATGCGAAGATGTGCGGAAATTTTGGTTGTTACGTCCACCAGTGGGTGCACGGACTTACGGGACACTCAAGAGGGAAAGCACAATTTCACACCAAAAAAAGCGATTTTAATAATTCAATCAAAATTGAAATTATAATTGAATTTATTTGAAATTCAAACGAAGAGTTTTTAAGTATAAAGGTTTTATATCAAAAAAATTTGAAATCAAAAGAATCAAAATTGAAGTTTTGATAATAGAATATATAATTCCCTACCAAAAATTTTGGTGGGAAAGTGTACTATTTGTATTTTGAGCTCAAATTGTATTTCATTCAAATCACATCTAAAAGAAAGATTATTTGATATTTGAAGAATTATATATCTCAATTTCAAAAGAATTCAATGATATATTGAATTTTAATTGAATTATTAAGATAGCTCTTTTTGGTATGAAATTGTGCTTTCCTGTCACGTTGTCCCGTGAGTCCGTGCAACCACTGGTGGTCTTGTGGAAGGGATGTCGTTAGGCCCTTCCGGGTTAGGCTTGGCAAGGCTGAAGAAAAATAAGCTTTGGCCTGTGGCACCACATCTCGCTCTGCAAACAATACACAAACCTGCAACTTTGAACTCTTTCTTTCCATTCAACAATGGACACCTGAATCTTAGATTCCGCACCTTCAATGATCATGTTGAGCTGGAGAGTAAATGGAGAGTTCTTCACTTGTCCACCAAAAGATACCTTGGGCGACTAGATGAGATTCCCCTATATGATGTTCAGCGAGCCTAGAAGGCAATCCTCAGTGTCCAATTCGCCATTTCCGCTTCGACGTCAAACACGAGACCTCCAAATACTCAATTAACGGGCGGGTATCCTACACACGGCACATTTGCAACTCAAGGAAGTGGTATCTGCTGAAGGCCGTTCTAAATGATAGCCCACGTTTCACGACTACACGGCCAACACTCAATACGATATGGATGAGCCATAATGAAGTCGAACATTATCCTACCTAATTCCACGGATTCGCATCACTATTCATAGTTCAGATGAATTCTATGACGATTTATATTGGGGGCTGTTGTCTAGACTCGGGATTTTTCAGAGACATTCCAACGCCACCATTCAGAACTTATCTCTCTATACACCCGTCTTCAAAGGAATCATTTTGGCACTGCTTCATCCAACTTCGTCTTCTTATCTTTGCCAAAGGTAATTGATGTCTCCTGCCGGCGTGTGTAATAGTAGTTTTCAGAGTACAACTATTCGAATTCTTCCCAACATTAGATGCTACATACTCTCCTTCAGGATGTCGCGTGGGACGAGATACTTGAGAGGTAAAAACAACAAGGGAGGCTCCCATGGACAAGTCAAGAATCCTCTGTAGTCTGGAAACCTATGCGTTAATCCATATACAGTAGAAAAGTTCTTTCGTTTATCTCCCCAGTGCTCGTTCCCGAAAGGTTGTTTCCAGCGACTGATCCACAACCGCTCCTCTCATGCTGTTCTTATTGCTAGTAGGACCTTTTATTTATTTACATTTGCGAGGAAATTGAAAGGCAATGTAATTGTGGAGATGTGGTAACTGGCCGCGCTGACTCAATTACGTTAAGTAGCTTTCACGGAGCTGATTTTTGAGTGTATCATTTATTCTCAGAAGTATAACATCAGATGAGCGACCAGGCCAATGAAGCATTTTCCCGCATTCTGAGGAGTCCTGTGGTTCGGCTCTAATGGTACCAACTGCCACTGACCTTAAAATCGCTAGTTCTGCGCCTAGTCGGTACCTGAACTTTCTGTTGGCCGAGAATCCGTGGTCTTACTTCACCGGCATTCATCAGATTGGGGATTGACTGAAGCGCAGGTTAGATGCTTCCGATCAATGATCTTGTTACTGCCCATACACTATTCACCCTGTCTGACTTTGCACCTACCTGCAGCTTTGTGTTCACGTCTTCTCTCACGATAATATTGAAATAGTTACGTACTGATGGAATCTAGATCCTTGAATCATTGGACCCTGATTTCAGTTATGGCATGTCATATATTGAAGCTGTGCTTGTACCTAGGTATTTTAATATATCAATTTGTGAGGGATACAATACCCGCCATTCATGAACCTCTGTTAATGTTGTCGCTGCACGCCTCGTTAAATGCTGGCAAGTCAAGTGGCATCTCTGTTTACATCATCGCATTCATTTATGGGCCTAAATTAGTGACGCATGTTTCTTCACGGAGAATCATTCTATAAGTTTCCTTGAGTTCCCGAGGTCAGGGGCAATACTTTAAAGTGGTGTCAACAGCCGCACTCAGCCGCATTAGCTGCTAATAGGTAGCTTTGACCAAGGCTGGGCACCCGTGATTATTTGAATCGTTGCCAATCAACCTTGGGTAAATAGCCGATCTTGTGGGCTGAATAATTTCACTTCCCGTTCACGATCTACTAAGCTCTGGTAGTTCCCGAAGATCCTCCAAACTGCGATTTATCAACGGGTCTATCTGCGTACCATATCAAACTTACCAAATCCAAATCACACTTTTACTATCATGGAACAAGGTCCGGATATGTGATTGAATGGATTGTGAAAGTGGATAGAGTATTGGATATTTCTCCTGATTCTTCCGTCTTGAACGAGGAAACAAGAGATAACCTTAATTCAAACAGATTGACCTTAATTCAAATGTTAATATTAACCTTAATTGAAAACAGTTTAGTATGTTTTGGATTCGATGAGTTGATGCAGGAAATTGAGATTTCCGGGAATCGAGATTTTCTTGGGTATGGTATCAATTTCAGAGACAGGAGATCTCTAAGATCCATTGGAATCTTGTAAGTGACTTATAGATGGTTGTTGTTGACAATGGCAAAAACCTATAAGTATGTGTTCTATTCCTGCCCATCATCGATCATCTCATCTTCTCTACATTCATTACATTCATTACATTCCTTTACCAATATCCTACGTTCATTAAAATCCAAACAAAACACTTCAATCACAAACCCTCAAACTCAAAATGCAATTCACAACCACCACACTCATCGCCATCCTGAGCGCCATCGCAGCTGCATCTCCTATCGAATCCCGTCAAAATGGAACGGCGCAACAAGAACGCCTTTGCACTTCCGCTATTGACACTGCTATGTGCTGCCAAACCTCTCTTGCCGGTGTTATAAACCAGACCTGCACAACTCGTACGTTTTATTTTAACATTAACCCTGAACATGACTTCTGTATACAAGTGCTGACTGAATTGAAAGCTGCCATTACTCCTTTCACCAAACAAGAATTCCGAGCATACTGTGCCGCTCAAGGACAAGACTCTGCATGTTGCAAAACTCCTCTCGTAGGCGATGGAGTTATCTGTACCCCTCCTTAGATGGGAGGTTAATTGTGATGGAGGTCTGAATATGTGGACATTTGGACGGGCGTTGGAGTTGATGCGAAAAATTTGGTTGAAGGGTACGGATTGGTGTACTGTATGATTATTGAGGACGGACGCGTATTTTCTCCGATTTTTGATGCCATTTTGAAGGATGGAGGGAATCTTATATTGTAATTTATCTTTAGACTATTTTGTCACTTGTTGTATAGACAAACAGTTTCTTACATCCTGACAGCAAAACGATTTTGGATGCAAATCCAGTGATTCTGCTTCTTGTTCTCTGGATTTTAATGAAGTGATATCTTGGACCAAATGTCTAGGAAACTCGAGAAAACGTAAAAAGATGTCAATACATCGATCTCATATCAACATGTTTTCTGTTGTTGTAAAAATGGAGGAAATTGAGTTGCGTAAATGTCGATGGAAAGTTACAGATGAATCATGATTGATTACGGCAAGCAGTGGATGAGTGGGAGGCAATGAAAAGATACAATGATACAATGTATACATACAATCTCATTCCTTTGCCTTGACAATTTGCAGGCAAGATTCTAGAATGAATACTATATCAGTCCGAGTCATTAACGATTATGATGTTTTCTAACAAGAAGTAAGAACAAGACTTCAAATGAGAGACATTACTGTTTTTCACGCCACCAAGAAAAGCAAACTACGTTTGAAGAACGATGGAACTCCTGATTGTGGAGAAAGATTGCGGCCGAGTAGGGTTAAAACATCGCCAAATTCCTAGGTTTGAGACAGCAATTGATGTTTATAATCTAAGCTCACTACATAACATCGGTAGTACCGTAGAAGAAATCAGAGTCGGTAGACATTAATAAGGATGTTTCCCACAACCCCTACCAAGCTAGCATGATACAAATGATTATAAGTTCAGCAGAAATAAACATGATTCATGGTCCATAGACTTGGGAGTGTTGTTATGACATTATGAGCAAGTAAGGAACACTGGGCTAGTAAGCTAGCATAGACTATCACGTCTTATCAAAAACGATATCGGAGAAGCCAATAACGCCAAAGTCAATTTTGACTTTGAGGGACCTTGCACCAGAAGGTTCTATGCAATTGTGATGTCGTTGTGATGAGCTGAGAATAAATCAAATAATCATCTAGCGAATTCCGGGAAGGCTCTGAGCTAGGGAGGCTTTTACAGGCTTCTAATGTTTGGAAAGCGGAGATGAACAGCATGTGCAACGTATCGTCATAATTTTAGACTCGAGGAGGAAACAATAGTTGTGGGGAAGGGAGGACAGCTCCAAGAAATCCGCTCATCATCACTTAGTGGCTTATTTGAATAAAGAAAATGAGAGGTTTGAAGTTTGTGTGGATCTTTTCTCACTGCTGCGTCTTGCGGCAATTCGAGAGGAATACAGAAGGTAATGGGATAGGTTGAGCAGTATGTGTTTCCTTCCGCGAAAGGGGAACCAAGTCAAATCATGCAAAGAAAGAAGTGACAACTAGGAATATGAAACAGAAATCCGCAGAACACATCGCAGGACTTCATAGGATCCCAAGTGATTCTATAATGTTATTGATTGCTAGCGAATTCACGGGTGAACAAGTGTTTTTATTGTAAAATAATGATTAATTATTGGAGTTGTAAAGGAGCGTATTATCTATAAAAACCGTATCCAGCAGTATTCTAATTTCTGAGCTCAACAGAAATCATCCAAATTGTGTTGACTTACACTATAGTCGTTTGATACCGTCTCTTGTCCTCCACATTGAATCTATCGAATCTAACCAGAACCATGCCCTGCTGGAAGAAGAGCAAGGAGGCCGGCGGCAGTATCGGCTCTCTTGTCAGCGCCATGGCCTGCTGGAAGGAGAGCTAAAAGACTAGCGGCGCTCTCAGCTCTCTTGACCTCCTCTTCGGATGGCTCTCGTTTGTCGGAGCCATGACCGGCAGGAAGCAATGCGAGAAGAGAAGCTGCGTTATCTCTCTTATCAGCGCCATGTCCTGCTGGAAGGAGAGCAAGGAGGCCGGCGGCAGTATCGGCTCTCTTGTCAGCGCCATGGCCTGCTGGAAGGAGAGCTAAAAGACTAGCGGCGTTCTCAGCCCTTTTAACCTCCTCTTCAGATGGCTCACGCTTTTCATGGCCAGCTGGAAGGAGAGCAAGAAGACCAGCTGCACTATCGGCTCTCTTGTCAGAGCCATGCCCTGCTGGAAGAAGAGCAAGAAGGCCAGCGGCGCTATCTGCTCTTTTGGATTCCTCTTCTGGCTCACGTTTCGAGGAACCATGGCCTGCCGGGAGTAGTGCAAGTAGTGAGGCGGCATCGTTTGCTCGCGCTTCTACATCTCTTTCGACTGCAGAGGCAGCGAGGGAAGCAAATTCAGCCTGGCCACGCGCTGTTAGCTGGTCGAATTCTGCACCAGCGGAAACAATTGCAGCATGAAGGTCCTCGATTGGCATGCCCCTCTCAACCACAGATGAAGTAGCAAGGGAGGTAGAGGCGAATGCGACCAGCGCGAAGGAAAGAATGGATTGATTACGCATATTGAATGTAATTTAGGTAGTATGTAGACAGAATGAAGACTGAGATAGTAAAGTCCTTGTAGATGAATTGATAAGAGAACACGAAATTAATTGTATGAGCACCGCTGGGGAAAGAAGGGAAGAATCTGTGCAATCTTCGAGTATATATACACGGCAAGAACAAACTTGTGTTCCAATCGCAACTTTGCAGATATTCGAAAACCCTTACACCGGAAGCTCTTCATCCAGACCGATCTGAATTCATGCAAACCTCCATGGATCAAGTACCGTACAGAATGTCGTTTCAACAAACAAGCTTCTAGTGCTTTGACTCCCGTTCGTTCTCCGCCGTCACTGTCCCTCGGCAAAGTCAGTGCGCGTGGTATCATTGTCGTAGAAAACAGAACGCGTTTGGAACGACCTGGAGAAGTCTAATGCAATATTTCCGATCAATAAGTGTATCAAAATCTCAAATTTCATTGGATCGCAACATTTTTGCCGACTTGTCCGACGAATTTGAAGCTTAGCCAAAACATTCGTTAGTTTGTGGCGATCAATTCTGAGAGATCAAATATAGAATATTGAGGCCATCTATTTCCTTTTATGCTACTGCCATGATCGACAGCATACGTGTCCGTTAGTCTAGAACTATCAGCTAGACAAATCTGGCGGCGCATACCAGACATAGTGTTGTATCTTGTGGCGCATTTTTGGAATCCACAATCAAGCTTTCCTTTTGGCAAGCCTGTGCGGCGTAAGAAGACGACACAAGGTTAATGCATTAAAAAAAATGCGATTGGGTAGCTGGGTGAAGACGAGGTATGAATCGAGAGAAATAATGTCTCGAGATCAAACAATCTGTTATACTTCATAAAAAGGATGAATGATTGTATACACGTCGTCGACCACAAGGGATAAAACGCGTGTTAGGTTAAAAAGGCGGCATCGCGTGGCAGAATAAACACGTGATTGTTTCCACATCAAACCTTCACACTCTCGACTTCTTTCAAACACCTTTTCGTTTGCCAATTGCAATATAGTCCTAAGTCTTAGCTTTGTTCTAATCTTCTGATATCCTAAGCTAGATACGATGGCCGAATCGACAACAGTGTCTAATATGGACCAATTTCCGACATCACAGTCTTCTTCGTCATACAGTCCGCTGTGTGTAGGTTACGACAAACTGTATGCTAAATCTTATCATTTTGACTTTCTCTTGGGCTCCAAAGCAGAAGATCGTTCCAGCTGGACTGTTAATTGGTTCATTGAGAGAAATATAATAGGAGAAATGAAAGAGCATGATAAAGCGTTACAGCTATCAAGTGCAAACATCATAACAGTCTCAAAACAGAGAACATCATACAGTTTCGAACGTATTCATGGACTGCGCCATACACTTCTTACATTACTCTCTTGCTTTGACCCATCCGTTAGCCATGACAAAAACTAATTTAGTATCATAATACACGGTCGATCAAGCCGCCGCCCCAAATTTGATGGACAAACTTTCCACATACACTATCTACAGGTCAAGCCAATTTTGGCGGAGATGCGTCGATTGTTATCAGACCGGAAGTCTTTGAGAAAGCTGCCCTTGATTGCCGTTGTGGCTAGTGGTAGCAATGACGTCTGATCTACTATTGACTTTAAAGAGTTCCAGTCTCTGGGTGGCTGGTCGAGAATACGGGCGTTCAACAAGTTGCCAGTCACGAATCTGATGTTGAGACGCTCGGGGGCTATTCGTAGTGAGTTTAATATAAGGAATGAATCTGTTGAAGGCCCAAAAATTGATTTCGTCGGCGATAAATCCACAGTTGGTGATTTCCTGGCAGATGCAGCTATGAAATCTCAGAAGGAATGATTCGTGGTAGGCGTTGAAAAGGATTTCAGTATTGAGGTAAGCAGTGGAGAAAGTTCCAACGAACAGGAAACATGGTATGTTCACACTAAGCTCGGCCAATTTAGTGGAGTGTTCAAGAGGGGTAAGCTAATACACTGTCACTAAATCTTCGAGGTTAACCCCCTCAACATCCCTTCTACTACACGATCCAGTCTCTCACATTCCAGATCGACTGTGGCAGAAAGCCCCGAAATATGAGAAACTTCTACTAGTTTTTGCTTTTGGGATCTTTCTCCCAAAAGGCCTCGACCAATTTACTCCGTCCCGAGTCCAGTCACACACCATCTACCAATCATCCTCGCTCCCTTTATCTCCAAGGAAGGGACCGGCCCAATTTCATCAACAGAATCATGCCAGATCTTCTTTCTGAGTACGTTCCTCTGGTGCCTTTCCGTGGTTCTGGCAACGGTTTTCGAATCTGGACTTCATTGGAAACAGCTCATCTTGGCGATATGGCAATGCAACTTCTCTCTGCCCAAAATCTAACTCGTCTCTGACTGATGACCCATTCAAAAGAACACATGAGAGATTATGTATCGATATCTGAAAGATACCGGCATACTTTATTTTCTTCAATATCGGGATGCCTTATAGGATATACTCGAATGGTGGAAGCTTGTTTCTTTTGTGATAAAGATTTATTAGTATTCGATCGCACTTGTGCCTCATATCTCGAATTATGCATAATTTGGCAAACAAACAACTATGTCTTGTGTCGAAAATCCAATATAAGTGATTGTGACAAGTAAGTTAATACTTCGTAGACACTATTTAGAGTACCAGATAACCATATGCTGACTAGGTACCAGTCTTCTAGTATCGTGGTTACCCGACTACTCTGATTTGAACCAACCCCCATCGAAACAGAGTTCATAATTCGACTCGCGGTGTCCGGGAAAACGTCATTTTAAAGTTCTACCTCACCAAAAGAAGCCTTTAATGAGCCAATAGCGAATATTCATCAACATCGAGCCTATTATTAAGCTTCCTCAGACCCAGAAAAATTTGGTGGGCCGGCGGCGATAGCATCTAATTTTCGTCGAAAGCCAGGAGAGAGTTCTATGCGTGCCAATCACTTTTGATCAATCTTTGTTTATGAGACATTCGGCAACATTGATTTATCATCAAGATCCCAAATGAGCAACACAGATGCTGTATGTCAACATGTTGTTGGCATATATATTTCGCTACTTCAATAAACGACAAAGTTCATTCACATTGATTGATTGTACAGAGAAATACTCAAAAGACAATAATAATAATAATAATAATGTCGTTTCCTTTGAAAGATAAAACGGCTTTGGTGGTAAGGATATATGGATCTCGTTATACTTGTAGTACTTACTGATCTCTATTCTCTTAGACTGGTGCATCCATGGGAATTGGAGAAGCGGTCGCAACACGACTTGCAAATGACGGAGCTAACGTTGTATTACTTTCTCGTAGTAAAGCAAGTCTCATTTTGCCGAAATCTTGGTAGAAATAAGCTAACGATTGCACCAGGACAAGTTGGACAAGATTAAAGAGAAGATTCTGTCAAAAACCCTTTCAACCAGAATTTCTGTTTTTGCAATTGACATTCAAAATTACAAAGATGTTGACAAAGCGGTTGAGTTTGCTGTGACTGAATTTGGATCAATCGATATTCTCATTAATAACGTAGGTGCTGCTCATAAGAGGTAAATCAGTTGCTAGAAAAATTAAATCAATGTTTACCCTGTGGCCAGGCCGGCCTAGCATTAGGAGCTCCCGCTGCATTCTGGGAGCTATCTATTGAGCTCATTGACCAAATGAACACAACCAATATTTCCGGCACAATGTATACCACGCACTCTGTCCTCAATCGAAGTATGATTCCCAACAGTAAAGGAACAATCCTAAACGTTTCATCAGTAACCGGTCTTGAAACACCTCCATTCTCGGGAGAAGCAGTGTATCATGCCAACAAGGCATGTATTGAAGCTTTCAGTAATAGTCTAAGAATGGAAACAGCTGGAACCAATATACGCGTCATGGTAATCCGACCTGGGGTTGTGAATACACATTTCCATCTTCAAAGAGTCAAATTTGATCAAAATGCCATGGATGAGTTCACATCTGGATATCCGCCACTTGTTGCGGAGGATATTGCGAATTCTGTGTCTTTCATGCTTGCGCAACCTGAGAGTACCACAATTAAAGCTTTGGATTGTGTTCCAACTGGTATGTTGTTGATACCAATTATCTTTTTCGACTGCTAACATATGGCTCTTGTGGCCCAGAGATCTCTGACTGACTTTGATCGCACATGGAATGAATGTAATAATGGATAATTCAGAGATAAGGGCGTTGAACTCCAAGAAATATTCACTCACATGGACTATCCTCCGCGAGGAGAGTTCTCTGCAACTCAAGCCTGAGAGGAAAACACAGTATCGACATACCAAAAGCTCAAAGCTAGGATAGATGATCTTAGACATAAGATAGAACAACTCGGTTTAGTAATGAAGCTACTCTTGTCCATCCTACTTTGCAGATGTTTGTGTTTCTTCTTGACGGCTGGTATAATTATAGGCTAACTTTCTATTGCCCCAAGAGATTGATCCATTGTATACTCTTTAGAAGTCTACGCTGAAATAGCGTGCAGAGCTTCTTCATATACAAAGACGAAAATATGTGGGTTCTATACCGATGTACAACGCATGGAACAAGAATCAAGATGAGAGAAAGAAAACGATAGGTTGCAGACATGTTGTCAGTAAAACTAAGAAAGAGCTGAACATTATCTGCAAACATTCCCTTTTCGATCCCTAAGTTCTATCTGTGAGGGGTAATGTACCAATTGCAATAGAATTCCCTGATAGAGGATCCGTATCAACTTTGAGATCCTCAGTTTTCTGACCTAAACCAAAAAGAAATCGCGGTAGGTTCTGGACCTCTGGCTTAAAGAAACCCCTTTAAATTACATCCACATATATCTTGATGGAACGCCGCTGCCTTTCCGGCCGCATGTTGTGAAGTACACTGCACAATCTATTAAGACTAGGCCAGAGCGCAAGCAGTAGGATCAGTATAGTGCCCAACACTGGTACCCAGCTCGCTCGTAGAAACTACGTAGCTTCCGGCTCTACTGGTATACACAATCTCACGGGAGTTGTAAATATGAAGACTCCCAGAAGTGCGCGTATACCGATCAGTTATACCACCGCATCCAGCGCCGTTTGTGGCGATGTCAGGGAGCTTGCCGCCGTTGATTGAGAGAATGGTTGAATAGCGTGTGGAGCCGCTGACGGTTCTTGTGCTTATCGCATACTTGAATGAGTAACTGAGGGGCTCAGTTAGTGGATGGATCGAGGGTTGATGAATGAGGCAAGGATGCCTACGAGCAAGATGTGTTGCTGATACATGCAGCTTTTAAAGTCGTTAATGGTGAAAAGAGTACTGGCAGGTTCTTGGATAGCAGCAGCCGATGCAGTGGCAACGCTGAGTGCATGAGAAGAAGTATTCTGCAGAAAAACGGCCCCATTTATACATTTGGACTACAAAGATATCTTTTAAAGCATTTCCTAGTAGCTCACAGGACGAGGTGAAACTCTATCCCTTCATATCATCACTTCAGACGACAAATACACAGATCTCGCCTCTTGTGCTCCATTCAGTAGGTCCTTCAAGATTAAATCTCGGAACCGAGTGCCATAGGAATAAGGTTCTTTTTAACTTACAAGAAACCCAAGAAACTGATTTTAACTTTCCAGTAGATGGGTCGTGCCTGTAATCTCCCATTGAGACGGATGAAATTGGATTCTTTACGTAACTTGGATGGAATGTATCCTCTCATTCAATGGGGAGAGGAAGAGACGTGGGGCAAAGATTAGATTAGATCTTCTGTCGCCAAGCCGACAATTTAACCTTATAATCTGATCTACTGTATACATGGATCAGGTTAAAGGCCAAAAGTGGAATTTAACCGGGGGAGTCCACTCAGGTATGATACCTCTGAAGACTGCCGCGACTAAATCAAGCGGGTGCTAGCTGTTGAGAGTGGGATTTCGCGAAGGGTCGAAGGTGCCAAATCACATACATGCAAGTATTGACTCAACTGGCCTAGAAAATTTACTTCCCAGCGGGGTTCATCCACCATCTATGTAGGCATTTACTGTACATATCCGTGTGTTGTACGTCCGTTGTCGACTTGCTTCATAATATCTTGGTATGTACTGTGAGAATTTGTAGATGTTTTGAAATCATGCCACAAGTTCTTGAATATCACAGACTTCGTTCCACAATTACTTTCTAGTTACTCTTTGTTGGTTTTGAATCAATAGTGCTATGGTGGATTATTCAGTTTATGTGTTACTTTGTTACTCGGGGTTGTTTTTTTGTATCTTTGAACGTTTTCTTTTTACGGATATCGGCATGTTTAGACTGAAGAAAAGTGGTCAAGTCTGGTGATTTGATTCTTCTATTATTATACCAGCCAAAAGTGTCTATTTGCATTAGCGTTTTGGTTCAGATATTTGCATATTGGCGGATGCCATTTTGTTATATGTCGTATATGTATATTGGAGAGTTAGTTCACCAACTAACCTCATGTCAGTTGTCAAGTAGAGCACAGACAGAAGGACCTATGGTGATTTGATTGCTCACATGTCTTGATTATGAATGTTATCGTGTAACACTCTTACTTGCCCGATATCGTATTGTTTGGTACCAGAATAGATTGTGGTGTTACTTTACCTCGTGAGAGCTTAGAAAGCATTCGTTTATTGACGGATGAGTATACTCGTACAATATTGTATAATGTTTTTATAGTCTCGTCTTATAGTAGGTCTCGTCACTGAAGAATACGAGGTGGTATTGTATGCGGGGTAATTAACAGGGGGGTGGTTAGGCTTGTCCGCCTGTACCCTGCCCCCCGTGTTGTAATCTTACACTATCAGACTGTGTAATCCAAAACGTTCCTGCTTTGGGAATTTTGGTGTCTAACTCCACCAGCTCCAAGTTGGTGACATCCGATCATACCTCGTACCACTGTCATATTCAATCATATTCGATCATGCAATTAAGGTATTTCTCTCACATCATTGTTCCTTCCCACTTATTACTCCGTTGTGTGCATGCTAATCATGTAGATCTTTTGGATGTGCGGTGAATACGAGATCCTTCCTTGGCGTCATCATCTCACCTCTACGCCTTCCCTACCTAGTTATCGATCTTTCCTCTGTCAAGAGACATACTACCTGACTACATAAAAGAAGTGCTCTTCCCATCAAAAAGTTATCTTCATTAACACCCATCTTTAACATTCCGTTCACTTCAACAGAATTAATTCCCACATCCAGGACTTGATCCTATTGATTCATTCGATCGATTCTAGATTGCATTCTTAGGAAAAAACGGTTTACACATTCAAACATCAAATTCAGGATGCGTACCTCATTTGTCCTCGCTGGCCTCCTGGCTGCAGCTACTCAAGTTACGGCACAATACACAAATCAATCCGCCCCATTTTACCTCGCACTTGTCTCCTCAGACGACAGCTTGAATGGCGCCACACTTTCGCCTTGTCATGAGGGTGCAGCTATCGAGGGACTTTGCCTTGGTCCTTCAATCTCTAGTCCAAACGCTACCTTTTCCACCTTCAATTTCAACACATCCTCCTTCGACAGCAGTTTCAATGCTACTATCGGCGAAACTGGTATTTTGACATGGCTGCTTCAAGGTGCAAATTTCAATCTTTCTTCGCCTTTTGGACTTTCATATAGCGCCACTAGCAACGTTGCGGTACCACTGTTCACTCCTGGCACGACTTCCACAACGAGTGTAGCGTTTGACGAGGACAATTTGTTGAATATTCAGGGTTATCAAGATGACACAGTATCACCAATTAGCTTTGGTACTGAAGCTTATTACAGGTGGTACATCTGTGAGACGTACTGGGGATACCACTACACCACTTTGGCTTGGGTTGTGGGCGAGGCCGATCCACAAAACCCAACTTGCGTGAAAGTTGATGTTAAAAGAGTTTTCACCGAGGCCAAGAGTTATGAATAGTCGGTAAATGGACTCCACTCCAGTGGATTGGTTGTGAGATTGTGGGATGATTGTATGGTTGTGTGGGCGTTCACCTAAAATTCAAATAATGGAGGAAACGAGGAGGAAACGAAGACATGAGATAAATTGATCACGAGGGCAGTAATGACTAATGGAAAATATAATTGTTTAATCCAATTTGATGTCCCCGTACTTCAGGAGTTCTTGTCAGTGATTATAATGATCTACTCTAAGCTTTGTAGTTCTGGCTTTTGCTCTCTCTTTTAGCATTTCATCGTTACCTATGTATCCATCTGAGTTCAAGATGATTTCGAAATTCTTCCTTGTGCAAATTTCTATTCTAGTGCTCTATCAATTTCCTTTCGTTATTCTACCTGTCAAATATTCCATGGGATAAATTTTTGTAATAACACGTGAAGGATGCAATACATCGCACATGAAATTGAAATCCTAGGCATCTGAGCTTGAAGTACTATCTTACTATCAAATATGAATTGGGAGAATAAAATATTACTAGATACGATGATTTTTTGTATGGTTTCAAGCCAATTTACAGTATGCATCGGTGATAAAAAGGACAGCGTCCAACACTCGTCTACAATATGCTTTTGCTTTTATTCATTGATCCAAACGATGTTCAAAGAAATATTTTGGCAACGCCTCCTTTGATTGCTGTCCAAGGACAGACAAAACATATCCGGAAACAAAAGATTGAAAAGCTAGTCCTTTCACCAATGCTACAATTTCAACTCTTTGTTGCAACACCACAAAAATGAAAAATTATATTAAAATCAAACGATAAATGTGCATCTTCAACTTCCTCGAAGTCCGAGATAGATATCAATCTCGAAACATGCAGCCAGCACCAATAGCCACCCATGAACATCAGCTGAAATTCGAGAGAGATGCTCAGAGACGTCCTTATACCGAATATGCTCGGAAATTCGGACCTAAATCTCCAGACAGAGCTCAGGGAAAGAGTTGGTTAACGCCGTTGGATCCTCTGTTCCCAGTAAGTTGGGAAAATGCAAGACCGGATGATCGGCACAATATAATCGGAGGGTATCAGAAACAGGAATTGCTTCTCTTCACCACGAGAGAATTGAAGGATTTAGATGCGGTTTGTGATAGACCTATGAGGGATAGTACGCTGTCTGGAGGGATTCTACCAATTTTGCAGAGGGATAGGTGGGAGGATAAGCCGAGTGATGCGTGGTTGAGGACAGATAGTGTCCCGATTGTGAGTTCTTCTTATTTTCGTTCTTCGAAAAGCTCGCTAGATATAATTCTTCTCGAATAGTGTCATGAATGATCATTGTTACTGATTCTTTCGAGCGATAGAGGCATGACCCTGATGGTGGAAAATGGCAATCGAGTAATGATAAAGTATGGGAAGTCCTCAAACCAATAGTCACACTTGCTTCGCAATTTATAACGTCTTCAAAAAGTTTACCATGGGTATGATCTATCCTTTCACCCTATGCCTTGCTTATAGCTAATCTAAATTGACCGCTTGACAGCTAGATGCTCTCCTCCTTGGACCCCGCGCTCCTGTCCATCCCGATAGATACCCACCAGGCGCAAAGATTCTCAAAGAATACCACACCTTTAGTCCTCGAGAAGGTCCATGGACTGTTGAACGCGAAAACGAAGTCGCGGCCGAAAGAGATCGGGTCTTTCGCGGATTGATGAATGAAATGGATTTTATGTGTTCGTATTTCTATAGCCATCAGAACGTGAGAGATAACGATCCACCCAACAATGATCCAACATACCCGGTCAAGAAATTTGGAGATGCGTTGGGAGTTTCAACAATCAATACTTGGGAAATGCTCGTCAAGAAGAAACCCGGTGCCAAGGTACTTAGTCCCCAGGATTTTGTTCACCTGCTTGACAGTACCCCATGTGCTCATCGACGGAATTAGCTAATTTTAATTGAACTAGTGGCGAGTTCAAATGTTTCTCAACGTCGAATCTTTGGAGCCTATCTTCTTCCAGTATAAAGACTTATCAGACTCCGAGTTGGCAGGTATCAGATATCGCTGTGCAAGTACCGTGAGTTCGTCTTAGAGTAAAAGGCTGCCTGCTCCTCATGAACTAATGTGTTTTCAGATTGCGCACGAACTTATGCATGCGATAGGCTATTATCAGTCTCTGCATCGTCTAGGTGTTCGTGTATTTACAAATAACAGAGAAGGATATTTTGGAACGGAGCAGAGCGCGGAGCTTGGCTGGAGCTGGCAATGGGCAGTAAGTCAATTTAGCACTTGATATCTTGTACTTTCTCTCCCCTCCAGATGATGATTCGAGTTGTTAACATGAAACTTTGAAATAATAGATTTTCGGAGGAATTGACCTCAAGAAACCCGTCAACCAGCGGTCCCGTCGTCTCCTGTGTCAATTTGCCGAAATGATGTACCCTTCTTTCACCACTAAACTTCACGGCTCCAAGAGTCAACCTACTCTCATAGAGCCTGCTATAAAAACACATGTCGATTTCTATCCCATCGGCGTCCAGTATTTAGAAGACGTTCACACTCAAGACTTTTGGGATCTGATGGTTCGCGGTTTTGGCGGAGGCATTCTGAAATACCGCGCGATCAAGGAAGGTACCAGAACCGTCTACCGTCCGGATTCTGGTGAAAGCGGTCGCCCTTTCCTCTATACTTCCAGGGATAGATTGGATCCTGTCGTCCATGATCCATATATCAACGATGATGCGATGATGTTGCAGGGTATATTGAACATACAATCGCAGATGGAGACTACGCCGATGGAGAGGCAAGTTTTGGACTTTACTGCAAAAATGGCTGAAACTGCGAAAACTGGGAAAGAATTTTGGGAAAGTATGGAATCCCAAGTTAAAGCCGTGGGGGAAATCATAGAGGTATTAGTGGAGAATAAGAATAACAATTTTGGCGGTGATGAGGGAGAAATGGAATTGATGAACACGGCAGTGAAGAATGTGGTGGAGTTGTTGGTTGTGGCTTCAACAAATCACGAAAAAATGGTGGGAATTACCTTGGAGAGAGAGAGGCAACGCGGAGGTTTGGAAGATATCACTTCCAAGCGTGCTCTGTTGGTTTGGAACAGGGGTGCGAGGGGATTTAATCGAGAAGTCATTGAAAAAATCGGAAAAAAGTCTAGGACTGGAGAACTGGCAATGCAATTGAATCGCTCCTATAACCGTCTGGAGCAATGCCAAGCATTATTTTTCATTCCAAGTAGAAGGGGATTCGCAAGTAATTATCCCACAGAACAGAAGGAGTTCGATATGCTCCTCGATGCGACCGCGGCGATGCATAATTTGAAAGATTACGACAAGGCGAGACAGTTGTGTTCTCAAATATCTTCAAATAAATACATTGGATCTTTTGCGAAGAGTGCGGCGTCAATGATGGTTGCAAATTGTGAAGCAGAGAAGGCAGGGGGTGTTGAGAAGTTGACAATACCAATTCGACATAAATGTTGGAGGTTACTCACTCAAGGCTTGGAGAGGCTGGTTTGGCTAGAACCAGAGATTGTCCAAGTCTCAGAAGGATGGAAGGAGCTATTCCGGGATTATATTGACTGGGGGAAGATAACGGAAGCGAAGTTGCGGATTGAAAAACAGGATATTTTGCCCCCGGGGTTTGAAGAGACGGGGGAAAGTTCACAGACAGCAAGTAGTCGTAGTGGGGGACAGCCTGCAAGAGCGAACACTCAAAAGAGGACGAGGGAAGATGTTAACGAGTTGGTTGACGAAGTGATGGAAGATGTGGTCTGTCCGGAACCCGGAGAATGGAAATCAATGCAGAGAATGAGAGCATTCAAGAAAATGAAGCGTGGGTCGAGGGATCCAGGTGATACCCCGCCGGAATGAGATAGAGGTGGTAATCGTTTCAGAAAAAGAAAGATACGCACCTCGACCCTTTAGAAAAAGGCTTGGACTCGAGATATTTCCTACTATATCTCTTTGTAGAGCTAGCAAACCTGCATACAAAGCCACCAGTGTCATTCACTAGGTATGATCAGACACTAATTGTCTCAATAAAATATGTATCCTTAATAGCTCTGCAATGACTTTCAGTAAGTGGCTAGAATAAGACCTACGATATACAATAGAAAATACAAAATAGAACTCTCATTGCTGCCCGCAAATCGTCAAACATGAAGCTTCTTTCCTCAGTCGCACTTGCCTAACACAAGACTCATATACCTGGCTGCACTTGCAAGTTGTACATCGTATGAGTTGCCTGACTAGCAATTATTGTTGCTCAATATTGCATCTCTACTCTGTAACTCCCGAGAAGGAAAGTGCCAGATGAAAACCACTAAAAGCAGACACCAAATATCGACTTTCCCTTCCTTCTATTGTACAAACAAACACTTCACCCAAAAGAAAATAGAACACTTCTCATTCTTGGTTACTATGATCGATATATCATTGCTTACCATTCAACAGTGATTATCAGGACTCAAATTAAACATCACTCGCAACAACAACGCACAAATCGAGCCCATACCATTTTGCTAGATCACGGCAACATTTTCTTCATCGATCCTCATCAATTACTTCACAAAAATATTGAGAGAAGTATTTTCGAAACAATGCCACATAGGGATATTGATTTCCTTGGTTCAGAAAGTAGCGATATCTCAAAAAGCACCAAATGCTTATCCAAAATGCTTATAGCTCCGCCATCGTCGCCCCAAACACCTGAGAAAAAGTGCAGATCTCCCAAGCGCAGCCTTGAAAAGTCTCCGTCACCTTCCTCGATTTCCAAACTCACCGAGGAATCATTTAGATACCTAGGCACTTCATATCTCTCAGCAGAAGAGAAAAAGGAAGCCCGGAACACTCCATCTCCACCAAAAAGACAACGAATGACATGGAATCTACTAGAAAGAAAGATAGATGCCAAGCTTAACATAACCGCGGACAAATCCATAGCTCCCGAGAATCCTCTATCAAGAAGGGAGAGGCGGGTTTTGGAGAAAAGACACAGACTAAAGCTAGCAATAAGGAGAAAAGAGGAGCCAGATGTCATTGCTTCCGCTCCATTGACAAGCCTTGCAGGCGAAACTTGTTGTGAAGATGAGTCCGCTGCGGAGAACAGAGGTATGGATGTGGACACTGGGAAGGTGGAAGAGAAATTGCCGTCTAGTTTGACTGAAGAAAGAAGGGAGGGGGAAGAAACAAAGGATGACCTTCCGGTCCTTGTCAAACTTTGCGAGGGCTTGGAAGTGAATCAAGCATCTCCAAGGATTGGACAAATGAAAGCAGGCAGTGGAATTGATAATCATTCGACTACTATTGGAACAGACTTGTTTGGTGGAAAGGAAAACATGGTTAAAGGCATAAAATTCGCTTCCCGAGGCCCAGAAAAGAGAGGGCAATGGGCCATTTCACACAAAAGAGGAGGTTCGGAAACTTATTTGAAGATTCTCAAGCTATTGTATGGCGAGGAAGAAACAGGAAATAAGAAGGAGATGAAAGAGTTAGCCCTCGTCATTGAGAGCGTAAAACGTATGTTTATGAGCGGAAAACTGGAAAGACAATTGCAGAAGATTGATGACAGAAATACGCGGGATAAAATGTATCTCAAGGCCTTGGCGTCTTTGGACGAAGAGACAGGAACAGAGTCTAACAACGGAACCGAAGACATGAGGCTCATAATTAAGATCTTTAAGTTTGTTCGAAGCGGACAATTGGCGAAGGACTTGCAAACATTAGGAGAAGTTTTCGAAGCGTGTCGGAAAGGCTTGGACCGGTTGATTAGAGAGGCAGAAGAGGCTCATGCGAGGAAAACTGAAGAAGAACAGTCTAGTTCGCTCACTTCGTTCAAGGTTCCTGCTTCTTCTGAAACTGACTGCCAAGGTGTTGTACCCTTTGCGAAGGAATCCGAAGCTATTGAAACAAATGACATACGAGACAATGATGTCCGAGGGGCTGAATCAATAGGAAACTCTTCGAAGAAAGTCTGTGAAGAGCCCGTTTGGGGAGCCATGAAGTCTCGATGGGGAGAAGATTTCCCATTGCCTGCAGATTTCGACGATGAAGCTGCTATGTTGCAACAAGCTTTTATTCAGTCAAACTATGACGAGTTTATAAGATTAAAGGGCTGCCATGGTACCTCTTGCTCAACCGCTCATGGAAACGAAATCGTCAACAAAAAACCCACTACCACCAGCATACAAAGCTTTGAGAAGATGAACGAAGAAAATATTGAGGAAATTAGCCCTGATGGCCAACAGGACGCTGATGATGAGACTTCTGATACATCCGAGTCTGGATCTGCCCACTACAGTACCGATAGCGGTGATGAAAAAAGCAAAGTCGACACTAACAAAACAAGCGGGACAGGAAATTTGCCTGAAATGAATGATATCTCAGTTGCATCGATTGAATGTGTAATAAAGGACCTTCTCATTGCTACTGCAGAGCAATTGAAGCAAAGTTTTACAAGTATGTTTCAGAAGAAGTGTTGTGAATCAACTGAGAACGAGTTCGACAATTCCATGGACGAAATGTTTATTGCTACTACTGCAGCCGTAGTCAGAAGATCATTCCAAATTTTGAAGTTGGACGCATTTGGGGAGGCATTGAAGAAAGCAACGGAAGAATTATTGGCAGAGGGCAAAATAAGAGGGCGTCGCTGTGTCACTTCGTCTGAATCCACAGCCTCTATCGAACAAAACATCTCTAAGAAATGGGCTGTCACATACCCAGAGGCCATTCCTATGCGTTCCTTTGAATTCACGAGAGCCATCGATATCCTCATCTCCCTCACAAGGTCTACTCCCTACAACCATGCTATCCTTGAAGACACCCCTGAATGTATGTACGATGCCTTAGTAGTCTACATACAATACTACTTGGACACTTGCACCCACAGAAAGTGCATAGAAATCGTTGAGGGACATTCTCTCGATCAACAGATCAAATGGATCAGAGAAATGCACTCTTTTGTTTATTGGTGGAAGGACGTGTGTGAGGAATTCAAAGGAATATGGGGAAAAGGAGTACTGAATAAGGAGGTTCTAAAGAGCTTTGATGTAAATGGAGGTAATTGGAATGACGAAGAGGCTGGAAGAGATTGAAATTTGTGTACGGGAACTCTGTGGAATTGGCAGTAGGATGACTGCTGCCACGGCTCTACTCTGAGATTGTTTTGAGGCTTATTAGAGAGTATCTTTATTGACGCAACACTTGTAGTTTTAATATTCAACGAGAAATGAAATATAATTTACCTTCACGTTTCTCGAGTTCCCATCTTCTGGTTGCTTTCAAAGAAATTTGCCTCAAGGTCAACGAGTTCAACTCCTGCTGTTCAGATAAAGTATCTCTTATTTCGATTTCGATCTGGCATGAGTTAAAAACGATCAGTACGCTTTGTTGTTTGTCGTTGGTTTGTGAGAAGAAAAACTGTTGATTAGAGTTCTAACTTTACAAACTTTATAAGGACTCGGAAATCTGTACAGTCACATGACTGACACGTGCTACAATGCTTTGATCGGTAGGTATCTTGATCGAAGCTCGGAAGCTCCTCCAGACAGGACAGGATCCAGCAACATATGATGTGATCACCTTGAGCATCTCAATATATGATCTATCCCTTATACATACTATTTTCCAATTACACTTCGGATCCCAGTCTCTATCCATTCCCTCGGAAGTCATTATCCCGATTTTCACAAACTCAAAAGGATTCAATCTCCAACCGAATATCCACAACACATCATAACACTCTTGCAAGCAAATCCAAGCATTCAAACATACCAAGGTATGATCTGCATCAAGTATCCAAGTATGCCTTCACCGCAAACCTCCTCACGCCAAGTTCCACACCGGCAATGGCGTACATGTCCGCATCTCCCCTGCTCGCTAACCTTACCCCGCATTCTACCTTAGCAACTCCTATGACAGGTAGACTATGATGATCATTCAGAACAAAGTCAATCCAAGGGAACACGAAGCGATGCACAGATGAGGGGGCATTGTAACGTCGTATGGTATCTATCGTGGACAATTAAGATAAGTGGATACTTCGGGTTTGTATAAACAAGTTTGAAAAAGATATGAAGGATGTCTATACCCCAGGAGTTTGGGGAATTTTATCTTCTGTTCGGAATCGAGTCTCTCGTTTCGAGGTTTCTTCACATCGAAACGTTAATCATGGGGGTTTTATCACAATGGAAGGCTTTACTCGTGAGCCTGGTAATGGTGGCAGATATCGGGGTTGGAAGTCAAATAGAGAAGGAATTTGATGTTTTTAAATACGTCGATCCATTCATCGGAACTGCAAAAGGAGGTATGTTCTGCTCATTTCCTGAAATGTGTTGAGATTTGTTACTGACATACTGGCAGGTCATGTGTTTCCTGGAGCCACTTTACCTTTTGGTAAGCTTTATTGACTCCTCTCTTGATGATTTGAGCTCATTAGTTTCAAGGTATGGCCAAAGCAGTTGCAGATGTGAACAATCCCGATGAAAAGCAAGGAGGTTTTGCCTCAGATAATTCCGATATCACAGGATTCTCTCATATGCATGATTCCGGCACGGGTGGTGTGAGTAACACTATTTCATGAAAAAATTACTTCTTGACTGACCCAAAACGCAAGTCACCATCACTTGGAAATTTTCCATTATTTCCACAAACAGGTTGTCCTGGAGATGTCTTGAATAATTGTTTCTTCACCAAAACCGATCGAGCATCGAGAAGAATTAATGGGACTGCTGAGGCTCATCCAGGATACTTTGCCGTTTCCTTAAATACTTCTATTCATACAGAAGCAACTGTCACAAATCATACCGCATTGTATCGATTTACTTTTCCTTCGAATTCTTCATCTAATGATTCATATTCCACCCAACAGGCCCCTCTACCTTACAGTCCACTTATCTTAGTAGATCTAACGGATTTGCCGGAGTCTCGTTCAAATGGTTCGGTCCAAGTCGATCCAGATACCGGAAGACTTTCTGGAACCGGAACATTCAATCCTTCATTTGGAATTGGAAGCTATGATTTACATTTTTGTGCCGATTTTAAAGGTGCAGAAATTCGAGACACGGGAGTTTTCATAAATAATCGTGCCGGAAGTGAACCCAAGAATCTCAGTGTTACACCCGATGGTATAAATTCACCTCCTCTTCCAGCAGGAGCCTGGACACAATTCAAAGCACCTGCAAACAACCAAATCCTTGCTCGAGTAGGAGTTTCGTTCATCAGCATCTCAAAAGCTTGTCAAAATGCCGAGAAGGAAATACCAGATTTTGATTTCGAGAAAGTGTTGACTGCTGCTGAAGACGCGTGGAGAGAAAAACTTTCGGTTATTAGTGTTGATGCCACAGGTGTTAGTGATGAACTCCAAACTGTTTTTTGGTCCGGCACTTATAGGGCCATGATTTCACCACAAGATTACACGGGGGAGAATCCATTGTGGGACAGCGATGAACCTTATTATGATTCTTATTATTGTATTTGGGATTCTTTTAGAAGTATTCATCCGTTGTTGACTTTCTTGGATCCATATAGTCAGACACAGATGGTGAGAAGTTTGATTGATGTTTATCGTCATGAAGGTACGTTTTCAAAAGTCTCCTGAGACTAAACTGTTCGCTAATAGTGTGCTAGGAAAGCTTCCGGACTGTCGAATGTCGCTTTGTAAAGGATTTACTCAAGGTGGTTCGAATGCAGATATTGTTTTAGCAGATTCTTATGTCAAGAATATCACTCAAGACGTGGACTGGGCAACAGGTTATGAAGCAGTGGTATCTGACGCTGAAGGTATGCTTGCCAAATTACATTTCATCATCACATCATTAACAAGATATAGATGAGCCAGCAGACTGGTCCATAGAAGGTCGAGGTGGCCTTACCAGCTGGAAAAATCTCGGTTATATCCCCACCGATGACTTCGATCCTTATGGAGTAGGACCTATGACCCGCTCCATCTCCCGAACAGTAGAGTACGCTTACAACGATTTCTGCATTGCCGAAATTGCCCAGGGACTCGGTCAAACCGGCGACGTAGAAAAATATCTCGGACGCGCTGAGAATTGGAAAAACATGTACAAAGCCGACCAAACATCTTTTGTCAACGGATCCACCGATGCACCCGACTCCATCGTCGACACCGGCTTCACTGGATTTCTCCAACCCCGCTATCTAAACGGAACATTCGGCTACCAAGATCCCACCCTCTGCTCCCCCCTCTACAACTTCACATCCTGCTACCTCAACCCCAACGGCCATGAAACCTACGAAGGTAGTTCCTGGATGTACACTTTTTTCGTCCCCCAAGACATGGCCTCCCTAATCACCACTCTCGGCGGCCCCTCCCTCTTCACCTCCCGTCTCTCCTATCTCCACACCTCCGGCCTCCTCTACATCGGCGACGAACAAGCCTTCCTCCCCGTCTTCCAATTCCACTATGCCGGCCGCCCCGGCCTGTCGGCCCACTTCTCCCACTTCTACATCCCCTCGCAATTCAATACCACGGTCGCCGGGATCGCCGGAAACGACGATTCCGGCGCCATGGGCTCCTTCACCACGCTTGCCATGATGGGACTCTGGCCCGTCTCGGGCCAAAACGTCTACCTCATCACCCCTCCCTATTTCCCAGAAGTAAGCGTCAGGAATGGACAATCGGGCAAAGTGGCCACGATTAGAAATATCAATTTCGATAGCGCCTACGAGAATATATATATTCAGAGCGCGACGCTGAATGGGGAGACGTGGACTAAGAATTGGGTGACGCATGATTTTTGGCTGGAGGGCGGCGTCTTGGAATTAACCCTGGGGAGGAATGAAAGTGTGTGGGGAACGAGGGATGAGGATTTACCGCCGAGTGCGTCGACGATGGAGTGGTAGGGTTGGATGAGGGGAGTGGGTAGTAATGATAATGATAGGCGAGGGAGGGAAACGGGAGATGGGTTGTTATTATTAATATGAATGAATGATTACGCGTGTATTGAATTTGGGTTGAAATACACTAGTAGCTAGGTAGCTTTCTGTTATGCTGCTAGTAATCCTTTTAAATAACAGAGGACACAGAAGATATGTAACAAACAACGCTAATTAAAGTATCTCAATATCGTCAAGAATTCCGCGTGCACTTCCATCCCATAGTCGTCTTTTTCATCAAACTCTATATAGGTTCGGAGTTTCACGTTTTCAAGATTTTGTCAAAATTCATATCTATATCATCTATCTAATCAAATATCATCCATATATAAATTCATTCCGTGATCTTCGGTCTTTTGAACCCTTGCCCCGTCGCTTTTCCATTGCCTCTTCCTCTTCCCATTCCCCTGCCTTTTCCTTTTCCTTTTCCTTTTCCTTTTCCTTTTCCTTTTCCTTTTCCTCTCTCCAAACCCACTGCTTTAGATTTAGAACCTATTGAACCCTCTCCCTTCTCCTCCTCCTCCTCATCATCATCACCATAATCGTCTGCTTCATTGTTATCTATTTCAGCATCCACATCCAAATCTTCATCTTCATCTTCACCCCCCTCATCCCCATCCACCTCCTCCACCACTCTTTTCCTTCCCTTTCCCTTCCCCATCCCCTTTTTACTCGCATCTCTTTTCGCTTGCGCCTCCACACTCAATTCATTCTTCTTCGCCCACTCCCTCGCATTATCCGCAAAGGTACCTCTATCCTTCAACGAATTCGCCGCTCCACCTTTCTTCTTCGCCTTTAATTTCCCCACCGCCTCTCTCATCCTCTTGCTCCCTTTTTCCCTAACCTCACCCCCACCACCTCCCACTCCCCCCACCCCAACACCACCCTCAAAGTATCTCGTAATATTACTCTGCGTCCCCTCCGTCTCCCGTCGATTCATATCCCTAATCACCGGCACCAAAATTTCATCCACCCGTTCTTGACTCCAACCCACCGTGGTCATCAAAAATTCTCTCAGTTGTCCTAGATCTGGAACTCCCCATTGGAAAGCCTCGGCCGTACTATCAACATCCGGTTTGAGATATGCTTCTGTAACCGCCTGACTCGGGAATGCGGGGGGTAGAAATAGTTTCGTCGCTTGTGAACGACGGAACTTTTTGCGGAAGAGTGTTGGTTCGCTTGCGAGTGGAGGGGTTGTGAGAGGATTTTGAACGAGGGACCACCATTCTTTGAATTCTTCAAGTCCGGCATGGGATGGAAATTCCGAGAGTATCTCCACGGCGGTGACGGGTCCGATACCGGGAATCCCTTCCGTGTAATCAGAACCTAGTAAATGAGCTATTGAAATGAGTTGATCCCTCGAAAGAGAAAGTTCTTTTTCCAGATCGGATGAGAGGTAACACTCCACGAGCTTATTGGAATTAAATAAGTTTTTATAAACTCTCGTCCCGCCAAAAAGAAAAATATCCGAATCATCAGTCACAATGCCATCTACAAGACCCAGACGGACAAGCTCAGCACATTGAGCTTCTGCTTCCATTGGTGCGGTGATGTAAGGAATACCGAAAAGACGGAGTAGAGTTTGACATTCTGTGATCGTGATATGAGATACCTCATCTGCATCTCTACGATCTTTCTTTTGTTGACTTCGCAATGCTTTGAGTTCTTGCTCGTATGAATCATGGTTTTCTTTTTCGGATTTGTTGTTTAGGGTACTGGCAAAGCGAGCATGTTCTTCTGCTTCGATGGCGAGTTGGGTCATTAGTTCTTCTTCTTCCGGATCGCTAAAATCGAATTCATCTGGAATCGCTTCAGCTTCTTGACGATCATATGCATCGTCAAAGGGTGGCTTGTCGGATGCAGTGGGTCCAGATGGCAAGGTAGATATAGCATCTGCCATTTGAACATCTTCAAACACTGGAGTCGGACTTTTTCTTGCAGAAGTTGATAGTTGTGTAGGTTCAGTTGCTTGAACATCAGGAAGATCCACATCTTCGAAAACAGGAGACGGTGATTTTGATTTCGAAGAAGACACATCTAGGCTCTCTTCAACGGGAGGTATGGATTCTGAAGCCTTATTAGACTTGGGAGCAACATCCCCATAATCGCTCTCCGACCACTCTACCGGTACATCAGACTCCTCTATCAAGCCAACCGGATCTTCCGCACGAGGTTCTGCCGATGGCCGTCGATCCCGAGGAACATCAGACAGCGGCGATTGAGCTTTAACAGCTTCCGCCAAATCATCCATACTATTCTCCGCAATATTAAGCGTGGGCGCTTTGTCCAAAACTTCCACATCACTATCATTATCATCATCAGAGTCTACATGAATAACCCCGTGATCACGTTGAAAAATCCTCTCGTCTTCTTCTGCTCTTTCGCGATCCTTCGCGTTCAATTCTTGATCTTTCTTGCGCTGCTGTTGTACTTGTGATCTAATATCATCATTGCCAATTAACCAAGGAGGTAATGGTTTCGCCTTTTCTTCTTCATCTTCTTTCTCGAAGCCACCAGCCAGTTCCTCTTCATCTTCCTCTAGTGGCTCTCCAGTTAACTCTTCTGGTTTCTTCTTGCCGAATAAAGATGATTTGAATTGAATACTCTCAAACGGTAATGGTCCATCGAAAGGATTCTTTTTGTTCACAACAACTGGTGCTGCTTGACGGACTTTTTCCGGTGCCTTTTGTGACCTTGCTTTCCTCAATGCGGATTGAAAATCCATATCACTATCACTATCACTATCCACCTTCTCAGTCTCTTCTTTCCGTTTCGGCACAGCAGCATTAGCTCTATTATTAACCATATGAGCAATCATTTTCCCACTAGACTTAGTGAGAGGTCTAGCATCTGCTACTGCTCTTTGCTCATATTCTGGCATTGGTACATCCTCAAATGCATCATCTTCTTCTTCTTCCGCTTCTTCCTGACCATAGCCTTTTTGGAGTGATAGTTCAATTGCTCGATTTATATGATCCTCCTCGTCAAGTCCTACATCCTCATCTTGATCTTTTTGTAATGACATAGCAATCGCGCAATTAATATCTTCATCCTCATCATCGTAAGTTGCATTCAAGGAGCTGGGTCCCGGTTGTTCGACTACATCATCCACGAAGAGCGAATCCGGATCCTCAGATGGCATTCGTGTAGGTTTTGAATTCGATTTTCTCCTCGAGTTGGAGTACTCTTTCCTTCTTTCAGCAACTTCTCTGGCTTGAAAATCACTATAAGTCATATTCCTCCCATCATCTTTGGCTTTCGGTAACCGATTTAATCCTTCAACAGGAACATCCTCGAAATCATCTTCCTCAGATTCAGACACCAAGTCCACCTTGTTATTTTTTCGATCATAATCATCAACATCAATCGGTTTATTCCTGTCCCCCACTCCCTTTTCCAAGGAGACCACACCTAAAGCCCAACCACCTTCAACACCATCATTCTTGACCAAAACGTATTCCCTTCCCCTCTCCCCTGCAATTCTACTTGTCCCATTAACCCCAAACATCTGCTCCTCCGCATTCATTCCATTCAAATTCATCAATCTCTGCGTCAACTCATTCCTCTCCCTAACCCTCTCAATTTGGAATTTCGAGAAAGCCATCCTATCCGGAAACATCTCTTCCAATTGTTCCTTACTCAACCCCATCCTCAATCTACTCCTCAACCTCGCCGCATTCAAAATATTATACCGATCTCCCGCTGGTAAACTCATAAAAAACTCCCCATTAAAATCGATCTTACTGAAATCATATAAATTCACATCTTCTCCATTATGAAACTGTCTCGCATATTCTTCCAATTCCTCTGCCGACATGATTCTCGGATCTTCCGGTCTACCCATTCCTTCTATGCCATTTGTCAATTCAGGTAAATGATATGCGTCCTTTTTGTAAAATTTCCGGGTCGTTTGGACTTGTTGCTCCGACATCCCTATCTCATCCACATATGCTAATTGTTCTTCCGGCACCACCTCTTCTTCTTCAACAGGTCTGCTTCGTCCTTCCCTTTCCCTCCTCTTCCTCTCACTATCTTCCTCCTCCGCCCTCCTCTTCATCTGTACCCCCAAAAGCCTCCCTGCAGTTCTAACAGCATCTTCCCTCCTCCCCTCTCTTCTTCTCTTCCTGCCCAATACCGTTTGTCGTTTCAATATGGGCGCGCCACCATCAAACACAAAAACAGGTTTAATGCCATGAAACAAAAGTTTGCATATCCTGCGGAAGAATCCCACGATATGCGAATTGCGGAGCGCATTTCCTTCTTTGTCGCGCACGGCTTTGAGGAATTGGTAGATCCAGATTGAGGCGTCGACGGCGAGTCGTTTGCGGTTGAGAGCTGGGAGGGGAGTGGGACGAGCGCAGGGTTGCACGATGGTCCAGAGGCCGGTGACCCCCATGGTGAGGGTGTTGAGTCTTTACCTTCGTAGAAACCCTGGATATCAGAATTGTGGTTCGCGGATCAAGAAATTCGTGTCGGCAACCCTAATGTAATGGTAAGAAATCAACAGTAATTGAAGTCAGGTAGAATGAACAAGAACTCTGAATCCTCAGCTACACCCTTATGTAATGGTATTATATTCATCCCATGTCAAAAAAGAGGGTTTCAAAATTCCAAGATTCTCATCTCTCAATACGAATTCAGCTAATAAACTTCACAAATCTTAAATCCCACATCCGACTTCTGCCTTCACTTCCCACCTCATTTCACCAAACGCTAACCGCGTAATGACGCATAGAGTCCACGTTCACACGTGACTATTACTCCAGCTTAAGGTTATCTTATCGCCAAACCCACCAAACTCATTCTCTACGATAGTAACCTTATGCATGCTTAAATCCCCTCCAAAACACCCCTCTCCCTCTCTCCTCACTCCACACTCCTCACTCCACATCCACCACCAAAGCCACAATCATGACATCTCTCGCGCCCACACCCTCCACAGAGATTTCCGAATCTCCCGCTCGAGAAGAAGCACGCGCCTATCTGCACAATCTGCTCTGCAAAACGCTACTCGTTCACACAACCGATCATCGCATGTTTCGGGGGGAATTCAAGTGTACCGATTCTGTATGTTTGCCTTTCTTTAAGATTTCTCAACCTCGCACAAATGTATACTCAAAGATACAAGATAAAGGAAGAAGAACCCCCAGAAGAGAAAGCTAACCCATTCCCCTCACCCCAGGACCTCAACGTAATCCTCTCCGAAACCTACGAATATCGCATTCCCCCCTCTCCCCCCACACCCACACCCACACCCACACCCACATCCACAACCTCCTCATCCACACAACCCCAAGATCCCACCTCCTCCGCCTCGCAGTCCCAACCTCAACCCCAACCCCTCCTAAACATCACCCCCCGCTGGCTCGGTCTCGTCGTCGTCCCCGGCGCCCACATCCTCCGCATCGAGCTCGAAGAATTCGAAAGCCAAACACGCGGTCGCAAATCCTAAAAACCCTAAAAACCCTATTAAGAAAAACCTAAACCCTAACATCTTCCCATCTACTCGCAGATGAACACAAGATGCGCTCTGGTCAAAGACAGCCACCTCCCGCTATACTCCAGTCAAGACAGGAATACTTTCTGGTTAAAGACAGCAGTACCATGGCATATCCCACATGTGATAGCGCATCGCTAGAGCTTGGTAGAGGTGGGTGCAGATGTATCAATACAAAGCAGACTACGATTATACAACGTCAAGCATAGCCAGCATTCAACTACCTGACTGATATGAAGTTTAATATCCATAAAGTGAGGAGAGAAGATGTGGTGGCGTTTAGACAAATGAGATGAATCTGGCTCGACATTGGTTATGTTTGGGAATAATCTACCACAGAGGGTCATCTTTGTTGAAGGATTGGAATAATTGTGTGGTGATATGGATGGCAGGGACAGCGGATCACTGTCTGGAAAAGCTTGAGTGTTAGGAGGTAGAATTAGTGACCATCTGAAGATCATGAGATGGGCATGGTGGATGAATCAAGATACCCAGAGAAGACAAATCTAGACAAGACAGCTAGGAGTTTCTCAAAAACAAAAATATCAACTCAAATGATAGAAGAATTCATTAAAAACTACAGATACAAAAGCCTCCAAGCCCATAATCGTGTTCCCACCCCATCCCCTCAAACCCTTTTTAGCTCCCCAGTTCACCAAACCCTCCTTTGCCGGTTTCAACACCCGTATTCTCAGATCGTATATGATCAATTACCACCCCGTTCTGATTCCAACATTATCATCATTAGAAAAAAAAGGAAAAATCATCGATCCATTCCGAGCAGAGCAGTAATAGCAGCTTTCGAAGCAAAGCTAAAGAAATCTTGGAAATACCCGCCACTAATTCAGTCCGTCCCTTTAACACCATCACAAGCTGATTATACCTAGACAATCTTCTCATTCAGCATCATTCTTTTCCTGAATTCAAAAGTTGTTCGACCATTATGCGAGCTCTTCTTGACGACCTCTTAATTCACCATTGGTGATGCTACCTTGATGAGAGTGAGCAATCTCTTCTTCCTCCTCCTCATCTTCGTATTCATCACCACCCTTGTGAGCTTCAGCTGGTATCCAAAGACCACTCTCATTATCATTCAAAGGTTGATCTTGGCCTGTAAGATCATGACCTTGAGCGTTACGTTGAATGTTGTTTCGTCTACGTTGAGACAAAGTACGAGCGCGAGTGGAAAGGTTGGAAGAGACAGCCGCATTGGAGTTGACCCAGTTGGTTAAGGAGTCCTCACAATCTTGGATGATGGCCTTGCTCGCTTCATATCCATCATATGCTTGTCGGGTCTCACCTGGTGTGACAGGGGTGTCATCAACAAGTTCCAAAAGATGTTTTCCGTAACCAGCGATGATAGCGACCTTTTCGCAATGTTCACGGAGAGCATCAAATTGGTAGGTGTAAGCAGCCTTGAGCTTCTCACGGGTGATGTTGGAAAGTTGAGCTTCAGCGACCAAAGATTCGGCCTCAGCACGAACCAATTCTTGCTCAAGAACGACAATTCTCGGAGATTCTGGCTCCTTGTATTTGAGTTGAGCGATTTGATCAGTAATCTTTTGCTTGCGATCTCTGCTTGGTTGAACGGAAGCTTCGATGTTTCTGATGCTCTTGATAGTAACACGATATTGGTCATAACGATCAACATATTGATCCTCAAGTTCACCAATTTCGTAGAGCAATACACCGAGCTTGTCGGTAACATCTGATACGTCTTCATCGCAAGCCTCACCCCAAATGGAGAGTTGTTGCTATGCTGTGTTAAATTGACGCATTTGAATATGATAAACAGAATGACTTACTGCTACCTCCATTCTCTCTCTTCCGACAAGTTCCATACTGCGCATGACATTCTTCTCCATCTTCACGAGTTGACCAAGCTTTTTGGAAAGCTCTGGTCCTCTAGTGTTGAGGGCAGAGTGTGTCTTGAGTCGCATAGCATGGCCTGAGTTTATGATTGTTAGCAAATCATCCCTTGAATGACACAGCGAATGTCGTTTTTCATAGCTGTCGCAATGAGAATTTAAATCAAGGTTCACGACAGCGACAGATATGATGATACCCGACACAGACACGCCCTATTTTGGTATATCCAGAACAGTGTGTTCATCATGTAATCATATCTGGAAGGGCTGTACAGAGCAACTCGATGTTCTGTCTTTCCCTTGTCCGTCCCTTTCCCTATGTACAGAAACTTGCGTGTACCCCACATCCATCATGTATAACATATCGCAAACGTCATAGAAGAAATGTACTGACCGAGACCGCTTCTGCCGAAGAACTTTCCAGATTTTGTACTCGAAGGTGGTGGAGGGGGGTTTTGAAGTTGCGAGGCCTGTGAAGAAGAAAGAAAGGAGACTCGTCAGTAAAAGTTCACATTAATCTTACGAAAAGATATGCCATCGCCAATCGAATTTGTCTGGTGGAACTTACAGTTGGAGCCCGCGATTGTCTCATAGAATATGTGCGATGCATTGTGAAGGCTGTCGGATTGATTTACTCAAAGGGTATCTTTGTTGTGCTGCGGGTCAAGGGCTCCTGTCGATTTGAAGCTTTGGATTAGGTGTATAGTAGACACAAAGGATTGTCTTGATTGATGATAGATTAACAAATTAACAAATTGATAAATTGATTGAAACGAGAAGGAAGCTTCGGGAGTGATAGATGGTTGTTGATATTGCTTTCTTGCGGATCTGGAGAGTTAAGTGGGACGGATACACTTTTAGTTCATGACGATCATACGAATCCTGGGTCATAGTTGAGAATGGTGGTGGTAGGTTGTAACAAGGAAATGACGTCAGTTGCTTACATACTCAATGGGGAAAAAAGGGTGATGTTCATGAGATGACCAATCACATGATTTGATTTGAAGTAGCCGGAAACATCAACAGGATTTTGATATGCAAGTACGAATGAATTCCAATGTGATCCATATCATCCATATCATATCACATACCGGTATTGGCTGTGTAAATTCGATGTCGGTTACCCAATGCACTTCTCTATGGATTCTCTACATACAAGACAAGTACCTAGCAGATAGCTTGATCTTCATCATGGTTATATATTAAAGAGATCTTCACTGTAACCTTATACTGCAAGTTCTTGATTGATATTAACCTATAACTTACAAAATGCTCCACCACCACCATCCATTGTTTCAATTGAGCATTCGTTCGCATATGCATGGAACATGTCAAAACGTTGATCAACATCACTTCAAATAAGGTTCACGAACATGAAAATCAAAGCACGACTGGACTTCAAAGCAAATTCATAGCAAATTCAAAGCGAAATTCAAAAAGCATCAATTGTCAACGTCAACGTCAACTTCAACTTCAACTTCAACATCAATACCCACGTCATTCTTTTCTTCATTCTTCAACCTACTTTACAAATAAATCAACACGGGAACTTTTCGGGAACGCTATCTATACCCGTTTCGTAAGCATCCAGTCCCGATTCCGTAGTTCTTCAAGAGATTCTAGTCTAGCGCCGGCAGCTATCGATTCTTACTATTACCTCAGTCCCCCCCTTTTTCATCATCCAAACCAAGGAACGGGGCTGTGTGGGCAAATGGATTTGAGTTTATCTATGCCTTGGCAGATCGTTGGGTGCTTGGTCTGGTCAAACCCAACACGCATGATCGTGATTTGTAGTCACGTGTCGCTTGTATTCTTGTTTCAATGATTTATCTTCCCTTTGTTTCTTCTTTTCCTTTCCTACATTCTAGACGTTCTTTCTTCGAATCTTCCCGTCTTTGTCTTTCTCGAACAATCATGTTGCTTTGATTGTCTAATGTTTCACTAATTGTACAAGTTTTTCAGAATTCATCCCTTGGGGACTTTTGGTCTGGATTTACAAGGAGACTCCTGGTGGTCATGATCAGTGGGATTAAGAAGTATCTATATTCTATCGAGTACCCTTATATCGAATGCTCTCGATGGGTAATGTTATATGCTAGGTAGGTAGCAAATAAATTCGAGCTTCTTGAGCAGATCAGTTTAATCTCTCCCAAACTCCTCGATATCTAGATTGGCAATAGAGATGGAAAATTGACCTTGTAATTTTTAGAAGTAGTTCTTTGACTGGCTACTAGGTACTTGACTTACCTGACGGAACATCAACTTAATGTTCGAGAAACCTCAAGAACAATCAGATCTCCTCAGCAAAGAGGCATGTCTTTGTCACTCACTGGATCTTGAATAAACGGAACTGAAACCTTCTACAACAGTCACAACAAAGAAAATACCAATCTTGACTTACCACCTGTAACCAGGTATGCAGACACCCAGAACAACTCCCTCCAATCCCCTATATAAACACCAACTTCATCCCCCAATCCATTCATCCCCGAGTCTATCGCAACCGCAAATCTACTTTCTTGAAACGAATCCAGACACGAACAGAAAGTAGTAATTAACCCACCCCAAAACCACCAACATGAAGTTCATAACTCTAACCCGTCTATCAACCCTCATCGCACTCACCACCGCAATCCAACTCCCAAACCATGAACCACACTGTTCTAACCATACCCATTCATCTCATAGTAATCATACTAGAGTTTCGACTTATACACCCATTCCAACTACCATGCTCACATTACCCGGTGGTGTATTTGTACAGACGACGATGCCAAGCGCTACTCAGACTGCAGATTGAGAATGGCTGGATATGACGCCGGTTGTGTGTACGAGAATGAGGGACAGATGTGTATGAATGGTGAGTGGTGAGTAGTGAGAGAAGAGAGTAGATCTTCTTGTTCTTGGGGTATAATAAGGTTTTCTTATTATCTCGAATTGTTGTTGGAATTTTTTTCCACTTTGAATTTCGAATCTTGAATCGTGCTTTTATATCGTGTCTTTGAGCTGTTAGATTATAATATCTATATCGTAGAGTGTTTACTAATTATATAATCTTACCTTTTATATAACCTATATTTCACATACTCATATGATACCTATTAGGTAGTACCATCCCATCCCTTCTAATAATATAAAATTTTATCAGTCTTTCTATTCATTACTTCATATCATCTACAACTTTAAGACGACACGTGATCATTTTACACATCTATCTCGTGTCGTACATATCAAATGGATATCCTCAGTATCTCACCCAACGTTATGATCTGAGTGAAAACCTTACTAGATTCTTCTTAACCATTTCCTCTTCATTTGAATCATTAACTTACCGTTTATCTCAACATATCTCATCTCCACATCTTCGCATTTTAGAAAAGCTCTTTAGACTTCCCCTTCCCTTCCCTTCACTACCTCTCCCAAACTCTCTGGATACATCATACAACAAGATTTTAAGACCGTGCGACAGCAAGCATGGCATGGATAACCGATACGAGCAAAAGATAACAGAATCAATCAATCGTGATCTACAACGCAGAGACTACTGGTACGAGATAAGAAGATGGGATGGGATTGAATTGAATTGAATTGAATTGAATCCTTTCTAATCTAATCCATGATCACGATTGAAATCCTCGAGTATGGATGCTCGTATAATCACAAAAATAACAAAATTTCTCTAGATGTTAACAATACATAGGTAATCAATTTCCCCGGTATATTGAGGAGCCACATTATTTCAGGTACTGTCACCCATCCTATCATTCAGCTACTCGACCTCGTCTGCATCCTCATCGTCGTTATTGACCAAAAGCTTGAATCTGGAAATCTGCAGATAAAAGGTCACTGACCATACGGAAATTGTCTTACTCATTGAGGAAGCTGATAGGTCAATTGAAAGTCATCAAAAGTCGTTGAGAGGTTGACTACATTGGATCTAATCCTGAATGGGAAGGTGCTCACCCCAATTGAATACCGATGATTAAGCTTTTGGTGGTGCTTGGCAGATGCACCTGCCGCATATGTTATAAAGCTTCAAAGTTACCCTGGTGTACCTTATTACATGGCTCGGATGGTACTCTTTGGTATCACATCGGCCTGCCATGGCGGGGCATGTCAATATCATCGTGAACGATCATTCGCTCAGACGAGATCTTCACCTGCAAGTACCAAGATTGTGCAGCCGACATACATGAGGGTTGCCAGGTACAAGGGGAAATTCGATGTTGTGTGATCCGAGGTGTTGATGGCAAAATAAAATTGACAGAGGTTGGGGAAAGTGTTGATAAAGAGCTGCATTTCCTGATCGTCAAGTTGGATCTGGTACCTCTTCACCTCCTTCTCGAGTCACCGCTTCTTCTCTCCTTCGTTTCCTCACCGTTTCCACTTTCTCCCTCTTCGTTTTTGAAGATTTAATCGATTGCCTGACAATTGATATCATCAAACCTCTTCGATCATGATGTATCCCAAAACCGCCATTTGTGCGGGTTTGCTTTCCCAAGCTCTCCCAGCATATGGTGCCGTCATGGAGAAATTGGCTGCAGCACCTAGCGGATGGACTGCGGCGTCGGAAACAGATTCAACTGCAGCCATCACCCTCACAGTCGGTCTCGCTATGCAGAACCTCGATCAATTGGAAGCCAAACTTCTTGCCGTTTCCACACCAGGAAACGCAGAGTATGGAAATCATCTCGATATTGATGAAGCCAATGCTTTGTTTGCCCCTTCTGCGGATGCAAGCAGCGCGGTGACTTCATGGTTGACAAGTGCTGGTGCTCAAAATATCGTGAGCGATGGATCGACCATTTCCTTTGCCACCACAATTGAGAAGGCCAATTCGATGCTTAACGCATCATTCAAAAGCTATACAAGCAATGGCGTAACGAAAGTTCGAACTACTCAATACTCCGTCCCGGATGATGTTGCCGAACACATCGAGCTCATCTCTCCAACAACTTACTTCGGAAAGACCGTCGCAAATGTGCCAACTAAAGTTACAAAGAGAACTACTTCACCTTCGAAAGTAACAGTTGATGCTGCTTGCTCAACGTCCATTACTCCTAAGTGTATCAAAGAATTATACAACATTGGAGATTATACCCCTTCAGTTTCATCCGGAAGCAGAATCGGATTCGGTAGTTTCCTCAACCAATCAGCTCTCTATAGCGATCTCTTCCAATATGAGAGCTACTTTGGTATTCCAGAACAGAACTTCACAGTTACTTTAATCAATGGAGCTACCAACGATCAAAATGCAGCTACTGCTTCAATTGACGAAGCAAATCTTGATGTCCAAAACATTATTGGTGTTGCTCATCCTTTACCTGTTCAAGAATTCATCACTGGGGGCTCCCCACCATTCATCCCCAACATTGATTTACCAACTCCAGCCAACAACTCCAATGAGCCATATTTGCCATATTATGAGTACTTGTTGTCTCAACCAAACTCCGCTTTACCACAAGTCATCTCAAACTCTTATGGTGATGATGAAGATGTATGTTTTCTCCAATTCTCTTCATCCTTGATGATCCATTGCTAACCCATTACTTAGACAGTTCCATATGCATACGCCGTACGAGTTTGCAACTTGATCGGTATCATGGGTCTCCGCGGTATCTCCGTTCTTGAATCCTCAGGAGACACCGGAGTAGGAGCCGGTTGTGTTGCAAATGATGGTCTCAACACTCCATACTTCCAACCTCAATTCCCTGGTACATGTCCATACATTACATCTGTAGGAGGTACTCAAGCCGTCGCTCCCGAAGTTGCTTGGGATGATGGTTCAGGAGGTTTCTCAAACTACTTCTCTACCGCTTGGTACCAAGTAGCTGCTGTGGATGAATACTTGAGCAAACATATTAGCCCAAGCACCAAGGAATACTATGAGAGGTATACAAACTTTTCAGGCAGAGGTTTCCCTGATATTTCAGCGCATAGTTTGACTCCTGAGTATGTTCTTATGCCCTATCAAATCTTGCTAAACATTTACTAACCCAAAACTAGTTACCAAGTCGTCTATGATGGTGAACTTTCCCCTTCAGGTGGTACTTCCGCCGCTGCTCCTGTTGTTGCCGGTATCCTCGGACTTCTTAACGACGCACGATTTAAAGCAGGAAAACCAGCTTTAGGATTTGTTAATCCGCTCCTTTATCTTCTCGGCAAAGGAGCTCTTAATGATATCACCGGAGGAGCTAGTGTAGGATGTAATGGTGTCAATGGACAGACTGGTAAGCCAGTACCTGGAGGAGCAGTTATTCCATATGCAAGTTGGAATGCGACAACAGGATGGGACCCAGTTACCGGATTGGGAACACCAAATTTTGAGAAATTGAAGAAACTCGTTTTGAGTTATTAGACTCGCTCCCGAGATGCTGGATCAGTGGATGATGAATTGAAGAGCTAGAGATGGAAGGGTTCAAAAGGGTTATAGAGGGATTTATACATAAATTACGTAGAAACGAATAATTGCAATAGTAAAGTAAATTGATAATTCTTAAAATGATGATCGCTGTCTATTGCATTACAATACATTGCATTGTATTACATTGCATTTCAACACATATACTCAATTTAATAACATGTTTCCAAAAAAAAAATAAGCGATTTTTTATACCTCATCAATTTTGAAATTTAACTTCAATCACTTCTAGACTTATCAATATATCTTCAAATTGAATAAACTCTTCAGAATAATTAATATCTTAATTAAACGAATCGATATATAGTTTTATAGATATATCGAAGGAATGATTGTGAAGTTAGAAATAGATAAATTAAAGATTCGATTTTTGAGACTGAAAATTAACATATTTCCAAACTATTTTCAATCGTTTTCGAACTTTCGCCTCGAAATTTCCAATTCAATTAAAAAAAGCATGAATTATTTGAAACTTAAATCAATAGTATAATCAATTATTCGCTATCATTTGATCAAACTTTCATTTGAATTGGATTTTATTTAGTGAAGTTATTATAAATTGAAATCAGAAAATATAATATTTAAGTATTTTTAATAAAGCACTGAAATTTAAGGTTTTGGAAATATGTTATTAAATTGGGTGTAGTTTTTTTTTGTAATCAGATACCCGATGTACGAGTATATGTGATTGTACATACCTACATGTACACACGGCATAGATAATTAGGTATTGGTATTGTAACTTGTAATTAGATACCTAGGTAGATAGCATCGTATAAAACTAACCACATCGAATCGAACCGCATCGAACCGGACCGCACCGCATCGCACCGCATCGGACCAGGTAGGAGGGGAGGGGTAGGGTAAAGAAGATACCCCCCTCTCACCCTGGGGTTTTCATGAAAGAAATTGGATTCTTGAGTTGTAGGTGTGATAGGTTACTTTATCTTAATTAGATTAGGTGATTAGGTGAAGTGGAAGTGGGTAGGTGAGAGGGGGAGAGGGGAGAGGGGGAGAGGGGGAGAGGGGGAGAGGGGGAGAGGGGAGAGGGGAGAAGGGAGAGGGGAGAGGGTGAGAGGGGGAGGGGAGAAGGGAGAGGGGAGAGGGGAGAGGGAGAGGGGAGAGGGGAGAGGGGAGAGGGAGAGGGGAGCGGGGAGAGGGGAGAGGGGAGAGGGGAGAGGGGAGAGGGAGAGGGGAGAGGGGAGAGGGGAGAGGGGGAGAGGGGAGAGGGGGAGTGAGTGAGAGGGGAGAAGGGGAGAGGGGGAGGGGAGAGGGAGATGTGAGGGGAGGCAGAGAGATGGATTACCCCGCATTAAGGTTAATTAATTATTAATAGGTATTAATAGGTAGGTAGGTAGGTAGGTAGCTGGAGGGTTGGTGTTGGTGTTATTATCTGATGGGATGGGATGAGATGGGATGGGATGGAATGGGATGGATGGGATTTTTTATCTAGATAGATAGTTTTTATAATTTATGAATGATTTGGAAATATTAAATGAATAAATAAATAGATAGATAGACAGATAGATATATGGAATTAAGGAATTGAATAATTGAATAATTGAATAACTGAATAATTGAATAACTGGACTGGGAATCACATTTATCATCTTATCTAGGTGAGAGGAAGAGGAGGGAAGATGAGAGGAGGGAGGAAGGGGGGTTGGCAGTTTAGGTATATTTGGGAACTTGTGGGTTTGGGTTTGGATGGATAAATGGATGGGAGGTGGTAGGTACCTAAGCAAAGCTAGCTGATATGCTTGTGGAATGAGATGAGAAATTGCTGGATAGATGGATATTAGCTAGGTATGTAGTAAGTACCTGGTATCGTTGCATAGATACGTAGGTAGGTAGATAACCTTAGATAAAATTATCAGACGCGTACGAATGATATGCGGATGGATATTATGTAGGTACCTACGATAGGTATGCAGGACCATCTATTCCATTCCAACCTATTCCGAGTATTCCAATTCATTCCGAATACTCCAATCCAGCCAGACTATGTAATAAAATACATGGGATCGATTCGCCACGCAAAATGGATCTGAACGGAAGAGAAAGCTCAATGGATTTTACTGCGAGACTGTGTTTCTTACCAGTACATTATATCTTATATCTTACGTCTTACATCATGACATCATATCATGAGATGAGATTGGGTAGTACGAATCACCCCGGAGGAAATTTTATATACAGCTAGGTTCCTAGCTGTAGTCGCAAACTCGCAGACAGCTAATCTAGCTGATAACTTTGTCAGCATATCTACGAGTAATCGGGATAATTGATTTAGAGTCGAGAAACTGAGGGTTCTCTAGGGGTTTGCAGCTAGCTAGGTAGGTAGGTACTGGTGAGCATGATAAGGAAGGTAGAAACGATAAATTTATCAGGGTTGACAATCTGAACTGTGAGATTTGGAGCTCGGGAATTGTGAATCGATTTGGAAGTTTGGATTTGCGGATTTAGTATGTTGTGGGAGTAGGGAGAAGGAGGTTTCTACTGGAGATGAGCTGAGAGGAAGGGGAGTATTGATGACGATGACGATAGATTGCATATTCGATATGTATGTACTGGGGTTATATGCAATGCAATGCATGAACTACGAGGTAGTATCTACCTACCCAGGTATCCAGATAGATTCGGAGTCGGAGTTTTCTGTTGGACACATCGTCTTGTTATGTCATGTGAGGAAAGAACTGTGTTACTTATTCTTTCCTTTCTCTTTCTTTCTTTCTTCCTTTCTTCATTGTTGTTGCTTGATTCTATCACGATTGCTCTTGTTTTTGCAATCTCAATTGCAATCGAGTGATTCTTTTCTATCCTAGAGTCTCAGACTCTAATTACCTAGGTAGTAATTAAGTAGAGAAACCGATCTCCCAAAGTGCAACTCTCAAACCATTCCCGGGATTGATAGAGTAACACCGCAAAAGATTTCTGTCTGGGAAACGAGCAAGATGTCGTTGAATATTAGACAAACAGTGGTTTTCCTTGTGTTCTTCGCATCGACAATTCTGGCAGGTCGCTTTTCGGATTTCTCCCATGCGAAGGGGTTTCATCCGGATTTGAAAGATAGGGTGGAGGGGAATAGGAAGAGGAATTATCCCGGGTATGGGCATGGGCATGGGAATGGGACGGAGGGGTTTAGGTTTCTGAATAAACATACAGAGGGTGAGTTTAAGTTGGGGTTTTGAGGGATTGGGAGAGGAATGGAGGAATTGAGAGGGGGGGAGGGGATATTGCATCGTGTTGTGAGATTCAGAGCTGACGAATGATCTTGCGTAGAATATCGAGTTAAATCTCTCCCTGATATCCCCTTTGATATCGGAGAAATGTATGCGGGATTAATGCCAATTGATATGAAAAATGAATCAAGAGGGCTTTATTTTGTCTTTGAACCCACGGTTGGAGAACCGGTTGACGAGGTTACTATTTGGTTGAATGGAGGGCCTGGTGAGTTATACTTGTAATTTACTTTGACATCTGGGATGGAAAACTGCAAGGAAGAAGCTAATGATCAAACTAGGCTGCAGTTCTTTAGAAGCCTTCTTTCAAGAAAATGGACGGTTTATTTGGAGTTGGGGAATGTATACTCCGCAGATTAATCCATATTCTTGGGTCAATCTTACGAATGTTCTTTGGTGAGTAGAATTACTGCTCTTACTGTATCCATCTGAGAGAAAACCATGACTGATAGTGAAAAGGGTCGAACAACCAGTTGGAACGGGATTCTCGATTGGTGAAGTAACTGCTACAACTGAAGAAGATATCGCAGAGGATTTTGTCAACTTTTTCTTGAATTTTCAAAAGACGTTTGGGATTAAGAATTTCAAGATTTATGTTACAGGAGAAAGTTATGCAGGAAGATATGTCCCGTATATATCTTTGGCTATGTTGGAGAGAAATGATACGGAGTATTTTGATGTTTCTGGTAAGGATTTTCAAGTCATCGAATGTCAAGTAATCCTATCACTAACATCAAATAGGAGCTTTAGCTTATGATCCCGTCATTGGCTCCTATGTATATGCCCAACAAGAAGCACCAGCCGTTCCATTCCTTCTCCAAAACAATAATATATTCGGACTAAACGCAAGCTTTGTAGCTCATTTAGAAGCACTTCATGAATCATGCGGCTATTCGGATTTCATATCACAATATTTAACATTTCCACCATCTGGTGTTCAACCCCCTAAGTACTTCGACTATAACAACGAAACTGATCTAGCGTGTGATCTTTGGGGTTCAATCTACTATGCAGCATACGGACCAAACCCGTGTTTCAATGTTTACGAAATCGTTACTCAGTGTCCTCTTCCATCCGATCCACTAGGTTATCCAACGGACTTACAGTATCTATATCCAGGATTCGATCAAATCTATTTCAACCGCACAGATGTGAAAAAAGCCATGCATGCACCCATGGAAATCGACTGGAGCGAATGTTCCGGCCCCGTATTCATCGGAGGAGACGACGGCGAAGGAGGACCCGAACAAGAAGGTGATCTCAGTGCAGATCCCATTCAATCCGTTCTCCCCCGCGTCATCGAAGCTACCAATCGTGTCCTCATCGCCAATGGAAATCTCGATTACGAAATCCTCACCAATGGCACACTTCTCGCGATTCAAAATATGACGTGGGGAGGAAAATTGGGGTTTCAAGAGAAACCGGCGAAACCGATTGTAATTACGTTGCCCGATTTGCAGTATGGGAATTTGTTTATTGACGAGGGATTTGGACCGGTAGATGAACCGCAGGGAACGATGGGAGTGCAGCATTTTGAACGCGGCTTGATGTGGGCGGAGACATTTCTGAGTGGACATATGCAGCCCCAGTTTCAGCCGAGGAGTAGTTATAGACATTTGCAGTGGGTTTTGGGGAGGATTGATGAATTGTAAATAGATATGTTCAATGAATAGGTGTGTGAGATGTTGAGATTGGTAGGTGTGAAGACTTGGGAATTGATGGATTTATATTGTATTGATGAGGAATGAGTGGTGAATGTGAAATCTTTTAATAGTGGTTTATTTATTTGTTAAAGGATCAGATACTAGTGGTTAGATTCTATATAATAAAAGCTGATGGTGTATATATTTGTATATATATATATATTAGAGAGTAATCGAAGTGCTCACTTGACCCTGCTAATCACAATAACTCAAACTCCAAACTCCAAACTTCAAAAGCTAACTGGATAATCGATGATGATGATGATGAGTAAGTTTTTCCTTCTTCTAATAATTAACTTAAGTCTTACGTATATTGTTTTATTAATAAGAGTAAAGATTTATAAGTTAATGTTTCAATCAGTTTCGATTGTTTCGATTAGGACGATATGTATATGAATTAATAAATGAATGAAAGAATGAATAAAAGGATACGAAAAGAGAGAAATAATGGATCTAATAATGAATATTAATATCTCTCATGCGATATCTGTACTCTTTTATTTTATATATTCTCCTAATCATTATTCTTGCTATCATCTCCCCATCTTTCACTTCCTCTTCCTCCTGCGTACATTCCATTCTCCATCCCCTCCGCATCCACAGTATACAGCGAAATTACGAAATTATTTCATCCTGCTCGATCGCATCGCAGCGCTCACAAAACTGATTCTCCCACGGTACGGTGTGTATGTATTCCATGTTATCATTGTTCAGCTCACAGTACAAATCTACATCCGTACTCCCATTTAACCGATTCATCTCCCATGTAATTCGTACAAACATTACAATCATTGATTCTTATCAAACCCTGCACCCCCAGCAGTAGTAAACTCCAATTCCTCTGTCAAATTCCCATACTGCGCAACCCAATAATCAACAAGATAATTCTGTCGTAGTTTCCACGGACCCCTGTCACCCGCCATGGGCATATATCCCTTTGCCTTTTCCACATACGTACTACTCAAATTCAACATGGGTTGAGAGTCCATTTTGTTGCCATGAACTTTCGGTACAGCTGATACTATATTGTTCTCTCGCATGTGTTTAAGCAATCGAACTAATACTCCCGCGGTGATATCGGCTCCCAATGTCCATGAGGCGTTTGTATACCCAGCCACTGTTACTGCGTTAGGCATGTCTTGAAGCATCATGCCTTTCCACAAGTATTTGGTAGAATATTCGTAGGGGACGCCGTCGATACTCACTTTGGCGCCACCGGCAAGTTGCATTTTAAGTCCAGTGGCTGTGATGATTATATCTGCATCGAGGCTTTTCCCTGATTCGAGATCAATACCAGATGATGTGACGGTTTTAATGGTATCAGTTACGACATCAGCTTTTCCCGAGTGAAGACATTTGAAGAAATCGCTGTCTGGGCAGACGCATAGACGTTGTTCCCAAGGATTGTATTTGGGGCTGAAATTAGGATCGATGGGCATGGTTGATGGAATTTCCTTCTTGGTTCTTGCTCGAAGGATTTTGCAAGCGGTGCTGGGGAACTGGCGACAGAAGTGGAAGAATAGTAAGGGGAGTACAAGGAATCTCCAACGGATCAATTGACTAGCCATCCAACTTGGAAGATATTTGCGCATGGAACTTCCAGTGGAATCTCTTGCGGGAACTCCTAGTATCCACGAGGGACTTCGTTGTAACATTGTTATTTTGGCTGCCTTGTCTGCCAGATTTGGTATCAGTGTAATTGCCGTAGCACCACTTCCAATAACGACTATTTTCTTGTCGGTGTAATCGAGATCTTGGGGCCAGAATTGAGGATGTATCCTCTTGCCCTTAAAGTTGTCTAGTCCAGGTATTTCGACTTTCAGTGGCTCGCTGTAGTCATAATAACCTGTACTCCAAACGATCCATCGTCCTTTTATAGTGCTCTTTCTTCCACCAGCATCAACTGCCAATGACCATTGTTGTTCTTCCGTTGACCAGTCTGCCGACGTAACATTATGGTGAAATTGTATCTTCTTATCAATACCATATTCCTCGGCAGATTCTCGAAAATATTTGCAGATTGATTCACCGTCAGCGATTGACTGGGAGCTCATCCATGGCCGCCATGGGAATCCAAATGTATGTAAATCTGAATCGGATCTGATACCAGGATATCGAAATAGATCCCACGTTCCGCCAATTGCTCCGCGATTCTCGAGTATAGTGTAGGTCAAGCCCGGAAGTTCTGTTTGGATACGACTGCAGAATGTTAGCTATCTCATTTGAGAATCTGGTACCCAAGCACTTGGATCGCTAAATAGAGTAATATGGATAAGAATTTAATGTCCAAGAATTAGGTCTTACTATGCAGCATTGATTCCCGATAAACCAGCACCAACGATAACAATGTCGTAATCGCAATTCCCAGATCTTTGGACAGAACCCATTATGCTTGTTTTTGTTATTGTAAGTATCTACAGTAAGGAGGTATACACAGTAGATGTTGATGCTATCAAAAGTAAAGCTCGGTAAGAGATACAGTGGCGGGGTCAGGAAAAATAAGGAATCCAGACGGAGGAATTGGAAGATATAAAAAGCGACAGAGGAGAGAACATTCGAAGTGAATGTAGGAAATAGATCAAAGATATACACCGAGGCTCAATATCTTAAATAGATGAAACATTTGAAAGGAAAGCGGTATAGGTAATGTGATATTTGCATTTGCCGTTGAGACATGCTCTCAATCTCAACAAATGATACCGAGGCCCATCCATTAGAGCATATGTCTCTCGCAAAACTAAACAGAAGCAAGCTTAGTTGGTGCTATTGGCGTCGGTGAGTATGGTGATGTGATCGGCATACGGACGGCTCGCAGATTCCTATACTCGTAGTCCGTGGGTAGTTATTATTGGCCTTCATGTTTGATCAGAGAGAGGTTTGAATGGTGATACATGGTGATTGATGGGGAAGATGATGGTGAGAGGTAAACTTAGCATGAATGAAGGGGCAAAATGGTTCCGAACCGAGAAGTTTTCAACGAATAGAATCAAACAGAATACGATTTGAGATTATCTAATCCACACGCCCTTGGGTGATTTTACATAATTAGGCCTTGTTTTTGAGCCATTCATCAAAATGTGTCTCGTACTTCGTAGATTTCGGTATCAAACACGTGATTTAGGGTGGTTCTTATCTTAATATTCAGACCCTCTTCGTCGATAGAACGTATTTCATTGAATTCTAAATAATATCTTGATCTTTTTTATGATAGTGTTGTAGCTTACTAATAATTGAATTTTTTTCGGCCAATCAGGAATCGGAGGGAACGTTTGTCTCCTCGAAAGTCTAAAAGTATTTAGTTATATTTTTGATAAGAAATTGAATCTATTTAGTAAGAGCTCTTTAATTATATATATTATCTTTTCAACTACAACTTATTAAAAAAAAAAATATTATTCGAAAAAGCTTAATTGATATTATTATATAAATCAGCTTTAAATTGATTGATCTTATAATTATTATGAAATTCAATTAAAAAAAATCTTTTTTAAATTAATTAAATTATTTTTAATAATTTTATTCTATTAATATTAATATTAAGAATAATATTATTCGAATTGTCTTATTAAACTAAATATACTACTAGTTCTTTTAATAACTCTAATAATATTAAAACTATATCATCAATAAAAATTTAATTACTCTTTAAATTTTAAAACCGTATACCTTAAATTTAAAGTATATAACTTCGAAATAAAAATAAATATTTAGACTTAAAAGCACCCAACCTCTTTAAAATCAATAATCCTAACTTTTTAAAAAGAATTGAAATATATAATAAAAATCAAATTAATTAAAAGATTTTTAGAATATATATATTATTATTAAAAATAATAATAATAATTGATTTTAAAAAGATTAAAAACTTAATTTAATAAAATATTAGTTTTTGAAAATCTATATTTTCGATATATATATAATTAAATAAAACTATAATAATAAAAATTATATCAAAATAATAAGAAAATTTATCTGTATATATTTATTATAGATTATAAGCTAGTATATAGGTATATAGTATATATATAGAATATAAGAGAGATTAGACTAGTATTAGTCTATTATAGGAAGCTGGCTCGTATTAACAACTAAATAGCTTTGAAATATGTGATTTTTATAAAATAGTATATAATATTCCTTATTTTTCTCTTTTTCTATATTCGAGGGGGAAAGGTCTTATTTTATACTTTTTCCTATTAATCTAGCTTTCCACCATCGTAGATCTCTTTCTTTTCCGATTATTTTATTAAATAAAGCTCTTCTTTCTTATTTCTTATTCGATTTCACTAGGGTTACGTTAACCTAGCTATATATGAGTTGAAAGAGCTAATAAAGAATCGGTTTTCCGGCCGTTCTAGGCTAAGGGCCTTAAGCGACGATCACGTGATATGATCATGTGATTGGATCATGTGACTTGGTCAGGTGATCCTGTGATTCGCTCCCAGTATACTATATGAATATAGAACTATATATATACTTATATATAAAAAGATATATTATTATATTATTTTTATATAAAAACAATAATATTAAATCTATATTAAATTGATACAATTGTTAAGTAATTTATAATTTATAATTGAAAAGTCGAAAAATAACGAATTATTGATTTTTATATCAAAGTTGAAACCAAATAGTTTCAGACTCTATAGTGAACCTTCGGGAGGCCCTGCCTCGAAATCAAGGCCAAAAAGCCTAAATTATGTAATCACCGTGTGGTCTGAGGATGAGATAAGGTGGTTCTTCCGCTGTGGGCAACGTCACCAGGAGTCAGTCCTTCTTATTCATGATTAAGATTTGAAGTGGACAACTCTTTTCGTCCCTCTCGCTACTTCCTCGATTGTTATACGAGTATACGAGTGGTAAATAAACTACGGCAAGGCATTTCGGAGTTTTAGATTGTCCACGTTTACCACGTCGACCTACATATACGATATTCCGAGAACAGAAAAGGGTTAGGGAGAAGATGGATCAGAATGATAAGAAAGTTCGGTCAAAAGCTTGACTGACCAACATAGTATTTCTTAAATAGGGAAGGAATGCGGAAGGAATGTGGAGGGAATGGATGAAGAAAGATAGAAGGGCTCGGAAGTTCTCATCGTCAAAAGTTTGACCAACTTGCTGTCCAAAGATAGAGAAATTCAGAGCGATAGGGGAGTCAAAGGCAACTTCGTTAGGTCATCTTTCTTTGAATAGGTTTCCTACTCGTAAACAGAGAAGGAACCACCCACTGCATTATGATAAAATTACTTGGTGAACCTCATCTTGACATCTCAAACACTCCGTCAACTCAGATAAATCACCCTTGTTTTATTTTGGCAATATCTTTTACTAGCACACAGACCCCAAAAAGACCTTTCATTCTGTACCATGGCATCGATAGCACCCAATCATGATGTCAACTGCACCCCTCTTACCTCCTTTGACAGAATGTTTTGCCTTCTTTACCCCGAACTCCGCCAGTATATCTTCGACTTGACCCGTTTCCACTGCCCGCCCCGAATGGTTCACTATGACGCTCGTAAGATATGGGGATCTTCACTTCCAGTCACACTTCTGCCCTTTGAAAGCAGAGGGCGTTTTCCTTGTCAGAATGAGGATACAATAGATCAACATAAATACACTATGATCCCTCGGGATCCCGATATTAGACGTCATCCCCCTTGTTTTCACGTCTGCCGCGCAGCTCGACAGCAATGTTACAGAACTTTTACTTGGTTAAGAAATGGTGTTTGGTTCGACTGTGATCGGGAAACTCTTTTTTATATATGATGCTTCACATCCTGAGGCGACTTTACCGGAGTTTCAATTGCTACCTTCGCCGCCTCCTGAGTGGGATGACGGAAAGCAGAATTGTAAAGAGCTGGATATTGGAAAGCTGAAGTACATTATTATAGATGAATCTACTGTGGGGAGGTTTATCACTAATGAAGATGGACCCGGCTTTCAGCATCTGTTTGAGGTGTTAATGAAGAAATTAATGGAAGTCCAAATTATACGTACTCCGACATTCCAAACACCATCATGGGGACCACCACTTCTGGCCATACCAATGCCAATTGAGAGAAATGATATGATTGTTACTGGTACAGTTATAAGGCTGACTGGAAATGATATTTGGTCAGATAAATTAGAGGGGGCCAATTGGTAACGGCTGTAGACGACTCGGTGAGGTGTCATCATAATGGCCCCAGGCATTTGAGAGTTCGGATATCAACCATCAACAGCGAAGTAATAGTTAAATCACGTCAATTATAACAGCGACTCTTTCGGAAAAGCAGTTCAATAATGTATTTCTAATTCTTCAATTTGTTTGAATCATTGAATCCATTCCGTCCCTCCCAAATGACAGCTTTATCCTGAGTATCAAATAACAGTCCAGTACTCGCAGCGTCTCAAACAGTAAATACTCTGGGATATAAGATGACCCACATTATCCATCACATTTTTGACGGCAGCATGGGCGGGGTGAAGCGACATAAAAAAAGAAATGTAATCTTACCTTGAATGAAATTGCGGGATCTTGTGACCAATGCAGTGCTTGTATAAGATGAAATTTGAATGAAAAGGGCAAAGGCAAAGGCAAAGGCAAAGGGTATAAAAGATACGGAAGGTCGGCCAGCTGAGGAGCTGGGTCATTAGAATCACAAATCAGGGGAGACTGGATGGCCTAAACATTCGAGGTATTGCAATCATTCTTTATGTGCTGAATCTTCGAGGCGTTAAGGAATCACTTTGGATTGTGTCATGCAGATTTGGGAATGTTTACGAAAAATGATGTTCATGTCAAGTATTTGTCAGTCAGTCAATACGCAAGGTCAAGTGTATTGAGAATATCGAACTTTTCATATTAGTTCAGAAGAATAACCTTTAATGAACTATTTACATGTCTTAAGACGAACCCGCAGTCCAGAGTTCGGGAGCCAAAGATTTTGGGAAGATATTAACTAATATATACAGGTCTTGGGTGCTTGAATCAATTTCCTCATATCTCAGCTAAGTGATCGTCGAGGACGAAAACTTAAGCGTGGTCAATTGGGGATGGACCAGCGTCAATTGGGTAGGAGAAGATGTTGTTGGGTCCCTCGGCCATCAATCCGTTTCCACCAGGTCTCATTTGGGATGCTGGAAGCAACAACTTCTTGTCAGAGGTAACCCACATAAGATCAGTCCAGATCAAAGCATCATCTTGAACAAGAATCGATGCGTATCCTTCAGGGGTGACCTTCCAGATCGCGAGCAAGTTGGTGTCGCTAACATAGACGTTTCCATCGCCATCGATGGTAGATCCACCGGTGCTTGGGGTCAAGGCGAAGGGCTCGGTGAGATCACCAAGGCTGGCAGCCATGGTGGCGTTGGTCAATGCGGCATCGACGTAGGCGGTCTCGATGCGGTAAAGTCCTCCGTTGCATGGTTGGTAGTAGAGGTAAACTCCGTCGGGGGAGACCTCAATCTGGTCGAGTCCAACGGCTAGTGTGCTACCTGCGGCACCGTACCCTGGAACAAGGGTGTGGTTGTACATCATAGGGAAGAAGGCAACGGCGGATGGATCATCAACGAGAACGCGGACTCCGTCTCCAGTGGTCATGTTCAAAACGACGAGAGCACCGGCAGTGTCACTGAGATAAGCGACCTCACCGCTGGCACTGAAACGAACATCATCAATACCGCTGTTGGAAGCAATGATGCTGTCGAGGTAGTAGATCTTGTCTACGGTATCGGTGGTAAGGTTGCATCCAACCAATTTGGTGGATCCGTTGACACCGCTTGAACCACCATCGACCAACCAGTAACGACCATCGGGTCCGATTCTGGCACCGTCGATGCTGACAAACTGGAGACTCGGATCAGAGCTGGGGTCGCTTGCGTTGTAAGAGTTCCAATAGACGTCGGGATACATGACAGTTGTGTTGTCGGCGAGGAGCTTTACAGTGATTGGTGGCAGAGTAGTAGAGTAACGCTGGGAAAGGAACTTGCGTCCATCGGCGGAGATGAAGATACCTTGGGTAGGTAACTCGAGCGAGTACTCAAGGGTGAGGCCTGGTGCAAGAGCTGCAGCCATAGGCACTGCTGAGAGGAGGGAAAGAGCAAGAGTAGACAACATGGTGAAATTGATGGAACTGATGTTGAGCTATTGAGACTTTGGATGCGTTGGAGCAGCTACTATATATACTTGACTTCACAATGATTCTGCTAGGATATGCTCCATGGTAGACGGGCAAGCCGCAAACGTCATCACAGTGCCCGGTCCAGTTTTTGTTTCTATGTGCAGGGGAACCTCTAGATTTCTCGGAGCTAATATCTTTAATTTAGCAGGTGCATCTGATACTCGTGTGGCGCTAGAACTTGCTCGATAACCCTCAATGCGCTAACAAATGCCATATGGTTGCAAACTAGAAAGAGATTACCCTTGTTCCTTGGCGTTCAAAACTTCGGAGTTGTGCGCTTTCTGGTGGTCCAGGTACGTGTTCTCGGTCCCGGTGCATAATCTTGATCATAAGCTGTGTTGATCGATCATTTGTTCTCCTTGAATAGGAAGTTCCAATTTCTTTAGCTACATTCCAAGTTGAGAAGTGACTGTCAATATCAGATGCACTTTCAAGTGTTTCTGCTAATCAGTTTCCTGTAAAAGTCTATGACCTTCTGTGAAGACTATGTCAGACTAGCTAACGTGAGCAAAGACTGCTGAGGAACTCTCAGAATAGTAAGCTAAGTACAGCCCCCACAATCAAACCAATCCGGTACTTCTCGGTGGCGTGGAGCTACATGGATACTGGAAGTATCTAGCCACAGGTACGTACCCCCAAGCCCTCCCAATATGAAAAAGTTTCTTCATGAAGGTGATTCAAGGGTTGTCGGAGGTGTGTTCATCCCAACAGAGGGCTTACCCCGAAGACCTCGGAAGAAACATTAGTGTCAAACTGGAGTCACGACCATAGTTTTGATAAGATTTGTGTGCTGTTACTTGATTGAATTTTCATCCCTAGTATTAAGTACCGGTACATGGTAATGCTTTAATGCTTCATGCTCACCCGGTCCCGAGGCTACTAGAAGCATAAATGAAGGTTATTTGCAAGCCCTGTCAGGCCCATTCTCCACCATAACTCAAATAATGAAGACAACCATTTAAATGGCTGAAGCAACAAGCCTATGCGTAGTCTAAAAACTGGAGTAGATACCATAACGAACGATTCTCCAAACGCAAAACATGTAGTATAGTAATCATGATGTTCTTCGGTCCCGAGTCGGTCCCGAAACTCTTGGTGGATTGGAAATCGCGCACAACCATGATAGAAGCGCCGGGCAGCGCAGTGTTGATGCTTGCTTGAAAGTAAAGGACAACTGTGCGGCGGTGACGATCATTGAAGGACGCGTAAAGGTATGGAGTTATCAGATCAAAATTTAGTCACAACCATCAGATACCTATTAAAGAGTATATATATTAGTATATTATATAGTGTTTCAAAGCTCTAATGAACGAACTAGGGGGGTAATACCGTATGAGTGATATATCGAAGAGATATCTCTTTTCTCTTGCAAAAGCCTTTAAACCACCCCTCAGAAAAGGTGAATAAGCTCTCGCATTCAGGATTAGCTTCTTTCCAAAGCCTCCTAGAATGATGTTCAAACCACTCCTGTCGAATAGGCTTGCCTAGAGCTCTAGCTTCCAAAAAGGATTTGTGTAATTGATCTTCAAGATCAGGCCAATGAGGCTTATAATGACGCTGTACCCCTCTAGCATCACGTTTAGAACCTAATATAGTATCTCTCTTATGTATCCAACCATTTATAGTACTCCTTGGGATCTTAAAGTATATAGACATCTCCTCTATTGTAGGGGGGCGATATCGACTAATTTGAAGTGTTTCCAGATCATATACAGGAATTCGATGACAATCATGAAACATGATGACCTTCCGTTTAGTCTCTGTAGTTCTATGCTGTACAGGACGATCCACTGGAGGTGGTAGAACCCATGTTTCTGCACGCTGTTCGAAGGTTTTGTTGTGTCTGCCCCTTTTCGAAGGGTTTGTTGATTTTGAGGGTGTAATAGTGATATTTGTATCAATTTCATCTATTATAGGCCTACTAGATGAGGAAGACATACTGAATAATACTTTATAGAATCAAGTGATAAAAAGTGGTTGATTTATTGATGTCAATTCGATATATCAAGCTGGGCCGGGGAAATGGCTGAAATGAGGAGTTGATAACCTTATCACGTGTTACTAAAATCAGAAAAGAGCCTCAAGCTAATTGGTTCTAAGTTGATGAACCTTGCTAGCGTTGTGCGAATTTTACAAATGAATACGGTTAGCTGAGGTAGTGCGGGAAAGTACCGCAGTCATCTGAAAGCGGCTAATAAGTTCTCTTGGAACTAAACTTAATAACTCACATCGAACCTAACCCTTCGTTAAATAGCCGTACATCCTCGCTTTCCTGAAAGTCTGAAAGTGATATAAGTTTGCATTGATTGTCAAATGCCCACCTTTTGTTAGAACAAACTTCCTTGATCTTACATGATTCGTAAAACCATCGAACCTCAATGCGACAATGGCACTGTTGCGTCTTTGATGGATCTAAATACCTTTGTCATGTTTGACCAATCTGTGCTCACTCTTCAGATGGAATGTGTCCAAGCACAGAATTCATCACAGTTCGATCATTCTCAGTCCACGCGTCCCCGTTGGTCTGTGGATCTTTGAACACTATCACGGATGTTACCCCAACTAGTCTTTCATTCGAAGAACATCTAAGCAAATCTATCTCATATCCTTAGGGAAAAGACAGGATACGACAGGGTGTCCAATAGTCCGGGTTGCAGTCCAATAATCAAGAACTTTGGAGTATTCAATCCCCGTCAAACAATGAAATAGTTTCACATGTTGAAATAGTCCCAATTGTTAGATTGATTTGAAAGAATAAATATATGAAATCGATGCTAGTACAGTATCTTCAAAATCACAAAACTCGAACCGTGAACTGGACTTGTAGTCCGGACTAGTAGAAACACTGGAATAGAAAGTTAGGTAGTCGTGGTAAAAGCCATCTATACACACTTCATTGATAGAGTTGCGATAACCTGTGCCTTATGGACTGAGGTAAGCTCGCAAGGTGTATTAGAATGTGTTTTCCGGAAAATTCGAGACAGCTGCAAATGGGTAATCTTGTCTCTACATAGGAGAAAAAAGAGGCCGATTTTGACCATATAAGTCGGTTACCCTACTTTCAGGCCAACAGGGTTTTAGGCCACCCTTTCACACCAAAAATCACTTTTTAGGCCTATTAATATCTCTATCAATATATAATATAATTCAATGAAAATTTGTATATATATAATTTAGATCGATTTAAGCTTATTCTGAAATTTTTAGATTTTTAGGATTTTTCTGTATTGAGAGCTAGAGCTTCAAAATATCGATTTTCAAATTTGTATGGGAATCACATACAAATTTAGAATTTTTATAAAACCTTTAATAACTTTTTAACAACAATTATTAAAAGAAAACTATATATATTTCTGAGATATTTGAGCTTGAATTTATATAGAAATTCAAAAAAAAATTCAAAAAAATTAACAAATATAAAGATATAGTATATAGTAAGTTTAAAGTAGTATAAATAATCCCTATCATTTTGAGAGTACTCCTTTAAATATTTATTTATGAGAATTTTTTTATTTTTTCTGAATCTATTATATGAAATATATTATAAAGTGATAGTGAAATTTTACAATATATTTTTAGCAATTTTTATTCGAAAATTATTAAAGATTTTATAAAAGTTTCAAATTTGTATGTGATTCCTATACAAATTTAAAAATCGATATTTTGAAGCTTTAGATCTCAATATAGAAAAATCCTAAAAATCTGAAAATTTCAGAATAAGTTTAAATCGATCTAAATTATATATATATAAATTTTTATGAAATTCTATCTATAAATGAGAGAGTTAAAATTTCCATTTTTGGTGTAAAAAGTGGCCCAAAAGGGGGGTGGCCAGAAAGTGGGGTATCCGACTTAAATCTTTAATGAAATCTCTGATTTAATTGAATTATAAATCAATCACAAATAAATCAAATAAATCTGAAAACATCAAATTACTTTTTATCTTTTATTAATATCGATTCTTATCAAAGTTTATATTTTATTTCAGATTTGAGGAGAAGAAGTTGGTTTATTGAAAGTATTAAAAAGTGATCAAACCCGGCCTCTTTTTTCTCCTACGTAGAGCTTGTTAACTTCGTTTCGGTAAAGCATTTTTCCATACAAGTATTTTTTCTATTCCGATGTTAAGCCATGACATCCTTAGCTCATGTACCCAGTGGTACGGAGTAGTGTCTCTAGAAATAGCTTCGGTATTTTGGGTGCCAATTCACTTCCTCGCCAGACAACGAAGGGGCTCGCTCGTCAATTCATGTTTCGTGCGTGAGTGTGAGTTAATAACAGCATCAAAATCATTTACAATGATGACTTTAACATCGAATCTGAAGTCATGAGCATTGCTATGAGCATCAGTTGAAAATGCTCTGGGTGGTGGCGAACCAATGAATGAAAGGAAAGTCTTCCGAGGTGGAGCTACCTTTGTTTGTCTACTAGGTCACGTGCCGATATTTCATCAAAGGTCAAATCCGAATTTCTAGCCTTTCAGTACATCACTCATCTGGAAGCATACTACGCTCGCTACGGCAATCGAATGAAGGATCAAAATTGGACTCGAATTCTCTACACTGTGAATATGTCCCGTGTGAGTCGGGATTTCATGATGTGGTCATGCCCAAGAAATCTGAACGCTTAGGCACAAACAATTCTACTCTATCGGCAAAGTTTCCCAGCTTCACCTCTCCACTATTTTCGGATTCTTTTGAAGAGTTCCTGACTATGTCGATAAGGTAAGTTAAGCTTATATCAAACACAGAAGATATTTTTCTTATCCTCAAAAATATCCACAATAATTCCTTATCGTTCGAAAGAGAAATGCGAGCAGGCAGGTTGTCCGCAATATCACATTATCAATGTTGCGTTTGTATCTAGATTTTCCAATATTTTGTGGAAACATTAAGTGATAGTGTAACAGTTGAAGATAAGTACCTTTCTATATTAACCTCTATTTCTTTCTCACATAGTTGTGTCTTGGGTCGTTCTCTTATTCTCTAATATTGAACCCCTCCATCAGTGTATTGTACTATTTTTCAATATACCTTCATAACCTCATAATTTCCTTGATCTCAAAGATATGACCATTTATTCCTCCTGCAAGCCATGGCTTGCCAAATGCTCAACGATGCCCCCAAAATACATACAAGCATCCATCATTATATCAATTGGTGGTATTCTATTTGGCCTTGATACGGGGACTATTGGTCCCCTAACAGTGATGCCTCAATTCGACGAAACTTTCGGCAAACTCTCATCAACAGTTGTGTGTAGCCCCCCTTCTCATTATTTCGCCTTCGCTTGTCTTGCCCAACTAAAACTAACGCAATCCGCCCTCTCCAGCATGGCCTCCTTGTCTCCACAATCCTCATACCCGCAGCTCTCTCCTCAATATTCACTGGTCATTTGGCCAATACTCTTGGTCGCTTATCAGCTACTGCAATCGGCTCCTTCATCTTTGGTATTGGTGCTGCTATTGAATGTAGTTCTTTCCACCTTCCTCAGATTTTCATCGGGCGCGCTGTTAAGGGTGTTGGCGAGGGCTTTTTCCTAAGCACATTAGTCGTCTACATTACCGAGATATCACCACCTTCCCAGAGAGGTACTTTGGCTAGTCTTCCTCAGCTCGTCACCACTATGGGGGTTCTGGTAGGATATTTTATGTGCTATGGTTCTGTTGGAATAGAATCAAGTTTGAGTTGGAGATTACCATTTGCGGTACAAGCGATTATCGCATTCTTGTTCACGGCCAGCACTATGCTGTTTCTACCGCAAAGTCCAAGATGGTTAGCGGCAAGAGGAAAATTTGAGGAAGCGGAGAGGGTATGGTCAGATTTGAACCTCCCAGAAAAAGAGAGAGAAAAGGTGGACGATGATGTAGATGATAATGAAAAGGCGGACCAAGAAGTAAAAGCGAAAGATATGCTTGCGATTTTTGCACCAGATGCTTGGAAGAGGACAGTTCTTGGGCTATTCTTGATGGGAATCCAGCAGGCGGCTGGTATTGATGGTGTCTTATATGTATGTCTCTCTAATCTATTCCACATTCTCACATCTCAAAACTGACAAAACCAGTACGCACCCCTCCTCTTCCAATCCGCCGGCTTAACTTCCTCAACGGCTTCTTTTCTCGCTTCGGGTATTTCCGCTCTCCTAATCTTCCTTACAACTATCCCAACCTTTATCCTCGCCGATAAATGGGGTCGCAGAACTAGCACCATCGTCGGTGGTGCTGGTCAATTCATTGTTATGTTTATCATCGCCTCTCTCTATGCTTCCGATTCAGTACATTCCTCCTATGGCGCCGGTCGCTGGGTCGTTATCATCTGCATCTACCTCTTCGCCATTATATTTTCCGCCACATGGGCCGTAACCTTTAGAGTATACGTAGCCGAGATTCAAAGTGCAAAAACCAGAGCCGGAGCAACGAGTTTGGGATTGAGTGCTAATTGGGTGGTGAATTGGATAATAGCATTTACGACGCCTATCTTTCTGTCAAAGAGCACGAGTGGATGTTATTGGTTGTGGGGAAGTGCTGCTTTGGTAACAGTCGTTGTGGCAGTGTTTTGGATGCCGGAGACGAGGGGGAAGAGTTTGGAGGAAATTGATGCTAGTTTTAGGAAAGGAAATAGGAAGGGTGCAGTCACGAGTGGTGGAGTGGTGGAATTGGGGCCCGTGGAGTATCTGGGAACACAAGATGAGGGGAGATTCGAAAAGGATGGCAAGCATGGTATGAAAGTTACTTCAAGGGTTGTGGTAGATACTCCAGCTTCGAGTTCTACTGTATCGCTATCGTGATTTGGTGTGGTATGACATTTCAAGAAGTGGACAGAGGATTTTATGGATGGCTTCCATGGTATATAGCCATGGTGCAGTGCACCAGGTTAACGAGTAATGACAACATAAATTAGATGGCTAAAAGGTATAGAGGATAGAATGGTAACGGGAAAGGATAGAATCAGGATAGAAACTAGAGCTTCAATGAACTGGTAATAATTATTTACAAATCGAAATTACATTCGATTTTCTTCGGTCAATCGTAAGTAGAGCTCGTGGTACTGCCATATGATAAATAGACTGATTTTTTTCTTCATGTTTTTAAATCTTACGAAAACGAATCTGAAACCGTATAAGGTTAAGCCCATCGAATCCAAAACACATCGGACCCTTTTGAGTCAAGACTATCCCTTGTTTTACATTTCCAGAAGGAAGAAGCGTAGAATATGTAGATACTTTATTCAATCTTACAATACACCTAATCGTACCTCCATTCAAATCTCATTCAATATTGAGGCAAGTATGTTTTGGATTTTGTAATTTTATTCGTTGTTAAGAAGGCCCTGATCACATGACCAAGTCTGACGCGTCAACGGTTCATCACACGCTCCACGACATTCCCTACATTTCACAGTACAAAGTCTCCCCGAACAGAGATCAAAAACGACGATCCAACAATTCGGACCGCCATGCCGTATTTTCAGATAGTGAAAAGCCTCGCAAGATGTTGTGTAATGACACACGTGCTCCAAGCTCCGAATGAAGAACTGGTGTTTGTCTAGTCTCAATATTCGACGATCATTCGATGATCAGAATCTCCTAAAATAGGTCTCCCTCAGCTGCATGTGCAATTGACATCATCTGCCCCTGATAGACTTGATTCTTATGGACCTGAGGTAAATCTTAATTTGGACATTGGCCATCCGACAGGATTGACACCGTTATCGATGTTCCTGTCGCAGTCGAAAGCATCAAGGTAAGACGGGCGATAACATGCACGAAGATAGGTGGAGATGAGTAGTGCGAATACAGTTGTGTCACTACCACAAATATTGGATAGGATGGCTAGTTGATCCAGATTTCCTATTAGGAAGTGACAATGGTACCGCGTGGATCTAGTTCATTTTGTATTTGCTTTTATATCAACATTTCTATTGCCGTGTCTTCAATGTCTTTTTGTTTTTGTTTTTCTATTCAACTGACTAAACACAACGTTAACGTCGACATTCATTTGGTTGTTTATATCTCTTTTCAAATTCATACCCGATTCGCTCACAGAATGAACTTTCATTAAATTCCAAAACATTCGAACCACCTTACAAATATGGGCGTCTATCATTTCTTTCTATTTCTGTCTTTAAATCTATTATTTAAGAGCGTGATTTCGATCCTCACCTCTACTACTACTATTCAGCTTGCGTCAGTCAAAGGCTCATTGGCTGTCTCCAGTCCGCTTGGGAAATTTAATAATATCACCACGACAAGTCATTCTTCTGCGCCATCATATTGGCTCGAGGAAATCGCTCATCAGGGACTTGCCTCTTTCAATTTTAACGACACCTCATATCAAGTATTCCGCAATGTGAAAGATTTTGGAGCCAAAGGTTGACATAATCATAATTTTATACCATTTATTAGTGCTTTCTAACATCGTCAAGGGGATGGTATAACAGATGATACTGCTGCAATCAACAAAGCCATCAGTTCCGGCGGAAGATGCAAACCTGGCGACTGTCAATCTACAACAACAACTCCTGCCACGGTATACTTCCCAGCTGGGACTTATATCATCTCATCTTCCATCGTTGATTACTACATCACTCAGATTATAGGTAATCCAAACCAACTCCCAGTAGTTAAGGCTACTGCAAATTTCACTGGATTGGGTTTGATTGACGGAGATACATATGGGGCCAATGGACTCAATTTTGGAGCCACAAATGTCTTCTATCGTCAGATTCGTAATCTGGTGTTGGATCTGACGGAAATCCCGTCTAATTCATCAGCCTATGGAATCCACTGGCCTACTGCACAAGCCACCAGTCTACAGAATATTGTATTTCAAATGAGCGATGCAATTGGAACTAAGCAGCAAGGCTTGTTCATCGAGGGAGGTACGTTGGCCACCTGGCGATTCTCACTTCTTATAGCCACCCACTTCCTTTATGTCATAACCCCAATGCTTAACGCTTACACATAATAGGCTCCGGTGGCTTCATGAATGATCTGATCTTTAATGGCGGCAAAACGGGGGCCGTATTTGGCAACCAGCAATTTACAGTTCGAAACTTAACCTTCAATAATGCTGTAACAGCCATTGACCAAATCTGGGACTGGGGATGGACATATATGGGAATCAATATCAACAATTGTACCACTGGATTGAATATGTCCTCAGGCGGATCATCAGACCAAGCTGTAGTGTCTGTCACACTGATTGACAGTAGCTTCAGAGATACTGACGTCGCCATCCTCACAGCTTACAATAATTCATCTTTGCCAGAGGCTGCAGGAAATCTTATTCTTGATAATATCCATTTGACGAATGTTTCAATTGCCATTCAGGAGTGGCAAAATACTGTTTTGGCTGGAACTAGCAACCAATCAATGATCATCAATGGATGGGGAGAAGGAAATCAATATACACCAAATAACTCAACCCGCTTTGAGGGATATATTGTTCCCTTTCCTCGCTCTGAGTCTCTTTCCCCCCGTGGAAAGTTCTACGCCCGTTCAAAACCTCAGTATGAAGACTATCCGCTTTCTGAGTTCGTTTCAGTCCGTACAGCGGGTGCTACTGGAGATGGGGTCACTGATGACACGGATGCATTGAACCATGTGTTTGCACTCGCGGCCATCGCCAATAAGATCGTTTATATCGATAGTGGAGTTTACCTCGTCACGTCGACTATTCATATTCCATCCCGTTCGAGGATTGTCGGTGAATCGTATCCAGTAATCATGGGATCGGGATCATTTTTCACAGATATTGTTCATCCTCAACCTGTTGTCCAAGTTGGCCTCCCCCTGGAGAGAGGTGTTGTTGAATGGTCGGATACGATTGTTTCGACACAAGGATATATGGGAGGAGCCATTTTGATTCAATGGAATCTAGCCAGTCCAGCGTGGTCTCCTTCCGGACTTTGGGATGTCCACACGCGTATTGGCGGATTCGTGGGTTCTGATCTCCAGTTGGACCGCTGCCCCGCTACCGCTAATAGTACTGAGATTGTTCTTGAGTGTAGAGCTGCGTTCATGTCAATGCACATCACCAAGTATGCATCCGGTCTTTACCTAGAAAACAACTGGTTTTGGGTTGCCGATCACGATATCGACGACCCTAATCTATCTCAAATCACAATTTATGCAGGCCGTGGGCTTTATTGCGAATCTAGAAAAGGAGCTATATGGCTTATTGGGACTGCTGTTGAGCATCATACTTTATATCAATATCAGTTTGATAGTACGAGAGATATTTTTGCAGGGCAGATTCAGACGGAAACTGCCTATTATCAACCGAACCCCGTTGCGATTTACCCCTTTCCAGCATTGGATGAATGGAATGATCCCGATTTCGCCAGCTCATGTGGAAATACAACGGGAGAGAACTGTGCAGAAGGATGGGGTCTACGAATCATTGACAGCGAGCATGTCTATGTATATGGCGCTGGAATGTACAGTTTCTTTGATAATTATAGTACTTGTAAGTTTTCTCCAATCTATCTCGATTGGCTACTTTACTAACATATCTGGACCAGCGTGTTCTGCCCAAGGAAATGGCGAGGCTTGTCAAGCTAGAATCTTCAGTCTGGAGGGGGACAGCTCGAAGATCGGTATTTACAACCTGAATACAGTAGGTATCACGAGTATGATCACTATTGATGGGATAGATATTGCGAATTATTCTGACAATATTGCGGGGTTTGTGGATCATGTTGCTTTATTTAAAAGCGAGGAATAATGTTTAGACAGTAGTATAGTAATAAAGATATATAGGGGTAGCGTTGTCATCAGATCTTCCGCTTCAAGGACCTCGGGAGTCATACCATGAAATAAAGAATAGAATTCACATTTTCTTTCCAATGAGCTATGTTCCGTACCCCTATGCTGTACGACTTCTATATATCACATGCCATTCTCAGGGGCATTCTCAAGATGATCGTACATGTAGAAAAACTCCGAAATAAAGCTAGTGTTCCAGATCAAGACTCAGTAGCTCATTTTAGTTAAACCCAAAAAAAAGAAACAAGGAAACAAACGATTATATCGTTTTGTTGCACATCTCACCAAACCTACTTTTTCAATTGTGTTCTCTAAAAGATAGTGTGAAACAAACTGCCAATCAACCTCCTCTAACATCAATCCACTTAACCCATTCATCGAAAAAAGCAAAAATTCCCCCTCCTCTCAACGAACAAAGCTCTAAAACTCATCTCGATCCTAATTTCCCATCCTCTCCAACATCGATTTCTTATTCCCTAGCTCCAACATCTAGGATACTAGTAAGCATCACCACAAAGCCTTACTCCTTGACTTAGGACACTGTTCGCCTCCTCCCTATCCCCTATCCTCACACTAACAAAGGAATATTCGAAAGGTCGTGACATCCTCTGCACGTTCGCCCACAATTGCAAAAGCCGAATTTGGTTCTTTGTTCGTCGCATCGATTTTCTGGTCTCGCATCTTGTATTTCGAAAATTATATGACAAAGAAAAAGTAGTTTACCGGCAATTGTCCCCGCGTTCCGGACCGATTTGCAGATATGCAACAGTTGGGTATCTTCGGAAATCAGAGAGGGGGGTGGCGAATCTGTTTCAAGAAATTGTTTGATCAAAGGGGGGATTGGGTCTGGAATTGGATAGGAGAGGAGACGCGAGGAGCGGAGTGGACAAGAGGGATATGCAAACTGATTCTTTCGGACGAAAATGAAATAAACTACTGTGAAAACTCCCGCCTGATCCCGCTAATTTTTGAATGACTTGAATGAATAGATGAATGCTGAACGCCACTAATGCACAGATATCTCCCCTCTGTCTAGCTGCGCATCCCAATATACATACTCCGCTCCACACACATCTGTACAATCTCCCCTCCATATAGACAAAAATATGTAAGGTGGGGTACCCCTCATAAACACAACTCTCAGCACAAATGCCACCGATCTAAGGCGTCTGCACATATTCATGCGTTTCCGCCCTCAAAGCCGCAATGCCGTTTTCCTTCCCACTGCTACCAGCCACAGCCCCAAGCGTATCCCTCGTATCGACCTCTCCTCCCCAGCTTGAAAATCGTACATGTTTTCCCCTCCATGCTCTTTTTGCTTTCGTGCCTTCCTTTCCTTTTCCTTTCGCATTTTCTAGAGTTTCGTTCTCGATGCCAGTCCCGGGAAGAGTTAATGTGTTATTCATACCTAGCGGCATAGTCATTGGGCCCTGTCCGTTCACCCCCAAAGCCAAACCCCCCAATCTAACCCCCTCCCCGATATTCTCGCCCTCCTCCTCTTCCTCCCTAATCGGATCGTAACTCCAAGCTCTCGCTCTCCCACTCCTCGAATTTCCCATCCCCCTCGCATTCCGCGCGCTCTTCATTCTCCTCCCAAATCCATCTTTTGCGCCCACAAATCCCGGATCGCCTTGTAGTAATTTCCTCTTTCTGTATTCTTTCCTGAGTATCCAGACTAGCATTCCTAATATCGATGCCGTGATGAGGAGTACGAAAGCATTAACTCCAATAGCTACTTTCCATGACGTGGGAATGTGAGGACCGGATGGGGGATCCGAGTCGTATTTAGCATGGTGGAATGAATGCGTATTGCTGTGGTATTCATAGTCGCGGAGTTCGAGGCTTTGAGGGGAGGATGATGAGGGGACATTGCAGTTTGATATGCAGATTGGTGGGGATTGGGGGTTCGATTTAATTCTGCGAGATACACAATTAGCAATTTGTTATTGAGGTAGGTTGAGATATATATGTTGTCGAATCTAGGAAATTGGCACATACTCATTGATATCAACATTTCTATCAGCAGAAGCTGGAGTTGAAATTACAGCTGCCCAGCTCACCGCCGGCAACAAAAGAAAGGAGAGATGGTATTCCATGTTAATTAGGTATATCTGCACTTTTCGTGCGCACGCAACAGCTTTTCCACGGAAACAAATAAACGAACAAAAAAAATAGTTCACTCTATAAACAATCGAAGAGCACCTGCAAGAATTGGTCAAAAAGAATGAAACTGGAGTAAAAATTAAGGAAAGGAATCGTATTAATGAGAGTGAATACCGAACAATGCGGCGTTGGTAAATGAATGACAAAGATAGATGATGATGGCGGTGAATTGCTAATCAACCAATATATCAATCAATATCATACAGAAGGGTGACTAGACATTGAAAGACAGACAATAATCAAAATACCAGATGTTTATTGGTACCAAGAAAAAACATCACAAGCATTGACAGCAGCAGGTAAGACATTATTAATATTCGGACCCCAAGTATGCCTACCTTACCGTTCTTAAAAGGCAAACTACCTTTCGATCATTAGATTGACAGAAAATATGGAAACGAGAATTAGAAATTGATGTGTGCAATAGTGCTACTGTAGTAAATGAGGTTAAAATTGAGGATCTATGCAGCGGCACTTTTTTCCAAACAGTCGATCTCCATGTCAAAAATGAAGGGAATCTATTGGTTATCTAGCCGCAAATAAGATAAGAATTGTGGCTATGAGGCAAGTGAAGTGGAAGAGATTTGATTAGATTCGTTCGCTTATCCGGGACCTAGCTTGGTGGATCAGGACTGTACCTGAACAAAAGCTTGGCCTTGAGAAAAAGGGGTATAGACACTGGATAATAATTATATGCATATTGAGATCCATGCTTAAACGCTCTGCTCCGCCGTGTGACAGGATCCTTCATAGATCCTCTTGGTTTGCAATTCAAAATAGATACTGAAACACATGTGGTTGAAAATTCTACAGAAATACCTTTTTGCGTTCATGTTAAATTGTGGTTCAATTTGAGCGTCGCGAAAATCACAGACCAAGCGGCGGTGTTGATCGATTGGCCCACTCATTCATCCATGGTGGAACATCGAATTGGAAATGGAAATTGAAAGTCTAAATAATCCGTATTTCAGGGGTTGAGGTTGATAAATGCCTTGGAAGTTTTCCCGCCGTGCGAGGCGGATACTCGTATAACAACTCAAAGTGCGTGAAAATACAAACGGAGACTCTTTTCTTTTCTAGAAGTCATGGAAGCAGCTTTCCATAAGGGTGTGAAGTTATAATCAAATTGTGGAGCAGAGAACCATAGTTACATGTCCCAGAAATTGCCCATACTATGCATACATGGTATAATTTCGTGCAAAATAATGCGAAAAAAGAAAGCATTTATATGTCATCCTCGGTAATCGGCTTCTTCGGCTTGAAAAATCGTCCCCCCTTAGTTCTCTTCTCAGGCTTGAATATTCTCTTCGAATCTCTACTTTCCTCAAGACCTTCCATACCATCACGACCCATGATAATATTAAACTTATTCTTCTTCTTCTTTGCCGCTGATTTACTGAGGACCTTTCCTGGTTTGGATCCCTTACTGTTGACTACACCTTCTCCTCCCCTTCCTAATCTAGGCTGCCGGGGAACTCTCGTTTTAGCACCAAGTGCCCAAAGATCTCCCCATTTGGATTTCCTAGCATCGCGGTACGCTACTTTACTAAAACTTTTAGGGATTGTCCATCGTTCCAACTTACCCGATGGTGTACAAACATCCAAGGTGACATGTCCACGACGTTTGAGAGGTGGGAGCATAGATCTTGGGAGTGATAATGGATGGAATGGTATATCACCCTCTTCAGGCATTTCTGGGCCATCCGGTAAATTATGCTCTTCATAGCCAGCAAATGATTGGTCAGTGGCAGCATCTCCTTGTAGAATAGCTTCTTCTTTCCTAGCGTCAATGCCTCTTCGTACCGCCAGGTAAGTGTATCTAACATCTTCGTGATTGCGAGAAGAAGCACCTAAAATCTTCTGTAGATAAGGTGGTCGGAGATATCGCTGTTCGAAATGACAAAAATCCTTTCTACCCGGGGTAAGACCTGGGACTGGATACATTGGACACTTAGTATGATTAGTACACGGTGCAATGATCATACCCTCTTCTTTCTCCGCAAAACGTGATTCGTTGTCTGAAAGAGATTGAAGTTCTTTTTCGACGCTTTCGTCACCAGGCGAAGAAATATGTGAGTCGAGCAGAAGAGACCGAGCGCCTGCTATAGCCTCAAATCCACGTGGTAAGCCCTTTTCTATCAGGATAAGTACACCTCCTTTGGGATCAAGCATTGACCAGAGGTTCTGTACCATGTGTTTCCGGCGAAAATCTTCCTTCAGTGGGAATAAGGTATGCGGGGCGATAATCAAATCATACATTTTCCTAGGTTGTGCGGGTCCACCATCAAGTTGAGCCTCGCCACTGGATGAATGGACATAATCAGGAAGTCTTGGAAGAAAGGTAGTGTTGTCGAGAAATCGTGAAATTCGGTGTCGCAATGTATCTGCTCCAGTGAGAACCGTGTGTTTCCCAGATGGAGGTACGTCTCCTTCGACAATACCATCGTCTTTCAATACATCCCATTCGGCTCGTAAGATTTCCTGCCATGCTACAATACCAGCCCCACCAGCACCTGCATCGAGAATTCGTGGACCTTGGCCACCCTCCCTGAACAACATCTCACGAATCCATTCGGACCCTAATCGTTTGCGTACCTCAACCAGCGTACTCATAACAGAAGTATAAGTACCTGACATTACACCAGCCAAATATGCATCTGCTTCAATTTCGCTCATCCTGTGTTGTGAAGCATCAAGTCCAACGTGTTTTTGTGGTAAAAGCTTAAGCTTTCCTACGTTTGGAGTAGAAGAAGAATATGGTAACCACTTTCCACCAAATGCTTTCTGTGCAGCCTCGGTAACATGTTTCATGCTTGTTCTCTCTAGCAGTTCGGTAATTGGTGTAACAAATTGTTCTTTCGGCAGTGATATAGTACTTGGGGATGTGCCAAATCTAGCGGTCCTAGTATGCGGATGTGTACGAACTTCGTCCGAGCTAAGATATGAGTCGTATTCGTCTTCCTCAAATTCTTCGGGATCCTCAAATAGTTCTTCTTCAGATTCTTCCGACGATTCTTCCTCCTCGTAGTCCTCGTCAAAAACAGTATCTTCTTGCTCTGCTGCTCGTGCCATTGCTTCGTCCATATCGCGTTGTAGCCGTGCGATAGCATCTACCTCTCTTTGGTTTTGAGCTTGAAATGTTAAATTAGTAGAATCCGTTCCCGCAGAAGCCTCTGTTGCCATTGATATTTCCTCGCCTTCCAATTCCATATCAGGTTCGCTTTCTTCCTCAACTCCCATTTCTCCAGCCTCACTGGCAGAAGCAAACCCGTCAGTGCCATCTTCTACAACCTTAAACCCCAGCTCTGGATCGAATTCAATCTCTTCAAATTCACCGTCAGCGTTCTCTCTCAAAAGAACATTCCTAGATGGGCCATCCTCTCCAATATCCTCTTCCTCAACCTGCAGATATTCTAAGTCCTCCGGCCTTGTTTCACGCAGTGGCGCACCGTACAATCGCTCATATAATTGATACTCCTCAGCAGATAGATAATCCTTTGGCAAAGTTTCTCCGAATGTTTGTCTAGCCTGCCTCACGAACAATTCAATTTCTGTTGCTCTTGCTTCTGTTGCTTTCACTTCGGGCCCTGGTGTAGTTGTGGTCGTTCGAGCTTCATCTGATCGAGTAAGAGTCGTTGAGAATAATCGTAAGGTATTAGGGCGAGGCTGAATTGATCGATGTCGGATATCGCGAAGTCTTGAATGTGTAGAAGCTGTCGAAGCAGTGGGTCTTGTGAATCCATATTCGAACAGAGAAAGAAGTTGGGATCTACATGACTGGCATGCTCTCGGAACTTTACGTGCGGTGAGCATAATTAATTGGTGCTTGAATGGTAAGATTATCAAAACACTCTTCGAAAAGATTGAAGATTGTTGATAACCTTGATCGCTTGAATATTTACTCGTACCTGCGAACTTTTTTGAAATATTGCTTTCCGATATAAATTACTATATTCACACCCCTGTCCCGCGTGGGGTGATTTCTTAGCCAATGGATTACGAAGCATTTGATATATCGATACTAGAAAATGATATTATGCCCCTTGTCTACATTTAACCATCGCCGCTGTTGTGTACTCGGTAGCTAATCGTTGGACAGTGATATCGTGAGCAATTATTTCCAAAGGGAATCAGATCAGAAGTTATTGATCGAAAACTTTTAGTCAAAGTACCATTGATATCGCACCGATTACACGTTTACAGTACATCTCAAGTGAGTTACGAGAAACTGAGGAAGATGCCAACTCCCTGCCTCACACCAAGGCCAAGCTTTGGAGTAAAATTATTAATTGATACTTTCTTTTATCCGGTCATAGTAGTTCCCCCAATTCAATCTACTCTTGCCTTATTGAAATCATCATCATGTAAGCTTGTTTGCATACTGTACACAACACATGGTCTGGAGCCTGCTATTCCATCTTCTCTATTAGGGTCCTCGATATTTGGATCATTGGCAACATTTTCTGTATTTCATTGCTTCACAAGAGGCGTGACAACGATTGGGCCATTGAGATATCTCCTATGAAGAGCTTTAAAGAAAGCTACATCGACTGGAGCAATTTGTTACTTCAAACCAAACTGGTATAAAATCGGGTTGCGCCTCCGAATGTTACCATATAACTAGTTGCTGGCCACTCTGGAGAAGACGGTTGTGTTGGTGTATGCACTATTGATCTGAGATTTTGTTTGGCTTAATATGTGCTTGGTGGACGATTTTTGATGATCCAGTGCATGGCCCCCATCAATGATGATCTGGTCAATATCCGAGTAAGAGCAGATGAGAGGTCGACTTCTTGTTGAAAATACAACTATCGTCTAGACTCGAAGTGCCAGCGTACAAAAACCTATTGGGGAGGTATTTCCATCAAAATCGCATCAAATCTCATTGTTCTTTTCTGAGTTGCGGATTTCGCAGGTTCCCCTCCTATATTCTCGGTATATGAGAATCTCATAGATGTCAATGGGTTATATTGCCGATTTCGAATCGCTGCAAAAATTAATATCCAGAACGAGGGAAGTCCTCCAAGAACAAAAGGCCACAGAATTCGGGGAAAACCGAGAATTGAAAGTACAGTCACCTTGATGTGCCTTTCAAAATTGTCACTCCATCATACGTGTGCAGGACTCTGTATATTCCATAATGTATTCAAGTGTATTCAACTGAAGCCAAACTATTACTTGCACCTGAAGCGGGAAGTGAAGGGGTGGTACGGATATCTTGATCACCTCTCAGCGATAAGAACTGAGAAGGAACCATTATGATGGGAGGAAGTATCTGTTGAAAACAATACATTAGCGACTTTCCATCTTTGCTCTGTGTATATCGAATAAAGCTCTGTTCTTGCTGGAAGTTTGATTTCAATTGGCTCTTACAGACTCAGAATTCTATTCTTAACTTTATGACTAGTCATATATTCCAAGATATGCAAGCGACGCAGTGTACTAGGCGAACATCGGAAGATTGTGGCCCATAGATGCGTAGAGCCAGTGGGGGTTGACAGAGTTTAGCTAGAGCTCTCGGTATTGATGGTAGTAAATCAATGGACTACCTTCTATTGATGGGTCACCTGTAAAGGGGACCAAGACAGGCCAATGTTTGAAAAGCTTTCACGATTGAGTCAACACTAATCATAAATCCTACTATGTACTAAGCCTTAAGCATAATCATCATCTAGATGACTTTCAAATAATCACAACCGGTTTCATAAATTTCTTTCAATAAAGATTGTTGGGGAATGGAATAACGTCCTTGTGTTTTTCGCACTAATTCTTTATTCAACATCAAAGACATTCATGTAAAATGCAATTTTGTTTGAATATACAAAACCTCTTTGTTGCTTTGTTCTCTATGTCTACAAATTTCAAATGAGCTATGTGCTTACAGGCGGTATCTTTGCTAATATCACACGGATGATAAACTTCTACAAGATTCCAAATTTTACCAAAGATGCCAATCTCACCGACCCTTTATCAGAAGAAATATGGTGCCCCTCCGACTCCTATAGCCATTATCATCGGCTCACACCACAGCGGACTCACCCCAATATCTGCATACAACCTTACCAGTCCGTCTGCCAATGCCTCCCGTGAAGAAAGAACAGCGTATCAACAATCCAGGTTACGTGGGTACACATCGCAACTTCTAGTTGATCTCGACGTTGTATCATTGAGATCATTAACCATTCCAGAAGATTCAAATCCGATCAATCCAACAATGCAACGAAGCAGGTGGGTTGAATCAAGTGACCTAGTACTTCCAATAAGTAGTTCAGAGAAAGAAGGAATTTCATGGACGGCGCAAAATCCTCTCATTTGGGAGCATCTTCAACCGTGTTTAAAACTCGCTTCGAGGTTGTTGGCGAGAATGCATTTAGACCCTTTTGTATGTGTTCTCGGTTCCCTGTGATTTCTAATCGGAAGCTAACGAGAATAGGTTCAAGCTTTACTACTCGGAAGTACTGAGACAATTCCGATCGAAGAATTCAAGCATCAAGATGTGTTTCGTTTTGGTCCTGGAATCCAAAAACTTTTCAAACGCTTTCATCCCCTGCCATACGATTCGACAAATGCTTTTCGAACAAGACAGGAATTAAATCATATTGAGAAAAAAATCCTGATGCGCCATTATACGCTGGCATTTGGTGTTGATGAGTCTGCCAAAAGCCAAGGTGATGAAGGAATGGAATCATCTGCTCTTCCAAAACAAAGCTTCGTTGCAGTTTCCACATACAACCGTCAAAATATGACGATAGTCACTGAGTATAATATATACAGCTTTCGAGTGTTGATGAACCCCAACTTGTCTGACGCAGAAAGGCTTTCGGAGGAATGGTATGTGGCAACGTCAATGTATCACGAGTTTATGGTTTGTTGCTCCACTCTTCATTGTCTTACCATCTCATAACAGTAGACCAGCATGTACTTGGATATGCTAAGGAATTCACCTTCGATGGAGACTCTCTCAAAGAGGAAATAAACGAAGCGGTTTCTCATGGTGCACTTTATGAGCCAATGTGGCGTCGAGAACAAAAGTCTGAACTTGGATGGGCAGGCGAGGCTTCCGTAAGAAATCCCATGCAATCCAAAGCGTTCATATTAATCAGGTCTACTTCAGGTGTTTGGAGGCACACACTCTAAAATACTGTACAATAAAATAACGGATGGACCTGGTTTAGGAAGCACTCTAGATCCATGGCCAGAATACGACGCAGCAAGGCATGGTGATGCACCTCAGCTTGTACTGCCCTTGGGCTCAACATGGGCATCTCCTCTGCCTATATATATGCATACCCAGTTTCGATCAGAGGACTTCTGGTCGTTACATACCAGAAAGTATGGGTTATTCCACCCTGTAAGTTCGATAGGCTATGCACATGCAATCGCCATCGAAGATGATTATGCTAAAGATATTGATTACCAATACAAAGTTGTTCTTCCGTCTAATTTCAACGGATATTTATCGCCCGTGTCAGTCATTACTCCCACCCTGCACGGGTTTTCGAAACCAAGTAAACGTACTTATGCAGAATATCTCTTGTTAAATCAAGAAGGGAGAATCGACAAAGCCAAAACTCTTCAAACTCGTCTTGAAAGATTTCGCGATCTGTTTTATGGAATCAACACAACTATGCATCAACAATCCAAAACACTCATGGATTACGCGTGGTTATTCGCATACTTTGAAGAGCCACCAGAACCAGATATCGAGGAAGCAGACTACGAGAATGATTTTGAGAAATGGCTTGATAAATGGACTGAATCTCTGAACAAACTCACTGAAGCCTTGGATGCGTGCCTGCAAAATTTCGATATTTGCGTTCACAGACTTATCGTCTGGGAAACAGCCATTAAATCCAGTTTACATAGCGACAGGTACCATGAGGAAGAAATCAAACAACGTATCAACCTCAAGAGTTTCGGGGCAAATCTATTGAAGCTTATCGAATCACTTAAATTCATAGAAGGAGAAAATGATAGGAATTTGCAAAGGTACTATAATAATAGCATCGATACCTACTGGGCTAGTCGCAGAAAACTCTCCCCTGAATCCGATTACGCGACAGTCGTTGCGGACAATGCGTCGAGTGCACAAAAGAACAAAGCCGTCTTTGAAGCAAAATTACAAAGAGCTCGAGCGCCCCTGGCACATATGGACGTGGCTTCCTTGGAGCCATTGTGTAATCAGATGCTCCATGATGATCTGGGAGCGGCTCTGAAACCAGCATTGAGAGCAGAACTTTTCATACTGCTAACGAAATGCACGAGTTTCCATAATAGTAAATTAATTGAGTCTGCGCGAGGAGCGAGAAAAGCACTTCTCTGGTTGATAAGGGATCCGACAGCGTCAGATGAAGAAAAGTTGTCGGCACTGGAGAAACGAGACGAGCTTCAAGAGTACATAAACGCAACCAAAAAATCGTGAATGTTTTCAGATGTACATCTGAAGCTTTGGGTAGTATTTTGCAGGCGCAGCTTCAAATGATCGAAGCAAGTAAGCGAGCAATGTAGGGGTAGAGGGAGGTTCTCAGGGGAAAGGATGGACCACGAATTTTTAGGGTGATGAACACAACATCCTTTTGTGGACATTGGAGCGAGAGCGTTGCATCTGGCAATTAAAGGACAAAGGAATCAAATAAGAGGCAGTTTCACACATTTCATTACCGCTTGATTGATAAAGCCTTCAATAGCTGTTTTGATGCTGAACTTATCGTTACTTTGAAGAAATGATGAGCTCAATTTAAATAACTTAAATTCAGATTTTCTAGTAATAGCACCTGTGTTAATTATACAAAGACCGAGCAGTTGATAACACGATGGGAACGACTTGAGTCGAAATCTTTTTGACATCGCCAGATTGCTATTATGGAAAGCGAATGATCCAGGATATTTGTCAGCATACGCCTCTTGAAACCACAGCGCCAAAAAGCTTAAAGAGACCCCAATATGCGTTCCTGTTCAAAACAAAACAAAGCAATATAATAATTATATGATTAATGTCATGACAATACATAAAGGGAAACCAAATTTCTGGAAGCAAATTAACAAATCTTAGAGTACGATGTCTTTTCCAAGCTGAGTATTACTATGAGAGTTGCGATAACATATTCTTATCCATTTCGGTCCTCATTACCCCTCACTCCACTGGGTGTAGAGTACCTATGTACCTATGTTACCGTACGTGTATATATTGATAACTTCATGCATGAAGTGCAGAAAGATGGGTTAGACTTCCTAGATGGTATTATCTATCGCGGCACAAATGGCTATTATTTCATTGGTGGGCATATTCAATCATATCAATTATTGAGTCATCGAAGTATCCATGAACTCACCTCGATTGTTATCGATATCAGTCATACAACTATTCTTCCCTATTTAAACCTTCACAAACCCTACCTTACTCAATTGACCTTTCTTCCTCAACTCATACTTGCCATGGCTCTTCTCGAGCAGGTTTTAGGTCAATTAACCACAAACCCATTCATAGCTCTAATAACAATTACAATCCTATCCCTCCTCTTCCGCTGCACCTACCGCTGCACGCTGCACCCTCTCTCCCACATCCCAGGTCCACTCCTCCCCAAACTCACATCCCTCTGGCTCCACTACCATGCCTACATCGGCGACGAAGCAAGCTGCATCCACAAACTCCACAACCAATATGGTCCCATTGTCCGCGTCTCTCCATCGGAAATCGACATCGCAGATGCAGATGCCATAACCCCAATCTACATATCCAAAGGCGGATTTCCCAAAGCTCCGTGTTATGCAAATTTTGATGTCGATGGTCATAAGACGATATTCTCGACCACAGATGCGGAGTTTAGGGCTCCGAGGGCAAAGGCGGTTATGCCCTTGTTTTCGACGAAAAGTATTAGGGATAATGAGGCTGCGTTGTATGGATGTGTGGAAAATATGGTGAGGAGAATGAAGGAGGATGCTGATGGAGGGGAATCAGTCAATTACTTGAATCTGGCGAGGAGTTTGGCGCTGGATGCTATTTCTACACATTTGTTTTCGGAAAATTACAATGGAACTTCTGAGAAAGGAGAAAGACTTTCGGCTTCGGCATTTGTGGATGCGTTTGTAGCTGTGGGAAGATTCTTCTATTTACCAAATACAGTCTTTATTTGGTTATCATGGTTTATGGAAAAATTCATGACGGATTCACATACTGAAAATTCCATAAAGTTGGTGGACCAGTTTGTGGATAATCTTGTGGAATCTACACCCAAGGAGAGTAAGAATTATCCCGGTCGATTACTCAATATGGGGTTCAGCAAGTCGGAAGTGAAGTCTTCATGCAAAGATCTTATGTTTGCGGGAACGGATTCTACAGGTATGAATATGGCAACTATCTTTCGATGTTTGGTGTTGTGTCCGGAAAAGTAAGTCAACATCCTCTTGGTGATTTTAGCGGAAGAAGTATTTACAGACTTGAAGGTATGAAATCCTCCGGACTGAAATCATGGAAAATACAAATTCTCCCATCAAACAAGAAATCCAAGCTCTTCCCTACCTCTCCGCTGTAGTGAAAGAAGGTCTACGCATCAGCATGGCAAATCCCACTCGTCTACCTCACGTCGTCCCTATCGGTGGATGGACATTCAAATCCGTCTACTTCCCCGCTGGATCTATCGTAGGCTGTTCTGCCTACGAGCTCCACTTTAATCCAGATGTCTTTCCAAATCCCCATGAATTTCAGCCGGAAAGATGGCTGGAAGGGAATGTCACCCCGGAAGCGAATAAATATTGGTTTGCTTTTGGTGCAGGTAGTAGAGCGTGTATTGCGAGGAATCTTGCTACGGTGGAACTTTATATGGCGGTGGAGAAAGTGGTAGAAAGTGATGTTTTGAGGGGTGCGAGAGTTTGTCAGGAGAAGGTTGAGATTTTTGAGTGGTTTAATTCGAGTGTGAAGGGGGAGAAACTAGAATTCGTTTGGAATCGGAATGACAAGCGATGATCAATTCTAGTCTATCTGCAGGCGATATATATATACACTAATATTTTGAACACTTGATATAGTTGAAGTTGCCATTATCATTAGCTTAGAAGTCTCGATGCTTGAACCTGGCCAAACACATTTTCATTCATTTTCTAGCCAGAAACTCTACAGGCACAAGCGGAGTCTTTATTCAAACTCTAAGAACTCCCTATCATCAATACCCTTGCCCACTCCATCGCCATTGCTCAACATTCCCCTGTCCCTCCATTAACCACTCCAATCGATCTTCAACTGTTACCCATCCTTTCTTCCCTTTTACAACCGCCCTCCCAATAACATTTTTCCACCTAGCACAAAAGCCCTTGATTAGCATTTCTAAAACCAAGCACCACAAAAGGTAATTAATAAGTAAACTCACTCATCAAACCACTCTTCCTCCCCCATGACGACACACCTCCTTCCCTCGATCCCTCTCCCCATATCCGAAAACGGCCACACACTACTAACAACCTCATATCTCTTCGTCCCCATAAAAACCTTCGCAACGCTACTAAAAAACGAGTTCACTCTGTCTGGCGGTCTTACCACAACTCTCGAATGAGTGATTGGGAAGCTGATGGTGGTGTGTCCTAGATATCCTGTTTGCGCTATGAGAGCAAGTATGAGACCCTGGAGATGTGTAGTTGAGAGATTGGGGATTTGACGTGTTAGTATAAATCTAGTTCAGTCAGCAATCAATTTGCAAAAAAGAGGCACAATGCTAACAATAATGGGAAAACATACTCCTTGACACCCGCCTCATCTCCACAAAATGCCCTAACCCATCCTTCCAGCCTCTTCTCCCCTTTCCCCCCATAATCAGGCTCCGTCGCCTCTCTCACACCCCCCCTCCATCCCATTTCGCCTTTCCCAAGAATTTTCATGTAGTTCATTTTTCGCTCTCCTTCCCCAACAATCAAGCCCATTAGATTAATCCTAATATCAAAATCCGGGGCCGGGGCATGCATTCGCTGGCCCACAATTCTCAACATAGGTTTTGGAGGGATAGTACACAGAGAAGTGATCAGGGGAAGGAGAGTCCCGGGATTAGATAGATGCGCTGAGGAAGAGGTTATAGTTGTTTTATCACTTGACAGTGTGAATGATGGAGGGAGATACAGGTTATAGGGTAGATTTGGGATGCCTGGGGAGCGGAGCTGGGGATTGGAGCGGAGGGGCACGGGAGGAGAGAGGGCGGCGGAATAGGCGGGGGGAGTGGACTCGTCATTCTGGTTGTGATTGTGGGGATTGGATTCGGACAATGTGTCGAGGTGGTTTTGGCGGGAGGATGAGGGACCGGCTTGGGATGTAGGATTGATGGGCTCGAATGATCCGGGAGTGTGGTGGGAGATTGATGGAGATGATTTTTCGTGAGACATTGTGGGGTTTGTATTTGGTGCTGTCTAGTATTGAACACACTACCAAGCAACTGCGGTTGCACTTGCTATGCGTGTGCTAATAGATAGTTATAATCTTACATTTAAAGCACGCAAAGAATTATCTTGAGGTTGTACGTGATTTTGAAGATGACCAGCTGAACAGTTGTGGCTGTGCATTTTTTGGTTGCCTGCTAATGGATGCTCTTGTCATACGAGCAGCTTTTCTTTCACAATTCAGTATTTGAAAATAAAGCGCAAGTCTGTTATCCTAAAATGAGAATGGGTCATACTTCATACTTCATAGGTCATGGATCATTAATATTGTCCTTTTTATTCCATTTTTAATTCCTTAACAAATTAGTCTATCATCATAGTGTCATCACCATCAACAGCTGGCCCGGCTTCTTCAATAACTACACCACGACCACGTCCTGCTAGCAATTCCCTTCTAACCTCAGGACCAATCTGTGAATGTCCCTTTACATTAATCAAATCTAATAGCGACTCTCTCTGATCTTCTGTAATATCGTTTCTATATCTTTGTGCAAATGCCAAAAGACATTGATGCCAAATGACTGGTAGTTTCGCGTCTTTAGAACTGGTTACACCTTCCATTCCGGATCCAATATCTTCGGGTCGAACACCGGCTGGGTCGACACTTCTAAATCGTAGGAAATGGAAAACCAACGCATCGATGACTTGGTATGGAAGTGCGTACTTCTTGTCAAGCAAAGCCTTGATAAAAATGTTTGTAGCTCCACCACCTTCGGTCCCGGCTGATGATTCTTGAGCTGCAATATCGCAAAGGCCTTTGATGGCAGCGGCGGAATGTAGGACTGGGATCGAAACTCGCACAAGCACGCCTGATATAATTCTGGCTTCACGTAGTGTGCAGGTACCACTTCCGATCAGTGGGAAAAGGAATCCCTTGAAAAAGGCGGCTGGCTTGTAAAGTGCCTTCTTTAAAGCTTTGAAAAGATGGACATTCAAGTGATTGGTTTCGAAAATATCTTCCCGGACCTTTTCGAGTAGGACCATTTCCACGAATCTCTGTGCGATAATTGGTGTCCTTGAGACGAATATTCTTGTTGCTTCGTAACAAGCATTTGGCGTCCACTTGTCCGGCCTGGTGATCACGAGAATATCTTCCCAATTTGGGATTGTAGGTAGAATCTTAAATGGTTTCGGTAATTTTCCTGACTTGTATCGCGATAATATCAAACCAATTCTATATTCTTGTTAGTACTTGGGCGGGATAAACGCGAAGGTAGTCCTCACTTTGTATAAACTTCCATAACCTTAGGATGAACGAAGAATCCATCATCATCGGGTGCAGCAGGTCCAGCTCCAGGTTGTCCCGATTGTTTTGCTTCAAACTGAGCGATTCTCTCTAGAATTAATGCTGTCAGATCTGTGCCTTGTCCCCCTTGATTTTCGTCATTTTCCCCTCCCCAACCAGCTTCCTTTAACTTTTGGTCTAGATCATCCTCGCCATTCTCTGGGAAGAATTTTCCAAACGTATCGCGGTCTTCTGGCGCCAATTCGACTAGTTCTGGAACCTCATCATCATCTCCCCATTCTTCACCATCCTCATCTCCAAATTCTGGCTCATCCTCCTCATCTTCATTCTCAAATCTTGAATCAAAATTGAAGGCTGCATTCGGTTTTGCTGCTTGATTTTCGGCTTCGTCTTCATCGGCAAGTTCTTGACCTATCTTTAAAATCCTCCGCGAAGATTTTGAATCCACGAACTTTTCTTCCTCATCCTCATTTCGAGACTTTCTCTTCCCGGATTTTGTTTTGAGTGGACCACTGGCTGTCAAATCTGCTTCAAGAGGATTATGTCTTCTTCCGTTTCTGGCGAGTTCTTTCGGACTCATTGCTTTGGGCATTTTGTGTTCCGGAGAGATTTTGTGAAATTTTGGTGATGGACGGAATTTCTTTCTGCGAAATCAATTGATAAAATTGAAAATGTTCAAAAATATTAGCGGAGGTTGCCGGGGCTAAGATAAGGATTTTCCCCGCCAAAAGGTCTAGTGCTGAGTGCCTTACAAGAAACAGTTCATGCCTGATATCATTGATCAATTAATCAGCGTCATCCCATTTGCATTGGTCAGCTGACCAACACAAGTGAGGGGAAGCAATCGTACTTCAGTTCGTCCTATTGTCCACAACGAACCATTCGTGAAATATTGAGAGACAAACAACTCACATCAGGTAAAAATGTATTTTTCAAAGGATCTTATAGTCTTCTCATTCTGAATGACTATCGCTGCTTATATCGCTGCTTAATGCTTCGGTTGACAACTTGCATATACTTCACATCACAACACTCATGATGACCTTTCAAACCTCTGTCGATACTTCTTATCTCATAGTGGGCTCAGGAGTCTTTGGTACATCAACTGCTTATCATCTCTCACTTGCACACCCCAAGTCATCCATAACCCTTTTGGATCGTTCATCTTCCTTTCCATGTTCGCTTGCTGCTTCTCATGATTACAACAAAATTGTTCGTGCTGATTATGAAGATATATTCTATTGCGAGTTAGCGCTCAAAGCCCGTGAAATGTGGAAGAATGATCCACTATACAAGCCATACTATCATGAGTCTGGCTTTGTAATCGTTGATGATACCGGTCTTGGACGGAGAATCATTCAGAATTATGAAAATTTGGGAGTCTCCGATCATCAAGCTAGGATTGTTGGACCGAATGAACTGAAAAGTTTGTATGGTGGATTATTCAAAGGAACGGATTGGAGAGGGGTGAAAGAAGTCTTCATCAATGAAGGTAGTGGATGGGCTGAGGCTACAAAAGCAGTTCGCAAGGTGACCGAAATGGCTATGGCGAATGGTGTAAAGTTTGTCAAGGGAGATGTGGAAAATCTTGTTTTGACAGTGGATGGGGATTGTATTGGTGTAATGACGAAAGACGGTAGGACCTTCCGCGCAGAAAAGATCACATTATCAACTGGAGCAGGTACAGCGAAGTTGCTCGCAGATTCCGCACCGCAGATGCACCAAATCCTGGCTGAGGATCGGATTACTGCAGCTGCAATTGTGTCTGGCCATGTAAATTTGAGTAAGACCGAGTACGATAGGATCAAAAATATCCCAGTGTTCGATCATGCAGTCGGGGATGTCTTAGGTAAGTGGTGGCTGAAATGAATGTCAAATAACGACATTAATTTCAAATAGGTGCAGTACTTCCTCCGACTGATGGGATTCTCAAATTCTATCTGGATGTAACTCTCAAAAATACAACACTCCATAAACGCTCAGGGCATATGATATCAGCCCCGCCTGATGAAGTTGATCAAGCGCAACATAACGTTCCCAAGAAGCTTCAGGGGGAATGTTACCGAGTAATGAAAGGGATTTATAGTGAATTAGCCAAAGATCTCAAATTCGATTCTTTTCGCATGTGCTGGTATGTTGAATCAAGGATCTTCCCCATTTTCAAATCTAATGCTTTAATAGGGATGGAATTACCCCTGACCAAGATTTTATAATCTCGGCACATCCACGATGTCATAATTTGCACATTGCTACAGGCGGTTCTTTTCATGGGTGGAAATTCCTACCGATCATCGGAGATTATGTTGTTCAGATGCTTGACAACAAATTGGATGCTAATCTTCTCAAGCGATGGGCATGGGATCGTGATCAAAAGGGAAGTGTACATAAGAAGTTTGTTCCCAAACGAGAGCTGAGGGATTTGATATGACTTGAAAGTGAGCTTTCAATTAATAACTAGGAGTAAAACTAGGAGATCCAACAATCTATCGCAGAGCTGATACAGTCCAAGTGCTCGATTGCAATGTCCTTTGCGCGAACAAAAAAATATGCATTGGGAGAGTTCGTTTGTCTGAACAGTGGGAATGATCCAGCTTTGACTTTTGGCTTCTTCGGAAAATCATCTAAAGGAGGATTTGGGCTTCTCCTGGCTGGACGGTACCGTTTCCGATAGCATAGCCATGGGCGCGGGCAACCAAGGAGTATGGAACTAAGTATCTGTACATCTATTAGTATCGCTTTTTCCCTTGGAAATTATGATCTGTTAACTTACTTGTCAAGGTATGGGAGAACCTCTGCGGCACCAGGAGTGTTTCTCCAATCTCTCATCAAATCCATGGTAATTCCAAACAATCCCATGAGATGAACACCAGCTTGCTCCATGCGTCGGTTGGCATCCGAAGCCAATTTGTCACTGAAAGTACCACTTGCTTCGGTATTGGCCCAGACATCATAGCCTGCCTCAATAAGTGAGAGAGCGAGGAAAGAAGTACCTGTTGATTTGCATTAGAATGGGACTTCGAAACGAAATCCGGGTGAAGGGTCAACTCACAAACTTCGGTGACAATACCACCAATAATCAATTGTTTCTTGCCAGTGGCTTCAACAGCGGCACGGAACTCAGCATTGTCCCATGCATTGACTTCTCCTTGGCGCTTGATGTAAGGGGCAGTTGGGTGCATCTATCATCATTAGCATCATCTCGGAATGATGCAGCTCATAGTTACTTACGGCAATGATCTCCTCTGGGAGATTGCTGTTTGGTCCTTGCTCAGCAGATGTGGTCAAGATGGTTGGAAGATCAAAGAGATTTCCAAGAGCTGCATGACCGAGAAGTGATTGTCTGAAGACAGTTGGATCATAATCTCTCACGAGCTCGGAAAGCCCAATTTGGTGATCAATGACAAGAAGAGCGACGTCACTCTTATTAAGACGATCAAAGGTAAAACCTGATGGGTTGTTAGCATTCGAGCTCTGGTTGCAAAATTTGAAGGTAGCAGTCTATATATATACCTTCAACGGCAATGGCAGAGGCCAAGATCATGGAGGTAGAGAACTTCATGTTGTTGATGGAAATATCTAGATTGAAATTAAAGTATTCAAGTGAGTCTGATGATGAGATGAGTGATGAGGATGATGATTGAAATCGTTGGAAACTCTCTTCCTCTTATACACAACCTCTTGACGACCAAACGACCTCGAGGCGACAACAGTACATCAATATCTCGAAATGTCTCACCAACCTAGATCCACCTACCTCGTCACTCACAAGGAAGTAATCAGAATACCGGCCCCCAGCTGTGCATCTAGATGATTCAATCTCCGTCACAATTTACAATTCTCTAGTAGTCTCCACGATTTCCATATCTTTACCTAACGCTCAGCCTGACAACCAACGGCAAATTCACCGTCACACCAAAACAGACGACCGCCATCAACGCCCAAAACAAAATACTACCTCAACTCACCTGGGTACCTATGGATTCCCTCCGATACTATGAAGAGGCTCGCTTCAAAACGAAATATTTCCCCTCCGGGCATCTGGTCCGTGGGCATTAATCGTGTCGAGAGCTCTCATGCAAGGACTTTACTCAGCGCAGAAACAATCATGCTTAATGCAACGGCTTTGAATGTGTAAGCAGATGTTCTCCATCTACAACCGAGGGTGGAGTAAAATGCGATTAATTACCATTCCTTTACAAATGTACTAGCACGGAAATTTTCCCGTTTTGGGCATAGTCGAATTTTCGATCATATAACGTGAGATGATTGGACAGGATAGGGGAATAGCTTGGTGGTGGTGCTCCATAATTCTTGATGAGTAACGATCGTTAAGAGAGATGTCAGCAATTGACAACGACCTTGTGTAAGCTGGCTTGGCGAGATTTGGTATCGTTTGGTAAGAATCTGCAAATGGGTTACTCAGGTACGGTAAGCAGATTGGGGAAACGAAAAGGTGGTTACTAATCGAGGTGCAGCGATGCCCATATCACGGGATGGAGAAACTTAGGTGTATATTGTATATTGTACTTTGTGTCAGGATTGTGAAATCATTAGGAAGATCTTGGTAAGCGAATTGAATGGATGTTATAGGGTCGTGAATTGACTTGGAGGGAGGTCGGTCATTTTACTTCTGCGTTCGTGATTTCGATGTCTAGATGGTGATATGTCTGAGATGTCAAAAAACTATCTCTGGCCGTGTACGCATACAATTTGGAGACGATGGCTCTGCGATGATGTTTCTGATAAAGTTACACTTGGAAGGCTTAAAGTGATGCTCCATATTCCAAACTCCTCACAAAAAGACTTGTTCTTACCCAAGGACGAAACGATTCATTGAACTTGGATGGGCGTTGTGGAACTTGCGTGATTCAAACGAGTACTTGCGGTATCTTCGGTATTGCCTTTTCCATGTCAAATATGCATATTTCAGCAGTATAGCGCAAGATAATGATCATCGAAAGGCCAAGAACAAGATCAGGAATGGGTTTCAAACTTCTCGTTAACGGCGACTTCGTTATTATTCCTATAATTGTCGCCTTTTCCATCCCCAGATATCGAGTAGTAGTCGAGTACGTTCTCTTCTTACTTTTATATGAAAGTCTCTGTCTAAACTCTCTGATTATTGAGAGGAAACACGATCGTCTCGCTCCTTCGTATTCATTTAGGTAGCTCAGAGATACTGTGACGATCATCAGAAAGTTAGCATAAAGTATAGTCTGGACCAAGAATCAAGATGAATCATTTCGCGAAATTTCCATGTTGCCACAGTGAGTGGAGGTCTAGAAACGGAGGGATACTTGCGGTCAAGGAAGTAGTGAGTAGTGTTGCGAGAGTCTACGCGGTATCTGGAGTCCCAGGTGCTATGTCAGTTATTACTGATTGCTCGGTAATATTCCCTCGAGAGGAGTGAGGTATATGTATCATGATTTTAACTCATGTGGTTTATACTGAGGGCGCATATCGAAAACATCCTCTTCCCTGCTTTCCTTCTAATATTGATTCATAAGTTATGTATATATCTTCTCATAGAGTCCAAGACTTCATACACTACCCCCTCTCCATTTCCCATAAAAGTTTCGCCTCAATCTTCTCCTCTTCCACACCAAAAACCTTCATAATCATCTCCGGCGCCAGCCTATCCTCTACCTTTGTGCCCACTTTCTACCAGTTCTTTTAATCCATTAATCCGCCAGTGGATACACGGATTAGCCGTACACTGCAAAAACAGACTTGAGAATATCTTTTGATATATCCAATTATGTATTCTAGGAATTGTTACAATTATTGATTAGAGATAGGACAATCACAGTATTAATTCTGATATCAAACAATTGAAGAATGAATTTATTCAAAAACCCGAAAGTTGGGAAGGGTCCCGTCAATGTATGCACCCATTGGTGATCACCATCTAGTCGACGAGCCCATCCCTCACATTGCAATATCCTGATTCATATCGACTACTAAAAAATGATATCCACATCAAACAATACGCTTTCAAAGAATCAAAGAGTCGAGTTCTTTTAACACGAATTCTCCTATGTAAAGTAATGAAATTCCAAATCTCAAGTGAAAGAAAAGTCATAGAAAATGTTCAAACTCCCAGTCCTAGTACTTCATTCAACCTCGCAATTTTACCATCTTCCCATACATTCAAGAATACAGTTAATACATGTTCTAGTCAGGGTGCACCAGATGATATGCAATCAGCCCGTGTTTACAATTATATAAATCTATGGTCTTTAAGAACCCGCTGTATTGATGTTGAATGATCCAAGAAATAAATTAATGCAAATTGGATATTACTATTCGAATTATCGATTCTGGCTACATTGAATCATCCAATCTTTTGATAAGAGTATACTTGGTTGATCTCTAGTCATACAAGACGAATTGGTGATTGATTGACTCGCGATAATCGCTTACGTATCCAGATAACCGTTATCACAGTTTACCTATTCCCATCGCGAGTTTCTCTCCATTCCCATTCCCATTCCCACTCCCCTGTTACCAGTTCTATCCCTTTGAGACTTCGTAATTGACATCGAGACCTTCAACGGAGCATCTCTGTAGGATGTACCATCGATAGCTCGCATAGCCTCTTCAGCCTCCTCGCGGCTGACAAAATCAACAAAACAAAAGTTTCGTCTATCCTCCAGATTATTTTCACGAGGGCTCACCCTCTTACTCACTCCATCGCTAGCAAATGTTAACACGGGTGGTCAGATCCGAGACAGCCAGGATAAACTTACATTTCGAAGCCATCGAAGATAGATCGAATCTCCAATTCATTCTCCGTCTGATCCAGCATTCTAGGCAACCCGCCAACATACAACTGTCTACCTTCTTCTTTTGCCTTTGAAACCTGGAAATGTCTCAACGCATCATTCGGTCCGCTTTGTCCCGCAAGTCTATCATGTTGCGAGTCCCTGGCCCGCGAATCCCAGTTGCCCCAGCGATTATAGCTAGAATTGTTATTCTCACTGCCTGTCCCTTGATCTGGACCACCACGCCTAACATTTCCCTTGGGTCGACAAGGACGACATTTAACTGGTCGACCCGATATTGTAAGGCCCTCCAAAGTCTGCATAGCCTTATCTGCTACCTCCTTCTCTGCAAACTCAATGAAGCAATATCCTGGACAACGGCCCGTGAAAGGATCAATAGATATATGAACATTATTAACAGATGCTATGCCGTTTTTGGTAAGAAATGCATTAATAACATCTGGTGTAGTGGTATAAAGCAAGTTCCCCAAATAGACACGACGACCTTCTGCGATGGCCTGGAGAGTTTCAGGCGACTCTTCATTTTGTCGTTCTGGTCTGTGGACTTTCACGTCCTCGGCCCGGCTCCGTTCTGCGAGAGGCACGATAGGTTGTCTTTGACGGTGATCATCTCTAGGTTCTTGGTTGGACCAGTTTGTTGGTCTGGGTTCGGAGCTTGTATTTGCTGGGGCGCGAATTCTCCAGTTTGATGAATCGGACATGATTGTGTGGCCGAGTCCAAGAACCTTTGTCTGGAATGCAAACGGAATGAGAAAAGGACTAATAAAAGCGTATTTTGAAGGAGTGATAAATTCGATTTTTATTCCTACTAGAGTGGAAGCTATAAAAGATGCTAGATATTAATTATCTGAAATGAGTTTTGCATCAAACTAGCTTTGTACTGTAGTATTCACTGTGACATCTGAATGGAAGGATCTTGCCTACCTACCTACCTAGGAGGGCTCGAGAGGGTTCTTGAATAAAGACTTTGTAAGGAATGCAATCATGTGACAATGAAGAAGCTTTTCCGCTTCAAGGTTAGTCAGCAAGGTGTGGACCACCACTTCGCAGACATAAACTTATTAAATACTACCTAGGTAGCCACGACAAATATCAATCGTAATCTGGAACTCCCAGCACCCATTCCAAGATCCGTCTCGAATAGCTGAAACTCTTTTTCCATTTTCACACCCAAATGCTCAACAATTGTAGAATAAAATTGCAATGTATGGTGTTTGTATTCAGAGTCCAGCATCGCTATGTAACATAATCTCGACTTGACATTAATAACCTAAAGTCACAGCTCTCTCTCCAACTTTCTCATCACATGCTCCATTATTAAACCCCCCCAACAATATATACACCAAAACAAACACTACTCAACCATAATTTCATCATCATCTTTCGTGAGATCAACAACGACCGCTGCAGCAGGAATTGGCTGTCCGGTATGCGATGTAGAGACTTGACCACTGGCAGTTCTTGGGCCTAAACCAGCGCTGTCAGTTACGTTCATCGGGGTACCATAAGCATTCCTAGCAATAGGTTCAGGTCTCGATGGCAGACCATTCATACCAGTTCCGTGAGAGACAGTGGGATTATGGATCCTAGACTGGCCGTTTATAGGCCCATTTGTATCTACCCTACTGTTTCCAGGCATGAGCCTAGCATTTTTTTCAAGCCTGATACCCCAGTTTGCTATGGGACCACCTCTACTACCCGCCCCAGGCAGTGAACCGACTGCTGACAACATAATAAGGTCGCCTGAGAAGTTTTCTGCTGGCTCAGGATTAGGTGCATTCCTGTCGAAATTCAGCGTAAAGCATTCTTCAAGCGCTTTGAAATCTCCAAGATGTTTAGTTTCCTCAATGCCGAGTTTGCCGCCATTTCTAGCAAGTTCCATGGTATCGGTTTCACTTGCCACAAGAGCTACATACTCTCGCTGTAGTCGCTCGACTTTCTGTTCTTTTTCCAGAAGTTCGGCTTTCAGCGCAAAAATCTCTTTTTGGAGCTTATCCTGATTACTCGCATTGTCCTTTCTCATAGCGTTGATAGCATCGAGCCTACGGACCATAATTGGCCTACCAGATGCCTTCCGGTCAACCTCCAAACAGTATTCGATCTTCTCTTTCCAGAGTTCAAACTTCGGAACGAAAATATCGTCTCGAAATATGTGTGCGATTTCCAGAGCATCTTCAATCATTGCCTTAATACTATCGATTGCGACCTGTGTAAGCCTATGTACCGCAAGATGGCGTATACCAGTCACCCTTTGAAAGAGGGAACCAAGAGAAGAACGTGCTTCACGACCAATGGCTTCAACTGGTATCTGACACTCGTTCATTGCGCCCTACCATAAGTTCAACTCTACATTTTCGGGACATTCCCATGTGTTCGCAAGCAGCATCTTAGGAAGCCACTTTTGTACAAATCGATAGCACATAGACTCTAATGCAGTTTGCAAAGATCGAAGTATTGTTATCTGAAGTATGAAGGGCAGACAGGGGAGATTCGGATTTCGCTGGGAATAGTGACCATGAGGATTGGTTTTGTGTTTTGGAAGGACTAGAATAAAATCGTTCAGATTAGCCTTATACAAAGAGATTTTGAATCAGGGGAAAATGAATTCCTACCCCGCGAATTTAAGCTTCTGTCAGAATATTGGACTCTTTTTGATGCTCTTGATCCATAATATTCAGGTATTTGGCCTCGACCTGATTTAGCATCCTTGCATTGAGGTTTTGTATGATGAAGTTGATCTGGTCTAGTTGGTGCAACAGACGAATCTGGACGGCAGAGAACGACCTTTTGGACAGTTTTTCCATCCTTGTTTGTCTTTGAGATCTTCCCCCCTTGAACTCTTGGGTTGGACCTTATTGCCCTTTTATCCACAAACCCTTCAACTGGTGTCAGGTTATCTGCTCTACCAGATTGCTTCTCATCGGATTGCTGTAACATTTATGATTAACAAAAGGTACTCTGCCATTGAATGGACATTGGTCAAACAACACCAACCTTTGCATTATTGAGGAGTTGTCTGTCAACACTCTCTTGATCATTATCGCCGTTGCTAGATTCTTCAGAAGATCCATCATTTGAAGAAATTTCAATGATTTCTGTAAAGGTGATAGCAGTTTTTGGAGCAGCTGCAGCTTCATTCAAAATACTTGTGTGACGAAATCGTTGTTTAACAGTATCGTTTGTGTTTTGCATTATCGTGTCCATGATTGCAGTTGTTTCCAAAAGTCGAAGTCGATGTTGAAATTCAGGTTAGAAATTGAGTACAGTTGTGGAAGAGAATAAATAAACAATGACCAATACTGGCGAAATGGTTGTTGTGGGAAGTCGGGATATAGAAATCGGAGTATGGAAATCGGGACTCGGAAGTAATGAGGTTGGTATGGTCCGAAATGGACATAATATTCACTTTCTTATTGAATTTCTCCTTCCTATCCCGTGATACCTTCTACTGCGGCCTATCAAGGAAAGAGTGAATGGGCAAAGAAATAAAATGAGATAAAGATTCATTGGCTGGAAACTGTTTATATGAACAAGATGTAAAAATCGTAAAAAAACTACTTTGCTTCAAACTGATACATACCTTAATTATATATCTATGTAGGTATATATATATAAACTGCTTATGAAAGATAAATTTACTGTACTCACTCCCATCGGTAAGAGAAACTCTTCATTGCTGCAAAACATTCTTCCCATCACAGACCTGACTTCTGAACGATGAACTTGTTATGGGCATAGAAACATGAATTAGAATAGACTCTGTTTCTGTCTGCTACTATTGCATCACACAGATTCCTGTTAGATCTACTGAAGCTCACCACTGATCTTTGATCAGATTCACTACTCACGAAGCTTGGTGTTATTTGCCCCCAATCTCTACAACTCTTCAGTCTAATCTCTTGTCTGTTTCATCTTTCATATCTTCCATAATTCAATATTCCACACCAGAGCCCAATTTTTTTTCATTTGCAACATTGGTAGTGAGACTACTGAGGCTGCTATAAGTTCTGCTAGGAAGACTTGAAAGGTTGTTGATCAATCAAGTGCCAAAACATAAATCGATTTTATCCAATCATTTTGATCCATGGATGGTTAGGAGCTTTCTCATGACTAGTGGTTTGTACCTTTCGATTCTTGAACAAGATACAGAGTCTATATGATTATTGCCATGTCTGTCATGCAATGCTAGATAAAGGGTTTATTTACACGACATGAACAGGATTTTGTGGACAATCATACAATCATCAAAGCAGCTGACTCGATTCAATACCCAGTGTCATACTTGAAGTGGAAGCTGTGAAGACGATCATATTACCAATCAGTACCTAATACATCAAATGGATTTGTTGGCTTTTTGTTTGCCATGCCAGTCTGATTCGACTTTTCCCGCTTCCGTTTCTTCTTTTGCTTAATTGCTTCCACAGAAGTGGCAGTGGATACTCCAATCCCCTGACTTAAATCTCCAAGAATCGTTTCTTTCATCGTCCTTAAGATGGAGTCCATTTTTTCAAACCCATTGAGATCACTGAGACATGGCAGGTCTTGAAGCATGTCATTTAGTTGCGACAGTGGTAAAGGGACTGAGTTACGGCCACCAATCAGGGTCAAAAAGCTTATCATCTGCTTCAAAATTCTGAAAGAGTAATGAGATCCTTGGATTTGGGCAATGACATGTATCATATCCCAATCCCACTCACTTGTCTTGCGGATACTGTCACCTGGGTCTGAGATTTGGAGTCCAGTCAAAACCTTTCTGCCCAGGCCTACTTTGTCAATCGACTCTGACCACTGGGCATCTTGTGTAAATGAGATTGAGGTCCAGTGATTAGCAGCGTTATGTCCCTTGACCTTGGACCGTGTCTCGCGAAGGAAATTTATAACTTCAGTGCAAGCCTCTAAAATATCTGAAGCATCTGGAATTGCCCACTCCCTCCCGCGCGAAGCATTGGCTTGTCGTTTATTCTCAAAAACGGAGGTCCTCCTCTCTTCGACTGGAAGTACGAGATTGATGCAACCATATGCCAGTTGTCGGATAGATGTGGACATCTCCCAAGCATTGGTTCGAGATGGGGAATCAACGAGAAATGGAAGAAAAATGTTGATGTTATTTGCACCATCCTGGGAGCCGCTTGAAGATTGGGAAAGGCCAAGGCATTTCATAAAATAAGGAAACTGAAGAACATACTCACAAATACGAGGATCAAGAACTTGCAGAGCAGTCTTCACTACAGAAGGTTTGAGCAGCTCCGAACTGAGAGTGGCTACATCAATATCCACTGGCAAATACTCCTTGACAAAGTCTTTATACATTTTTTGGTGCTGATTGATGGCGGTTAACGCAATCGCTTGTTTCAGTAACTTCGAAAAGCTACCATGAGAATCCATGAAAATCTCAAAAGCAAGAGCACGAATACCATATGAAGGTGGAAGGCCTAATCGCTTGATGATGGATCCAGCATGGAATATTTGGGACTGTAGCATCCATGCATCGGCCTTGGATGAAACTTCAACATCTTGAAAGAAGCTCACAGAACTGTCGGTGCCAATTTCATGAACGAGAAGATCAGAATCGCCAGTGAGAATGATTCCACCATATCGGCTAACATAGCTGGCACAATATGTATCTGCTTCGCCGGGAACAATCGTGACGAGATGTTTGTATTTGTTAGAGTTTTGTAAAGCTTCAATTATTGCAGGAACGAGAAAGGATGACGCTGGAAGTTTTGTGAAGTTGGGGCGCTGGGGGGAAAATGCGAAAGGAAATGAGGTAGGTATAGTTCGGTTTGTCGATGAAAGTCGGTACCTCAAACCAGACGCATATTCTTTGTGATATTTCTCTAGTTGCTGTGTATTTCGATTAAGCCTTTGGTAACGAACATCTAATTTGGCTGGGGGTAGATATCCATCAAAGTATATCCTTTTCCTGCGACGAGTTAACACAACGAAGAGAAGCCCATGATCCCGTTGAACTCACACAACAGCATCACTCCTTTCTAGGCCATCCAGCCATGCCAATACAGTATCTCCAAGCTCTTTATACGACGGATTTGCTTCAAAGTAGTTTCCCGCCGACTTTTTGGTACCTAAACATATATGATAGATATGATATGCCAAACCTGGACCGTCGATTACCACATCTTTGCGCTTGAACGAATCGAGAGTTGCATAAGGACGGAGGAATGTTATTAGATGTGGAATTCCCATTGCTTTAATGGCGACAACAATGATTGTACATTTGTGATGTTTGGTTGTATTAATTGAATGACAGACCTGGCTCGAGATGCTGCTGGTAATGAGTGAAGTGAGTCCTGTTCAGAGTGAGGTTTGCGTGAAGGAATGATAAATTCTGGTGAAGGGATGGACGAACATTTGATTTCATGGTCATTGATTGATTCCCCAAATTTCAGCTCAAACCCCCGCTAGCGCAATCAACCCCACTACATATCCTGGATCTCTCGCCAAAACTTTTTTCTTTTCTTCTTGACATTGGAAAAGCATCTTCAACCAAAAGAAAAACATCAACCAAGATGCGCAATACACTCATCTTCGCCGGCAGTTCATGTCCAAAGCTCACAGATCAAATATGTACGAACTTGGGAATGGCTTCGGCCCCAGTCGAGCTTACTCAGTTCGCAAATGTACTGTTTCTCAACTCCCAGAGAAGCAAGCTATTCAGCTAATAAATTCTAGGGGGAGACAAGCGTCAAGATCATGACGAGCATTCGCGAGAAGGATGTATTCGTCGTTCAATCGGGTAGTTCTAAGATAAATGATAGTATCATGGAGCTTTTGATCATGATATCTGCTTGTAAAGGAGGATCCGCGAACAAAATCACAGGTTCGTGCGCCTAATTCCATTTTTTAACATCGCAAGACTTAGTTGCTAACTTGTACAGCTGTTCTGCCATACTTCCCATATAGTAGACAGTCAAAAAAGAAGTCACATCGAGGAGCCATCACTGCTCGTATGCTCGCAAACCTGCTACATGTTGCCGGAATTAACCATGTCATTACCGTCGATCTCCACGCTTCACAAATGCAAGGCTTCTTCAAATGTCCCGTCGATAATCTTCACGCGGAACCATTGATCGCACGTTGGATTCGGCGCAATGTGCAGGAGTGGAATGAGGCTGTGTGCGTTTCCAAGAATGCTGGTGGCACCAAAAGAGTAACATCTCTAGCAGATGCTCTGAAACTCAATTTCGGAATGGTCACAACAGACAGAAGACGAACTCCCGCGAATATGTCAATGAGTATGATCATGAACCAAATTGAAAACTCTACAGGCGAAGATTTGCATGCAGATATCAATAAGCTACATATTGGCGCATCTCCTGCAGCGGAAGAAGAGACGGCAGAAGAGCCCAAACATGACGGAGAAGCAGACCCTACCTCTTCAATGTTATTGGACGGTGATTCAGTCTCACATCAGACAAGAGCCCGTCAAGACAGCCACCCTTCTCCACCACAACGTCTGCACAATGCGCCATCGGCCATCAGATCTGGGCATCGAAATTCTGTTGGAGCATCTTCGCCTTTGATACGAGCACATACCACCCCCGCACCAAGATCTACACCTGTCGATGAAGCGATAGAAGCACAATATACTGATGAGCGTGCCCGAGAGGTCACCCATGGTCGATTGGTTCAAGGTCACATCGTTTCAGATGACTATCCTTCGCCTACACAATCCGCGATGTCATCTTCATTAATTCTCGAACGTCCTGAAGATGACCCCATGTCAATCTCTATGGCGTCTTCAATCTTTAATCCTGAGCCACACGCACTCGGCGGAACAGCAGACGCTGCTGGTGATGCATCAGATGAGGAAGAAGAAGGCTTTAAAGACCCAGGTCTCGAACAGATGATTACATTAGTAGGAGATGTTCGGAACCGCACCGTCTTCATCGTTGATGATATGATTGACAAAGCTGGCAGCTGGATCGCCGCAGCTGAAACAGTCGTCAAACGTGGTGGTGCCAAAAAGGTCTATTGTATTGCTACGCACGGCCTCTTCGGAGGAGATGCCCTTGAAGAACTCCAAAACTGTGATTGTATCGACACCATTGTCGTTACAAACTCATTTCCTATCCCGCCAGAGAAAGCAAAAGATGCAAAGAAGTTGCAAATCTTAGATTTATCAAAGTTACTCTCCGAGGCCATTAGAAGGAATCATTATGGAGAATCAATTTCTGCTCTTTTTACACATTCTAGCGATTAGATTTCTGGTTTACGATCGTATGATTAATATCAAAATCAATCTGCAATTTGCTATATTCGAATATTTATACCCATAGCGTGGCGTACGGTAGCGGAAAGACGGAAAGGATTATGACTGAATAAATTGCTATTTAGCAAACGGGAAGGAATTGCATTTTCTTGGAAAGAGAATTAACGGCGGCGCAAATTCATAGAACCAGGTGTTCTCCATTGTCTCACTTTGAGTCCTCCAGGTGCGGTGATACATTTTGATATTATCATCCTAAGTATATCTTATTCTTTCTCGTCCTTCGTCCCGATTTTCTTCTCTCGAGTTCATCTTGAAGTGTTGATATTAACCTACACGGAAATGTTTGCAACCTTTCATCTAAGTTTCCCTACATCTTTTGCATTATCGTTTTTCTCATTCCCTCTATTTTTTGATAGACACTATACCCAGCGATGCGATCTATAGTGATCGCAGGGGCATACCTTTCCTTTAGAAAGATGTCCTTAACGGAGCGTTGGTAGATTAAACACAACCTTGATATATCTATAGTTGCGTTTGTAACTGGTTTGGATAGGCGATACTTGAAGGTGCTTTATTGAAACATGATCGATAAAGGGCCGGATTTCTTTCGGACATATGATTATTTGTGTGCAATGGATATTGCGTTGGGGATCAGATGGAACTAGAGGGTAGTATGAATTTGGTAGATGGACACATGTGAGGATTTATGAGTAGTGTCACAGAATAAAAATACCGATATGAATCTGATTGCCATATACACATCATTGTTAACAGAGCATCGAAGTTGAACAGTGTACATGCATGTAAATCTAATTACATTCTACAGTATATATAGTTGCTTGTTTACAACATTGTGCAGTGCCATGCCTCATCTGAGTTTTGTGCATGCAATACTACCCTTCCACTAAGCTCCAGGACGGGAATAGTCTAATGCCTCCACCCTCTTCCATACTTCTCTCACTACACGCTCTTGCTGCTGTCTTCCTGTTTCGTTGGGTGTATCGCCTGCTGGTCTAGAGATGCACAAGGTAGGTTAGTACTGGCACTCTTTTTGCTACATTGTTGGAATAGAGGGGGAATGGCAATGGATTTTAGGGCGCAATAAGAGAGTGAACATACCTAATAGCTAGGTATAATCGACTGCCCAATTTAACTTCTTGGATAGGATCAGTCTCAGGGTTGGCGGGAGGATTCGCGGTGGTTATTAAACCGCCGGCTTCGCGGAGAATGCAAATGCCTGCTGCTACGTCCCTGGAGTGTGTGTTAGTTGACGGAGAAAGTAGAGATATGAATGCAATGAATCAACGAACCATTCCCAACAACCGCCTTCCCACCAAATATCGAAAGCTCCAGTTGCTGTGTATGCTAAATCCATCGTTGCACTAGATGTCATAGAAGTGTTAGTATTTTGATTTCCCGTCCTATCATGTCATAAGAGATGAAGATGAGAAGAAATGACTCACCTCCCCAAACTCCTAACCCCATGAACCATTCCTCCTTTTCCACCTCTTCCCCCGATCTCAGTAGCCAGATTTACAAAACTGTTAATCTTCTTTCTCAAATTTCCTCCCTCGATATCCCTCCTATCCTTCCCCCATTCACAACTAAAAGTACACCCCTTCGGCGCCTCTTGTCCTAGAGGCTTTCCTTTTACATATGGTAACTTCCTCTTCCTCTTCAAACTTCCGGAGCCGAAACTAGAGCCCCCCGATGGAATCTCATCACTAGCCCCCACATGATCGTTTTCCCATGCGCCGTGTCCAGCTAAAGCAGAATAAGAGACATCGAGAATTGGAGCGTAGATGACTCCAATGATGGGGATACCGTTGATACAAAAGGCGATGGAGATACAGAACATAGGGAATAAATGTGTGTAATTTACTGTTCCATCGAGAGGGTCGACAATCCAGGTTGGGGAGTCATCAACGAGGTATTGTTTGGAGGAACCGGAGGAATAGGTTTCTTCTCCGATGAATCTGGGGATTGTGAGCTACGTTTTGTGGATGAAGGGGATAGTATATACTTATGCGAAGGATATCGACTTAATATCTCATGCTTAACAAATGCTTCAACATCTATTCATTTCACGTGATTAGTATATCTCTTTTCAATCCTACCATCCTGACGCATCAGATAGACGTATCTTCCCCCATCAATACCCAGCGGAAAATGCCCAAGACATACCCAAATCAGTCTGTGTAACAATGTCCACCGCATTCATTTTTTCTTCCTGCTTCCCCCCTTCATCCCCTTCACATCTCTTTTCTACCCCGTCCATCAACATTTTGCCCGCTCTCCTCCCCAGGTCCAACGCAAACGCGTAGATCTCCTGGAGTTCTGCATCTGATATCTTATCGGCCATTTTGATGTTTGTTAACCTCTATGTATCATCAATTGGTGTATGAAATGCACCGGAGGGAACTTGTTGTTGGATGGCTCACAATACAGAGGCTCAGATATGAGTAGGCAGGCCCGCGGATGAGTAAGACTTGATAGATAGTGGGGTTGTATCAGAAAGGATTGGATTGGAGGCCGATGATAGGCGTGGTGAAGCGTAGTGGGGTTGTATGGTGGGGGATTTTTATGCTGATTGAATACAGTAGACATCGAGAGGCCCGTCGATCAGTGATGTTTGTTTGTCTGGAGATTTACAAATACAATTCGGATCCGAATGTGAAGCTTGATTCCACGAGGAAGTATGGTTTTCACTTAGGAAGTTTGGTGAGAAAGAAATATTCATGTTCCAAATTGAGTTAGTTCATTGCTTGAGTACAATCTATCTTAATCTTACATACAGCCCATGCAACCATTTATATTCTAACCACAAAGTCATATCACGTTTCTAAATAGCCAAAATCGTCACACTTAATCGTGACGTCTCTCGGACTTGAGTCCTACACATATATTTAACCTGGACATCACGAACTCGCGTGCTTCGCCCTGTCATTCGCCAATTTCTCCAAAACAACAGTCCTTACCTCCTTTACCGGTAACTGCTCAAGCTCAACTCCCAACCAAACCTTATCTTGCTCCAACCCCTGGTTAATCATCGCTTCTACACCTCCTACTACCTGCCATCCAGCTTTTGTAGCTAGTGCTGCAATCTGTGTATCGGGACTTGGATGATAACACATTTCCAAAATTACTCCCTTTTCTCCCTCTTTTCCCAAGAATTCTGTAATGATTCCTCGCGCTCTATGTTCATCTTCGGATATTGGTGTGAAATCTGGAATGGCAGAAATAATTACTGTCGGTGCGGCTAATGACTTCGCTTGTTCTACCGATTCGATATACAATAAATTGTCTCCGAATCCGTTACTGCTGCACTCTGCAATCACAGCGTCGCACTCGGATTTATCCCGATTGACCATGTATACGGTCTCGCAGCCGAGGAATTTCTTCAATGCGTAGACGGCTGCTCGACAGGTTCCTCCACCTCCGATAACCATACCTGCCGAACCTTTTATACTTGATATTGTTGCTGCTGATGCGTTCTGAAGGATAGCTTCGCGGACACCAATACAATCGGTGTTGGTTCCACAAAGAATCTTCTCGCCAGAAGGAGATGTGCGGTGGTAGATAGTATTAATGGCACCAATGGCAGCGCCCTCTGGTGTAAGCTGGTCGAGGTATGGGATGATGGCTACTTTGAAGGGCATGGTTACGGAAGCGCCGAGAAATTTGGGGTCTTTGGTGAGTTCGATACAATCTTTGAGGGTTTGAGTCTCATATAGATATTGGAGGTAATTGAGGTTTAGTGAGCGGAAGATTGTGCCATGGACTTGTGAGGGAATCATTTGTTAGCTGAAGATCTAGAAGAGAGAGGATGGGGGGCATTGGGAAAGTTCTTGTAGCTGTGCATAGAGCGTGAAATTTCCAAAGGATGGGTATGCTCTCTCAAACGCAGCAAGCTCTGGTGATTTGAGGCATGTCCCCATGGGAGTGATTCTGGATGATGAATAGCTACGAAGCAGATGATGTGGTGGAAGGCTCAAGGATTCGAACTCACATAGAGGAGAGAGAGAATGGGCAATTGGATACCCAAATAGGTATGCAACTCGATCCAGGTGGGAGATTTCCGGGGGCGGGGTCTCCATCATTGTGGAGGGAGTGGTGGCGTCAACGGTGCTGGTAATTGTTTGTGACATAGCTGCAGATAAAAACTAATATTCAATAAAATGTCGCAACTCGAATCGTGTATCCAAAAAGAGATGAATTCTAATATGAGTAAGGTTATAATGGATTGGAGTTGGGAAAGATGAGGAGACGAATGGGAGCGGAAAAGTTATTTCGAGAGGTAACCGAGGAAATGGAGCTTCTGAAATCGTGGAGATATCTTGCTATAGGTGGAAGAGCAAAAATCAAACAAACAAGTCAATGGGAAAGGAATTGTATTCTCTATGAGCCAAGTCTCAGGGTCTAATGGCATTAGCCCGTGAGCAATTTAATCAAACTTATACTTTGTCCAGCTAATTGGTTTGATGACAATTCCATACGTCTTGACCTGTAAGAAGCTTTGCAATGCGCGGAAATATATATACGCGTCGCAAATTCACAATCTGAAGGGTTGAAGCAGAACCCCACCAAATTTTGTACATACAATGCACAGTTTCATGCTTTTCATAGATTTGTTTTGGATGAGATCTGATTTGTGAAATCAATAACCTATTCTTCTGTCAACCCGCAAATTTCTTTAGCCGTCCATGAACACTAGGAATGATCCCACACGACGTGGGGTAGGGTTTGACTCAATTGAACCAATGATTAGCTAGAAGCCCCTTGTCGTGAAGATTTAAGCGACGGCACGGTACATTTCAGCGATAGGTTACTATTTGAGGTTAGCGTTTCCGAACTAATTGTTTCTTAGCTGCTCTTCCATTGCAATTTGGTCGGAGCTTCCAGTTTCTTGTCTCCGCCATCAACGTCTCAAAGGTTTAAGTAAAGCTATAGCTAAGAACCAAAGGCTTGCTTAAATGTCTTGGAGTGGCGGTGTTGGCTACAGAGAAGTGAATTCGTGAAAGAACAAGTGATGCAGAAAGCCATGGCATTTAGATATGCCGGGTAAATGTTTTGGGAGGTAAACATCTCAAGATACTGCCATATTGAAGTAAACAACGAAGAAGTTGGTCTTTAGGTTGCAAGTTGCAGCGCATCATCAATATTTTGGGGTAGCCAGATTGACTCGTGTTTTGTAAAGATTACCAGCCTCAACATTCCTTCCTTTCTTCATATTTAAATCAAATAGAACATTAATTTAAAGGGGTGAATTCCCCCCGCTGATTCCCCATGGGGAGAGCTACCATGGGAACCCTTTCCACGTGCTAACTAGGTCGATCACCAATCATGTTCGTCGATAGCACCCAGAAAAAAAAATGGAAAAGGTCTTTCCCCTCAATTTTGATATTCTTTTCCGGGTCTCCCACACTCTCCCACACAAGATCATTCTCTCCATCAAGTTCTCCATCTAAGGAAGTAGTCTATACCCCAAGTAACCTAGTGAGATCTCAATAAACCAGCCAAATCCCAATCTTTAGTGCATGATGACCTTCAGATTCGCGCCTTCACGCGCCAAATCTTCTCCCCCTTTCCACCCCATGGCTTTCTGGATGGATGCGGAACCTAAGCTAGGTCCTCCCTCGTGTGCTATCTAAGCTTCCCCACCAACAACCAAAAAGTAAGGTCATTTTGACTTTTGTCAATAGCATTGGCATAGCATTCGCCGCGCACGGAAGATAAAAACTTGCCAAGACACACACCAAAATGAACATGAATCTTTCATTCTACCCCAGAATGCAATCCAGACTTCCTTGTCCAGTCCCAGGAAGACGGAGCCGTAAGCGTGGCCAAAAGTGAGTTCTGGATTGCCATCAAATTTTGAAGATCCACCATACCAAGTGTTATCTGGATTTTCTTCTTATAAAATGGGTGTTCCGTTACGAGTTGTCTTTTTCATCTCATCATCTTTACTCTCTTCTATCTCTTTCCATATAAACAACTTGATTGTCAAGAATATCTAGTGATCTTTGGCAATTTTATTAAAGTTGCGATATCACAATACTACATTGCAGTTGGGCGGGTCCAAGGGTTCAAGCTTGTGACTCACGTTACTTCGAAGAATTTTTTCTTCACGACGCCAAGGAAATCTTGCGAAATCAGCAACTTCGAAATTTTGGAAGTATTGAAATAGAAGATCATTCAAGATGGGTCTTTTGACTTTGGTAGAAGGTATGATATTTTGGGGGTTCTTCAAAAGAGTAGCCACTAACATTCACCAGATCGGCCTACGCCAGCATGTGTCTACAATGCCCGCGTATACTTCTGCGCAACTGTGTAAGTGATCCCGTTCAATATGCATAGATTCATCAAACTAATCTGTTATACAGAGCTGCGTTTTGTGCAGTGATGATTGGATATGACTCCGCATTTATCGGAGGAACAATAGCTCTTCCATCTTTCAAGAGTGAATTCAATTGGTCACAATATTCAGCCGATGAAGCTCTCCTTATCTCCGAAAACATCGTCTCACTCTATCAAGCTGGTGCTTTCTTCGGAGCTCTCTTCGCTTATGCAGCTGGTCACTATTTGGGTCGTAAAATGGGTCTTCAAGTGTTCTCCGGTGTCTTCATTGTTGGCGCTGGAATGATGTTGGGCGCCAATGGCGATAGAGGTCTTGGATTAATCTACGGTGGTAGAGTTTTGGCTGGTATTGGTGTTGGTGGCGCCTCCAATTTGACTCCTATCTATATTTCTGAGCTTTCTCCTCCTGCTATCAGAGGACGCTTAGTCGGACTGTATGAGATGGGATGGCAAGTTGGTGGCGTTGTTGGCTTCTGGATCAACGTAAGTTCTTATCCCAGCACATTAACGTGATTTCATTTATTGATATATGAACAGTACGGAGTCTCAACTACTATGCCCGCAAATCACAGACAGTGGATCATTCCATTCGCCGTCCAATTGATCCCTGCCGGTCTCATGTTCGCCGGACTATTCATGATCAAAGAATCCCCAAGATGGCTCATGAGCCGTGGTGATCGAGCAACCGCCCTCAAGAACCTCTGCTGGATCAGAAAACTTCCTTCAGATGATATTTACATGCTCGAGGAAGTATCCAGTATTGACGCTGCTCTCGAACAACAACAGGCCACTGTTGGACTCGGCTTCTGGCAACCTTTCAGAGCTCTCGGTAACGATCGCAAAGTCATGTACCGTTTTGCTCTCGGCTGCTCTCTCTTCTTCTGGCAAAACACATCTGGTATCAACGCCATCAACTACTACTCTCCTACCGTCTTCAAGGAGATCGGTGTTGTCGGTACAAATGCCTCGCTCCTCACCACAGGTATTTTTGGTGTCATCAAGGCAGTTGTCACACTCATTTGGCTTTTCTTCCTCATCGACAACTTTGGCCGTAGAAATCTCCTCATGTATGGTGCCTTTGCAGGAGCCATCTGTCTATACTACGTCGGCGCCTATATCGCCGTTGCAAACCCTTCTGCCAACCCTTCTACCACTCTTTCCGCAGGTGGTAAATCCGCCATGGCATTCTTTTACCTCTGGACCGCTTCCTACACTCCCTCATGGAACGGTACCCCATGGGTCATCAACTCCGAGATGTTTCCCCAGCACGTCCGTACACTTGGTCAAGCATTCGCAGCCGCTAGCAATTGGTTCTTCAATTTCTTGGTTGCTCGTTTCACAGCACAAATGTTCAAAGCTATGGGGTGGGGTGTTTTCATCTTCTTTGCTTCTTTGATGATGTGCAGTATTGTATTTGTCTTCTTCTTAGTTCCTGAGACCAAGGGTATCCCATTGGAGAGTATGGATAGACTCTTCAGCTCCGAATTGAAGGCCAGACATGCCCATGGCGTTGTATTAAGAGAATTGAAGGAAGACGAAGAGGCGTTCAGAAGAAACGTAGAAGGAAGTGGAATTGGATTGGACAAGGAAGGAAACGAGAAGAGTGCTCATGTCGAAGTTGTCTAAAGTATAACGGTATCTGGCCTGCTTTAAAGTAGGAAAATGGGAAACTCAAGAGGCTGAGCGGACTTGTGTTTGGTTTTTGGTGTTTATAGTATTTTGGAGGCTGGCTTTTTGTTTTAGGGATCATCAGATGCACATCTTTGAGGGAGTGTTTCTATGATTACCGCTTAGCATTACCACACGCATATATGTATGCATTGATATTAATGAGTTTACGAGTATGATAATATCAAGAATTTAATTCTGATCAAGAAGAGCATCGATGACTTAACGATGATCCCCTTATATGTACTGTGATCGCATATTTTGGTGCCTTATCATACCTTACCTTTGTTGTCAAAAAGTACGGAAAACCAGGAATCCAAATCATGAGCCACACCAATCTTGGTGAACAACTAAATCTGAATCTTCTTGATGTCCGAAGAGTTGTGGATACTTGAAGACAGCGAGTGACAGGCAAGATGGATTTGGCACTGTCATGAAGAATTTCAACTCTTTCCCGTCCTTAAGCATCTTCAACAAACTATCTGCCATCATACTACTCGATTCCTGATGATAAACCAGTAGGCGGAATAGATCGAGGGAGGACAATGGCTGGCCACGGTCAATTATGGTGGTTGTGGATGACACTGGATGTTTTATCTTCAATTATTGGACAGGGAATAGATATTGTAGTTATGCAGTGGATCGAATTGGATGTCATAGTTTTACAACAAAATCATTCATGCCCGTCTGTTGTTCTTGACTAGATATCAATTGACTTTACAGTAGTATACTCGGATCAATCAATGTGCTGCGCTATGGAACCACCGATTAACAAGCGGGAACCGTTGCAAGAGGTGTTTAAATAGGATATGTGGTGACTGTAACTGCGAATACTGCAATAGACCGGAAACAAAAAGTAGATGTTGGAAATTCTGCATTTCCTCACTTCATTTACCCTGGTCTTCTTGACTTCGGAAATCCAAGAAATCCACGGACTACGGACGTCACTTTGAACACACAGCTTCATTCTGTACAATCTATCTGGACAGGTGTATTTACGTGTGTCAAATTTAAGTTCATCAACTAGCCCGTACCCCTACCCTTATCCATGACCCATAACCCCAATCTCCATCCAATTTTGTTGCTTCTTGGTGTCTTCGCTTTCCTTTCTCCATCCACGAAAACTCCACATAGCTAATATAAACAAGAATCCAGTACAACAAGACGCTAAATCATGCACAATTTCATATACAATTTCATACCCATTATCATCCCATCCATGCCTGTCTATCTCCCTCTCCTTCTCCATATTTATGATAATTTGAATATACCTCCATTCTCATGCGTCTCTTGGGCGCTTTAACACCAGTCATCAGCTCAAATTGAGCGATAGCCTGCTCGGGAAGGACTTCAAGACCGTCGACCACTACCCAGGCAGTTTTGGTTTCAGAGCGGAATTGGCGGATTTGAGAGAGGAGAGGAGTTGTAAGTGGAGGTTTATAGGAGAGCTGTTGTGGAATGTTAGTCGGTTTGTAGGATGCATGACGAACGTGTGGAAAAAATTATGATTATTTCAAAAATTGCATTCAATACAAGGAGCGTATCGTGATTTAATAATAACGATCTTAAACGAAGGTCAAGATTTATTGGAACAAATTGAAATGCGTATAAACCTAGAAAAAAGTAGGAGAACCACGTGGATAGCGTTCTGGATACGAGCACTGAAGTGGAAAGACAAGAGTAAAATACGTACCTCTACAACAACTCCACCAGTAGGACTACCCAACCATTGTATAGGCATCGTAAAATTTGCTGGTGGCTGATCTCCAACACTTCGTGCCGGGACACAGGAGACAATCATAGTAGGCGGGCTAAAGCCCTGTGGCCACTGCTCCTGCGATGATTGCAACACATGTACAATTTTGCCATGATTACTCAAACTAGTAGCCCACGAATTGAAGTGATCAGCAACTCTCTGAGCATTCTCAAGTGTTCGATTGAATAAGAATATTTTGCGACAACCGAGTTGGATCATGGCATACACAGCTGCTCGTGCCATACCACCTGCACCGATGACTAGTCCCGTCGTTTTGGATGGCTGGACGACATTTCTTGGAGATATGTTACGGCGGAGACATGTCATTATCCCAATGAAATCGGTGTTGTCGCCATAATAAGCAGTGACGGGTCCAGTTTTACTTCGACGATTTGCATGTTGAAGTAAGGATTGCGTGGTGCCGTCAAGAGAATTGCCGTCTGAGGATGGCCGAAGTGGTAAGAGAGTGTTCACAGCCCCAATAGCTTTTGCATGGTAACTTTTTGGGCCAATTCGCGACATGATCTGGACTTTGAATGGCTGGGTGATGGCTGCTCCACCAAAATCAGGTCGCTGACAGATAGCATGAATATCATCAACGGATTTGACTTGTAATGATTGAAAGTCGTTGCTCATACCACACACTTCATAAGCTGTGTTGTGCATCGCTGGAGACAAACTGTAGGCTACACTGGCTCCAAGATGCACAAAATGAAGTGGATCGAGTATAGACTTTCGGTATAGTTCTTGCCGAGCCTCTGCTGCTGTTGGCAGAAATTGTCGGAGTTGACTCTTACTAACAGTAGAATTCATGACGGGATGCGTTACTGGGGTAAAAATTCGGTTCTCAATTAGCGAACTCCTTCCATGGTCTCCAAGATTATAAGCGATTACTGGAAGATGGCCTGGTATAGATTCGATTTTTCTCAGAAACCCGCGAACAGTCTCGTTGTCACTTTCTTTCGAGGTTGCTCGAGCAAACCTGACTATATCACAACCTATCGACTCGGCTCTTCGATATTGTATCATCCTAGACTCGTCATCCCATCCCCATGAGTTTTCGACACGATGAAGATAGTGTCCAATAGTTTTTGTCCTCCCAGAAGACCGAACAAGCTGCATGACACGATCGGATGAATGCTTAAGATCGATGACAATATACTCAACCCCCAGCCGGAGCCCGTGCTCAAGTAAAGCAAAATAGACATCTTCTTTTTGAGATAAGGACAATGAGAGACCTTCAAATGCATATTCTTCGGCGTGGAGGATAACTGGTACCCCAAGCTCCCTTCTTACCGTGGAAACTTGTTTAGCTAAATCTCTTTGGATATCGGGAGACCTCAGGGCATCAACCTTGATTTGAACTGCGTCGGCTCCAGATTCCAATTGTTGAAGATCCAGATCAGGAATTGTTGACATACGAACAGACAATGCATAGGTATACAGTCTGCACTCCGGTGGCAAAGCTGCGATAGAGAACGGACTTTCTAAACTATTACGAAGGACACCTTGTCCCGTGATGAAGTCAAGAAACGCCGAGAAGTCTTCCTTTGCATGTTTTAATTTTGATGAAACATTGGGAAGTCCTTGATCTTTTGGACTCGCCATTCCATCACAACTTCTATCGTGCAAATTATAATATTCATAATTTGAACAAAATCGATGCGCAGCATCGGCGTTTTCGTAACGTGCAGCTTCGAAATCTCCTATGTTTAGCATTTCTCGGATTCTTTGACTGTTTCGCAAAATATAGATCACGGGATTTGTTTTTGTATATTCTCGACTAGCAGATCAATCAAGTTAGTGAATAATTCCAAGATTGGTACTTCAATATAGGTATGTAGATATATTCGAAAATTAGCCCAGGTTGTAAGTATTGACACAGTCCCAGACTTTGAAGCGAATAGAAGAATTTGAACGGCGAAGATAGAGAAGAGGATTATGCTTACAGTGTCTTTTGTACCTCTGTTGCGAGACTTGCCATTCCACATTCAATAATGCATCCTGTTCTGTTTTCGTATAACATTTGCCTCGCAACGTCAATATTTCTTTTGTGAAAGTTTTGAGCTCCATTCTGCTGGACGTAAGCAGCACGAGAAAGGCCTGTGACTTCCTGAAAATAGTGGTCTTCAGTTATCAATCGTCGACCAAGATGTGTTGCTCCAATAAAACCCAAACTTCGTTTTCCCGACCCTCGGGAACCTATGAGAATGATTGACGCATTGGAGGAGAAAATTCGACCTTTCGTTTGCACTCCTGGTTTCAACTGTATCGCCTTTTCTATATCCATGATTCCATTGTTGGAGATGACTTGAGTTGTTAGAGACATTGTTTTGCTCGCATTCTGGATTTCGTCCCGTAGCACGTGATTGGCTAAAATCAAGGATGAAGGGGCTCCGTTCCAGTACAGTCCAACGAAGCGACAAACTCAAAAATGGTATGGTAAGTGGGATGAGTTGATTACAATCGACAATTTTTTCTCGTGAATAAGTACAATATAACAAGAGAAGAACCAAGGGAAATTGTACAGAAATGGTTACTTATCGAAGTACATTCTTGATCGCTCTTTCGAAAAAGCACCGAGACACACAATCGCAAATGCCGAATGTAGGTCCCTTCAATCAATCACCTAGACCTAGTAGACTAGCCAATGACCGTGGCCAGGTACTAATTAATAAGCGGCTGTCGGGTGAGAATTCTTCCACCTCCAGTTGAATTAGCTCGGACTCTTGGCTGTCTGTGGGGTATGGGGAAACGACGAGATGAATTTGAGTTCAATGTCAAATTTTGTATGGAGAATGAACGGCGACTTTAAGATATCCAATTGCTGTTACCTGGGTGAAAATCAATGCTGTAAATCATCGCGATACCATTGACAGGAATAACGACACCTACCGAGCTGCTAATAACCTTCGCGCGCGACTCAGAACGACAATCCATTTGATATGGTACGGAACCAAAGACAATCCTTCTGGTTGAAGTAAGAAACAAATCGGTCGATGGCATACATATGGTTCGCATGCGAAGGTATCTCGGGTTGAAGCGGGCATCGTCCCTTGTTGTATATTATCCATTGTAGCAATGGAACATGGAAACTCTACCCGGAGCTCGAAGCCTGAAGGGGCGTCATCAAACAATAAAAAGGAGGCCAAGGCTCTGCCGGGAGGCTCGAAGAAGCAATTGCAGGGCACACGAAAACGAGTTTCTCAGGCTTGCGACAAGTGCCGGAGCCGCAAAGATAAATGCGATGGGAACCGGCCATCATGCTCGACTTGTTTAAACCACGGCAGAACTTGCTCTTACGACGCGAATGTAAAGAAGCGCGGGCTACCAGAAGGGTATGTTCGTGGGATAGAGAAGTTATGGGGTCTTACTATAAGAGAAGTGGAGGGCGTTGAGGATGAAATTTTGGCAGTATTCAATGGGGACGAGACAAACGAGGCACTTATCAGCATCTGGAGAAATGAAGATGGACAGCAATCGGACAGCCTGGCTGAGGTATGGAGGAAGTCTCAATTGTCAAGAGAACTGGAAAGATTGCTACCAATATTGGAACCGGGGCCTGGGTCTAGTACTGGGGACATTATTAAGAGAAAACGTCTCGACTCAGATGTCCAAACAGGGAAACGACCTGTGCTAGGGTGAGCATAATCGGGTTTATTTGCATTCTACATCTCTCAATGTTCAACTCTGGTTGAATTTTCATATTGAGTTTGATATATTCGGCTCCAAACTTCCAAAGCAGTTGAAATTTTTAACCTGATTTATCGTTCTCATTCGATCGCACGTTCAGCCTTAGCTAAATATCTAAATAAATCTGAAGATATGGACTTTGCTTAGAATTTTCCATATACATGGAAGCTTAACTTTTGCTGACTCTCGGCTTGTAGTCTAGGCGCCCAATCCGATTCTCCTATATCTGTTCCAGATAATGAACCTCCACCGCGGACTTCAATCAGTGGCTGGTCCGATCAGAAAGTCGATTTTCAGATTCAAGAGGAGCCGCCTGCGTCCCCAATAGCTGGAAGCTCTGTCGGAAAGTTTTCCAACAGTCTTCCAGAACCCATCACACACCGCGGATCGATTTTGAGTCCTGCTCACCCAGCAGCTGCAGTTGGTAGATCAAATCTGCCCGAGCTTCCATCTGAGACCTGGCATCTCCTTGATGTATATTTTTCTTATACTCATTGTTGGCTCCCTGTTATAGAAAAGCATGACTTATTGAGAATATCGTATCAATATTCTCAAACAAGGACCAGTGGAGCAGAGGTTGTCAGTGGAGATCACGCACTTTTATGGGCTGCAATAGCCTATGCCAAATTTCAACATCGAGCTATCAACAATATACCTCATGCTCAAGGGTTGGTATCACAAGATGTATGGACGGCCGAAAGGATGTATACACACGCGAGAGCTCTTATTCCAAATGAAGAAGGAAATCTAGACCTTGGCCATGTGCAAGCTCTCCTGATCTTGACTCTCACAAATTTTGGACTTGGGCATTTAAACAGGGCATGGATACTTATTGGACAAGCTGTCAGGATTGCTATTGAGCTCGGTCTTGAGAAACCGTTGGTTGAGGAGCCAAAATCATCAAGGCATAACTCGAGATCTAAGCACGTGTTTCTAGGTTGTTTTGCTTTGGATACCTTGGTCGCAGCACGCCTACGAAGACGTCCACATTTAAGATCAGATGATCTGGACTGTATTGGAATGTTAGTCGAAGATGGTTTGGAAGAATGGGATCCTTGGACGGACTGTCTCACTGTGCGAAGGAGTGCTGTTGGAAACTCTAGAGTTCCAGCCTCTATCCTGAGTACTTTCAATCGTCTCGTCCAAGTTCTCCAAATTTTGAATGATGCAAGTTGCGCATCCGATAGTGCAAAAACTGTCCAATTCAGCACCGGATTGCTGGAAAGGTTACATATCTGGAGTCGATCCCAATCGCAGCCTTTATATTTCGACTCTACTGCAATGAATAGCGAGCAAGCTTCTTCGCTGCTACCGCATCATTATCATCTTCATATTGCATATTTCACCACGCTTGCGGAATGCCAGCTCTTATCACATGGTCAAAGAAAGGGAAGCCCTGATTTAGAACCTTGCACAAGATCGGCACGGCAAATCGTTCACCTTTTGAAACGACATTCTTATACATTTGGGCTTCTAATAGTTCCACCAACATTCGAGTACTTCACCAAGAAAGCATATGATGTTGTTCATGCGGTTCTGCGAAGTATTGACAATACACACATTGGTGAGCTTGATTTTATTTTCTCCCTTCCCAGTGCCCTACTTCTTTTTAGATTCTGATTCTTCCTTAATGCCTAAACTTCTTCATTTCTTTCGTCTTCTGTGACGAGCGATTACTGACAACCTGAAATCGCAGTTCTCGACGATTGGAAGTACAACTTAGATATGTGCGTTTCTACCATGGAGCCAGCATGGCCAGTTTTTGAATCTTTCAAAGATGCTGCCGAAATCGCCCTACTAAAAAACCGACGTGAAAGCCAAGCTGCGTTTGATCTCATGGTCCCAGCAGCCGCCGAAACACCCCAATCGGCCAAAACGCCTAATAGTACAGCCAGCTACGAAATTAGTCAGCCATATAGTCCTCAAGTCTTCCGATCACAATCAATGAATAGCATGGATACATCACGGCCCACTAGGAGTAATCTCCAATATACGAAGAATTTAGTGCCGCCAACATCACATGTGAGTCCATTCATATCTTGATTTTGAATTCTCCAGCTTGCGACATTGCGTGAAATTTTGTTTTCAAAGCTTGGTGTCGAAACTTCCAGAATTAGGGCTACCGTGCGACCGTGCCATTCTCATCTTGAGATAAAGTTGTGTTCCTTGTTATACTGAAGACTTTCTTCACAAGTAATTGCTGACTCGTCGGTGACGCAGTCCAAGCACTCTTTTAATGGTTCTCTTACAGAGAATTTTTCTACAAGAATCTCGGAGAGCCCTCAATCGGTCTATAACAACGGAAATACCACAACTCTAAACTCATGGGGTGCTCCTCAACAAAATCAGAACCAAAACCGGGCAACTAATCAGATGCCGTTTGGGTTGCTCCAGCAATCTCCCAACTTGCAACAAACAGTACTTCCAAACAGCCTGGAAACCGATGGTGATTCGATATTCAACGATTTTGCTGTCATGGATGCAATGGAGTGGTACGTTATTCTTTCGAAACCGCACATAGTAAGAAAAATCTTGTATTAACAGCATGTAGGACGAACAGTATGGATCAGAGTTTAGTAAATCTTGGATTTGAGGATCCCGACAACCGAAATAAGGATTTTTACACTTTCTGCCGGGAACCTGACCCGCTATATTCGAACAATAGTATATTTCAACAACTGCTAGCGAGCTCCGCAGCAGATTCATTGGGGATGGATAATCATGGTTTTGGAAATATAGGAATGGGCATGCCTGGCGGTGCAGTGTTTGGAGAAGGAATGGATTTTGGACACGGCGATGAGGGAATTGAGGCAGGGCAGATACTCCAGGCACTGAGTGCTGCCGAGGAGCAAAGAACAAATCCTGGTGGGAATGGTTGAGGTGCTTCTGCTTTAAATAAAAAAACCCTTCGAAGAGATAAATGGTTTTGTATGGATTCATGCAGGGTTCAATGTCAATAGCGGAAGATATAATTGCTAACCGACAATCATATTTGATATGTACAAAATATGTACTATGTATATTTAACGCCATGATGTATAAATGTTTCCATCCCGCCAAGCGCCGTGTAATGCATATCGTCTACCTACTCCATAAATCCAAAAGTTACAAGCGAGCCATAACGTCAGTTCCAATTTCCCCCCTTCTCTCCCTCTCTGCCCTTCTTTCGTTCATATTAGCACACACGTTTTCCCATCCCATCTCCTCACATACAAATTCCCAACTTCTGACAGCTCTATCAGCATGTTCTCTTGGAACATGATCGCCTTTCTCCACCAAGCTTCGATTGAATAACTCGAAACTCACCCAACCCTTATATCCTAAGCCATCACATATAGCTTTCAAAACATCCATCACGGGAAGATAACCCCCTCTATCCTGCTCTCCCAGGAATAACCTACAATTCCTGCTCCACGACATTCGTGCTTTCATTCCCTCGGTATAAAACTCGTGGCCTTCAACCAGCGGCTCAGCCAGGCGCTCTGCATCAACGATCTGGATGTAGAATACTTTTTTGGGATCAATAGTCTGTACCATCTTCTCCAAGCTTTTCTTGAATGTCGCTTGAGCATCAGGTACAGTACCCGAAAGAGAAGCGGGGTCAGCAAATTCGCGCCCAGCGATATTGAATGTGTCTAGACATAATCCAAAATTTTCCCTATCAACACCCTTTACGATTTCCCACGCTCCACTCCACGTATCAATATGTGCACCAAAACACAGATTTTCAAATGCGAATCTGAAAGGTGGTTTTTGAGCAGCGCCCAAATCGGCGATTTCGCGAAGATCGGAGACCATTTGTGATATGGAAGGGGTGTTTCCAGACGAGGAAGTAAATGTGGAGGGAATCTGAATGATATCTGTGCCTAGTATACGGCAAACTTGGAACCAAAGATTTAGTTCTTGAAGTTTAGACTTTTTAGCGGAAGAGGAAAGAGATCCTTCTTGGCAAAAGAAGGGCCCGCAGGCTATGATGGGAAGACCATAATATGAGGAGAGAGAGCGAATATATTGCGCAGCGTGAATATGAGAGGAAGGTGATGGATGAGAAGGTAGGGTGGAGGCGAGATCGGCTAGATCTTCGTAGACTATGGAAGAGTTTAGTTTTTGTGGTGGTGGAAGGGACGGTGTTCTTACACATTTCAATACCAGAGAGACCTGCATCTCTGGCAGCTTTGAACTTTTGTTCGAGACTATGATGGGCAAAACAGCGCCCGAGGGACATGCTTGCAATTGCTGGTTTGAAAGACATATTGATATTGGTTTTATGTAGAGATGCAATAATGATATGAATATAAATTACTGGTTATATGCAACGCAACGCAACGCAACACGATACAGTCGAAAGACGACAATAGTGAAGAGCAATATGACGAAATATAGAGTGTTTAACTTCAATCAACTAAGAGAACAATCGATCTCGGAGAGATATGGGAACAATAGAAATATATGCAGCAAGTCACAAAGTTACATCAACAGTCAAGAAGAGATTGAGATTGACACAGTCAAGTAAAGGGCCAGTGCATTCCCCCTCCCTGATAAGGTCCACATCTCATATCTTTTCCCATAGAGATAGAACTACTATCTTTTATTCCCTTCCCGAATGGATAAGAATTTTAGAAAAACAGGCGTACGATCAAAAAACATTTGTCAGTTTCATGGCTAATTCATGCGTTAAAAGAATTGTCCGTCAAATACGGCTAAAGACATTGCCGCAAAAGCCTCTTGGTTCCAAGATTTGCGGGGAGCTGGGATTAATGTGCGATGCTAGCCGGTGTTGACGTTCGTATCAGTCAGCTTGGCAGCACATCCACCTGGTGATCGAATTTCTCCGCATTTACCTGCGCAAAGGACACTCCCTCGGCTCATCTACGTACAATTGCATGAGGATCTGGCGGGGAGGTAGACAAGCAAACAGGGAGTCGGACAGGTAGGTAAACGGGTGGGTTTGCGGTTGTTGGCTGAGTTCCATCGCATCATTGCTCTGTTTAATAACAATGTCTCATACTCATAAACAATGACTTCAGCATCTACAGAACAACCAATCTCCATTGCTATCATAGGCTCCGGTCTAATCGGTCCTCGGCATGCACAATCGATTCTTCAAAATCCACAGGCCACTTTGCATTCCCTCACAGATCCTGCTCCACATGCCGTCAAAATTGCGACTTCCCTATCGACCACCTACTACTCCTCGCTACCCTCCCTTCTCTCATTCTCCTCGCTACCAACGGCAGTCCTAATCTGTACCCCAAACCATACCCATGTTCCTATTGCCATCTCTTGTATCGAAGCTGGCATAAAATATGTTCTGGTGGAAAAACCCGTCTCGACATCCATACAAGAGGGCGCTAAATTATTGTCCATTGCAAAAGAATATAATGCTACCATATTAGTCGGTCATCATCGACGCTTCAACCCCTATCTTGTATCTGCAAAAACTGAGCTTGATTCTGGAGTACTCGGTCAAATAATTGGTGTTCAAGGTATATGGGCGTTGAAAAAGTCCTCATCATATTTTGACGGTATTGGAGAATGGAGAAGAAATGGTGAGAGCGGTGGCGTGGTGCTCATTAATTTGATACATGAACTCGATTTGTTACAATACTTACTAGGCAAGATTACTATGGTGTCTGCTATTGAGAGTAAGAAAACTAGAGGCTTTGATGCTGAAGAAGGAGGGGCGATGATATTGCGATTTGAGAGTGGAGTAGTAGGAACCATTTTGCTAAGCGATGCTGTTCCCTCTCCATGGAATTTCGAAGCTGGTACCGGAGAAAATCCTACTGTCCCTCAGGTAGGTAAGGAGAATGGTGCGGGTGGGTTCTATCGAATATTGGGGACGAAAGGAGGTATAAGTGTGCCTGATTTAACAAGGTGGAGTTATGAAGTTGGGGAAGGAGAGAAGGCGTGGAATGATGAGTTGAAAAAAGATGAAATACAGGTTGATACTGAAATTGTGCCTTTTGATGAACAGATCAAACACCTAGTCCAGGTAGTAAAGGAAGGTAAGAAACCAATATGCAGTGGGGAAGAGGGTTTGAGTGCGATGGTGGTATGCGAGGCAGTGAGAGTGGCAATGAAGAGCGGGGAGATGGTTGAGATTGAGGGTCTGGATATTGTAAAGAGAATTAGCAGGCATAATTAAATATTCAAACCATATCTAGGGAATCGATGTCGCAAATGTTTCATATTATAACTATCCTCGACGTTAATAAGATGCGAAAGTAAGACATTGATGAATTGCGGCAATTCAAGTAGCTTTTGCCTTTCTAAGCGACCTCATATGACAATCTCACCCTCCAAAATTCTGTACGGCACAAGACTCTTACTAAATACAGGTGCCCTTGTTGCTCTATGATATATCTAGTCTGCCCTTTCACTCTGCTTAATTTCATATTCTTACTTTGGTTTAAGCATTATCATGAATGTTACATTACTACATTACAACATTCCACAACATCATACTTTAGTCACCAGATCATTCCTGATTATCCTCTTTCGCCAATTCATCCTACTCTTGTAGGAGTTCCATAGCTCACTCTTTTGGGAGAGTATTATATGAAGGTCATCTTTCAATTCATGCGCATGGTGCAGTACATGATTTTTATGTTATTGGAATACTCCCTCGGCACAAATAGAAGGCTCTTGAGTCCCACAGCGAGATTAGATCATTGTCCATCCTAAGAAGGCTCCTATATAGCACCAATAATAGAGAATAGCTAAGGCTGTTAGCAAAAGATTGTAATCTTATCGGGTGCTATATTGATACATTGATATCGCGTAACTTTCACTGATCTACTTTTGCTCCAGACATAGGTGAATTGATTTCCATATCCTTGAATAAGAGTTATCACCACGATTCTTGGTATTTCCGGCGCAAGATGAGCCGGCTCGCTACTAGAACTATGTCATGTTTTGATGATGCTAGTTTGTGTCGTAGCCCACAACACGAGTAATAAAGGTAAAGGAAGCTTCGAATTTGCGTGTGGATATCTTCGTAAGGACCAATTGCCCCATCACTCTTTCTTTTGCTCCGATACATGGGCTTCAGTCAACTTCTATAGTATCGTTTGTAGGGACATCAGGGAGTTAGATTTGATCATTGACTTTCCCAATCACGTGCGCTAATACTTCTACCGAACTCTGCGATATCAAAAACTTCAGATGAGATACTCTATAGATTCGAAAGTCTTGCGCCTGATCAGATAAGAGATACAATCTCAGGCCGGATCATGTATCGAACTCTTTCGTTTTGGCTTTACTAACGGCGTGGAACTCCACATCCAATCCCCATACTTTTCTCACAAGACACAAGTCAGAGCTGGTTGCTATGTGTAGAAATTTCGATGGATGCTTTGCTTGCCTTCTGAGTGAATTTGACGGAATGCCATGTGAGAGCCTCAGCTGAGACTTATATGGAACCAAGCTCCTGAACATGGCCCGAAACTCATCTAGCTAGAAGTCATCTTCAATTGAAGTCTCATCAACGATGCCCTCCCTACCTACCCTCAACGTTATGAAATAGTCAATAGATTCAAGAATAAGTTTTCACCTAGCACATCGACGCGCTCATAGGTCTGTTCCAACACTGAGATATGATGAATACATAGTGATAGATTTTAGGTAGTAAAGCTTTCATCCTCCCAGATTTTTCCATTCGCAATCAAATTTTATCATCAATTTTGATTCAATCATTTCGAGTGAATGCTCAGTGACTAATAAACGCACACAAATCAAATTGAAAGAAATTGCAAAAGCAAAGGCGCAAGTAACTCAAACCGCGACTTGAAGGTAGAATTTCTTTCGACTGACAATTATCAATTGTGTTTCTATTACCTTCGAAGATGTCATTGTGTACGATTGTTGTGAACATGTCAGGTGAAACCACGATGACGGGGTCTGCAAATCTTTCCCCATGGCTTCGAAATGATACGGTAGTGGAACTTCATAAGAAGGTGGCATTCTTGATATTTGAGGAACTTGTTGACAGCGGTGATAAACCTACTCTTGAAACAGATCACTTAAGAACAATTGTCCAGGCTAATCAATCAAAAACATCATGTAATAATATTTAAATCTATCACCACTACAGCATCGTTCTGATGTACGTGATATTGAGGTTCCGCTTGATTACTTTGAACGTCTCATTGATACGGAGGTTGCAATGGGTACGCCTGCGAACAGAATCGTATTCATGGGAGATAGTCAGGGAGCTTCAATCTTGTATCTTTTTTTGCTCACTCGAAGAAAGGCCGCGGGCCTTTCAGCTATTAGTACATGGGCGGGGTTCTCCGCGACGCCGCTGGAAACAATAGCACAGATGCAAGGAGAAAAAAATGTCTATCCGAGAGTTGGACGAAAGATACACGGTTGTATATGCTGCACGGGAAGGAAGACGTCTTTGTCCCTCTATCGAGATCTGAAGCTCTTGCGGCTGCGCTTGAGCGTTATCATGCCCGTGGCCAAGGATTTACTACTCTTGAGTGGTCGGTTCTCGCTGATTTGCGTCATTCCTTGGTTGAACGTGTTTGGCCTTGCGTTCGAAAGATTTTGGAGCGCCTTTTGACAGAAATAGAGTCAGCATCAAAGCTATCAAGTTTATCTTAGTCCTCTTCCCACGATATTCAAATAAAATCATACCTCCCCCCACAATTTTCCACTTGCTACAAATTGTTCTGAGGTTGAGTGCAAAAACAAGCGCGTACATACTTCGACACTGAAGCAAGCTGGTTGCATATATGCATGAAGGAGAAACAAATATGTAACCAAAAAGCAAAAGAATGGTGAAGAGAAGGTGGTGAAGTGTAGAATACGGGGCTGAATAATGACAGTAATTGTTTGAAGAAAGGTAGTGATAAATGGATGGTGATGGGCGTTCGTTTGATGACAAAGAGTAGTGATAGAAATTCTGTTGAACAAATTTTTGAGAAGAAACAAAGATATAAGGAATCCAGATGGGTGCTGAGGATGAGGACGAAACATTTGAATCAAACCCCCCCTGGGGAACCGACAGCATAGTGAACAGTTCTTAAGGTGTTTTGATTTTTATTCGTTGATGTGTAAGCAACCTGTTAACTAAATCGGCCAGGGTGCAAGGTTCTCGACTTGGTGTAGAGATATCTCCTTAATTGCAATACATATATTGCTTCAAGTGACTGCGTAGACTATTCACTCTACGATTTTATAAGTGAATGTCGATGATAATTGTGGAGCTGAGTGGGTTTGAGCTAATCGACCATATCTAAACAACTGTTCCACGGAACTTATCTACATTCCTATTGAACTGATGACTACTGGAGATCGAATGATTCAGGAAAACCTGTTTGGAAATATTGCCTTGAATTCTACCCTTTTCCCGCGTAGGTCTCTGCCCGCAAAATACTTGATTTCAAGACCTGATAGGGCTGATCTGAAAAGAATGTTTGACTTGCACGTCCGTTTGATGAGGGAATATCAGCAACTTGAATGCAGTATTTATCCCAGGTAAGACGAATCAAGCTCCCGCTGATTTGAACGCATGAGGATTGTTAAAAGCTCGTCTGTCTCGTCCATCTCTTCTATCAGTCATTCATGATGACAGATATGGTGTGTTGACGCTGTTGTAGAGTTTGAAACCGGCATGGATTGTACCCATGAAATACGCATCACTCGTACACCATGGTGCATACATCTACGTCACACCTCTTCCCGTTTTCAAAACTACGCTTCGTCTGCCTCCTTACCTGATGTTTTGACGAATGGTCCCTACTGCAACATATCATAGATGATGTGTCTTTCTTGTTTTTGAATCTTTCACCAAACCGCCTAATCAAATACCTGATGTGGTGAAGATCACACGCTTAAATTCTTATCCAACGGAGTAGAATCTAGTTCTGAGAGTTTTTTTATCCAAAGAGCTGTTAGCGCGTTTTTGTACTTTCGAGGTCTGCAAATTAATGGTCCGTTTTTGTTTCCACGTTCTTTTCACCAGTATCATCGCAAAATTATACACTGAGTTGATTGAATCCTGATTTCGATTATGAAATGGTCATGTTTGCAAAGTCCTGCCAATCAACGAAATTCGATAGTACATGATAAGATGAGAGCCTTGATGGATTTCAAGGTAGAAAAAGGGTAAGGAAGACTTGAGGCCCTTCAAGTTGCCCTCTATGGGTTGGATGTTATTATATAGAATATGATAAACACTCCAAAAAATATGACTGAGTATAGACACATTCCTAGACACGAGTTTACGAGGTTCAAGTACTTGAGGAGTTAACTAGTATTATTGAATTTCGAGAAGGATTGTATAATAATGTATTCTGTGCTTTTTAATTAGAACAAATATTTCATTTTCTAATGTATAATTTCTCATTACTTCTTTTAAATCAGAGATGATTTCAATTTCAAATAACCCTATTCAACGATCATCCAATCAAAACCCGGGGTAAGATCTATACCCATCCAGTCTCACGAATAAATATTCTATGGAATCCTATAGGTCAGGGTGAATAAATATCCTCCAGGTCTCAAAATCTCCGGATGGAGTACGAACGTCAAACTCTGGCATTGAAGTTAGCGATTCATCCACGGAACAATTTCAAGACTCAACAAAATAGCGATCTTTGATACCCTATTACTTTTAAAATGTAGATCATAACTAGAGTGGACTTCAAGTCTTCATACTATCAGCCGATAACCATTGTATACTACGTTCTATACTTTGAAATGATAAGTATACTCGAGACGAGAACTCGCTTGTCAGGAGAAAAAACAGTGGGGCAAATAACTCAACAACAAAACTCGGAAACAAAAGGGAAAAAAATAGTTATAGACTTTTCAAGGAAACTTGGCCGAGGCCAAGAAGGACAGCAGATGCGCACTACCTCTAGGTGTCACTTTTTATTCGATCCGTAGATGTGCAGTCAACGACGACCCCGTCGAGCCACGGTGACTGGTTTTCGTAATAGCGTATGTTCAAGATGTCGTTTAACTCAATACATCTAGCTTGCTTCTTTAAGCGGACTTGGAAAAGCCACAAGGCTGACTTCCTACCGCCACATTGCTCTCATGTGACCAAAGAAAACTTATAATACTGAGGAGGGCCCCGGGGCCGGGGGTTCCAAAGTGAACCTGGAACGATGATGTTGCGAATCACGTAACAGCAGTGGCTGATTGAATTCCTTGAGATTCATATTTATAGACATCTAATATTTATAAAACTTATCTTACAATGTGTATAGTTCTACCAATAAGATTGCCCATCAGTAAAAGGGTCTGTCTGAAACCCTCGAGTCACAAATGTCCAAGTCCTTTCTTAGCATCCTATTACGAGCATAGAGGCGATCAAGCTCGTCTTCTGCACGAGTGATATCCCGACTAGCCTCCCATTTTTGGTGCAAAATACCAGGTCGAACATCATTAAGTTCAGCAGCATCGTTAAAAAAATACATTGGATCCTCCAACCTGACATGATCCCTTAAATCCTCCAACCTTTGTGTTTGTGCCGGATCTCGAACCATAATTGCCAAGTTAACGGCATCCTCCATCATGATATCTAAGAGCTGGATTGGTAGTTCTTTGTCATCGTGAATATCGCTATGTCTAATTTGTACGACAGCGTTGAGAAGCGATAAGAAACTGGAGATCCTCTGGTTTCCGACTAATTTCAAGGTATTCATAGATATTTTCCCACTGAATTACATTGCGGTGGAACAAGTGGAGTTGCACCTTCGATCGCCGCAACCATTTCATTTCTCGCAATCTTGTTGAATGATACCTAGCGCACCACTCGTAACAAGCGGTGGTAAGGGCTTCGTTGGCTTCTTTGAGGATTCTACATTGGATTTCTGGGTCGCAGAGCTTGATATCAGGTTGGTTCATCAATCTCTCGTAGACGTGTTGGTAACCACCCAGATCGTGGGAAGGTAGATTTGGGACGAATGTTTTTCCTGCTAGATGCAAATGATTTAGTCAGATACAGCCCATGTTCTATTATATGTGACACTTACCTCCAAATCGAGCCCTTTTTGAACGGGGTTGCCCAAAATCCAGTTCGCTGTTTCTGCGACATCTCTTGAATGATTTTATGACGACCGTGGAGATAGATATCTCTTCATTTCGAGTGTTATCTAGTACCTCATCACTCGTTTGACGATTGCTACCGCGCCCTTCACCGTTGTCTTTGCAGGAGTTCGGAGCACGTAAAACCTGGTCTGTATCAGAAATCCCTTAAAAAGATGATTGTAAGCTCTGCAATGATGCTCTTGAACACTCTGGGCATCAAGCAATTCCCCTGTTTGATTTACCGTGTTCTCTGTACTTTCACTGCAGAATTTATCGGTTTCATGCGGAGGTTGAAATAGAACAGCTGCACCGTCGGTGTTGATGGACTTATTGACGGGAATGTTGTTTTTCTCTCCGTTTATGTTTTCACTATCTTGCGGCCAATCTTTATCATTATCTCTGCTTTCAAAGCTTGTGGTGCCATCATTTCAATTAGTACAAGAGACAACATATGCCAGGCAACATACAACTTCTAATGAACAATTTTCTTTCTCGAGCGGAGAATTTATTATCGTCTTTAGGGTATAACCACTGGAAGAGACATGAAGAAATCGTTTTCTGGCGGGTGAATCTGGCTTCAGCCATCCATCTTTTAGTATCTCTGTTACTTTTTCTGAGATTTTTTTTGGATTAAGGCCATCGAGATATGCGGATTTTGCTTCGAAATTTTCGTCCACAATCTGTCGGATTTGCTTCTGTGTGGGATATGTGCCATTGTCGCCTTTGAAGATATCTTGGAAAGCCAGGAAGACCAACCTCTTATTTCTATTTAATGGTGTATCGGTGAGCTCCCACGGCTCTCTACTTTCAGAGACAGAATGTGACATATCTATATATCATTGAGATTTCGACTGTGAATTTGTGACAGAAATGAAAAACATGTGATGGTATAAACATAGGCTAGGCTTTCTATTTGAAATTTCTACTCTGAATGTTGTTTCTCACTAGTACAGTAGGCTGTCTGAGATGCTCTGAAGTTGATCGGATGATAGTGAGTCAAGGTGCGATACTATGGGAAAATGGCGATTTATTCGAATTACATACATCATCTGAGCTTATTTGAAAAGACCCTATAATTATCTCTAAGAGAGTTCTTTTGGGCCTTCTATTATTAGATTGGCAACCAGTTGGAGGATTCTATGGTAACTATCTGGTCAAATTGTGGTCTAGCAATAGCAGTGAACGTATTCAGATCATTAGAGATAATGATGTTATAGAATTTCAACGGAAATCAAAATTGAAGTCGCATTTTATTCCTTTCATCTGTATTTATACTTAGGAACATCAAAATAGCATAGATCTGGTGTATAAGGTTATCGTATGGGGGAATGCAAGTGAAGGCAGCATGGCGTGATTGACAGCGCTCGCTCGCTTATTTTCCAAGCCGATTAGTATCAACTGGATACAATCTATTCGCGAATATTGGAGGTGTAGTATGTTCTCTATATACTTTCAATGTGAAATATAACACATAGAGAAGTAAAAGATTGAAGAAGAAGTAGCAGCAAAGCGATAGCGAGCTTCACTTCGTATGCCTGTCATGTACGATTTTCAGGAGAGTTTGGTCAACATAGACAAGTGGCAGATGATTCGTAATGAGATCTCAACCATTAACATAATCACTAAGAACTGAAAGGCAATGAAGATAAAAGATCATGAATTCTTCAAATTATAAAGTCTTGCGTTGAAGTACCAAATGCACACCAGTGCTCCCACTAAGCTCCACTACATCTCCCATCATGCTTCCTAATCCTTGTCAACATTCTTGACATCATTTAAGAATTCAGCAATTTTGTCTCCATCACCTAAGCAATATATTAATTAGTAAACCAATTGCTGGAGGTATAAAGGAAAGGAAGCGTTGAACTGACGAGACATATAGCAATCCCAGGCCTGTACAATATCCAACGTGGCTTCCACATCAGCCTCGTTGATATCGAAACAACTCTCGTCAAGATAATTACGCAAGGCTCTATTTACTTCTTCTTCCGTAATGTTCTTGGAGGTAAGCAGACGTCTGTATTCCTCGGCTATTTTGCTTCCTTCTTCGTGAAGCCGAGTTACTTTTGTTCTTGTGTGGATTGTTCGTTCAAAGCCCCACTCAAGAGCGAGCTTTGTGTATTCCCACTGAGCATCGCCGTAAAGTATCTTCATTAATTTGATTAATCTGGGAGGGCTTGTTGTCGATAGGTTAATATCTGTGGCCGCAGAAGGGTGATCGCTCCGGACTGTTTTACTAAAGTCAGGGTGTCGAAACTCTGCAATGAATTTCTGAATAGAATCATCAAGTTCATCTGGAAGGTATGAGTATCAGCAATGTATATGACAGAATGTGCAGCATGGAATCTTGATTACAAATTCCAGCATTTGGAGTATTAATTTCTGCCACCAAAATCAGAGTCTCTAATGTCGCATATACATCGATCTCTTTGATTTGTTGTTCCATTGGTGTATATCTTGATTCACCAATCGTGTTCTTTCCAGATACATCGGTTCTGTATGCGAAAGCCAGATCTGTACCAAAATTTAACAACTCTGTGGTACGAGATGCCATAAAGTGTAGATCGAAGAGATGTAGATCGTAGAGACTTCTAGCTTCATGATCAAGGACGAAGTCGAGGAATTTCTTGGTAACTTTCCAATTATTTCCAAAGAGAAATCGAGCGAGCTCAATGAAGTCTTTTCGCTCTGTTTTCATTTTTCGTTTGTCGTCTACTGGGGGGGTAGAGGGATCGGCTTGGTATCAAAATCAGCTCAAGGTTCTATGAGATTGTGTAAAAAACTTACATTGTTGAAGAGAATCACTTGCCTCATTATTGTTAAAGATCATCATCGTAAGGTGCTTAAAGCGTAGTTTGTGATCTGTCTTTGAGGAAATATGTATTTAATTATTGATATGTGTTGAGTACAGATCATTAAAGGTGGCCTGTAAGAATATGCTACAAAAGCTATCAGAAGTGGTTTTACGAAGTCAAATTGTAGGGAAGATCTTGTCCTTGAATATTCAAGGGAAATGAGGCTCTTTATGTGCACGTAAGACCTGGATATGGAGAGCACCCAGTCTCAAGGAAAGGTTCGAAATCGAACGATGTGACTCATTGAGTTGAGTCGAATGACTCGATTCGATGAAGTGAATTGCAGCTTCTTGGCTGTGAAACAGATGTAGGCACGTGGATCCGCGAAACTTTCTAGATTCATAAGTATCTGCTCTATAAATTGCTGGGAAAGAGATATCTCACAAAACAAGCGTTTCAATTCGAAGATCTTCAAATCATAGTATACAACGGCTGGCTATAAAAAGAAGTCACCCCAGCAGCCGGCCAGATCATGCCACTCGATGACTACACGATCGCAATTCAGTCATAAGTGGGAGCACCATAGTCAATGACGCAGAATAATGACGAAACTGAGAATTAGAGCTCAGGGAATATGAAAGGAAACCACACGTGAAAAGTTTCCCCCAAAAATGCCATGAAAAGAGAAAAACAGCACTTTGACAAAAATACAACCAGCCCTTACTCCGCCATTAAATATCGACCACAACACCATCTATATGCGAATTCTAAATGCAATTCGTTGCCCGCAATTTAAGACTCAAATTTCAAACACCAGAAAATGCAAAAACCATCCAAACCATCCCCCTTTACTCCTCTCCGACTCCCACAGGCAAAATCCCCACATTTCCAATCGCTTGCGGATCTACAATATACACTCGTTAGACAATTCTTCTCAATTCAATGACATCACTCGAGACACATCTTCACGCACACTATCCACGCCACAATTTGACCCAGCACCAAAAATAAAGAAGTAAAAAACTTACTCCAGAAAACAAACCCACTATCCACCTCCGTCTTAATCCCCAGCAATCTATCATACGTCCCATTCCCATAATACATTTCCGCCGCTTCTTCCGCCGACAAATCCGGATCCACATAATTTACATAACCCGAGAAATTCCCCCTCGGTTGCGCATCCAAAACCGCATTCGTCATCCCCTCAATGACTTCTGTGATGCGGTCATCCCACGGTGGGAGATGCGTGGGCGTGTATCCGTAATTTTGGAATACCCAGAGCGCATCCATATCTGCATGACTAGAGGAGGATGTCTCTCCGCTATCGATAGCAGATCCAGGAGCACCGTAGAGATTGATGATGGAGAAGTAGGGGATTTGTGGGGATTGATGAGAGAGGATATATGAGAAGAACGCAAGGACCGCCTCGGGGGTGAGAGGTTTTTCATTCTTGGTCACGAGAGATTTGACATAGAAAGTGTCGTGTAAATCGTAGTTTAAGAGGGGCTGGGCCAGCGGATCGGGTGCGGCGAGGGTAGCTAGTGTATCGATCCAGGATAGATTCGTGATATTCCGAGAATCGATATCGAAACCGGATACGAGTTGCGGGAAAACGATATCTCGAAAATGGGCAAGATCGCAAAAGGTACACAATCCTGTGATTGCAAGACCGCCTGCACTGTTGACATTGAACCCAAATGATATATTCGGTGTAAGTAAAGGACTCTTGAGAACAAAATCTTGCGTTTGCAAAAACGCGGCAGAGACTTTTTCGGCGCTGGAAAGCGTAGATGAGAGATTGGCGGTGAAATATGTAACTTCAGCTGGTGCAGCAAGTGTTTGCATATAAAAGTGTGTGACAATACCAAAAGCATCGGCGGCGCCTCTTAATGCGTACCAGAGATCGGTATTCTCGGTTTCGCTTGTATGGACAAATGTGCCGTTGGCGAGGACAACGTCGAGTCCAACGATTGTGTCGAGTGCTAGTCCCCAGAGACGGGAATCGTATCCATAACCGCCGTGTGTTGCATGTCCGCCTGGTTAGTAGATTAGAATGGATTCGTACCAATATCTCACTTCCGGCATAAGTATCTTACCTATCCCAACACCAGCACATGTTCCATGCGGTAAAGCTCTTCCACCCTGCGCATGAATCCCCAACGCCACATTACCCAATCTCTGTCCCGCGCCTATCTTCGCAATATATGTTTCTGAATCCCCGCACGTCAAAACCCCATCTTTCTGTCATAAAAGAATAAACAGAAACTTACCCTGATCTACCAAAATCTCATCAAACCCACTCATATCCACCACCACACTCCCATTCTTCCCGCCAATACTATAACTCGCATAACTATGACCCCCACCTCTCGGTTGAACCTTCAACCCCGCCCTCGCCGCACAAACAACACTATTTCCCACCTGCTCCTGCGTCTTCGGTAACGTTACCGCCGTAGGTGTATATTGCAGACGTAAATTGAAAGGAGTAGTCAAATTGGCCCAGTTCGGAGAAGTAGCATTCGAATAGGGAACGGAGCGCGCTTGAAGACATTCTTGCAGGATGTGGGACGCCTGTGATTCGGGTTCGGAGGGTGGAGTTTGAGAGAGAGAGCTGCGGGTAAATGTGCTGAGGATAAGCGATGTAAGGGGTAGTCGAAGATACATTTTGATTGGCGATTGTTTTTGGAGGAGATTGTTATTGTAAAATCGATAGGCTGGGAAAGGAGCGTCGGAACTAGGAGGGGAATGCTCATTCTATAGTCGCCTTATTTTTGTATAACTGCTGCGACTTCATTCCTAGCGGTGGTAAACTTTCGTTTGCGCAAATTCATATGCCTAATCCGGAAATTTTTCAATGCAAAATTACCCGAAACAAAGATTTCCAGCCTCATCTGACAAGACGACTCCCCAAACCCGAAAACAAGTAGGTATCACTACACAAGAAATGGGGAATTGAGAAAAACAGAATGAATTGGTTGAAAAAAGTTTTATAATTTATAACAAATATCTAATTCGGTATTCAGATGCAATTGTCATCTATACCTTCCCACCACCAAAGACAGCTCCCAAACGCCGTTCTCATCTTATCATACGTTGAAGTATTAATTGCAAGACTGAGATAATATTATACAATCGCTTTAGCCATACCCGTCGCTTCATCAGTCAATATCGTTACGCCCTTTCTCTTCTTGAGAACATTCTCTATGAATGCCTCACCGGCTTTGTATGAACTTCTCACTAGAGGTCCACTGGCACAATATAAGAAACCAAGATCTAATGCGCGTTGACGCCACATCTCGAAAGCTTCGGGCGTAATATATTCCTCTACTTTCATATGACGCTTAGTTGGGCGCATATATTGACCGAAAGTAACGACATCAACGTTGACTTCTCGAAGATCTAATCATAAATTATTAGCAATGAGTTGTGCGGAAGACGGACATGCATATCATACCTCTCAATGTTTGCCACAATGCTTCTTCAGTTTCTCCCAACCCAAGCATAATACTCGTCTTCGTAATCAACGAAGGCTTAGCCTTCTTAGCTGCATCCAAAACCTTCAAACTCTGTCTATATTTCGCTCTTCGATCTCGAACAAACGGTGTAAGTTCCTCAGTAGTCTCCATGTTATGCGCATAGACATCCAACCCACTTTCCGCAACCAATTTCACCATTTCCAAATCTCCCGCATAATCACCAGTCAAAGCCTCAACCAATATCGACGACTTCTTCTGCTTAATCTTCATAATCGTCTCTGCGAAATGTCTTGCCCCTCCATCTGCAAGATCATCTCTATCCACGGATGTCAAAACGACATATCCCAAGCCCCATCTCGACAATGCTTCCGCTGTATGTTCCGGTTCGTGAGGATCTAATGGCGCTGGCGTTTTTGCAGTCTTGACACTACAGAATCGACATCCTCTTGTGCAAGTATCTCCCATCAACATGATCGTCGCAGTCGCAGCACTCTTATCACCACCGCCCCAACAATCCGAAATATTCGGACATCTAGCTTCCTCGCACACAGTATGTAAATTCAAACCTCGCAGATCCTTCTTGATCTTCTTGTAATTCGAATTGTCGGGGATGGGCGTCTTCAACCATTCAGGTAATCTGGTGATTTGTCTCTTCTTCCCTGGTGGTCCAACCATCGCAGTTCGCAATTCGAGTGCATCATCGGGGGTCAAAGGCTTATCTGGCAAGCCCACAAACTCTGAAAACGATGGAACGGCATTGATCTTGTCTTTGAAGTATGTGGGACGTCTTTTCGTGATAGGTTCTGGCTTGGATGCATCTGTCTCAGTGGCGAAGGAGCGTGTAGCTGTGGTAGGAATTGCAAGGATATTTCTTGATGCCTGTCTCAATGGAGGTGCATTTAGACATCTGAATCTTGGTACCATCGATGCCATCTTGAATATCCCAGCTTGATATGCTGGTAATAGAAATGTTCACTGTTGAAATGTTGAGATTATTTTCTGATAAGGATGCTTGCAAATCGATGCTGCTTACATAATACACAAGACCGCTGTTATCCGATTTCATGAATCGCAGGAGTGCAATGTTGACATCAAAAACTTATTAGTTAAACAGCATTTCATCTTGGTATTTGTCTTTGAAATAATTTAGTAGATATTGTTCCATTGTGCAACTACTCATCGAATGGATCAGTTGTAGAAACCGTGAGACTCATAAGACACCTACTTAGTAGTAATATCTCCCGGTGACCCTTCGTTCACCCCGCCAAAAAAATCACCGGGAGTAAATATCCCTGTCACAGCAACCATCGCGTCTTCCAGCGCAAACATCAACAACTTCAATTTACTACATATCAAGCCCACAAACTCTCTCAACCCCAGAACCCCAGTTTTGCCTTCAACCAATCCACTCGCAGCATCCACAATAATGAATTCGCAAAACCCTTCCGTTCTTCTTTCCTCTTCCGTAGCTTCTCTACGAGCCTCTTTAAGTACCCTAGATAACAGCATTTCCATCCTCGATTCCGGCATTTCTGATTTTCCCCGTCTGAAATCCGTTTTGAGTACCACCAGAGTACGCTTCCCATTCATTATCTCTCCCAACCATACTCAGATCTCGGGCCCCCAAACTCCCCCAATTCTAGAAACAAACCCCAACTAACACCTCCACCCAGCACTTCGAACTCACCCCCTCCACCACCCTCCACGCAGCCCAACGTTCCCTCGCCGAAGAACTCGAGCCCGCCATCGAAACGCTCCTCTCCCGCTCCGAATCCCTCATTTCCCGTCTCCAGCGCAAAGAAGAACAACTCATCGCGCGCTCCCAGCTTCTCTCGGGACGTCTCGAATCTTCCGATTCCATGTCCAATCCCACCTCCAAAGCCAGCAAACTAAGTCGTAAGAAGAGCTGGGAAATAGGGTTGAACAAAGGGAACAAAAGTCCCTTTGGAAATGGAGGGGGCAATGAAGAGAAAGCAATGAGATTAAAGGTTTTGAGGCAGAAGAAAGAGAGATTGGGGTATGCGGTGGAGAGATTGGGATTACAGAGTCAGCAGAGACAGAGACAGTTGAGGATGAGTGTTGCGCCGCCGTCTTTTGATGATGAATGATTTACAGGTGTTATGGATGGGTAGATGCAGAAAAGGGCTGGAAGAACACACCGTTGATCGCAAGCTTTCTACTGCGCTACGATGACACAGATCAAAAATTGGATATGAATTGGGTTTGGAGAGCTGGTCCATTGGATCCTGTCAATATGCCAGATCACTGTCCAATGCCATAACTTGAATGGAATTACCATAATCAGATCTAAGCAAAGGACTTCATGGCGATTCAACTCGAGCCATCATAGGGACCAGATACGAGAGTGCAGGCTATGAAGGGGTCCGGTACTTTTCAAAAGAATGGTTCCAAGCGCGAAAGGGAGATGTCCAATCCGGCGTTTTGTACATGATGTATGATGATGATGATGATGGAATGCGGATATACCCAGAATGATGTGAATAGCAAAATCTGTTAGCGAGGAGTCATTATGTCACCCTTCGATGGTGCTTGCTTCCTGTATAAATTCTTCTATTGGAAATTAGTTGGGGTACATATATTTAGGTAGCAAAATCAACTTCCCAAGTCTAGCTTCATTGAAGAAGTTTTTGAATGTATGAATGAATTTTTATCATAAAATCTATGGTATCATATTTCTTCCCTCTAAACTTTCAATTCCCTCCCAAAACTATCCCCCCTTACTACATCCGGCCTCTCGCCCTCAACACTGCAACTCACAAGCCCTACTTCTCCTAAGCCTAAATCATCTAACCCCTTAAATCCCTCCTCAACAACCCACTTTCTCCCCTCCTTACTAGAATTTTGATTAAACAAGACCTCGCATGCAGCTCCAAGTACCAATAACCCAGGTGGTCTACTGCCCACTTCTTCAATAGCATCTACGACACATTCCAAAGAAGTTCTTACGACCCTTTGATCCGGACACGATGCTCTTTCTATTACTGCACATGGTGTGCTCAGTGGCCATAACTTCCTACTTTGATCAACATTCCCATTCTCATCAACCACTTTTGCGTCTTCGGAATCGTGGGTGGTGAGGTCGGCCACTAATCCCTTGATTCTATGAAGAGCCATCAAGAAGACCACAGTTTGAGTCGGAACATATTGCGGCGGCACGGTAGGTTTTCCCTTCCTGCCGGTCCCAGTACATATAAGTACCTGATCACTAACGCTTCTTTGTGTCGCCGGTATTCCAGCAAATAGTGGCGCACTCAGTGCGCTTGTGATTCCAGGCAAAACAACAACTCGATCTCCGTATCCCTGCTTTCGGAAAAATTCAAACTCTTCCCCTCCTCTTCCATATATATAAGGGTCACCTTGTTTCAATCGTAAAACAGTTTTACCCGCTTGAAGACCAGCTAATCCGAGAGACAACAATTCCTGTTGTGCTAGTTCGGCGTTGCCTGGAAATTTGCGCGCAATGTGGATAGGTGTTCGACGGGGTATTAGGTCGAGAACTCCCGACGGAACAAGTTTATCGGCGAGGATTATATCGGCAGAAAGAATGGCTTTGTGGGTTGCGCGAGTGAGAAGATCAGGATGCCCGGGTCCAGAACCAGCTAGGATTATTTGTGGGAGTTTTGAGACGCGGGAATCGAGGTTTGATGTGTCAAGAGGAGCCGAAGTTGATGGGTTGGTGGCGTAAGATTTCAAGACACTGTCGACGTCCGAATCTGTTATCGACGCAAGCCGACGAAGGGGCCAATATTCACATATTTGAGAAAGCCATCTCATACGTCTATTTTTTGCAGCATCGAGATCTGCTTCCGTAATAAGTTTGTTGAAAGTAGAACTTTGATCTGTTTCTTCTTCATTATCCAAGTCTCCGGCTGCAGTGAGATGTGCTAAATGATCTTCTTCTTGTATACGTCTGCGAATTGTACCGAGTCGTAAACACGATTCTCCTAGATTTTTAGGAAGCGAGGAGGCTATTTCGCGACGAATTCGAGAGGAGAGTTTGCAACCTCTACCATTGGTTGTTACACCGATTTGAAGTGGCCCATCGGTGTATGTGGAAAGGAGGGAGAATGTGCAGAGATTTGATGCATCGGCTACATTTACTGGTATGCGGTTACGTTTGCAGAGTTGTGAGATATGTGCACCTAGACGAATTAGCTGAATGGTCTCGCACCAAATAAATGACTACACTTACTCAATGGATCTCGAGGTCCAGAGGTAACAAAGACTGCATCGACTACTCTTCCAATTTCTTCTCTACCTAGAGTCATAAGATCATTATCTTCAAATGACTTCTTCAGCCATTGTACTTCCCCAGTGTCAATTCGTTTTTGTAACGTGTAATGTAACTCGGAGGATTCAGGCGCAATGAGGATTGGTTTTGCTCCTACTTCCACGGATTTCGTACATCTGGCACCTGCTAATGGATTGCATCCAATTATAAGATGAATATGAGATGTTGCATCGATACCTGTAAGAAGAGATATTGGAGTCATGATGAATCCCGTGAACTCCTATCTGATGTAACCGTGTGGAATATGATGATTGTGACAAGAGATTAAAGGGAATAATCTTATCAGATAGATATGATCAAAGGAATGAAGTTGTAGGAGAGATATGAAAAAAAGATGAATACATAGATGTGTGAAGTAGATGTTAAATATAACTAGCATTCAATTGTCATAGAGCGAGAGAGAGAGAGCGAGAGAGAGAAGACTAAAAGCAAAGAACGAACTATCTCCTTACCTATTCCGTCGTCTTCTCGGTGTTTGATTGTATCTTGGGGATTTTTTGCTCAGTAGCTGTTATCGTGAAATAACGCCATCGATAAGAAATTTCATATTGCCCCTCCATGCGGGATGATGGGGGAGGCTAGTTTGGAAATGGATGCTCTTGGTGCCGCTTTGACAATCACAATGGGGATCATGTAATTTATATACCTAAATGAGTATAATGTTTGAGGACATTATAAGCTCGTAAGTTGGTCTTTTGTAATTTTGAAACGGGTGGAAGAGTGGAAGATAGATTCAAGGCAAAGAGATCTTTACTTTTATTCATGTACTCTTTTAGTTCAATTTTATAACATATTCAGGCAATTGAAATACAGCATCACTTACAAACATGGATATCAGTCAAATATGTTTAAAGCAGCAGCCTCCGACGTCGCGCCCCCTTTCTATGGATTAGTAAGCCATTCCCCCATTCCACTATCATTATATCCAATCATTGTCCTTCCATTAAACATACCTCACTACCCCGCGGATATCCGGAAATGTGTAAACCACCTCGATTTGCATTACAAACTAACATTTTTGGAAGATAGATAGCAGATAGTTCTACTATTTATCTCAAATGCTCTGGAGTGCTCTTGAATTCTTCATGTCGAAGTCTACACGCGTAAAGAATTTGTGGCAGATGTCTCATCCCTTACGCACGTTACCCTCAGGCGTTTACATTCATGGAGGCTCGTCGATCGTACCCCATTAGGTGGAAAACATTCACATTCTGGACTCGGGAGTACCGGTCAGACGGATACATAGCTGTATACAAAATTGGCAGCCCCCTTGTTAGCGGCCCTGCGATGCAAATGATACAAGTGTATAATTGCATTGGATAACAAGTTACGATGACAATGCGGGCTTAATTGTGGTTTATAGGCTTAGGAGCTCGTAAGATAACGAATCGATCATACAAGCATTTGAATAATCACAAACTTCAATTAATGGTTCCCCTTTCATACTAGTAGCTGCCATTCCCTCTCCTCCCCCTTCTTATAGACGGAGGCCTTTGATTGTGTATGGTAAGAGTGGTATTCTCAATTCTTGATTGAATAGAATCTCCATCATCACCACACAAGCGAAGCAGTTGGACTGATATCCTGCTGATCCCACGGATGAACTAGAGGGGCTTCGTACATTAAATAACATGAACGAGGTTTATATCTTCCTCATCTTGAGCCAGCACGGCTCTGTCTTAACCTCTAATATCTCCAGCATTGAAGCATTCTTCCACACCCTTTCAGTAAGAACACTATAACCCAGCTGCGGCCACTCATACATATCATTCATTCTTGGTGCCTACCATGGATTTCATCCTTGCTTATTCGGAGGAAAAATCCGGTCAGATTTCGGTCAGATTTGACCATCTCAATCTCAAACACTGTTTTACACTACAAAAAATCGAGCAACAATCGAGGCTCGATTTAACAAGATCAAATGATACATTGACTTGTTCTCGCTTGTGAACATATTCCAGACAAAATCTCGTATATATGGAAGAGCGTACCTAAATTGTTGGCAGGTTTCAACAATGGTCAATTGAGGATTGTTTTTTCTCTACCGAATAGCCTGCCTATCTTCGTTTACCGGCACGCTGGACAAGTATGTTGCCAAGCTAGATATACTCCAAGATAGTCATTTCCTCAGTAGTGGTTGATCAGCACAAATTCCATTGATGCTATCGAGGTAACATTCCACAGCTATGGAATCTTGTGTAATAGTTTGACATCTGCTACTTCTTTTTGAGAAATTCTCAATAGACCATCATTGACGAATACCAAGCAATTCACAATGTCGTGCTGTCCTTTAAACGATTGTTATCTTGCTGTAGCAGTCTTGTCAGCTGCGCAGTGCCCATTACTCAAGACCGTCGGTTCCCCTTCACTTGATGGACTTGCCAGCGGTGTTTGCGCCCAACTTGGAGGTTCTGTTGCTGTGGCAAATGCTTGCAACTGTCTTACTGCTGCCAATGCTCCAGGTGCTTGCGGCTCTGGATGTACAGATTCACGCGGAATTGGTCCAGGATATGCACTCTACACACCACTATCTAGTATTCTTGGAAGCGTAGCGAAGCTTGCAGGGGAATCAGTATGTCCAGGAACTACTGGATATTATTGTCCCACTGGTCAAACTTGTAAGACAAGAACCGGATCTGCACCTTATTGTTGCAATGATAGTACGTTATTTATCATCACTACTCACCAATTTAAGCTAACTTTCCAAAGGTACGGATTGCTACAATTCACTCGGACAATGCGCAGATACTTCATGGCAACAATACAGGGTCACAATCGGTGCTAGTACTAGCAATTTTTGCTGCGGAAACGGAACAATCGGTGTATACCAAAGCACAGGTCAAAACAGTGTTGGTATTTGTGCAACTGCTCGTTCTGCATTTTATACCGCTGTCAGTGCCATCTCAACGGGAAGTTGTTCTTATAGCACCTCCAGCACTGTCCTTTCGATTACTCTCTCTTCAAGTACAAGTACAAAATTAATTCCCTCGAGTTCGCAAACATCCAGTCTTATAAGAGATACACCAATAACTACGACCAGATCAACTTCTACCTCAACCGCAATATCGACATCTCCTAGGTCCAGTTCAACTCTGGTCCCAGACCCTCCGATAACTTTTACCAGATCCAGATCAACTTCTACTTCAACCGCAATATCGACATCTCCTAGGTCCAGTTCAACTCTGGTCCCAGACCCTCCGATAAGTTTTACTAGATCCAGATCTACTTCTACCTCAGTCTCAGTGCTCGTATCTCCTAGCTCCAGTTTGACATCTCAATCGCTTGCCTCGTCAATATCATCGGTGTCGTCTAGTACTTCGATATCGAATCCGACTTCGACGACGCAAATTATTCAATTGCCGACCTCTTCTTTGCCAATGGTCACATCTAGTACTTCCTCGAATGTGATTTTGACTTTAACTTCTACTTTTATTTCTCTTTCTACTTCTGTCTCCGAAAATTTGTCTTCTACTTTATTAACTTCCCCCACAACTTCAACTTTCTCATCTGTTGTCAATCAAAGTCCAGCTTCAGTCTCAGAATCTAGTACTTCGGTATCATCTTCCTCGTCCTCCATATCCTCACTGGAGATCTCACAATCTCAATCGCAATCCCAATCCCAATCCCAATCTTCATACATTGATTCCACCACCTCCTCTTCACAATATTCCTCTAGCGTAAACATCTTTATACCTTCAACCTTCATCGAACCAGTTACAATTCAATCCTCGATATTGACTGAAGCGGAATCGACGAATAGTAAATCGACACTTGCACTGGCGGAAACCCCTGCAGAACCATGTGATGCTAGTTTGTGTTTGTTTAGTCGAGTCATTCCTACTTCTCGCGAGCTTTGATTTTCTTAGGTTGTAAGGATGCTGCGGGGGTGGGGGGTTATTGAATGGTCATGGGCAGGAGAGAAGTAGCTGGGTTTGAGATGGAAAGATATTTAGCTTCTTGGAGGAATGGGGTCTGCTGCGAGTTTATGTTGCTAGTTTTGGAAATTTCTTTTATTAGTCTTTGAAAGATTTTTTGCGATTTATGAATAAAGGCTTATTTATGCATTTAAGGCAAGTGTTAGATCTGTAGCTCAAATGATATTGTTACTGCTCTCCTCTCATGGGTCTCCGAGATGAATATCTTATTGGCTTTGAATCGGTCTTTGCATATGTATTTGAAATGGTAGTTTGCTGTAGACCTTGCGTTGATATATTGTAGATGCGATCATTGAACAGTATTACTCTAGTATGAGGTTTTTCTTTTATTTGATACTCGATATATCAATTATATTTACTCCCTCGAATCTAGATATTCTTAATAGTTCCAGTGTGTTGAACTTTTGTCAAACGTATGATGAAAGAACCCGAATTTACCCCGAGTACGGTTAGTTAATGACTTGAATTCACTTTCAACAAGAGATCTTATATCATTGGTGTGAAGATCACCTAGAAATAAAGCAGATATCCGCTCTGGAAACACAAGAAAGTGTGGCCTCAAGTGGATCTATCGTTTGTAATTCACAATTACAACGTCCACTGTGGGAAACTTGAGATCTATCAGCGACCTTTCAAGAATAAATGTGAACAACAAAACTTCCCACACAGCATCAAGATTCACACCAAGAAAATCTCACAATGGCGTTCGTACACCCACCAACAACACAAGAACACAATCCTCAAATCCTTTACTAACATCTCTCACCCCACAGAACCCCATCCTACGATCCCAGAACCGACGCCATCGACGCCTGGTCCGCAGAAGCAAATCCACTCCGACGCAGCCCATCCCATCCCGAAGGTCCTCGATGCTACGATGCGAACATCATCCAAATCCCCGACCCACCCATTTTCAACCCCATTCCCTACTCCAAATATCCCGATCCCCATATCGGAATTTGCTATGCGGAATGGGAGGAGGAGATGAAGGAAAAATTGAAGGCGTATAGCGATGCGCGATTTTCGATTCGCATGGCGTATGTTTTGTCAAGGTTGGGGGAAAAACCGAGAGCGTATTTGGAGGTGAGGATGAGGGTTCATGAGAAGTTTGAGTTTAGGAATACGGACGAGATGTTTGAGGTGTTGGGGAAAGTTTATGGGGTTTTGGAGAAGAGGGCGAATGAGAATGTGGGTTTCGATACTGATGATGTGGTTGCGGAGCGGAGGAAGAGGTCTTAGATTGATGTTGTGCGATGTGATGAATGGATTTTGGGAGAGGAGTTGGTGGGGCTGTTTGTTTCAGGTTTACGTGTGTTTTTCAATGGCGTCCTGATGCTCTTGTTGTGCAGAAAACAAATTGCATGGTTGAGATGTTGGCTGCGCTTTCTCGATTGAGGTTCGCAGACCAAGTTCTTTGGAGATTGACATATGGCATGTCGTATTTGAATGGGTTCATTGTCGGGAAGACTGGCTATGAGGAAGGCATAAAATCTTGAATTTCATGCCCGTCACTTCACATCCACAGGTACATGCCGGAAATTTCAATGTAATTTTCATATCACAGAGCGTTGTGAAAGCAATATCCAGCTTCCAGCACATTGATATACATAAGATTGGAGGAACACAGAGCAAGAACCAAAGTGAAGACTTGATATTGTGAAATGAAAATTATGAATTATAAACTAATGATGCAATTTTCAAAACGACGTGTTTGGAATGACCACCTACATAAAGGCAGGCATCTTATACTCCATAGAATTGAATCTATAGCTAGCAATTGTTCGTCTCCGAAATAACATCATGACTTGACGAAGCTTCCAATTCGCACCACAACGGTTGGTAAATGAATTGAAAACAATGTTTTCTACCGTCTTCTCATTTCTGCCATGTTTATCACAGTCAAATAATCTCTAGGAATTATACCCATAATGAACTTATAAGGAATTTTGAGTCTTGCGGTACATCGCCCGATTTAGATGTCGAGGATCCGACAGATTAGGAAGTCACTCGACTTCGAGATTGGCATATTACCACCTCGCAATTTCCTTTATCTACTACCATCTCGATCTTCGCGACGGTATGAATTTTGGCTTCAATGACCCTACGTTTATAGGCAAATTACACGACCGTCTTGAGGATCAGCTCCCAAGAGGGTGTGTTTCTTTCCAGTACTTCTTCTATGTATAAAATATTTGATTATTGTGGATCGTAATCATTACTTTCCTCTCCATCGGTTTTGTTGCGCCTTTTTGCTACATTAAACTCTACTTGATCATATTCATCAAAGCTTGAAGCATCACAGACAATGAATCCAACGAAAAACATATCCGAAGAAGAAATCTTTTATTATCAATCTAAAAAACACATCCCCCAAAAACTCCAAATTAAACATCTTTATACATTCTAGTCTAACAAATCGCATTTTACATCAGTAATTTCTGATCGCTGGGGGGTTTGACCCTGATATGAATACTCCTCAAATTCAAGGACTATGCTGTCCCTGAACTCCCGTCTAAACAACCGAATACGCCCATGATACCCTAATATGTTAAAAATCAATTTCTTAAGGGTGGCCAAAACCTAGCTATGCCACCACTACGCTGTTCCAAACATGAAATTCTATGCATGCTCAAGAAATTGAAGACTCTGTAATCCCCTCTGAGGCCCTTGGTTTCCTAGAATTACTTAATCAGAGCTAGTATCAAGTAAAGCATCTGAAAGTTGCGGGCTTAATCGCTTTGAGTCTGTACTGGATCCAAAAACTTCTTGGTTCTCCAACTTTGCATGTCCTCCATGTCACCATCTTTATTCATAACCCACAAGCAGATATCGGTACTGTGGGCTCGTGGACACGTCCCATCTGCATTAAAATTATGAAGATGATATCTGCATTTTGTATGACTTCCCACATACAATGGTCCGCGAAGGAGCCGCACATCAATAGCGATAGTTTCGTTATTCAAAAGATCTTCGCGATCTGCCTTGGTCGTAACTTTCATGTAGTCGTTTGGACGTGTGTCTTCGAGATGGATCCAATAAGCGGTAAAAAGAGCAAGACCCCAGTGTGGATCTTGTTCGATATATATTTTCGTGATTTCATCTTTGCTGAAACCAACACCCACAGAAACGTGAGCTTTTGCGATGCAATCCATGATGTTGTCGGCGAGAGCGCCCAGTTCCAAGTGTGTGACTAGTCTGTATAGTGCGTCGGGGTTGTAACCTGCGTATGTGAATTTTCCCGAGTCCTCGTGGTAAATTCCGTGCAACGCTGGCAGCTTATCCTCGTGGAGCCAATCTAAAAACGCATCGAATGTTTGGACATCTACGTTAAAGGGGAGCGGAAATCTGTGATTGCTTAAGACAGGAACTCTACGAAAGAGAAGCCTTTTATTAATCTTGAACGCTTGACCTTCTACTAAAACAGAGACAGTTTGTTCGGACCTGTACTCAATAGAATCTTGTAAGTAATAATTTCAGTACACATCAATCGATGCTCATGATTAGATAATCTGTAAAGCCTTCAATTGACTAAAGTGAGGTGTGATTTTCTATCGAAGAGCGATACAATTGTATGTACCCAAGCATGCAAAATATATCAAGTGTGTAGAAAGAAATCATGACATACTCTTGTCGACTCAAGCCTTCCATCTGTACCCCTTGCATTTCATCCGACATTGTTGCGTGGTGTGGAGCTTTCTCGCTTAAATGCTTGTAAATGAAGCGAATATGAATGATATAGAATGATAGGTATCCAATGCTGTTAAAGACAGTGAGATAGTGATAAGATGGAGTCGAGAGATCTTATATGTGATGGTACCAGTTTGAGTATTCAGTAGCAGGTAGATTGTAATAGCGAAGGTAAATTATGAGTAAACCGGTAAGATTTATCGAAGTGAATGGATTGAATTAGTTATTGGAGATTAAATGGTCGAAAGCGACTAAATGTAATTGTATTATGAAAGATGTGATGAAGAAATAGATCGTGTAAGAGTTCAGAAGAAAGGGGCCTTCTGTCACCTATTTATAGATTCGAATAATTTGTGCGGGGAACGTCGTATTTGTTAGTTTTTTCTTCCCTATGAAATAGTAATGAGCTAGACTTACTAGCGATGATCTATAGAAAGCTTAGATAGTTTCAGCATTCGAATTTTTCATGCCAAGACTGATATGATAGCTCCTACAATCGAATTCGAGATTTAGATCGGCCCAGAAGCTTTCAAGTCCTCTTCGATCTCACACCTAGTTCAAATGGGCATGTCTTGTCATTCCACACTACTGTCTATTTAGGTAGGTTACTTATCATCACTCGTCATAGGAAGGTTCTGTTTGAAATGGTTGTAGATCTGGTGTTCATTATTCCACCCTTATCTATCTGTTTGCACCATGTAGTCTTGACGAAGAATATTCCCCAGATACGAGATATATATCTGCCTAAAATGCAAAGACTCACTCATGCCTCCTACTATTGCGTGTAATAGACTGTGCTGCATTAAACAGTAGTAATTCTCAAGGCTTGTTGAAGTTGAAGAAGGAAATCAGTTTGGTAATTACTATCCGGGTGTTGAAGGTTGAGAATATGTACACTTTCCTCAACTTTTTAAAGTGGGAAATTTGATCCATTATCATGAGTAATTACTGGGCTCACAGGTTAGTGTATTTTCAGCTAAGATTCAGCGTTGGGATGATCGCCGGCGTTGGCTTGATACCCATGTGTGAAAAGCAGTCTTGACTGGCTCATATTCCTCAAAGGGTCGGCTATGTACTTCCGATATCTCGAGTTTCAGGAAGGAATGAAGAGTACGGTTTACTCAATGGTTCAGTGTAAATCTGAACGCCATTGAATGAAACTAGAATTTTCAGACCACGGTCGTAACTTGACAATTTTAGGAACGATGATGACAGCTACAATGGAGGTTTGATGTAGTTAAGATCTCTACGCTTGCGAGAAAAAAGTTAAGCTCCCCCGCATTCTCTTTTCCTAGCGAGTGACTAGCGTGCGTCGTGCCCAGAAGCCAACAGGCATGACGTAGAATTGATACTTGACTTAGCGCAAAAACTGAGTTCAATTGCTGCGTGAAGGGTTTAAAAGTAGTGGTCTATAGGTTTAGGTTTGAACTACTAGCGGCTGAACTCTAATCCTCTAGATTGAAACTCAAATTAGATTTTATCCTGCCCTGTGTCAATAAGTCACGTGGAGAGGAGAGGAAAATTTAACCACTTTCCTGAGAGTGTATCCCTAGGATAGTCCTTACATATGTGCATATCAAAATGTATTTTTTCTCGCCGGAATGATAGCGAAATATATAATGTTGTGTAGTATGCAACCGGGGAACGGATGTCATAATCTCGATTTCCAAATTTCAGTGAAACTGCTCTACTGATGAGATCCGGTTTTAACTATTGCCGATAGTATGTTCTTATACTGCCAGCTAGATCCATCACATGTCCTTTAGGTACAAGAGCTTGATACGAATCGTGCTTCGCTCCGCGATAGACTTGGTCATCTTTTACTAATACCAAAGCACGACGCTCCATTCATGTATAATTAATTGATCCTTCTTTATTTAACAGTTAGACCGACAATGGTTGGGATCTGTTTAGAATACTGTAGGAACCACTAGGCTCGGTCTTCATTCAATGCCCAGCATTCATTTGCTAAATCCATAATCCCAAAATATAAAACTGAGCGTCAAAGTTCAGATCATCTATTTTGAATGAAGTCACTAATGATCCCAAAACCGCAGAGTTATACCATTCTGCGATCATACTTTCATGCATGTCTCTTCAGCCTCGGGTCTCAACCCAGTCCCATAGAGCACCTATATCTCTCACACGCCAGTTTAATTTTTAATTTTGATCATTGAGGTATGAGCTGGGAATTATCAAATTATGCGGGGCTAGGGAAACTAAAATCATGAAACTTTTGATTCTAATAGCATCTAGTATAAGAAAGAGATGAGACAAAGAGCCATGTTTCTTCAATAATCTATTCTCCAAGGTCTTCTTCATCTCCATCATCGTCTTCCTCTTCGTCTTCCTCTTCGTCTTCCTCTTCGTCTTCCTCTTCGTCTTCCTCTTCGTCTTCCTCTTCGTCTTCCTCTTCGTCTTCCTCTTCGTCTTCCTCTTCGTCTTCCTCTTCGTCTTCCTCTTCGTCTTCCTCTTCATCTTCGTCTTCTTCCTCATCACTTTCCTCGTCACTTTCCTCATTGCTGTCGGTATCTCCACATACATCATCCTCTTCATGAACATGAAATCGGCATCCACTGAGACGGGGATCCTCAATGGTGATTTTTCGGCTCAATTTGATGAAGTCAGTGGTGAAATCGTCGACCTTCAAAAGTGATTTTATCTCCCAATTTTCAATCACCTTTCGGTATTTATCTGTGTTCCCTCGAAGAGTGTAAACAAACAATTCGATAGCATAATCTCGGAGTTTTGAGTTCTGGAAGGTGTTGTAATAAATTTCCTTAACGCTGCTCGCTTTAAAATAGAAGTTCTCCTTGTAATGTCTGCTACGGATAAAAGTCATAATTCTGTCCATGGCAACGTGTAGAACTAGCAACTCTGCAAGTGCATACAATGAACAGTTTTCGCTATTCGAGATTGATTTCTTGGACAAACGCAGCTTGCCGGTATAGATCCACTCGATGATTATGTCGAAGAGCTTGGGAGATTCATCTGAGAGTCTTGTGACCCTTTTGCCCTTCTCAAAACAGTCTTTGAAGTAAGAAGAGTGTGCGCATATCTTCTTTTTGTGAACACGAAAAAGCTTCTTGTCGTCATCTCGACCGACATGGATATCGACCATATCTGTTCCAACCGAACTGTATATCATGATCAGCTTGTAATGCTGTGTATTAGTATAATATTGACCTACTCTGCAAAGAAAGCAGCAGTGGAATTTTTACTGATGGTGGGACCTTGAGCTTTTGAAGTTGTAGGAGAGCCCGACGAGATTTCAGAGTGACTGCGCTTTCGGGCCATGGTGAAGCTTTTGAATGATATCTCACAGCTTAACTTGATTGGAAAACTTCTGAAATAGGCTTTCAAATCTAAGGAATAAAGCTTTTTGTTTATGAAGTGATTGGTTTTGCTTACTTGTGGGTAATAGCGGTGGCCTAATCAAGTCCTGAAAGTAACTTGTCAGTTTTTAGTCAATAGAGAAGATATTTCCCAAGGAGGCATTTATCCAGAAGGGTTTCCTTTTAATTCGTAAGCTTGAGGAGCCTGAAGATTGCGAAGTTATCCAAAGAATAGTGAATACCAAATTTCAGTTTACCCAGAGTCCGCAATCTTGGGCGGCTATCGTGCGATGACATTCAGACTATTACGTGTTTTCAAACATGATATTCTGACTAGATAGTTGATTGAAAGACGAATACTCAACTTTTTTCTTAGACGGGCTCTCAAATTGATGGTTACCAGCTCACCCACATCGATGCTGAAGTTTCTCTCTTGAAATACTGTAATACTGGTTCATTCTTTCACGAGTACCTATTAACACCTTAAATACTGCAGCTATAAGCTGAGTCATAGCTTCCCCTAAACTCTGGCAAAACATAGGTCCTAATATTCTCTCGAGGCTAGAGATGTGGTAGCTCCATGTAACACCGTCATATGGGATCTGAAACTCTAGCAATCATGGATTGAGTTCCAAGAAGTCTCATTATGGCCAAAGAAAATGTTTCATAGAAGCATGTCAGAATTGCAAATAGAAAGAGAGCATGTAAGTAAGTAGCACCATTTGGGAATCAGTCATTGAATCCTGTTGAGTAGAGATGACCGAGAGACGTTTAAAATGCATTGATTACTCTAGAATTTGAAGCTAAAGTAGCTGCATTGTTCCTATTTTTGTTTCCCTACATTCATAAACTTTGAGATTCCTGCAATGCGTTCCATACTCAGAGAAAAGCTATATCTGTGTCTGAAACCTGAGAAGTAAGTCCTCCCAGCATCTGCAATTAGATATAGCTGATCTTTCCTTTGAAGTCTCGAAGTATCGGGGGGAGAAGAATTGAAGAATCTCTGAGCTGCCTAAAGTCCAGAGTACAGCTTAGCACTGGAAAGCGACCATATCCAAGCTTCGTGCATACCCAGGTACATATGGCAGGATTAAGAGACGTCAATACCTCAAATCGATTCAACATTCTCAATGACCTCGAAGTATGATACCAACCTAAAAACCTCAACTATCTTGTTTTCGGACTATATTCAAGACTCTTGAGGGCTTTTGGAGAGCCTCGGTTTCTTTGCTGGTGGTATTCTTCTTTTTTTTATCTGTTCATGCGACAAAATAGTGACCTTTACTTCCCCACGACGATCTTTTGCCAAGCACTTCTCACTTTTATCATGCATATGGAACCGACAGCCCGAGCCTTTGCTTGGATCTTCGATAGTCACCCTCCGACTTATACTTAAATAATCACCGGCAAGATCTTTGTTATCCATGGCAGACAACAATTCAGGCGTTGGAATATCCTTCTCTGCTTTATTGCGGACTACATATGCAACCTTTTCTGCACAATACTGTCTGAATTTTGAGGTTTTAGCAGTCCTTTCGTAAATTCTCTTAAGACCAGTAGGATCGTAACTAACACAGTATATAGCATCAAGCCTTCGGTGAAGTTCCATGACTCGATCCATAAGCTCTGGAAGAAGTAATTCTTCTGCAAGTTGGTAGAGACATAGGAGATCCCAGGATCTGTACTGAACAAAATGTTTATCGCCACCAATGATCTCAATACCTCGCAAGCAATCTGTGTGGACCCACTCAAGAAGAACGTCGAAGGTACTTGGTACATGATGTGGAAATTCGACGATTTTGCGGTTGTTATTGGAAAGCTCCTTGAAACATGGTATTTTATCGAAAAGTATGTTTTTGTGCACATGAAAGACCTTCTTGTGACTGTTCTTGCCTATAAGAACCCGAACCATCTCTGATCCAAGCTCACTGATCAAAGTGTTAGTCTTGGTCTGCAAATCAAAGATGAAATAATACTTACTCTGAAAATGGCGTCCAAGGCTCCTTGAAAGGTTCATCATCGTGTTCCTCGTCGGCGAGGGGCAATCCGCTACGTTTCAAAGACATGACTGTATGTACCGCTTGGATCTTCACAATAGATTGGCAAACGGACAGCGTAATCTCCTTAGTTGGATGGAAATCAGTCACTCTCGACTTGACTATTCATATATTGTTGACTGGTGATGGAAAGATATGTATTAAAGGATTGTTTAAATTTCAGTCTAGTCTTGAGACACTTAAAAATGCCATGAGATAGCCAGCCTTGAGAAGCTGAATTACTGATTGTGCGGATTGATGCCAAGACTGAAAATCCTTGATTACTTTTGATTTGTGAAGCGGGGTCAAAAATGGTTGTGAAAAATGAACTAGCGACGCGTTGGAGCTACGTGATATTCGCTGCCTAGACACTGAATTGACTTAGGTAAATGCTTTAAATAAACATCATTTGACTTCTTGCAAGTTGATATTACTCAAAGGCTCTCATCTCATCTCATATCGCATTACACTTCAGACATCACATTCATCAAAATTAAAGCCGTATCTTGAAATCATCAACTTTAATTTCCTTTTCTTTCACCCCTAATCTTTTAATTCTATTCATACAAAAAAGAAACAATGCAATAGGTAAATAAGTCCCCACCAAATCCAGCCATACAAACCGGCCGATCTGATTCGATCCAATCAAATCCCATCCCTAAGAAAATAAAAAAGAAATATAAAGAAAATCCAAAAACCCATCCATTGATCCTTCCAAAATGCAAATACCATTCATATCACATCTAATCTAGCCTTTTATTACCCCCATACACGGCATATCATCTAAGCGTCAACAAATCGAGCAAGACGGCCATTGACAGATCGCTTGTAGGAGCCCTTGACTCCGATACAAACGGCTTGTCCAACAGTCAACTTACACTCGCTTCCGAGAGCAGGGTTCCAGAGATTAAGATTAGCGGCGCTGACACCGTAATAGTTCTCGATGTTGGTGCAAGAGCAGCTGTTATCTTCAATGGTGACCCATTTATCACAGGTGGAGATTGTACCTGTGGCTGTTGGAGCTGGAGCAACGGTTCCAGTGGCAGTCTTGGTTGGGATGACGGTTGTGGTGGCTTTGGCTGTGGTGGAGCTTGCTACGACTGTGCTAGAAGCTTTGGTGGAAGAGGCAGCAATGGAAGATACTTTGCTTGTCTCGAGACCAAGAGCGGAGGAAGTAGAAGATCCTCCATAAACTGGAGCACCAGCTGTTGTGGTTGCCTTAGCCGAAGAAGAGGAAGCTTTACTTGTCTCAAGACCGAGTGCAGATGAGGCAGATGAACCGATAGCAGTCTTGACTGAGCTAACTCCTGAAGCAGAGATGTAAATTGAGCTGCTAATCACAACAGTACCAGAAGTCTTGACAGTTGAAGTACTAGCACCCTTGATGGATGAAGCAGTAGTATCTGGGTGAGTACCGTAAGATAGAACCGAGGAGACACCAGTACCAGCGACTTTGCTAGATGAAGATACTCCAGTTCCGGAGAGTTTTGTAGTGGTAGGGTAAGCTGGGGCAGTTCCATAGCCAAGTGCAGAGGAAGCGGGAGCAGATCCGTATCCGTGAGCAGATGATGAAGCGGAAGTTCCAACAATCTTGCTGGAAGAGACGCCAGTTCCAGCGATCTTACTGGTGCTGTATCCAGAGATACCAGTGCCAGTTATCTTGCTGGAGGAGGGTCCGGTACCAGAGACCTTAATGGATGAAGATGCACCGGTTCCAGAAACCTTGATGCTAGTAGCTGATGCTGATCCTGAAGTCTTAAGAGTGGCACTGGCAGAAACGGCAGATGGCTTGGATGAAGCAGCAGCGCTGGTTGGCTTTGCGGAGGTGGTAGCAGCGGCCTTGGTGGTGGAAACTGCCTTAGCAGAAGAAACTGGAACGGTACCGACAGTCTTGATAGAGACTCCCTTACCACCAGCTGGAAGAGTTGGGCCGAGGGGGAAACATTTGTCAATAGGAGTGATCAAGTTGTTGTTGGTGTAGATGGAGGTTTTTGCCTTCCAGCTCTTGTCTCCACCAGATTCAGTGTAGACACCAAGGTTAAGGTCAACACCAACAGTTGCACCTAAAGTGACACCGAAAACATCGGCTGATCCGGGGCATACACCTTGAGTGTTAAATTCAGCTCCAAGATCAATCTTGACATCTGGTATTCTGAGGAAAAGTCCACCTCCGAAGCCCCACTTGCTGAGAACGGTAAGTCCGACATCAAGACCAAGTTCGGTGTACAATTGCAAGCTTCCATCGACCTCAACGCTGACCTTAGGAGTTTGAGGAGTCGCGGTTGGAACCCAGCCTTTGAAGCTAGAATCAACACCGTTGATGCCAAGAACAGCAGAGGAAGAATCTGGGATGGCAACGTTGACACCAGCGCTGATTGAAGCACTTCCTTCGATACCGCTGAGAGCGAAACCGGCATCGACGGTGAATTGAGGACCTAGGTCGATGATCTTTGGAATAGACCATCCTGGAAGACCAACAGTAACCAAGTTCCAGTCTTTGGACCACCCACTACCCAATGTACCGGAAACAGAGAATCCAAGAGCCAAGTTAGCACCTAATCCTTTTGGAGTAGCATTGATAGAGATAGACTTGACACTGGTTGGAATGCCGATGATGGTATTCATAACAATCTTTCCTTGAACATCGATAGTACCGGTGGTAGCACAACCAGGACAGTCAATGGAGAAGTCGAGTCCATTGTTGGTAGATTTACTGAAGAAGGTCTGAGGAAGACTGTGAGCCATGTTAAGAGATAGAGTCTTGCTAACAGTGTCGGTTCTCTTTGATGAAGAGGATGTTGACATGGCACCAAACTCAATAACGGCACCAGACATGACATCATCCCAGTCCGAGAGAGTAGCATTGAAGTTGACAATGAAGTTTTGCTCATCATAAACATCGACTCCGTGGACAATCCATGGCTGTCTACCAGATTCTGATGCAGCAGCGCACGCACCCCAGTTGTTGATCATGAAAAATGTACGATTCTCATGAAAGTTGACCCAGGACCAATCGGAAATGGCATCTTGGAAAGTAGCATTGTCTTTGAAGGTGAGCACAAGATCACCGTTGCATTGCACGTCTGTGAGACTGTCGGCAAAATGCTCGGTGGAGATAACAAGTTCTGTTTCGCCTGTGTTAAGGGTTACATTGACAAAAGTTGAACCTATTCTTCGTTAAACGATTATTTCGTAATTAAGATAGGATAGGCAGCATACCATTTGATGATCCCCAGATAAGACTGAGTTCACTTTGAAGAGTGACGCTAGGTGGTGCATCTCTTCTTTGAAGACCAAGGTCTCTCGGATGATATGGGACCAGAGTTTCCTTGATTGCTTGAGCAGTGCAGCTCTGCCATAAAGAAAGAGCCGCAAGGGCAAAGACTGATTGACGCATGATATAGATATTATGATTGCAATTTCAAAGAAAAATGAAAGAAATGTGAAATTCGGCTACTCGTATCAAAAACAGCACTCAATGAATGAATGAAACGGACCAATAGATCCTAGAAAAGGAAAAAAGAATGACTAGAGAGATGCTGTAAAGAGAATGTGAAATGAGATGGAGAGAAGAAGGTAGGAGTCAGTAACACTCCTCTGTCTTATATACCGACCATCCTCTCTCCCTCGAGCCTTACAAGATGGAATAATCAGATCAACCGTCACGCAATTTACATGATCATAGAAGGATTGCTGTGAACCTGGTGGTGAGAGGTGCCAAGAACTGCCTGGATTCTTGTGTGTGTGTTTTCGACCCAGCCAAGCGAGTCATGAAGGTACATTTTTAGAAGACTTCTTCCAAAAACTTATCATGAACAGTAAAAAAGCAGTGTGTTCTGCGTAGGATGCTGACTGTGAGGAAATTTCGGGTACTCCTTCAACAGCATTACCTAGGAAAACGTGGTGTTATCCACGTGAGAAGCTAACTTCTCGGGATGATCAAACACATCGGCTTGAACGGCATATCAACCTCAATTCTCGAACGGTTTCGAAGGAACAACTTGATGATCAGGTATTTCCCTAAACCGGTAGAAAATTATCAATAATAGATGCTTTTCATATGAGTACGTAAGCCTCAACTAGAGATGAGGTTACAGAAGGATGTTGAAGGAAGAATGTGGGAGACAAGGGAAATAACGTGCTAATCTTGATTGAGGCTGTACGTAAAGTGACCAATAAACAGATCTATGGCGATTTCCACAGGGGGTGAAAAATGCTTATAGGCACAAATAAGAACACAGGGAAGACGATGATGACTAGCCCATGACAACTCAGTAGTGCTTATGGTTATATTACCCTGTATGTTTGAGAACTCCCCCGCACCCACGGTTCCTGTCATAGTTTTAAGCACTGGCCTGATCAGCAGCGGCCTATCAATAGGGAGAATGATTAGCCACAAATGGTAACTGTAATTGGCTGAAACTTTACGATCAAAAAAGTGGACGCCTAATTCTGTGTTCAAATTGTGAATAATGTGGAATCTGAAATACGACAATCACTAATTGGCCCCGAGCTCCTGCTCATAATGTATATGAAAGTTTTTGTAGGATTATAGGAGTGATTATATGATGATGTGCTTACCACACTAGCTGAGTAGTCAATCAAGAGGTCTACTGATAAGTGGCCCATAGCAACAATGTGGAGAAATCATTCATCTATTACGATTCAAGAGAGGAGACAAACTGATCCTACTCGTCCCAAAGACGATTCAGGAAAAGAAGCAGAAGACAGAAAATGGAAGTTGCTCGTGTTGGGAGCTGTTGGTTTGTGAGACCAGGAAACTATTTTTGAGCTGGCTTGAAATTACTGCGCCTGTGAGATACAACCACATCAATGCAATGTACCTAGCTACAGCTGTATTTGTTGAGAAATTTCTCATTAACACAGGCCTCTTTCAAGAAATGTCATTGGCCGCCAATTCACTGGAAACAAATAATATGTTGTTCCGTGGCTTGTGATTGCTGCAGGTACCCGGCACAGCCTTCATTGCTTATTCCAACTGTTGTATTACACAAATTTCTCTGCCCCGGTAATTGCGTCTGACTATCCGGTATTTATAGAATCCTCTCAAATAAGCCTTCAGGATTTTAAAATGTAACGCTGGTCATAAAGTGAATAAAGAGTCTTCAGAATCCTTTCAATTTCCGCCTCACAAAGACTTTCTCTCATCAACATTCACTTTTTTGCCAATTTCCTTTAAGCAAACGGAAAATATCATCTGCTTTTTTTCTTCCATTTAAGATTATTCAAAAAACGGCACTAGCAACTCAGCTACTGCGCCTGCTTCGGTTATCTCATTGCTTTTCAAATCCTTCTCCATTTAAGGTCAACAAGCTTTCAATTTTTTACAAACTCAACCCATCAACCTTACAAACACACGACTCCATACACCACATCCATAAAACCTTCGAATAACTTCAACTCTTCAATTATCAACCGCCAAGATGAGTTGCATTGATCCCTCCATCACACTCTTCCCCGTTCTCGTTCTCGCTGGCAGCGACGATTATGTCAATGCTTGCACTGCAGGTAACATCACCTCCAACTCTGCTGCCGTGAGCGCCATGACAAAATGCTGCGGTAGTGCCCCCGTCAACGTTATCTTGGAGGGCTGTTATAGTTACTGCAATGTTACTAGCAGTGCTGATCAACAAGCTTTCGAACAATGCTTCGGTTCAAGTGATGGTATTACACCAGATGTTGATTACGGCTGCACCTTGGATGACGCTTCAGGACATGAGGTTCCTGGCAGCGGTACCATCACCCCAAGCTCTACTGGAACATCAGCTCAAATTGCCACTCTTGTCCCCATCACCGTTACTACAAGCTCCGGTGCTGCTACCACTACCGCAACTTCTGGTCAAGCTACCGCAACAGCCGCCGCCAACTCAACCTCGACCTCTGCCTCTGGCACCGAAAAGCCTTCGACAACCAGCAAGACTTCAGCATCGGCTTCCTCTTCCGCTGCTACTCCTTCCACCACTGCCAACGCTGGTCCAACCGTCAAGCAATTCTCCAAGGGTGCTATCGCCGTTATCGCACTTGCTTTCGCCCGTCTTTTGATTTAAATGTGAAGGATTATGAAGGAGATTGCAGACCAGAAAGAATGATTGATTCTCGTGGTGGGATAGAATAATATGTTGTGGATTTGGGGACAAATTGACTACGTGGATTATTGAATTTGATGGACTGCATTTTCGAAATACAATTGGCGCATTATAGGAGCATAATGGTGGTGCATAGCGTGTTTAACTTTGGGTTTCATGACTATACATTCTAGAATCGAAGTTACTTTTTTCGATTCCATATCTATGTCTCCAACTTCGTTTCCAAGTGATGTGATAATTGTAGACTGTGAATGTTGGAAACTTCACCGCAATATGTATCTGTGAGGCACAGGATCTGAAGCCATATCCAACACGGACAACGCGAGACAAAAATAAGAAATTGAAGCAAATGTAAGCCATGGGGGCAAGAGCGATGTAACTACACAAGGATCAAGGTGTAACTATCTGAAAGCCAATGAAGTCTCAAGATTAGAGCTTCATCCAACAAATACACATGGAATTACAAAATATCAAAGAAGACTTATTACAGCCACTTAATTACTTACCTGTAAGCATCCCGAGGTCATCCATAACGATAAGTCATATTTGTTGCAACGATTCTTGATTGGCCTGTGATCAATGTTGGTTGTAAACATTGAAAAGAATAAAAACGAGGGATGAGACGAGATCAAAAGATAGGATGATGATTACTAATGCGCTAGTCCCAATCAAGTTTGAAGTAGCACAGGGGTGAATTATGTGCCCTAATTATAGAATAATGACTAGCACGTGAGTGCTTTGCAGAAAATGTTCTGTCCCACGACAATGATTCAAAGACGAGGGTAATCCATCTTTCAATATATTTTGAAAACGCAAAAGCTCATATGATGGAATGATCTGTTCTATGCCTGAAGGTGGCCCAATAAGCAATGCTGATATCAATTACCGCATCCTCATCTTCGTAAGTGGGGGTGGAAGCAATCATTAAAATGTGACGAGAAAGGAATCATCGCGAAACGCGTTGTACTTGCTGTGCTTCTTTGATCCATCTTATCAAAGTATCATCCTTTCATAGGTGAACTGGTCGATCCTCAAATCGCCATGACAGACTCTCCAACCTGGAGTCCTTTGCTTTACCGACCTCTGGGTGCCGATGAAATTCGGGTTTTATGTCTCGAGCCAAGTTCCCGTTCAGATCCTGACGATTTTGATATGATATCATGCCAAATGCGTCCGGTTAAACTCGAAGAATTAGGTGTATCTCATGAATTTGTCGACAGTGAAAAGGCATCCGAGCGGGAGTGGAGAGGTCTTCATCAAAAGCCATACGATTATACGACGTTGTTCAAACCTAGAAGGGGACTTTTTGACCGCCCTTTGAAAGCATATGTCAAGTCCTTAAAAGCGACTCAAAGCAGATCCGACGAAGCTATTGCGCCTAGTGAAAGTTCATCCCATCTCACAAATAGATATGTCGCACTATCGTATGTCTGGGGATCTCCCGCAGACAAAAAGACAATATTAGTCAATGGGATTGAGATGCAAGTCACCCAGAATCTTCATACTGCGATGATCGAATTGCGAAAGTCGAATTGGGTTAGAAGGCGTATTAACTTGTGGATTGATGCGTTATGTATCAATCAAGATGATCTAGATGAACGCGAGCAGCAAGTGAAGCTCATGCGAGATATTTATGCTATGGCATGGCAAGTGGTAGTCTCTCTTGGTTCAAGGACTTCAAGTACGACCATGGCATATACTGCATTACAATGGCTCGCCCATGAGATAGGGTCGGATGGAAAGCTGAGAGAATTCGCAGTCAAATATGGAAACTTGCATCATAATACCGCCAATGCAGTGGAGTCAGCCCCTTACACTTTGCCATGGCATGACTTTGCGTATGAATCCCTCCGTTCATTTTTTGTATGCCAATATTGGCATCGTCTTTGGATTTTGCAAGAGTTGGCCATGGCTAAAATGGATGCACCTGTTATCTGGGGAGATCATTCTATGTGTCTGCGCGATATATGGAAAGCTTGTCAGATGATAGAAAGGCAAGAAGATACTGTTTTGCGGTATATCACGACACATACAAATGATACTGATCGGCATACAACCGTAGCTACGATAGATCGACGAATAGAAGATCGCGAGGGAACTCCTGGACAACAGTGGAAACATCTCATCCGTATTCAAAACATGCGTGAGTGGAATCAGGGGGGTGTTAGTACCGCTCTGCCGGCTCTTGAATTGGCAAGACAAGCGCAAGCTACCGATGCACGGGACAAGGTCTATGGAATTCTTGCTATACCTTGCGTGAAAGGATTGACGAACGTGTCGCCCAATTACCGAATCGAACTCCCCGAGATATTTACCAATTTCACACGTGAAATAATCTCGAACAATGAACACGGTTTGGACATTCTCAGATTGGTTCATTCTCCTGTTGATAAAATCATGCTATCATCAATACTTGCAAGTGATCCTCGTTGGATGCGTAAAATGATAGGAGGTCGTTTCGTGGAGGTTGCAACACCTTGTATACATAAGTTACCCTCTTGGGTAGTTTGTTGGTCATGCACAGCCGCACCGGTCATATTTCTCCCTGGCATTTACAAAGCAGATCGTGGCTTCACACACCCTTCACCTCCAGTATTTCTTCGTGGTAACATTATTTCACTTCATGCCGTTTTCATCGACTCCATAGCTACTCTTTCAGCATTTAACGCTCACGAGAACGATGAAGCATTCCCGAAAAACCACATCAGTGCAATCTCCATCGAAAATGCATATGGCACCATTAATGGCCTTAAAGAAGCATTCTGGAGAACTATTGTGGCGGATACCACGCCTAACGGCGAGAAACCTCCTCCTTCATGGGCGGTCCTTCGTTTACCAAAATTGTGGTCCGTATTCGGTACAACAGAAGGCGGCGGTTCAGGTCTCGATTTCAGTCTGCATGGCTTCGCGCAACGCAATAAGGAACTGGCCATTTGTGGAACACGTCTCAAAGATCTTCTAGCCGATGCAAAAACCATCAAGGAACGAAAGGTATTTAGGGATGAGGAAAGAAGCACAAGTAATGATGACTTGCGAGATTCTTCAACGTGGGCTGCCAATGTCCTTGCGTGGCGGAGATTAGTTGGAACTCAAAATGGTAGGGTTGGCCTTACGGTCGCAGCTGCTATGATAGGTGATTCAATTGTGGTTCTACCTGGATGTAGTGTTCCTCTAGTTTTGAGAAGGGATGGGACAGGTTGGAAACTGATAGGGGAGTGCTTTGTTTATGGGTTAATGAATGGAGAGACAGCAGACTTAGTGGGAAGCGGGATGGTACCAATTGAAGAGATAGAACTTCATTAATGGCATCAAAGAGATCGACGGCCAAATCATTTGTAATTTGGTGTAGTCCAAAAGTATGGCTACAAACTTAACATCTGCCAATACGGAGCTTCATTTCCTCGTATACATAACGCTCATGATGAAAAGAAGAATAAGGTGCTTTAGCATTGAATTTCCAACGAGATAATGGATGAAAGCCATCGAGTATGTAACTCCTAAGCACCACTACTTCAAAACACAGACTGCTTCCACATTGTTCCCATCTATATCCGAGACGAAAGCCGCATAGTACGGCTGCCGACTCATCTCCTTTCGAATGCCCGGCGGTCCGTTATCACGTGCGCCATTTTGTCTAAAACATGGTCAGTTATCCACAGAAGGAGAAGATATTCAAGGAATATTGATGAGTTATCTGTATATCCAACTTACAATGCAATTTCGTAGAATTGATCTACCGCCTCTTGATCTATTCGTGATTCATCAGCTAGCTGCAATTATTTCCATACTTGGTATTCTTACTCGGGGCATCAAACGCAACATGCGTTGGCATCGGCGATTGACCTTCGGACAACTTTTTCAGCCAAAAATAAGGATAATCACTACCGTAGCCGATCAGAGCATCGTTGTCTGCGCAGATCATCTCAGTGTAGCCTATGGGTTTTAACACTACCTCATAGAATGATCGCAGCGCTTGGAATTTGGCTGCGGAAGCGTTGAAGAAGATGTGGTTGATTGTCATCTTTGCGGAATAATAAGTTCGTGAATGATTAATCTTAGTAAATTAGGGTAGATAGTGGTGACTTATATATCTGCGTTGCATTATGGATGTGAGGGGTTCCTTGGCGAACCCTTTGATCAAGCAGCCCGGAGCTCCGAGTATATTGGTCACACCAAACGTCATTCCTGCACATCGCGCTTTCTACCTCGTAACTTTACGTTCAGTGCGAACGTAAAGCCCGAAGCTTGGTAAGTGTGATGTTTCAACTTAGTGGTGTTTAAAAAGTGGATGTGTAAGTTGTATAAAATGATTGAAATATATCACCATAAGACCATATCTATCAAAGTTTCACCACAGCTCTTTAATAAGAAGAAGAAGAAGAAGAAAATAAAAAGCATGGCATCATTCATCATATATGGCGCAACAGGTTACTCTGGCCAATTGGCTAGCGAGTATGCAAAGAGTCTCAACCTCGACTTCTCAATTGCTGGCAGGACAGAGCATAAACTTAAGAGCCTAGCATCCCTACTCGACGTCTCTTATTCGGTTTTTGATATCAACCAAGTTGCTTTAACCGATTCGGTATTAAAAGAAGCTTCCGTTCTTCTCAATTGTGCCGGTCCTTTTGTGCACACATCGAAGCCGCTTATCGAAGCATGCATTCGGAATAAAGTGCATTACCTTGATATCGCAGCAGAATTAGACAGTTATCAATATGCGCAGGAGCTTGACAAAGAGGCAAGAGATGCCAACGTTATGCTTATGCCCGGATGTGGAGGGAGCGTCGTGATGTTGGGCTGTCTTGCTAGTCATGTTGTCGAGAAGGAGAAAGTCAAAACCCCGATCAAAATTGAAATTGCCTTGCGCGTCGCTGGGTCAATATCACGCGGGTCAGCGAAAAGTGCGGCAGAGAGTATAACAAGCCAGTGTCTTCAGCTTGTTGACGGGTCATTGGTTGGACAGGATGTAAGCAACACGGCCGAATTCGATTTTGATGATGGCAATGGATATGTTACGTCCTTTCCAGTGACATTGCCCGATCTCCTCACCATACAGAAATCTACAAATGTGCTCAACATCGCAACATATGTGAATATCTCTGATGCGAACTTTCCAACTGGAGATCTTGCTTTGCTGCCGGAAGGTCCAACGGCCGCGGAGAGGAAGACTACACCATATCATGCAGCAGTCAGTGTCACATCTGAACACGGGGTTATCCGGAGAGCCGCTCTTCACACAATGAATGGCTATACCTTCACTTCAATGGCATCAGTGCAAGCTGCCAAGCGAGTGATGGATCATCAGGCTATACCAGGCTTTCAGACACCTGTTGAAGTGTTCGGGAAGGAGTTTGTTCTCACTATACCAGGCTCCAAGATCGTAGATCTCTAACTTTCAAACGAATCCTTCTGCATATGATCAAGATACTTGGCTCAATTTTGCAATGGATGGAATGGGTTTCAATGATGTAATTTGTGAGATATGAGCAGTGTACATCATCATTAGAGAATGAAAAATAATGAAATATATTTCATAAACCTTTTGCCGTGGATGAATAACGAAGTCTTTACCTCCAAATATGCATGCTGGTTCAGATATAAATTTCCACACTTTCCTTGATTCCTTCTCTTAACTGTTCCGCCGATCTGGAGGTAAAGAATTTTAATCTGTCAGGATATTATTGAATTCTGGAATCTTTGTAAAACAAAGAGCTCCGGATCTCGGATTGCTGATCTATCATTCTGGAGATGGTATTGTTTAGTTCAATTGCTTGCAAGCATTGATAATCAATACGTCAGAATTGATGACTGTATATTATAATCAAGAAACTGAACGCTCATCAGCAGATATATATAAAGCAAGATTTCCTGGCATTGACTTAATTTTGAATTGCAATCAGACAAATACCAATACTCTCCTCTACATCACCTCAAGCTCCAGTTCACAACATATCATAAAAGCCAACACATTCTACACAGAAATCCTTCCATCAAGCAACAGAACCATAGCAATGGAGTCTATTACATCTCATCACGAACTGATCAGAAATGCAATTGCAAATGTTGCAATTTCTTTTGACATGAACACCTTTGAGGGGCTTCGCAATTCATTCACAAAAGACTGTGCAGCGGACTATACAGGTTCTCTTGGTCTCATGAACGGCATCGACACTGTCATCCAGCAGTTACAGAAGACTATTGGGCATGTCAGCACTTTCCATAGCTTGGGCACACAAAACATTCGACTCACTGGAAATGACACTGCTGAAGCTACCACATATGTCTCAGCAAGCCACTTCGCCGACGACAAGTCGTTCTTTGCCGAGGCCAGATATCTCGATAAACTTGTGAAGGTGACCGAAGGGGGAACTGTGAAGTGGTTGATTGATTATCGATTGACTACCATGATGGGTGTTCCGAGGGGTGATGTCTCTATATTCAACATGGATTTGGAGGGGTGGGTAGACACCCTAAAGGCGTGAAAGAAATTCTAGTCTATGAGCGGAGTGGTTATTCGCCTAAGAAAATTCCACTTTACTTTGAACTTGGCTGGCATAGAACGAAGATCGAGGAGTCAGTAGTTGGTTCTAACAATTGAATGGTGGACATATTAGGAAATTGGATTCAGTAACGAGGTCCTGAAATCAAATGTCTGAAAATTTCATGTGCGTGTTAGATTTTCCTCTATAGAATAATGCAATGATGATTTATTGTCCCAAGTATTTATACGATTACTGAATTAATATTTTAAGTGATGGTGGGTCAAATTCCGTAGCGTTAACTGCAAAACTGTTAGTATAGTAAATTTCAAACCATTAAAGTGAGAACTTACCAATTGAAGCCATAATAAACCCAAACTCGTCAACCTCCCCAAACCATTTCTCTGCTCTATTGTTTAAAGTAGTACCGGGTAGAATATCTCCAATCTCGGCTTGAAGGTAAACTCGACCACTCCATCTCGAAAGCCAATGTATGTATTTTGTGTTCCACTCTTGTTCAGTGCTTGCTTGCCAAAGTACCTTTGGGGCCGGTGCGGGCATAAACCCAAGGTCTTTACAGTCGAAACATTGAACTTTGTGCAACACAGAATATGCCCAGTGAAGGAGATATAAAGTGAGCACTGCTCTACGTTTGGATGCAACATGTATCCAAGCTTGCCAACATGGCCGTGTCTGTGCTCTCTCTTCTTTGAGAAAAAGACCATCACGCACGACGTGCCACACAAGTGACTCGACTTTTTGAAAGACGATTTCATTATCATCAGGGGAATTTTGTGGGGCTCTTGATGGGGAGAGGAGGATAATGGAATAAATCACTACAGCTTGTAGAACTGCTATGAGCATCGTTTCGTCAAGTTCTTCTGGCTATTTTAGGCGACCAATTAGACGGTCCCGTGGAAAGATGTGCATCGAGACTTACTTGATCGACAATAAAATTTAACTCTGAAATTATTGTCTTCCTCACAATCTCTTCAGCTCCTACGCTTTGTCCATGCCACATTTTGACTAATGTTGTGCAAGTGGCCAGTGGCCGGGGCAGAACATCATGCTGAGCAAAATGTGTGGAGTGGAATATTGGAGGCAGTTGAAATCCCTCAGCTAGCATCTGAGGCCAAGTACGAAAGACACGGAATATTAGTTCCATGCTGTGATTTGCTAAAGCAACCGAGTTTGATTCTTGGGAAGGTTGCAGCTCAATAGACGGGACGTCGTTGAATCGACCAAGCTCAGAATTACCTTCACCCTCACGACCAAAAGATGACAGCCCTGAGTGATCCATATGTTGCGGATATAAATCAAGATCTAATTGTGACATTGATGACCAGGTTCCTACATCCGAGAAAAAGGTGTCGAACAGATTAGGGTCAAACGTTGACTGTAAAAATTGTGGTCGAAATGTAGGTGAAACATCTGGAGGCGTGGTGCTTGTCGGATCCTTCTCAATTTCTGAAAGGTCGTGTCTCAAATTCGTAGGAGTGTTCGGGTTTTCAGGAATAGCGTATTCGCAGGCAACATCGCGCACATGACATCGTGAGCAAGTAGGCCGTTTTAAACTACACCTTGTTTTATGTATGACACATTGAAGACAAGCCTTACGCCGTCGTGATTGATTTTTGTTACATTGATTTTTCAAATGGCGACTAAGCGATGATTCTGCGACGTTGTAAGATTTCAACGTCAACGCAAACGGAATGGGAAATTCTCGTGACTTACGGTGGTTGAACTTGGCTCCACAAGACAGGCAGCCTGGCTTTCCTTCCATAGTATCTAGTTCCATCTGTTCACGGCGGAGGTTGAGTTACTACCTGTGAAAGGCCGAATGATGTGAAAAAGGAGAGTATGGATGAAATGCATGCAGTGGTCCCATTTCCCAATTAGCTCGGAATCCCGAGCTGCTTATGCAGCAAATAGGCCGAAAAGCTGACATTCATCTGAATTTGTACAATCTCAAGTCTTTTGCGTATTTTCTGAAAGGAAAAAATTTGGCAGTCAATTTATACCTACGCTGAATAATGTTACGGGCCAAGTGTTCTACAACGGAGAATTCGGACGGTTGCTCTGCAATGTGCGATAGTGAGGTTGAACGCCGAGTGCTCTTTTTGGAGGTGGATCGACTTCTTGCGTTCACATTTTGTGGTCAAAAAAAAGAAGCTCTTTCATCAATAACAGAAAATCTGATGGTCAAAAGTATGTGTCTGATCAAACAATGAGGACACGACGAGAAATAATAGAGTTAGCGCTCTTTCGGCTAACCGATATCCCTGCTACGTGCACGCCCCTACTATATGCACGTTTTTTTCAATCAAAATAAAAATCAATTTAAAATTCAAAAATCATTAGAATAAGATAAAATTTATTTCTAAAATTCAATAATATTATTCGTTTTGATTCTTCAAAATTTTAAATTATTGAAACAAAAATCGATTGAATAATAAAAGAAAAGGAATATATGATTTTAATATATAAGTTTTTAATAAAGAATATATTAAAGTCTATTTATAGAATGAAAAAATATTTTAATAGATTTTTTGATATTGATATTCTTATAAAGAAATCAAAAAAATCAAAAAAGTGATAAGAATTGATTTTAATATAGATTATTAGATTTTCTAATTATTTTTATTATCTTAAAGAAATTAAAAAATAAGTTTTAAAACGAATTTAAATTTATATTGAATATTAAAGTTTTGAATATTATAATCTTTTTGAAATAAATTATATTGAAAGTTAAAATATATAAGTTTTAGTTTAATTGAAAGAAATTCTTTAAATAAATCTTTTATTTTTAAAATTCTATTTTTAAAATTGTTTAAATCTTGATTTTATAATATATAATGAAATTATTATTATAAGATATGTTTTTTCAAGAAAAAAGTTTTTGTAATTTAAAATATTATTAAATCAATTTTTAAAAAAAGAAAATCTAAACAAAAATCATTTTAATATTAATAAATCCTGAAAATTCAAATATTTAAAATATTTATTAAATCAAAAATAAATTGATATAACTTTTTTTTTAATATTAAAATGGAATGTATATAATTGAAGATTATAAAAATCAAATTTTTAATAATAATTAATAAAAGCTTATGTTATAATTAATATTATATCAAATCAAATTCTTAGTATTCATTTTTAAATCTTTAATTAAATAAAATATTAATAAATCATAAATTTTAATATATTTCTCTATATTTTAAAGATTAGTATTATTATATAATTCAAAAGCAAAATTAAATATTATAAATTCATTATTTTATTAATAATTAATTCTTATAAATTTTCTTTTTAAAAACTATCAGATTTTAATATTGATATAATTTCAGAATTTTGAGAAAAAAGTTTAATTTTTTCAATTACTTTATATTATAATATAAAAGAATTCATAATTTCCTTAAATAAAACTTATATTTCCGATTCTATTATAAGATATATTAATAAGTAAATAACTTCTTATATAAAAATTCAATATCTTATTTATTAATATTATTATTATAAATTTTCAGAATTTCAGATTTTTTATTTAAAAATGTCATATTAATTTAGTCAATTTATCTTAATTTTAAATTTCAAATGATTTCATTGCTTTTTTAATTTCTAATTCAATTTAATATGATATTTTATATAAATAATAAGAGCGTGCACATAGCAGGGCCGTACACATAGTAGGGATATCGGTTACCGAGGCCGATAACGTGTATTTGACATAAACCCCAAAAATAGATTTCTGTTTAATGAAAAAAGAAATTTTAGAATCTGTATAATGTGTTTATAGAAATCTTATTCTATTATAAAAAATCTAATCTTATTAAAGAGTTTTTTTGAAAAAGATTATATTGTTGAATAGCTTTTAGGGTTAACTTTATTTATTTGTTTTTGAAATCCATTTCGAGATTTTTTAAAAGAAGTGTATTAATATTTAAAATCTATTTTCAAATAGTTTTTCTAATAATATATAGATTATTTTAGAATAAGCGAGATAAGCTTAGTAAGTATTCTTTATAATGTATAGATTACTTTAGAATAAGCGAAATAAGTTTAATAAGAATTTTTTATTTCAAGCTTGAGCTTAAGTTTATTTTGCTTAAATTGTATAACTAATATAGCTCTAGTTAGTTTTTATAATATTGGAAAAAGTATTCAATCTAGTATATAACTTTAGAGGAATTAACAAAATAAAAGAAAAATAAATTTAATTATTAATTAGAATTCAAGGAATCGATGGATGTATTGTTTTTTAAATTGTCTCAAAAATTCAGATTTATATTTAATTCTAATTATTTTTATTATATTTATGAATCAGTTTTATATTGATGTCTCAAATATTAGGCTTGATGATTAACTGAGCCTTAGATGATATCATCAATATTAAAAATAAATCTTTAATTCAGTATATAATTTTAACAAAAACTATGAAATAAAAAGAAAAGAGATACAAGTATTAATTAAAATTAAACGAATCGATTGATATATTTCTTTTTGAATTGTTACAAAAACTGAAATTCATATTCAATATAGAAATATTTTATTGAATTTAAAAAGAGATTAAATTTCAATCTTCAATCTCTTATTCTTTAAATTAAATATAAATTTCAATTTTTGAGATAATTCAAAAAGAATTATATCAATCGATTCTTTAAATTCTAATTAATATATATATCTCTTTTCTTTTTCTTTTATAGTTTTCTTTAAGGTTATGTATTGAATTGAATTCTTTTCTTTATATGAACACTACTAAATTCTAAATAAGGTTTTAGTGTAGGCAGAAATCTATTCTTGGGGTTTATGCCAAATGCGCGTTATCGGCCTCGGTATGGCGCCAACCAAACGTTTTCTGCCCATACAACCTTAGAAAGCGGTGAAGATTGCTCACTCTGAAATCTTTTATACTCGATGATTTCTATACCTGACCTCACTACACAGTAGAGATTTTTTTGGTTTCTTTCACGATCGTTACGACCGAACTCGGTGTCAATTCAGGCTCTACTTTCTCTCGTGAGAGATGAGAAGATGCGTTTGCCATGTGGAAGCCAACACATCCATTTAGCCTCGTGGGTTCATGAATGATAGTTTCATTCTATGGAGGCTCATAGCTGCTAAAGATCTCCAAGTGAAGATCATTCTTCCCCTCTATGTGGTAGGGTTGCTTCGCGTCTACCATATTTGGCAAGCTTTTACTAAACAGGCACCTTCTCCAGCGAATCCTTGCAATGATCTGGTTCCTGATTTGCATTCTGTCAATGTGGCGCAACCTTTAAACGGTTGACACCAATCACGTTGCGTATAAAAACAACCACGCTGCAGAGTATCTGCAGGATATATATTGATTCTTGCGCAACTGCGCCCCGGAGCCGATAGATGGAAGTTTGCTATTTCGAAAATTGGTTCTAGAAAGAAGCTAGAACTGGATACAAGTACAAGTGAAGCATTCCCGAGTAATCTATGTTTATTCCTTTATTCCTGATTTTCGACCATGCAATTCCTTTCAGTCCTTCGTTAACACAATTTGAATGTCATCATCAAATCGCCAAAATGGTGTACCAAATTAGACCCTTGCATATATCAAGTGAGGCGCCAGAAGTTGTTCCCGAGGAACAATCTCCATACCTATTAACCTCGCCCGATAAATATTTCGTTCGTTCATACTCCGTGAGAAGAGCATCAAATCATCTAATATCACCACTAAGTAAACAATGTGATAATATTCCGCTCCAAGAAGTCTCATTTCCACCACCAAAAAGAGCATACGATCTTGCGCGTTATTTACCTCCACCAAAACAAAAGAAAAAATTCGGGCTGGTGCCAATTGTTTTTATAGCTGTGGTGTCTTTCTTAATCGGAGGAGGTATTGGCGGTGGTATTGGAGGATGGGTTGGGAAGCATAATAATCCCTCGAGGTATTTCTGCATGCGACAATAAAAAGGGACAAGACTGATTATAAGTGTTTCCAGCAAGACCTCCAAGTCCGAATCAACGGGAACACTTTCAGGATGTGCTCCAACAGTCACGGAATTTGTAGACTCGGCTGGATGCCCCAACGTCAACAATACTACCTATACAACACCTGTACCTAGTATAGAGTTTCGTATAGCTTGTGCTATCGACTTAACTTCTTTACCAGGAGAAGATATCGAATTGACCAACGTTACAACTCCGACTCTAAATAATTGTTTGCAATCGTGCGCACAATATAATAATGGACAATGCTTGGCAGCTACTTGGATACAATTTTCTCCAAATCACCCAGAGATGAACTCGAAGTGTTTCTTCAAAGCGAATTCAGGAGTTCGTATACCCATGAATTCTACGGGCACGATAGCCACGAGTGGGTTCCGGATTTCCTGACACGAGCTCGATACAGAAAACCAATTCTTGAAATGCCTAATGTATTTTAACTTGATGCCTCGAGGTACTGGAACAGCGCTCATGGTTCGCTCACTCGGTATCAATGGGTTCTGCATGGTCATGGCGTTTTAAGATGGTGCATCATTCTTTCGTTCTTTAGAACCGGATTGCAGCAGGATGATTGGAGCATTTGAAAATTTGTACATTCGCTCACGAGATATGAAAAAGATGATGGAGAATTTGCTTTGCTTGCAGGCAGCTTAATTTTTAATTACTGTTTTTACTGTTCTTTTGTTATAATCACGTTGGAGCCAACATTGGCAGCTTGCGGGCGAGGTGTAATTATAAGTTCACCAGTTTCGTGTTAAATCAAGGAGTTCGTGAATATGGGATCAGATGGGAGGAGATATTGCAAATCTAAATACAAAGTGGTAACCACCGATCGCGTTAGCAATGAATCGTTTCGAAGGAAGTTCTGTCACATTAAAATTGCTCGCAGCGCCGCTGTTCTGCTTGTGAGGAGTTGACTATCATGCCTGTTTATTTCTTCCTCAAGGCTAAGTGTCTGAAGAATTGTCAAAGTCAATTCATCCAAGGACATGACTTGGCTTACCTCGAAAGGCACTGGCGCAATGCAAAAGACAAACCAGAAGGCTATGGAGTATTCTTTGTACTTAAAGGTTGCTTTGATTTGATTTTTGCAGAGGAATTCCTCACAGAAACGGACATAGCTAGCATTCTAACATACAATTAGATGGGGCTCGGCAGTGGTGATGAGGTCAAATGGGCTTAGCGTAGTTATTTACCCCCTCTTTCCCAAAATAGTTAGACCCAGGTCTGATCGCGTCGCGTGGTACTTCACATTTATTCTTCCTCTTTACAACACATCAGAAAGTCGCAACCCACGATTACCCATTCCTAGTTATACCTCATGGCTGGTAGTGATTCTCACACTTCTATACACAATTGCCTTTATTTACATACCGACATATCCTAATTGAGTTATGTTTGTGCAATAGATGTTGAGCCTTTGAGGGATCTGAGTAAATCACGTCAATTGAAGACTTTTCAATTCATTGCTGTCGATAGTTTGAGCGTATCAATCGAGAGTTTGTTGTTCACAGAATATGCAAGTTTGTTATTGTTTCGGTTGTTCTATCCACCATTCTTACTGCGCGCGTTGAGCTTCACTCTTTCCTTTCACTCCGTTCTGTTCATTTCTTGCTAATAGTGCTCAATCTCGTGCGTCCTCGCATTACAAGATCTCTCATATGGTCATACTAGATTACTTCTATTTTCAGATACACCTCAAGCCAAGACTTGGACATCTTGCCCACTCATCTCTACCACCTACCTTTCTACTTGTGCCTCTCTCGACCGAAAACCCTTTAATCTCAGCTCTCGGAATCTTGATAAAGGATATTCGCCGGCAGCTAAGAAAGTACTGTTACCTGCAACTTCTGCGATATCATTACAATGACGGTTACTCAACTTACATGCCCCATAAGACTGAAGCAATGTCACTGGGTCTGTACAGTCTATACTTGGGGAAGCAGTCGTTTTGATATGGATTATTATGAAATGAAGACATACGAAACTCTGCCGGCGGATGATAGTCATAGTCGGCTGGTCCTGTTAGCATTTTTAAAATGATCCTCCATGTTTCCATGAGAAGCCTTGCTAAGGGAGATGGAATCTACACTGCGTCATCAGAAATCACTATCTTCTCTTCGTCTAAAATTGATCTCAAGTCCTATGGCTACCGAAAAGCTTTAAGCCCGACGATTATCCTACTCTAGCATCAATATTGTTTTTCAAGTACTCCATACAAGTATGACTAGTCGATCTGTACTTGCGGATTATGACAACTCAACGGCTCATATTATCCATTGTATAACATCTCGCGAACGCCGACTTTAGCCATTGTAGTTCATCCTCGGCCGATATATATTTCCAGGGCTGTTCGCAGCTACCGAACCTCCTCAATGCTTTCAATGCCATACGAATCAAAGTGTCAACATTTAAACGACTACTCTCAGTGAATATGAATCTTGACATCGTTGTTGTTTTACGACATCGACTGCTTTATCAATCCGTCTATAGTTTGCATGCCAATTTTATGGGTGTGGTATCGGTAATATATCTACCATGCTTATATTGGGCATGATTACTGATAAACACGATTTGTACAGGCGTACCGACCGTTCCGTCGCGAAGTAAGGTAACCGCTTGCCAAACATATTCCTTATTCTTATAAGCCTCCTGGATATCTTCAATAAGGCTCATTATCTCTCCAATCAGTATCAGAGATTGACATCGGAATCGGTAGCTTGGCGACGTCTGTAACTTTTAACCGCTTCCATTGCCTGCGAGTGTATATTATGAGGTATCTTTTATCTTCTTGTGGAATTTTTCGCAATTGTCTTGAGACATTAAAATCACAATAATTCAGTACTATACATAATTTGCAATTTCCTTCTTTTAAATGTTATTTAAATCGGCTTGGGTGCTGCTCGCAGAATTGATGTTTTATACCACTGATATTGGATTTGCCTGTCCGCCCACCAACCCCAACAGACTCTGTGCCGTTCTTACTCATGTAAATTTAACTCGTCCTCTTATAGCTCGGCTTTAATCGAAAAAATAGCTTCCCGGAACCCGGTTCATTTCTCCTGAAGCTAACGGGCGCTCCGCGAAGTCCCTCTCCTTGCTCTTTACATGGGGAAGAAGGAAGCTGAGGATTGGCTACAGGGTTGCAATACAACCCCACGTGTTTATTGTGCTTATTTCATATGCTTTTTTCAGGGCATATTCTATCACTAGAATCTTCTATAGTCCTAGAATTGATCTCCCCGAAAATTTCAAGTATCTAAGAGGTCATTAAGATCCAATCTTCTTCTTATTTCCCAACGAGTCGCACAAATTACGCAGAACAATATATGGACATGAACATATTTTACGCTTGTACACAAATTCGAATTAATTATTGCATCATTTTTCGAATTTCAAAGGAGTCACCGAAATTCGTCTGATGTCAATTAATCTTCCAGACTTTCGTTCAGCGTATGTTTCCTTTTAAGGTACCATTAGAATTCCTTTCCAATTGCCCCTGCATCAATTACTTATTCTTCCAGTAGTACCACAGGATTATACGATCTAGATGGTTGAAAAAATTCCATCATCCCATCTAGAAAGCGCCATGCATAGAATGGTTTGTTTCATCGCGAACAAAATCCTTTGCCAATAACCAATTAATGGCATCTGCTTAATACTTCTTAGTCATTCGTATGATGTTATCCAGTAGCACAAGAGACACTTTTGTTTGCCAAGAAGCTTTTAGCCAGATCATAATGTGATTGGAGTTCCTGAATTAAGTCGGTTACCCTACTTTCGGGCCAACAGGGTTTTGGGCCACCCTTTTACACCAAAAATCACTTTTTAGGCCTATTAATATCTCTATCAATATATAATATAATTCAATGAAAATTTGTATATATATAATTTAGATCGATTTAAGCTTATTCTGAAATTTTTAGATTTTTAGGATTTTTCTGTATTGAGAGCTAGAGCTTCAAAATATCGATTTTCAAATTTGTATAGGAATCACATACAAATTTAGAATTTTTATAAAACCTTTAATAACTTTTTAACAACAATTATTAAAAGAAAACTATATATATTTCTGAGATATTTGAGCTTGAATCTATATAGAAATTCAAAAAAAAATTCAAAAAAATTAACAGATATAGAGATATAGTATACAGTAAATTTAAAGTAATATAAATAATCCCTGTCATTTTGAGAGTACCCCTTTAAATATTTATTTATAAAAATTTTTTTATTTTTTCTGAATCTATTATATGAAATATATTATAAAGTGATAATGAAATTTTACAATATATTTTTAGCAATTTTTATTCGAAAGTTATTAAAGATTTTATAAAAGTTTCAAATTTGTATGTGATTCCCATACAAATTTAAAAATCGATATTTTGAAGCTCTAGATCTCAATACAGAAAAATCCTAAAAATCTGAAAATTTCAGAATAAGCTTAAATCGATCTAAATTATATATATACAAATTTTCATGAAATTCTATCCATAAATGAGAGAGTTAAAATTTCCATTTTTGGTGTAAAAAGTGGCCCAAAAGGGGGGTGGCCAGAAAGTGGGGTATCCGACTTACTAAATTGGGCTGCACAACCATTGGAATATGGAAAATATCCCCTTGAAACATTCATACTTCAAAATCCTATCAGATCTCTATTTGTTCCTCAATTTTAAAGTTCTTGACTCGGCGAATTCAAAGCTTAGACTCGGATCCTTTCGACCCACAGCCAAGGATGTGATATGAGTAGAGCCCTAATGGAGGCGGCTAAACATCAATATCCCCTACGAATGAATGGTTTCCGCGCGTTTGTAAGGAGGTTTTTTTCTCTCTTGGGGCTGCCTGCCTAGAGGTTCAATTCAATCAATCTCAAATCAGCCCTGGCCCACTCTCCCCGCGTCCAAAAAATGCGGGTGACATAAATTAAGGAGATCGACATGGCCCACAGCGAGTGTCTACATTGCATTTCACATCATATATATTAAGACTACTCTCCCTCGAAGTTTGTACCACATCATATTTTCTGACGATATAGTCTACTTTCTTTCTCTAGTCGCTCTCTACTTCTACATTCAATCCTTCCAATTTTTTTCGATCTCTACGATCTCGTCAATCCTTACCAGAGTCTGGACACTCTTTGATTTTAGATACATACATTCATACATTCATTTACAAATTTACTTCTTCCTTCCAAACTCGCAAAAATGGTTCTCGCAACTTCTATTCTTCTTCCTCTTTACCTTTACCCTACTCAAGGTGCTTGGACCTGGGCCACCAATGCCATTGCAGCTTACCCCTCTCTTGCATTCACCATCATTGTCAACCCGGAATCTGGACCAGGAGCTCTCAATGACTACCCAGAAGATGAATATATCTCTGGCATCACCAATTTGACAAAGTATGACAATGTCAAACTTTTGGGATATGTGGATACCCAATACATGGCCAAGAGTACTGCTGCCGTTGACCAAGAAGTCGAGACTTGTGAGTAAAACCTTCCTAAAAACAGACGATCTAAGAAAATGTTAATAAAAAATAGACAAATACTGGTCTACCTACACCAAAGGAAACATCGCCGTCGATGGAATCTTCTTCGACGACGCAGTCAACGAATGGACATCCGACTCTTCCAGCTACATGACCACCATCGCAGACAACGCACACGCTCTAAATCTCACCGTCCACTTGAACCCCGGTACTATCGCTGACTCCGAATTCTTCAACATCGCCGACAAAGTCGTTATGATTGAAGATGACTACTCCGCCTATTCCTCCAAGAAAGGCAATTCGTTGAAAAAAATTGCAAGTACCAAACAAGAGCAAAGTTCGGTCATTATTTACGATTTCAGTGGTTCTCAATCTCAACAGACTAATACCGTTAACTCGATTGTTGCTTCTGGGGTTGCGGAGGTGTATATTACGACGGTGGAATATACAAGTCAGAGTAAGATGTGGACTCAATTCGTGGCTGCGGTCAACAGTGCAGTGGGGAACTAGAGTATTAGTTTGGAAGGTCGGTTATGGGGTTCAGTGGGGCGGTCGGGGACCGAAGAGAGGGGAGACAACGTCGAGCTGGTGAATTGACGGAAAGTTGTATTTGGATCCTGTGGAAATCCTTCTATTCTTGTTTTTACTTTTTGGTGGGAATGTAGATTCTTGGAAGCAGGTGTTAGGAAAATTCACATACATTTCTATGTGATGGAAAATGAAAATATCATGATCAAGTGCGGAAAATGGCGACTTCTTTTCCGCGTATCATTGTTTTCACTGAAACCACTTTCAGTTCTTCGATTTCATGAATGTGGCTAAAGTCTTTCCATAAAGAGTTCCCTCTCCAAATTCTAGCTATACTGCAAATCCTCAGTCATATGAAAGTCTTTGATATTGCGAAGTGCAATATCAGTATCTCCACAGACTCCAATAAATGAAATAAGTCAAACATTCCAACAACTTCCCCGAAGGAAACTACAGGTTTCTATATCCGTTATATTTTTATTGTTTCAATCACTACAACTGATCTGTATTCATTCCTACCACTATCTCCAAAATTGAATCACAAGAAAATAGCAAAACACCAAAAGTTTGAAACTCCCACCAGCGACAAAATTTGACAACGAATATCCAGCTTTTCAGACGAGAACCTCTAAGTTCCTGTCCTATTACAAATCTCTCAGAATAAAACCGTGTGCAAACACACAAAAAGAAAGCACATAGACCAAGTTTAGTATCAATATCAATCTCCAAATATACATCCATATATGCACAGAATCAAATCCACACACTCGATATACCAAGAAGAAGAAAAGCCGGAGCTAAATATCTCCCATATAGCACTTATACAATAAAACATCCGCAAATTTCTGGTTTCAAAGGATAGAACATACACCGTCCCAAAATCCCACATCACCTTATCAAACCATCACATCATCATTATCTCCAACCTAATCGCTCCTCAAGATCAAATACCCCCCTCTCTCCTCGGAAAAGGCTTTTATATCCATAATACCGAAAATTCATCTTGAACTTTAATCCTTCAAGCACACAAAAATTTAACAAAATACAACTTTCAATTTCGGATACCCTAATTCTTCTCTTCTATCAGTATCTAGTACTACAATAGTCCGAATATCTTCATACACATCTCATTTCATATACTCTTCGCGACTCAAAATCTCAATAGTACACAAGATAATCTCCATACTCCAATCTTGTTGAATCCAACCATATGACATACTTTCCCCAAAGTTCATGACTATCGATAAAAGTCAGGGAGGGATCATGTCTCACAAACACACATTTTATTCTAGATGTAAAGTTTTCATATATTTATTATCTAGGTATCTAGAGATAGTATATGATTTCAATATGTTTCTCATAACGCCATTACGATAAAGGGCTGAAATGTAAAGTTTGATTTTTCCTTTGCATTAATAATTTAAACTTCGATGCGCTCGGTGCTTGATGCTCTTGTGTACTAGATATATATATGTGTGCTAACCGGATGCACGTAGCCTAACGGTTTTGAATAGCGTACGATATACGTTTCTCGTCGGGAATATAAGGGTTAGCGGGAAAGATACTTTTCCCCACGAGACACTAGTTGACCGACTGTTAGAGTTGGAGTCGGTACTGATTTTAATATTCGTTTGTAGATTATGTGGTGAGGGTGAAACATATTGGATTCATCACATGATTTGTCAGATTTGAAATCGTGGACGACCCGACCCGTCTGGGGAGATGGTGTGAAACATATTATTCATAGATATGGCGATCGAGATTTGAATGACTAGCTAGCGTGGGAGATGAATTCTAACTTATCTACCTAGGTATCTACCTATCTATTTGATGATCAATGACTTGATGGAAATACCAGATTTCCGTACTAGTTATTTGAGTCATATTGACGAACGATGCTTTTCTTCTTAACAGTCATTAGTGATTAATGATTATGATTTTTTCCCACCTCACCGCCTCCCCCCAAACAAAAATCTCAAGTAAGACTTGGACCTGCGGATATGGCAGCGTTGAATTGTGTCCAGAGATTACTCTGGCTAATATAATCATTGGTGGTGATGTATAGCGAATTAATCCCCATTTTCAAGATTTCCTTCACAAGAGTCGATTGATCGCTTGCCGAGCCGGTAAAATGATGGAACATAACTGAAGATTTGGAACGTTGGCTGGGGGGAACTAATTTTATAATTGTGTTAGTGGATTGCTTACCGATCGAGTAACAACTCACCACTTTAAAGTTCGGGAAGGAAAATATCGAAAGTAAAAGAGAATGAAAACTCACTAGATTCAATACTCGGTAAGGCTTCCGAAGCATCGTATGTTTCTTCAATCATTAATATATTGTCTGCGAGTGCGAAAAATGAAGGATCGGCAATCACGCCCGGATTGAATGTTACGGTGAGATTGGCTTGATGGGCGGAGGTAGCAATGGTGCTCATGAATTGAGAGGTGCTGGCGTTCCAGTTGGAGACGCAGTCGTCGAAGAAGATGCCGTGCATGTGGATATCTTCTGAGGGGTTGGCTTGCCAGTGGTTGTCTAGTGGACAGAAAAAGATGTTATTGTGTGTCTATGTTTGATTCTGTGGTTGTAAATGACAGAGGAGGAGATGGAGAAATTGGAAGACTCGAGACTCAAGATCTAGAATTCAGAAAGGGGAAGAGACGAGAAGAGAAGAAAAATACATACAAGTATCCACCTCGGCAACGACATCCTCAACAGATCGATGCATATACGCCGTATCTACATATCCCAATAACTGTACGTTTTCGAATGCATTCAGGGAGGCGATAGCATCGATATAGCTGGGATCGGGGAAAGAATTGTAGGTGCCGGGTCCGGAGGATGGGTTGATGACGAGAGTGTAGGTTATGGAGGGGTAGAGGGGGATAGTGGTTAAGAGCCAGTTCCAGGCGAGGGGCAGAGGATAGATGTAAAGGGGGAGGAGAACAGAGATGGGGTGACGCATCTTTGGGGTGGTGAGTGATGTTTAGGAAGTGGTGTTTGCTTTGAGATACTGATAAAACGGAAATTCAAAGGTCTGTTTAGATAGATGCCATGTATTGATTTGTGAACTTATATACTCGAAGAAGTAAATCAGAAATCTAAAGTCATGAATATCAATTTATCAAAGATACTCCAGTCACCTATCTACTAATCTTATTCATCTTGAATACCTACTTACCTGGGTAAGTAAGTAATATTGATTCACCATGTATCCGAATCATCATTTTCTAAGTTCTCATTCATTACCCCGAGACAAATTTGATAGTAGGGCATGGTATGGTATGGGATTGGGAGTTCTAGTGACATATATTGGTTTCATTTACTTTCTGTTATTTAGGATCAGAAGCAGATTATGTGGAGTATGAGTAGGTAGTCTGAGGATGTAATTTGAACTTTGGTAACTGGTGATAGGAGAAATAATAGAGCGGTTTAGAATGGTGATGAGAAGTGCAGCGAAGTCATCTAGAAGGGAGTAATCCCTAGGTAAGAAACTCGATAAAATATACATACCTAGATACCTGCGTATCTATCCATACCGACTCAGAACATAAAGTATATCTCCCAGACCGCAAACATTCTCTCGCTGATTATCTAGAAATTGTAGGGTCATATCATCTCTTCGAATTCGACAATTCTGTACACTATCCATGATATTCATTACATATACATACATAGGCAGATATCCATATAAATTCAACTAAACACAGATCCAAACCCACCCACCTGGGCATATACACATCCCCCCCCCTACCCGCCAAATCCCTTCCCCGCCTCCTCGCCAGAATATTCTCCGTTCTCCATCCCTTCCCATGGGGATCATAAACCTCCATCTGCTTTTGAATTCATTACACTTCTAATTTCATTCTGTTTGTATACCTAGATGTATGAACTTATTTATCGCTCATTTGTTTAACCCGCTAAATCAAGAAAATAAATTTATGAATATATACCTATCTACTAACTTACTCACTTACCCACTCATTTACTCACTCACTCACTTACTCATTCACTCACTTACTCACTTACTCATTTACTTATTTAGGGCCCGTTCGGATCGATTTTTTATTTTATTGATGAAATCTCTAATAATAATAAAATAGTAAGGGATTGGAAATATTGGTATTTAAATGAAGCTAATATATTTGAAATAATATTGGGATATACAAGGTTGAATTGAAAATGAAGAAATTGAATTGAAAATAAAGAAGATAATACTTTTTCTTAAATATATTAGCCCAATTAAATCTCAAAAATTGTTGTTGATTACTATATGAGAAAAGTTGAGAAAATTTGTTTTATTTGTTATTTTAAGATTATTTGACTCAATATTTTATTAAATCTATTATTGCATTTGGTAAATGTATTTATTTGAGCTAATATATATTGGACTTAATATTACATTCGGTAAATACTATATTAGGCTAATATATTGGTCTAATGTTCAAAAACCGATTGATTCGAATGAGCCCTTATTCATTTATTCATTTACTTACTCACTCACTAATTTATTTACTAACTCACTTACCCACTCACTCACTTACTTACTTATTCACTCACTCACTTACTCACTCACTCATTCACTTACTCACTCACTCACTCACTCACTCACTCACTCACTCACTCACTCACTCACTCACTCACTCACTCACTCACAATTCCACCAATCCATCCATCCATCCATCCATCCATCCATTCCCATCACAAATCACAAATCACAAATCATACCAATACTATCTCCCCTCAACTAATCCCCTCTCCCACCAACCCATCTATATTCCCAATTTCCCCAATTCCCCAATCACCCCAATCACCCCAACCACCCATCTACTATACATACCACCTCTTACCCATATCTTCCGTCATATCTTCGCCCCATATCTTCGCCCCTAGTTACATACTTACATACTTACATACTTATATATTTACATACTTGAATACTTACATACTTAGGGCCCGTTCGGATTGATTTTTTTAGGTAATGTAGACAATAAATATAGCCCAAATAAGCGTTTACCGAACACTAATATAGCCTACAAAATTATTTTAGATTTTATTGCTAATATAATACATTTACCGAACACTGATATTGAACTACAAAAAGCTATAAAATATTAATTAACAAATTTAAAAATTTGTATAATAAATTCGCTAAATCTGTAATACAAATTTGATTAGTATTTATTAATATACTATCACTCTACATTTTGTAGGCTTACAAATATGTATTTATATTCACAAAATATAAATATAGGCTATATTTTTAATTAACAAACCAACTAATCTTATTTTGATAATAAATTAAAAAAACGATTCGAACGAGCCCTTACTCACATATATACTCACATACATACTTATATACATACTCACATACATATTCACATACATACATACTCACATACATACTCATATATACTACAAACCCACCAACAGCTAACACTCAATACCCAATACCCAATACTCAACAAATCAACCCAAGCTAATTAGCTAACCTAGCCTACCCTAACCTAACCTTATATACATAACCTTATATATATAACCTTATATATATAACCTTATATATATAACCTTATCTACAACCTTAAACCTTAAACCCATATTATAAACCCATATTATAAACCCATATTACAAACCCATCCATATCATACAAATCACCATACAGATCACCATACAGATCACCATACAAATCATTATATAAATCACCATATAATACATTATTCAAATACACTCCTCAAATACACTACTCAAATACACTACTCAAATACACTACTCAAATACATTATTCAAATACACTACTCAAATGTACTACTCAAATACACTACTCAAATACACTACTCAAATACACTACTCAAATACACTACTCAAATACACTACTCAAATACACTACTCAAATACATTAGATATCTAGATAAACAAACCAGTAGAGAGAAAGCACTCACATCGATAAACAAACCAACAAACAAACAAACAAATTAATAAACAAACATCAAAATGTTTAAAATATATACAAGAATCCATGATTAAAAAGTAACTAAGTATCTAGGTATCTAATCCAATGCAATCCCATTCAATCCAATCCAATCCATTCAATCCAATCCATTCCATTCCATCCAATCCAATCCATTCCATCCCATCAATCAAAAGTCATATATACATACATACTCATACCACCCGATAAAATTTCCAATTCCAATTCCAATTCCAATTCCCATTCCCGCTCCTTAACACCTTGCTTGCTAAGGTACTGACTGATAAAGACGATGATGGATATAAATAAACAGAAACAAAAACAGAAACAGAAACAAAAAGAAAAACACAAAGTAAAAAGAACAATGACTGTAACGATGACAATGACGATAAATGAATGACCTGGCCTAGATATCCTATCCTATCCTATCCTATCCTGTTCCTTCCCTTACTACCATGGTATTTTAGAGGTATATATCTCATAATATACCAGAAATCCTACCCTTGCCCAACCGCTGGATATCAATCCCTACCCTCCCCCCTTCCCTTCTCTCCCATCCCATCCCCGAAACGATAAAAAAAACAAAAACGAACAAGAGTAAACTATACAAAAGAAAGAGAAATGTATCATCAAAGAATGAAAAGCTCATGCCACTAAATCCCCTCACATCCTCTCACAACCTCGACCAAACTTCTCAAAACCCATCCTTCCACTTCCTTTGCATTTCCATCCACATCCACACTTCCCTGCATACCCTTCAACAATTTGCCTATGCAATTCTTGAGATTGTATTCGATCTTCTTGTTTTGAGCGGCTCCTCCTCCCAGATTTCCATTGCGACGAATGGATGTTGAGGCGGAGAGACCGAGGGTTGAAGCTGCTTTGGCGGGGATACCAACGAGAGAAGTGTTATTGTATGTGTAAGATGAGAAGGTAGTATTGTGGAAAGAGGATTTGCGGAGACTGTGGGAAGCGGAGTGGGAATGTTTGATAGTGGTGGTACGGGCGAGAGGGGTACTGGGTGGAGGAGTAGAAGAGGATGGAAGCGATTGTAGGAAGATATAAGCGAGGATATGGGCGTAGAGAGCGGAGCGGAGGAAATCGGAAGAGACGGGGAAGATAGCGTGAAGAGGTTGGAGATTGGCGGCTGCGAGTTGGTAGGCGAAGGTGGGGAGGATGGGGGAGGGGCCTGCGCTGGTGGTGTTGGGTGTATCTGCGGGTGCGAGGGAGGAGAAGGAGAAATCGGGACTGAAGGGTGGAGTGACGGGTGGGGTGGTGGGAATGGAAAAGTTGAAGGATTTGGTCTCGGTTGGCGAGAGACAGATTGTTTGAGGACGATTGCGACGGTTGAGACCTTTTTGATGGGGAGGGATAAGTGTTGTGGTTGATGGTGCTGGTGGTGGTTGTTTTGATCGCTGAAATGATTTGAAAGACGCAGTTGATGTAGCTTTAAGGTGTGAACGAATGGATGATATACATGGAGTATCAGCTAATAACATTTTTGTAGGAAAGTTCGAAGTGCATTCTTCGATTGCGGCTACGATATCAAGTATCGTATCTGGAGAGGCAGGTGTTGGAGAAAGATCTGCTGGTGAACGAGAGATTTTTCGTTGACTAAAGTTAGAAAATTTGTGCGATTCTGGCTCGTCAGGTGAAGTTGGAGGACTGGACATGGCTAGATCATCCATTGGGCATGTCTCGATCGGAGAACGAGAGGTTAATCTTCGAAGAGCAGATGAATCGGAATGTTTTAAGATTCCGACTGGTGTTGTTCTTTCTGGAATAGTAATGGACAAGCTTTGAGTTTTTTTATGATTCACGTGAATAACTTGTGCTTTAGCTGGTGCAAGAGCTGTTGCGCATGCCTAGATAATGTTAGTATTCGTCAAGTTGATTGCAATGAATAACTTACGAAAAAGTCATCAGATTCATCATCTGAACTCTCACACATGCTACTTTCACTATCGTCGAGCCATTCTTCAATATCCAAAGTCGAC